CGTGGTCAACCCTTTTCTCTATACATGAACCGACCGATCGCCAATTAAAGATTGCGGCCACGCTTGACCTTTTTGACCATACAATTATTTTGTACAAGAAAAGCACGCTTTTAAATAGCAATTTATACGAATTAATACGATAATAATTATTTCAATATAAAATAATATGGCGGTAAACCTTTACTAAATTTTATTTCCTAACATTTGCAAAAAACCAACACCTGAAAAATTTGATCTTTGTTACACTTTGCAGTCAGACCTAGAGAGTTAGTTATGTTTGAAATGAGATATTTAAGAAAATAGAAATGTCAGATAAAACGGCACAACCTAGCAAGAATTTTGCTAAAACTTTGAGATCAAAAGACTTGGTTGACTTTATTATTTATTAAGTTATTATTTTAATTTTTAGCTTCTTGAAATTTATTTATCTTTCAATCCGCAATAATCAGTGTATATCTTTAAAGAACAAAATATTGAAAATACCGGTGAATATTTAATTTATTTTATAATTTTACTAAAAGTAATTTCTTAAGAGATTTTTGAGTTTTTGTTTTATTGTGTAGGCTGCAGATGCTGAAAGCTGCGCAGATCCCTTATTATCAATGCATTAAAAACATAAATTTTTAAATGAAAAACGAAAAGAAGTGTTAAAACCTTGGAATTTATTCTCAGGGGGAAATTAAATTAATATAAACGAGAAAGCAACTTTTTCGCAGACGCACATTAAATAATAATGGATAAGACTGCCTCAGAGCTAATCGAGTCTAACGTATTCTTTTTCTATCTCTTCCCTTCACAACAGGTGGAGAGCTTTTTTCATTTGGAGCAAACTTTTGTGCACCCAACAAGAAAACAAACAAACAAACGCACGCACGGGGCTGCCTAACGAATACGCAAGGGTCACTTCTCGAGAGGAAGCAACTGGCGAACCCTCTCTTGCTTCTTGTTTCCTTCTAGAAAATTATGAGAGAAATTCGCTTCTCATTTTTCGTGCGTCTTCTTCTCTTTTTGGCGCCCAACGAGCCTTTTAACGCTAATAAGTATTTATTATTTCGTTATTCGCATGCAGATAAGGAGCTTCTCGCCCGCCGTCTTGGCGTAATGGCTTTTTGATAACCTCCACGCAGCTCCCCAAGTTGCGTTGGGGCGATAATTGCACGCCACGGCTCGTGACCCGCCTGCAAAAACTTCTTTAAGCACCACCTGTTATAGCAAATAAAATATTTTAAATTGCACGATCGGCAGAATCTCGGTCCATCCATTGCCAATAATTCATGAGAAGAGTTTTTAATTTCCTCTTCTTTTTTCATTTATTTCATTTCGTTGGGGGAAATGCGATAATATTTTTAATTTTAAGAACTACATGCACAGAAAAATCAATCCCAAAATAATAATACAATGATTACAACAAATTTTAGATTGGAGACTAACAGAATAAAACAAATTAATTAAATTGAAATTACGAAAATCAGCTGCCATGAGATATTCCAACGAAATAATAAATTCAATTTTCAAATAATTTAATACATTTTTCAAATCACAGTTAAGTAAAATGATTCAATTAGAATTATAAATTTTTCATACAAATTAAATTAAGTTCAATCAAAAGTTAAAATTCTAAAAAAAATCAATTCAAAAAACGTAAATTTAACAAGAAAGTCAAAATCAGAGACTGCGATAAAAAGAGACGTTTACTAGAATTTGTCTTAAATTTCTCTGCTAGAGTTCATAAGTAACACAAACGAGCAAATGTATCAACCTTTTGAAAGACTAACATTAGTTGAGCGCAGGTTTTTTTCCCTTTTTTAACAAAAAAAATGTCATTTAGTCAGAGCAAGGCAGCTGTCCTCCTACACACATTATTTAGTCCTCGGGAAGCCGTGCTTGTCTATGCCTGCGGATGTAGGCAACAAAATGCTGCGAATAATGCATGAGGGGTCCTCTCTGCATTGTGATCTGGCCAAGGAGGAGACCGTAACGGAGAGGCATCTCCGCGACGTGTGACCGGAGAGTGGCCGTCGGTCGGTCTCCAACTTCAAAGCGACTTTTGTTGGCGCCGCCCACGCACTCACCGCACCGAGAAACGACAAGGGAGCAAAGCGGTTTTCAACGAAAACAGAAATTCCAAAATTAAATTCGAAAACGAGGGAGAACGAAATTCGATCTCCCGCCGCGAGTTCATTACGGAAATAAAATGGATTTTATGACGTGGAAAATAATGGAATCGTGGGTATTGCGTTTGCCGGCGAAATAATAATAAATAATGTGTGTCTGTTTGCACAGAGAGTGCGGCTGTTGGTGGCCGATAACGTTGAATTCGCGACACTTGCTCCGAAACACAATTTTCAATGGCAGGTGTTGCAGGTCGGACGACATGTCCCGCTAATGCACGTGCGGCCGTTTGTCCTTATTAATGTCAATGGATCAAGCATATTCGAGCGCATATTTATTTATTCTGCATTTGCGCAGCGCAACCTGTCCGCAGTTTATTTCAACAAATGGTGCGATTTTGATATACGATCGCGGTTTATTTATGGGCGCGCGTTTTTTTCCCCGCGCCTCCGTATTTTATACAAAAATTATTACATATTCCTTTCTCTTATTTCCAGCAGCAAAAATATGCTACCTCATGTGTGAGAAAGTGTAAAAGAATCGCACTTTTATTTTTCAACCCTCCAAGTCATAACAGTCATATAACTGACACATTGGCCTACTTTTATTCTTTTCCTGCACCACTTTTCTCTTTTCCTTGTTATTTTACGTTTCCCTCTTTCCATGCGGGAAAGCACGAAGAATGAAACAGTTTCCATGCATTTTATTTTTAATTTTCCCATTAACGGCATTAAATATTACTCTCTAAAAAATTGTCCCCTCCTTGCTATGGAAATGGCCGTTGCTTGAAAATGTATTTTATTAAATTATTTTTTCGCTTGAATAGAAAAAAAACTATTGAAGCGTGTTGCATAATTTCACGTGTTTGCTCTTCATAAAAAGCTACGGAGGTGGAAAGCGGAAAGAAAAGAGGCGTGCATCTTTAATTAGAAACTCTGGTCGTCTACTCGTGTAGTTCTGTTTTAAGAAAGAGCAATTTGCATACATTTGCCCGCGTGTAATACAATGGCACACCGGAAAAAAAGGGAAAATTGCTCTCGGCGAGGAAAGAATAGCGAGCTGATGATTGGTGTGCGAGGAGAGAACGATATAAAAAAAGGACTTAGCGCGCCGCATAAATTTCACAATCAGATTATTTACTTTTCGTCCTCTCTCTTTTTGATTGGATTATTTGAAAATAAGAGACGTGAACGGATTTAGTTTTGCACGTGATGATTGGAGAAAAAAAAGCAAAAGTAAAAAGTTCCAGCTATATGTATGTTGGTTAATTCACTTGCGAGTCCTTCGCAAAACTTTTCCTCTGATTCGTCGGTAAACTTTGCTGCGAGCCGAAGCTTGGCAAATTACAAAAAAAAACCCCCAACTTTCCCGGGAGCGGTGGAATTTGATTGAATCGTCAGATCGAATATGTTCAGCAAGTGTTTATTTTGATTTGTGCGGAGATAATTTTGTCAACAACTGCTCGCATCAATAAATATGCACATATACCTGTCACAATAAATTACAAATAACGTCGCGAATAAATAAAAGCTGCGTAAAACGTGAGCGCGCAGCAGGTTGACACACATAAAAGGTTTACCTTCGTGCAAATGCTTAACTAAATTAGAGGCTTATCTGCTGAAGCATGCATGTAAATTGGGCCCGTTGTTTTGAGCTTGCGCGTGCAAACTCGTTTTACTTTATTTTTACCTCGCTCTAAAACAAAGGAATAAAACAAGGCTCGTATTCCTGGCTGAAAAATTTTGCAAGAAAATCTAAAGGTACTCACAGTCATGGTTTTGGTCCTGGGGTCGTAGACCTTGACGGAGGTGTGGTCGGGCGAGCCCCTGAGGGCCTTGGAGTCGATCTGCACGTTGGTCTGCATTCTTTGTGCGTTCGTTCAGCGCCAGTGGAACGCCGCGTCTGACTCGCTCCGGTCGCAGGAGCCGCCGAGCCGCCGCAGCCTCAGAGTGTGTGCCGCCCGCCGTCGCTATAGAAACCACCCTCTCTCTCGCTCGCACACACAACCCTTGCCTCCCGATCGCATTCGCACATACCTGACAAGTCACGTGCCATCTCCACCTGCAGACCGGCTCGATTTTTTTTTTTTTTTTTTTTTTGGATTCGACATATTGAAAAGATCTTGGGCATTGAAAAGAGAGCATTGATGGAGCTTGACATTGTTTGACATACACACTGATAATAATTTCAGCTTTAAAAGAGCCATTTTTTAATTCTCTTTGTTCAAATCATCACACTATTTGCAGTACTTTTTAATAAAAAGATTATGCAATTCTTTGATCTTTCAGCTCTAGATTTTTTTTAAAAATATTTTAATATTTAAAATAATGAATTGCAAGATTGCAAAACAGATAGTGAGGAAAATAATGATCATGAATTTCAGGTAGAAAAATTAATCAAAAGACACTCTCCTGATTCCGAGTCAGTAATATAAACTCTTTAGCATAACTTGCTGAGCATAAAGTGCAAGAAAATTCATGGAGTAAAGCAATCGAGTCGAGGAGAACGAGAGTTAAAAATATTAGAAAAAACAAAAGTCATCCAAAGATAGCAAATTTAAAAGATTCAAACAGAATAAAGAGAGAAGATGAAATTACACGATGCGTGACATTATAAATTAATTCTACAAAACTTAGCTCACAATCAGCAATGTTTAAATAAGATTTGGTTAAAATTAACAAAATATGATTGTAATCATTCGAATACATACTCTATCCTAAAAATTTTAAAATTTCCTTAGTCTTCAATGAGATGAAAGTACTTCTCTACAAAAAAAAAAAAATAAAAAAATAAAAAAAAAATAGAAATTTTAATTCAACAGAATAACATAATTATAAATATAATAAATATTATGTCAGTCTTGGAGAGTAATAAAAATCTCATATTCATCAGGTGTCTGGCATCTATAATGGCAAAAACTTTATTCGTAGATTGATTACATAAACGTCTTAATAGTCACTTTGAAACACGTGATGGGAGCATTATTAAATTTTTGTTTCGCTATATAAGCTCAAAGAAATTAGAAAAGAAGAAATAAGTTTTTCAGCATCTCTATTAGTTGTACTATATTGCAATACTCTTGGTTTAGGGCTTGAAACTTAAGATTAATCAGGTAAAAAGCACACAACCCAAATCTCTGATGAAAAATACAGATCTTGATTAGTGGATTTTTTGTTAGTACTTTCTGCTTGCAGACACGGAGGGCAGATTCAAATATCGCGATTTAGACTTATTATTAATTTAATTAGTGACAAACGTGTTTAACAATATTTACTCTCAACGTTTTAGCTCTTGTCTTTAATCTCGAAATAAGCAGCTTTTAGTGTTTATTAGATATACATATATCAAAACACGCGCCTACTCAATCTTGATATTTTATAATCGATTAATGGTGTGTAACATGAGTTCTATTTAAAATCCTAACGTTAGTGAGTTAACCGGCAGCGCTGCTGACACTCAAAAAGCGCGTCAAAATAACGCTTGCAATAAACTTAGCGATTAATGATTGCACTGTGATCATCACTCGCTTTATATCTCAACTCGGAGCCCTCGCGCTTCCAACACCAAATTAGGCACATATGTTTTATCTTTCGTCAGCGTAGAAGTGCACTCACAGATTCATTATGTCAGTGCAATTATTAAAATCAATTTAAAATTTCCAAGAGCAAACAGAAACACTCAGCTCCACACAGCCTTGGTAAACTATTAATTCCATCTCTTTTTCCAGATTATCAACAGCCCCAGATGAAAAAACAATCCATGGCATTTGAAAGTAGCTCATTTTTAGTATACACATGAATCATGCAAACTATGTATCAGCTACTTAAGTATACATGTTTGTAAATAATTGACGATTACATAGGAAATGCATTTTAGAAATTAGCATGCTCGATTTTCTTCTTCTGCTATACATAAGCCTTTTAAATATTTGCTCTTGAGCACAAAAAATTTTCTTCTCGCATGCAACAAAATCGTTCAAGTAAGCAGAGGAGTTTGGTAACAGGAAAGCGGAAGCAATTCGAGAAAAATGGGTTGATTTTCATAATTTTTAACACCTTAAAAATATATTGATCTTGCGAAAAATGAGTTTCATCAAGAAAAAAATGTAAAAATCCTCAAATGGACAAAAATGGCTAAAAGAAACTGGATTTTTGAGTGATCACCAAAGGGCAGGAATGTTAAGGTTGACAAAGCCAGGGTTTTTTCGCTTGACCCAATACAAGTCGTTGTACTCCCAAATTTCTTCATTATTGCTTGACGTGTAACATCTGAAGATTTATATGGGTTAAAATTTTTAAATAAAGTCTAGTTATTTCAGACTAACCTAAACCAACGAGGCACATTTTCTGCATCTTGGCGCTTGCGTCTCTCGCGCTGGGCCTGCTCCAACTGCATCTTCATATTCTCAGCCAACGTCAAATTTCCTTCCTCCAACAGCCTACCAAAAAATTTACAGTTTTTATTGGGTTAACTTTTTGTATTGGTTGGGCTCACCTCTGATCAGGTCTGAATCTTGTGTCTGTGCAAGGCAAATACTTGATCATCTCCCCGTCAATCTCGTTCAGCTCCATTGCAAAGCGTGTGAAGCCATAATAAAGCTCATAGTCCTCAGGCATTGTGCCTGTAAGAGAAAAATTTGCATATATAATTATTTATTTTTATTAATTTTATCCAAGAAAATAATCACTAATCTTCCAATATTATAAAAAGCTGAGGACTTTGCCAAAATTTCATAAAGAATTCCATTTTACTTTCAATGAAATTATAACAAATTGATTAAACTTTCAAGTCCAGTATGATCATCAAGTAAAACCATCTCACCTGGTCTCCATATACATTTGGCAGAAGGCGCCACACCACAGTAAAGGGCCTCGTTCCACTTTCCAAACAGTGTTCTCGCCACCTTGCCATCCGCATTAATAATGTTTCCGTAAATCTCATGCTTCTTAGCAGACCAGTAGCTTGACTAAAAATTGTATTGTTAAAAGAAAAAATTAAAATATCAAAAATTTTTCATACTCGAACAAAAGTGAGTTTGCACTTGATGTTCTTGTTGCTGGTGATGACGAGTTCTCCGTATTGGTCAACCCACCTCTGTCCACCGAAAACATTGTGTACGCAGGTGGTCACTTTGTTCCATTGATAGTGGTCACCCTTTCCTGGCAGCTTCAAATTTACAGTGCCTAATGTATAAAAAAATTTAAATTAGTAATAAGGAAACATTTTAAGGTAATAATTAATTTGCCTGTTGGCTGGAATTCCATCGACTTTCCCCAGAATTTGGTTTTAATCCGTACGTCCTGCCAGAAAATGAAGTTCTTTGACTCAGCATGGCAAACACTGACAGGTGGATGATGCGACACCTTCAGAAAATTTAGTTAACAAATTGTTTTCTCTTAAAAAATGTATTCCCTACTTGTTCAGCAACAAATCTGAAGCCCTTGTCCTCCCTGATGCACTCGTAGGTCTCACCAAGGATGGGGTTGAAAGGTTTGCTGGCGGCGCGATAGTAAGAGGATCCGTACCCTGAGACTGCAAAGGCAGCAATGCAGACCATTCGTTCAAAGGGGTCCTCAAGCTCAGCAGCCTTGTCCAGCAGCTCGCTATACTCAAGCTCCTCGCACAGCCGCTGCAGCATGCTCAATGGCTCGTTCAGTGCCACAGGCATTGACACCTTGGACAGGTCTTTGCCTATGTTCTTACACAGAAGGTTCCACAGGGACAAACCCTCTAGATCAGGACGCGGTGCTGGCAATTTTGTTCGCCGACCTGTGTGGAACTTGGGCATTTCCTTATCATCGTCATCCCCTTGAACTTAAATATATGCTTTTAGGTATATCATGATTAATTTAAAAAACAAACTACCACTCGGGGCAGGCGTGTTATCCGTGCCAAGCTCGCTATTCTCACTGACCACAGAGCCCTCCTCAGAACTCAAGCTTGCCTCGGAGGAGGTCTCGCTGATCATCAGAGCTGTCGACTGGAACTCCTGCGCGTCGAAAAACTCACTAGCGCTAAGACACGAGCTGCTATATGACAATGACTGCTGAAGCTGCTTTGCTGCCTGAAAAATGCAACTCGCCTTGTAGAGCAATTTTCGAAAGGTATTTTCATGAAACAACAGAAGATGTTTAAAGTGAAAATTAAAATTTTTTAATCCCACCTTTTAATTTAAATATTACATTTTACCATCACTTTTATAATAGTTTGAACTAAAATTTAGATTTTTGGAGAGAAAATGGTTTTTACTTGTTCGGACTGGGCGATGGACGAGACATCGCTAAGGTCCGAGTTCTCGTGGATTTTGTTGAGCCTGTTTTTGAGCTCCTTATTTTGATGCAGGGTCGAGGCTAATGAACTTTTCAAATTAGCAATTAACTGAGAGTTTCCAGAAGTACCAAACGCCATCTGGCTACTGTCCAATTCCATTGCTTGCTTCAGACGGTCGCGCTCTACTAGCATTGTCTGTACAGCCTCCTTCAGATTTATATGGACTGAAGATATTTTTCTTTTTAATACAAGCGCACAATTGTTTCCTTTGAGACTCACTCTCCTTGGCTAGGATGACAAAGTCCTCCCTGCAGTGGAAGTCAGGCGTTGTGTTGGTTCGATTGTCACCAACCATGTTCAAGGAAAGCAGGTGCTCAGCGCCTGGCAAACTCTGAGGTCTGGTTGCAGTCAAAACAGCCGATGGCAGGGACGGGTTGCTGTTGCTGAGGTGTGCCGAGTGTGACAGGCCAGATGCGACCTTCCCATCATTTACAATGATGACAATAAATAAAAAGATCATGACTCACAGGTAAATCCGCTTCTGTGTGCTTATTGGGACTGCAGCCCACCAGGTCGGCGGCGCTGCCCTTGGAGCTCTTCTTTTTGCGCAAACCAAACTTGCGCCTGTCTTTCTTCACGTTTGGAGAACTGCCTTCAATTGACTGAAAAAATTAAGAATAAAACTTTAAAAATTGAACTGGGGCTCCATATTGAATTTCCTCATAGCATCAATATGGAAGATTTTTAGAAAATTATTGCAGAAAAAAGGGCTTAAAATTTGATTTCTTCCACTACACTTTTAAAAAAAGTTGGAAAGATTAAAAAAATGCACATTCTTATTTATGAATGAAATAAATTTTTTGCTACTTGAAAAAGAATGATCAAAAACAGAAATTCAGAATTTAAGGTTTAAAATTGAAAATCCAAAATGTTTGAATATTGAGTCTGAGTTTTAAGAACACTCACTTCGGGATGATCATAGCTAGTGGGAAGCTGCTCAATTTGCTCAAGGATGAGGTTCAGCTGGACAAGATTCTGCTGGACAAGGGTGAGCTCTTTTGAGATGGAATCGATGCCTGTCGAGTCCATGATCCAGGTGGCAACGCGCGAGTGCGACTGCTGAGAGGTGGTGGCCGAAGCTGGAGGTGGCTGCGGTGGCGTCTCTTCCACCTCAGGGGTCAATGGCATGGGCTTCAGAGGGCTGAGGTCGGGCGAGACGCGCGACTGCAGCAGATTTCGAGTGCCAAAGGTCAGCACATGCTGGCGGTAAAGGCGATGCAGCTTTAACTGCTCCACCCAATCTTGGAAGGTGTCCAAAGTTTTTGCCTGTAAATCGATTTGAAATAAATCTTTTTAGAAAACTGGATGGCAACAGACCTTGAGATGGTAGATGAACTCCTCGGCATCAATGTCAATTCGTCGACGCTTCAGTTTGCTAGAAATCACGGACAGACCGATGTCTAGTGAGGCATGGTGTTTGCCCCTGGCGATTTCACCAGGGCCTTTGGCGTAAATGAGGATTCCCTTGTCCACCACAAAATACCTCTGAACAGAAAGATACATATTATGAATTTATAAGATGTTACAGTGTTTTAAATAAATGCGAAACTGCCTAAAAATTGGCATTTTTTGCAGTTTATAAAAGATTCACTGGTAATTTTTTTTATCATTTCTGTTTTTTTATTATTATCCTCCTATTTTATGCGATCCTTTAAATTGTCAAAAAAGATAAACCTTAGAAATATTCCTTATGTTTAATTTTTTATTTACATTAAAGGTACTCTTGAAACTGAGAACCTAAAATTATCAAACCTTGCTCCAGTAAACTTGAGATATAATAAAATTATCATAATTTTATATACCTTGTGCCATCCTTTAAGGGGCCACTTGCGCTTCTTGTGGAGGTACCCTTCCCAGGTTTTAGGCTTCTTGTCAAAGCGCTGGCCGTCCTTGAGGCCTTCGAGGATTTCCCACTCGGAGGCGCGCCGCACCACGGCCTTGGAGCCTATGAACAAGACAAAGGACGATTTGGCGAGTCCGTCCACAAGCTGGCTCATCTCAGAGCGCACTGATAGAATCAGGCTTACCATTGGCTGTCGCCTCCTTGGATGGCACTCTGACAAACGTGTCGTTGTTCGAGTCGGCTGACAGACTATTGCTGTCCGCGCTGCCGTCCTATAATTAATCGCTTAATTTATTATGTAATTGATTAATTAAGCAAGTACCGAATCCGAGTTGTGTCCGGCGGACGACTTGGCGCTCTTGTTCTTCTTGTCAGCCATCGCCTTGGATTTGTAGCTGTTGAGACTGGCCGGTTCGGTGGCGATGTGCCGCAGCCCTGACGACATTCTTTTCGCCGACCGACCTGCTCACCAAGGGCTGCACATCTCTGGCCGCTTCATGACATAACATTAATTATGTGCCCCCTCAAATTAGTCCAATTTACGAGCTAAAAAAAACGGGGGGTGTAAAAATGTTGCCAATTCTGCTTTTTCCGTAAACTCTCACATATTTCTCAGCAAATCATCATTCGAATTGCGAATTAGGTGGTATTTTCCGCTCGAAAAAGGCCCTGGTGCTGCGGAAAAGACGGGCAGAGGTGTAATTCTGCGACTTTTTCTAGGCCAACTGGAGAAGTGGGCGTGTTACAAAAGGGTGTTTAAAGAGGAGACGCAAGCACTGCTGTAATTACTCATCACGTTGCTCAACATTATTTCTAATAAGGAAGCTTTACACAGTGAAATTCCGTCAAAAAACTATCTCTCTCACATTAAACTAATCAATTAGACAAATTCAAAAGTTAAATCTATTTTGGTCAGGCCCGAATTGGATTGGCACTTGCGAAAGCAGCGTAAATCCCGTTCTTACAACCCCGGCAGTCGACTGATATCAATCAAAATTTTACATAATTAATCCCATTGATTAGCAATTTAACCCCATTCATTAATCGCCTCCATCCCCTTAATCACTCCGCAAGGCTTTTACACAAATGCCAATCACTTCGTTAATCGGGGATAGATTGATGGATCGATTGTAAAATAATAAAAACAAGAATGACGTACAGTCAAACCCTTTTTATTGAAATGAAAGGAGAGGGGAAGGGGAATTTTACAAAGAACACAAACAAAAAAGCAAGGAGACGAGCTGACGACTTGAGCTGACGAGGTGCAGCAGCAGCGCTAAACAGTAACAGCAGCAGCTGACTGGATCTCGCGGTCGGTCCGATTTCGCCGCTTCATCCGCGCATTTTGTAACAATTGTGCACACGTAAAGCTGCCAAATTACTCTTGTCCATTCGGTAATTATAAATTGAAGACCTTGGCAACATTATTGTTTATGTTTCTGCAATGATTTGATTGAAAAAGCGATTTTAACAAGGAAACTATGTAAAGTTAGTCAAAAATTAATTTTTGGAATTTGTTTTTATCAAGACGAATAAATTAACGCTTAATTATTAGCAAATTAAGCTACACACATAAATAACGTTACATTTAAAATTTTCAACCATTTTTTTGCAAAATTATTTATTTTTCTGATTTCATTTTATATAAAATTGTTTTAAATTTGGAACGCAATTATTTGTTACTACTGGATTTTTTAGACCATAATGCCCTTTTCAATCTTCATATTTTTTAGCTCTATTAGGCGCTTTTCTGAAAGTGTGTTAAAGTGTAATATTTATGAGACATGCGTTCATATCTTTGCTATAGTTAATAAATTTTGATAAATCTCGGAAAGCGATTCAAAAAACAAATAACACGTTTGCTTGTCGCCTTAGCAATTAGGACAATGAATTTATGACACCATATGCTTGAAAAACAAATGATAAGCTTTCAATGAACCTACTTATCTTTACATTTCTTCTCAGAAGACCAGGACACGCACCATGGCGGTAGCGGCGAACGTGGAGTTTGTGACTTCGTTGACCAAGTCTGACCCGCAGAAGCACCCAGTTCTGATTGTCGGACAGACCAAGCACCTGGCTAAGCTGACCTTCAATGACGTCAGAGCCAAACTTGAACCCAGAGTCACTGGCGATGTAATACAATATTTTTTGAAAATTTTATTTTTCTCTGAAACAAACGATTTAATTTTACAGGTGTTGTCTGCTGCGATTGCCAGCCTGCACCCTTCACCAACAGACTCTTGTTCCCTTTACCTGAATCTGGCCACAGTGGCCGCCCTGCCAGTCAAGTGCAGCAGACACAACACCCCTGCCAGGGTGCATTCCATCTCGAAGCTTGTCCGCAGCAGCTCCATTGGCGTCGACGAAACTGTCATGGTAAAATTTTGGTTACAAAGAAATTTAAGATTTTTTTCCATTTACAATTTTTTTCTATTTACAATTTTTTTTCTTTACAATTTTTTAAAAAATTTCAGGTAGTCTGTGAAAGGAGTGATGTGTACGCTTCAGCCTGCGCTGTTGCCAGGGCGTACCCGTTGTACTCGAGGAAAACATCGAGCAACTCTACCTCGAGCACGCCGCCGACAGTCTCAGTCTACTTTCTGATTGTGTCTGAAGATTCTCCTGTGGTTGAGGCCCCTCTGCTTGCCTCGGAGGTCGAGTGCCTTCAGAGTGCAGCTTTCGGTGTCAGACTGGCCGCCAAGATTGTCGACATGCCTTGCAATGAGATGAACGTTGCCCACTTCGTCAAAGTAAATCATTGAAATATTAAATAAAAGATCATGTCTAATTAATATTGGTTAGGGCAGTATTTTGTTTTCTGGAAAGGGTTAGTTCAATTCAATTTAGTTACAAAATAGTTTAAATTATTCAAAACTGTTGCTGCAAATGGAAAAATCTTAGCAATCTCATTAAAAAATTAATTTTTATTTGATTGAAGGAAGTGGCGGATGTTGGAAAACTGGTCGGCGCGAGTCTGACGGTGATTGAGGGAGAGGATTTGAATAAAAAGGGCTTCGGAGGTATCTATGGTGTGGGCAAGGCGGCGTCCGTACCTCCTGCACTGGCCGTGCTGAGCCACCGGCCGGAGGGCGCCACTGTGACGGTGGCCTGGGTGGGCAAAGGCATTGTCTATGACACTGGCGGCCTCAGCATCAAGGGCAAAACGGCAATGCCGGGCATGAAGAGGGACTGTGGAGGTGCCGCCGCCGTCCTTGGCGCCTTCTATGCCGCCGTCCGCCAGGGCTTCAGCCAGAACTTGCACGCTGTCTTCTGTCTGGCTGAGAACGCTGTTGGTCCGACCGCCACCCGCCCGGACGACGTCCACACCCTCTACTCCGGAAGGTAGGCAACCTTGCATTTACTTTTTAATTTTATTTAAGTTAAGCCTTCATTCTTTTTTTTTGCAATTATTTAACTTTTAACTTAAATTAATGCCCGGCAATGGATATCCCAATCTTTGGGCAAAGAATTTGTAAATAATTGTAATAATCAATTTTATTTGAAACATAATTTTAAAGAACTGTTGAGATCAACAACACCGACGCTGAGGGCCGCCTGGTGTTGTCTGATGGCGTCACCTATGCACAGAAGGACCTCAACGCTTCCATCATCATTGATATGGCCACTCTCACAGGCGCTCAGGTATTAATGAATATCAATTTTCCTCGAGTGAAGAAGTTGTCACTAGAGGAGGCATTCTATTGATGAAAACGGGGTTTGTCCCCTGTTGGAAAAATATTTTGTTATTGTTTTTTTTCCCAAAATACAAACTACTCTGCCAGTTTTGGCCCCTGATATTTAATAAAAACAGTCAGCAAAAATTGAAATAAAAATGAGCGAAAATATTTCAACTGTACAGTGTTTTGGCAGGGGTCATACGATCGTGACCATATTTGAGACCCATAAAGACCATGTCAAGAGGTTTTCAAAAATATGTAGTTTTACCCCATTATCTCAAAATTTATGGGTTTTACGGGACGTTCAAATTTGGATTTTGGAAAATTTCAAAAGGCTGTATCTCGGCTTCCCGTTGACGTAGAACAAAAATCCGGGTATGGTTGAATTTTTCTCATTGCCCTCCACAACTTTGCTGTTGAAAGCAAAATCGTATGTCAAAGTTCAAGGTCACTTCTGGTGACCTCGTGACCTTTGACCTCACAATTGAAGGTTATCCCCGAATTTTATTTCAATTCTGAGATAGCCATTTTGTAGAACGTGAAATTTTACGCTATATAAGAAAATAAACCAGATGGCGTTTTTTGTTAAAAAATTAATAAATAAATTAAAAGAGCAAAAAACGTGGTTTTCCGAGCATTTTTGCTGGGTAAATATGTTTGAACCACCGTAACTTTTTTTCTGGGCAAGATAGCCCCACATACCTAATGACAAAAAGTAATTGTCTTGACACGGCCCATCTAATGATGTATCACACGTGGTGTTCAGGTCACAAAAGGTCATTGACCCCGGTGACCTTTGACCTTCCCATGGTTTTTTCGTCACGTGTGGCACATGATTCAAAAGAAAACATTAAGAGGGTCATTTTGGTGCCCAGAAATCTGTTGTAGCTCGAGCAGAAGTAAAATTATTACTGTTTTTGTAATAAAAAGTGATCGAAATCGCATCGTAAAAAAACGTAATTCTAGGATAACTCTGCTTCTCTGAAAGCTACAACAGATTTCTGGGCACCAAAATGACCCTCTTAATGTTCTCTTTTGAATCATGTGCCACACGTGACGAAACAACCATGGGAAGGTCAAAGGTCACCGGGGTCAATGACCTTTTGTGACCTGAACACCACGTGTGATACATCATTAGATGGGCCGTGTCAAGACAATTACTTTTTGTCATTAGGTATGTGGGGCTATCTTGCCCAGAAAAAAAGTTACGGTGGTTCAAACATATTTACCCAGCAAAAATGCTCGGAAAACCACGTTTTTTGCTCTTTTAATTTATTTATTAATTTTTTAACAAAAAACACCATCTGGTTTATTTTCTTATATAGCGTAAAATTTCACGTTCTACAAAATGGCTATCTCAGAATTGAAATAAAATTCGGGGATAACCTTCAATTGTGAGGTCAAAGGTCACGAGGTCACCAGAAGTGACCTTGAACTTTGACATACGATTTTGCTTTCAACAGCAAAGTTGTAGAGGGCAATGAGAAAAATTCAACCATACCCGGATTTTTGTTCTACGTCAACGGGAAGCCGAGATACAGCCTTTTGAAATTTTCCAAAATCCAAATTTGAACGTCCCGTAAAACCCATAAATTTTGAGATAATGGGGTAAAACTATATATTTTTGAAAACCTCTTGACATGGTCTTTATGGGTCTCAAATATGGTCACGATCGTATGACCCCTGCCAAAACACTGTACAGTTGAAATATTTTCGCCGAAATATTTTTAAAAAATAAATAAAATATGTGAGTGCAAAGCCTGTTTTTTCGCCACAATATTTCCCACTTTTTTTTATTGAATATTTCAATATTTTCAGGGCATAGCAACTGGAAAGTACCATGGGGCCATTCTGACCAACAACGAGGAGTGGGAGCAGATTGGAGTGCAGGCGGGTAAGAACTGCGGAGACCTGCTTTTCCCGATTCCCTACTGCCCTGAGCTGCACTTCAGCGAGTTTGCCTCTGCCATAGCTGACATGAAGAACTCTGTCGCTGTAAATTGCCCAAACACAATTTTTCCCCTTTTAATTTTCACTAAAATCTCTGTAGGATCGAAACAACGCCCAGTCATCATGCGCCGGCCTCTTCATCGCGTCCAATTTGGGCTTTGACTGGCCTGGTACTTGGGTCCACATTGACATGGCCTATCCAGTGCACAGTGTAAGTAAAAATTTTGGTCAAAATCTTTTTTTTTCAAAAGCTCTCAGTTTCACTTCATTTAATAAAATAGACTAATTCAAATTGAAAATTTTTATTCATTTTTCTTACTAAAGTGTATCATTTTTCATTTCAAATAAAAAAATGTTCCATTATTTAAATTTTCAAAATAGTATAATAGAAGATTTTAAAATAAATATCATTTTGATTATTTTTTTTCAGGGCGAACGAGCTACTGGGTATGGGGTGGCTCTGCTGAACGCAATGTGCGGTCACTTCTCCAAGGACCCAACCCTGCTCGCCCTGAGCCCTTACAATGCCAGCAGCGATGATGAGGCAAACGCTTGCAAAAAGCAGCGCCGCAACTGATGTTCTGCAGTAAGTTTTGCCAGTATTGAAAATTTGGAATTAAGAAGGGAAATATTTTGTTTGACTTCACAACGTTTAATAAAATAATGATTTTTTCAAAGGGTATAGTATTTTAAATTAGTTTTCACGGTGATTAGTTAGATTCGAGTGCAGAGTTTTTGGAGGATGGTCATTCAGAGATCTCGAACGCCCGTTCCGTAGTTGGCACCTCCAGCTTTCACCAGCTGGTCCATGAAGAAATCGACCTCAAATTCAGCAGAGCTCTCCAGTTGCAACTCGACGGCAAAATTCTGCATTCAAACAAAAAGTTATAAATTTTAAAAGGAAACCGCTGAAATGGAAAACGATTTTGCGGCGATAAGAGAAAAAGAAATAAAATGATAAGAGTCGCATTTGTAATCGCGTCGGTTTGTTGATTCGGCGGCAAAGACTTTTGAACGAAGCGAGAAACGAACGGACTTACCGCGAGAATTTCCTTCATTTTCGCCTTGTCAGTGCTCATTTTGGCTCGCTTCATAACACCGACCGCAGGCCCAATCCAAGTGATGAAGAGGAACTTCTTTCTTTTGCTCATTTCATCGCCCATCTAGATTTTGAAAACCAGAAAATGAGAAAAATGAACTGTGATCCAAAAATACTTTATTTGAGACCAAATTTCATATTTATTTTTAAAATGATATTTTTTTAAACATATATTAAAACATTGAGCAAATAGAAAATAAACAGTCTTTTACCTGTAGTCTAAGGTAACCAAAAGCGCGTTCGTCGTCGTGGAATTGGGCGCGGAAGTCTTCGAAGCCCTCGCCCCTGGCCGAGCACACGATGCTGCTGTCTTCAAACTTGTACACGACCCTGCAAATTAATTGGAGCGCCCGTTTAACTGCGATACCATCTTTGAATGAGTCGAGCGCGAGTTTTCTTTCAGTGCGATTGGCGGTGCGTGTAAACCGCTCGGCGCCAAAATAATGAAAATAATTGCTCGGCGAATTTTTGTTTTCCTTTCACAGGAGGAGACTCACCAGTCAGTGGGCGACGCGTCCGACCGCACGTCCTCGTACGCTTCTTTGATTTCCGACCGGTCGATCACAGTCGCCATGGACACCTGCGAATTCAAAACACCTCAACTAAAGACTAATAATACAAGCTCTGAATCCCGGGAGTTAAAATATAACTTTCAGAGTTTTCAGACCTCGGGAAAGGAAGCCGGAAACAAATTTTACATGATAATTATATCATTGAAAGATTAAAAAAAAAAAACCTATCTATTTCCTCCTCTATACTCATATTAGAATTTCACGGAATTTTAATTCGAATGGAGAGTAAATAAATAAATAAAATTTGAGGTTGCAAGTTTTTGGACTTGGCGAGTACATGCACATCTTCTCAGTTTTTGCCGGTGCATGCGGGAACCCTTTTGCGTGGCCTGACGTCATTCTGATTTAAGTCGCTCAGTCTGCGGCAAAAAGTGTTTCCTCTCTTTCTCCGCAGTTGAAGAGACGCCTCTCTTTTTTATTGTTATATTTGATAAAATTTTAAGAAGAGTAGATCGAGGAGCAAATCGACCTCTGCTCGGAGCTACTGTAAATTTTCACACGCGCGTGCAACTTTGACGGCGTGTGTGTTGCTTGCAGTATCAAATTATCTAATTATCTAGCGAGTGCCCTGGCACGGTGTCTCGGTTTTGCTCTGGCTGCTCCGCTCGTTCTTTCTCCGCGCCGCGAAAAGGAATTAATTGAGTGTGTATGTGTGTGCGAAGGAAAGGCTGTAAACCGGCTGACCAAATTGTTTGTTCTCTTTAAACTCCAATTCACAACTGGCCCGTTTAGACCCGTCTTAAACTCTAATTGGCGTCACGATTAACGAGCAGCAAGAAATTTAATTGGCAGCTCCTTTTTTTTCAACACTCGCAAATATAATTTAGTGGAACGCCATTAATTAATTGATTGATAATTTTCTTTCTTTCTATTTTTAGAAAAAAAGGTTAATTATTTTGCTTGCTCGCGAATTTCGTAATGCAGATTTGAAAAAAATTCTCACGCGTCTCTCTCTGCAAAAGAGAGAATTGAAGATGTGCAATGCAACGGCGACAAGTAATAAATACGCTCGCGGTGTCCGATACCGAGAAATCGAAAATGCACTCGCGGTAACGGTTCGCGTTACAAAAGATCAGGACGAAACCAAAGAACCTGTTTGCACCAGCAGTCGACCGTCATTGCTTTGTATAATGGGCTGAAAAGAGAGAGAGGCGCATCTTCTCTTTAACAAAAGATTGCGTTGTTCCGTCTGTTGTCGGAATAAAACAATAAATGAATTCACACTCGATCGGTTTGCCACTCTGATAGCGGCCAAACAAAACTATTTCGCGGTTTTCTCCTCCATTGGTACACTTTTCAGATGTGATCGATTTTCGCCCGCGGGGAAAAATTTTATTGTTGCACCATCGAGATTAACCTACATTGCGATTATTAAATTAATTAACTGAAGGACAGAGAGATCGTGAATTTAAAGACGGTCGAAGTTACATCAGTAGAAACCTCCCTAGCTGACAATGGCAGGAAGTGGGTTTTTGTTTTTGTGCGAGCATATAAAAGATTAACGTGGAAAAATAAATACATATCACGGTCGCCGCAGCAAAATGTTTTTAGCACCGAGAGTCTTTCGAAGTTTATGCAGAGAGGCAGCAAACTAGCTCACGTACACAGACTGCAGTGCACGCGCCATATGGCTTTAATTGAGCACAAGAGCATAAAGCACCCTTGGGGCGCTCTCTCGATTTTGTCCCAAAGAAAACGGGCCATCTGGACGCCTTGCGCGGAGGAAGCGCCGTTTCACACTCGGCTGAACCCGCAAGAATTTCAAAACTTTGCAGTTTCCTGCCGCTGACCCATCATGATTTTTTTTCTGCTAACATTTATTTTGCCGATTTTTGTCGCCGATCGAGGCCACACACAATGCATGCAGTCGCGGCACAGAGATTTCTTGCCGCCGGGCGCCCTCACACCTACGGCTCGAGCGCAATTTACCAATTTATACGCGCCGGTATGTCGCACTCGCACATGCCACTTTAAGTCTCGATTCGCAAGGTAATTTTTACAGCTGCTTAAAAGGTAGCTGGATTAAATATAAAACGGTATCAATTGAGGCAAATCTTTCGGACACACAAAGAAATATTTTTTTAAGCTTAATAAATCTTTCTATTTTCTCTTGTAAAAGTAATCAAAATGTATTTTTTAATTTATGAATTATATTTTGCGGTAGAGAATGTCCAGTAAAATATCAATAAACATAATTTTAACGTAAAGAATAACAAATTATTTTTAACAAAAAATTAAATCATTGTACAAATGCACAAATTTGTAGACGCAACTCTTTTCGATTAAGAATTAATTCACTAACCATCTTGAGAGATGAAGAATAAAAGTCTCAAAATTAAAAAAGGGCCAATTTACTCGAATGTATCATTTGGTGCGCGCCGCCTCTCACTTGCTCTCGCGCGCGGTGACTCATTTTCTTTCCTCCCGATCTCTCCAAAGCGTTTATTTGAGGCCGAGTGCCAATCAACATGCATTAAAAATTAATTAATTTTTAAACTATAATTAAATTTTGGAAATAAAAAAACCAAATTTTCATCGATACGTGTAAGAAAATAAAAATATTTATGCAATAAAAGTGGGTGAATTTTCAAACATAAATGCACCGAATAAAAAGTCGTCTCAAAATTGAATTATAAAATGTTTCCAATAAAAAAAGAAAACCTTTTTGGGTCCATCCTCGTTGATGTACTCGTCAGCCATGGCGATTTTGGTGGACATTGCAGAGAATCAGACAGACACCTTTGAAGAGCGCTCGCTCGCAGCACAGACTGCCGGCTGCTCCGCTACTCGCGACGGGATTTCTTCTTCCAGCCAGGATGAGTGAGCAAACGACCGACTGCAGCAGCACACGCATTCAAAGCCCTCTAGCGCACGCCGCCCGCAAAAACCCATGACACACATTATTATGCATCTATCAAAAATTAGGATGCCAAGAGGAGTCGAATTTCCAGAGTGTTTTTTCAGAATGTTTTTTTTAATTCCATTTTCTCTAATTACTTTTTTAAGAGAACTGGGATTGAAAAGAAAGAAATGAAATAACAGTGGATTAATTTTTATGTATGCTCTAGTATTTACATTCTTTTTGCTTGTAGTTCACACGAAAGTAGCGCAAAAGGTGTGTTTTTGTTTTTCGCAATAATGAATTCTCTCTTTTTCCGAAATCAATTAAGTACAGCGGCAACACGTTGAGTAATAGTTAAACCAAGCGAATAAATTAAAACGGCGAACTTGTTCACGCAAGTCTGGAACTGAAAATGCATCAAACTCTGTGTCCTATGGTTCGAAACCGCACTCTAATTAAATTAATCCCAGTCCAACCGGGTTCAGCACTGGCTAAAGAGCGTCTGGTCCGTAAAGTCTGGGTGGAATGATCCGTAAACTCAGAAGGGGAAGGCGCCGTAGGGCGGGAAGTTGACGGGGGTCTTGGGCGACGCGCACTCGTACATCAGCTCGTCGGACTGAAGCTGGGCGCTGTTGAGGGTCGGCTCGGACACCGAGTGCTGGATCTTGGGCAGGGCGTACAGGATGCTGTCCAGAGAGGCCAGGATCTGTTTGAACAGGGGTCGCTGGTCGCGCTGGAACTTGACGCAGTTCTTGGCCAGCCGGCGCATGCCCTTGGGCGTGTCCGGCCGCGCCTTGTTAAAGTCTGGCTTCAGCTTGCCCTGGCCGACCATGAACAAAATCTGGTCCTTGTTCTTGATGTTGCCGTAGGGCAGCAACCCGGCCAGCAACTCGTACAACACAATTCCGAAGGCGTACACGTCCGACTGGAAACTGTACGGCGACTCTTCCTGCATTCGAATCACCTCAGGCGCCATCCACAGAATCGATCCGGCCGGTTGGTGGAACTGCTGCGACCCGGCCCAGTTGGCCTTGACCGTCGCCAGCCCAAAGTCGCCGATTTTCACAGTCAAGTCATCTCGAAGGAAAATGTTGTTGCTCTTCAAATCGCGGTGGATGATGTTCTTGGCGTGCAGGTAGTCCATGCCCTGGGCGATCTGGTGCGCGATCTTGATCAGGTGGAGGAGCTCGAACTTGATTTCCATGACGTGCAAATGCTTGTAGAGACTCGAGCCCTCGCACCACTGCGTCACAATGCACAACTCGGGATCCGAAACGCAGCCCATGAAGAGGAGAATGTTGACGTGACGCGTCTTTTTGAGCACAGCCACTTCGTTCTTGAACGCCTGCAGCTGCGCAGGCGTTGGGTTTTTCACATTCAGGGTCTTGATGGCTACTGGGCCGTGCCAGTGGCCCTTGTACACCGTCCCGAAGGACCCTGACCCGATCCGCTGGCCCTTTAGTAGTTCGTCGTTTGAGATCTCCCAGTCGTCTATGGACTCGCGCGCCGTTCGGATGATGTCCGTCAGTTTCTTGCTGCTCTCGTCTGCGCTCCGCGCTCTGGGTCGCGACCTCATCACTTTGGTCGGTGACACCTGAGTGCTGTGCGTCGCCTTCGGCTCGCCCATTGACGGGATCAGCGACACTGACGCACCCCCATCCCCAGGCGAGTAGTGCGCCCCGTCCCCTCTGTTCTGGCCCGCTTGCTCCACCAAGTTGAAGTACACATTTGGAACTGATGTTGAGTGTTGTTGCGCTAACGTCGGGTGGCCGGTTCGGCCCAGTAGCGGGTCTGGTGATGGAGGATTGAAGTATCTGCGAACAAACAAGAGGATACATTTAAATCAAATGAAATTTCACAATCAAATAACTCCAAGAATGCGAAGAAGTGATCATAATTGTAACTTTTTTGAGATCTTAAAACCCAAAGAAACCACTCGAAACGGGAATTAATTAAATTAGTACTGTGACTCAAGTACTAATTTATAATAATTGTAACGTTGAAAATTTATTCATATAGATTGATTGAGAATTCGATTTATGTCAATTCGGCCCAGCTGTGATTGTTACCTTGGCATACAGACCAAAAAACATTAATTTTCTTCCCTTTTCACGTTGAAAAACTTTTGAAGTTCAATTTTTTTGTTCTTTTTTCCAATTCAACTAATTATTTAATTAATACAAACCTTGAGTCGCCAGGATTTAGAATGCCAGCGATGGAGTCAGGGCCCTGGGCAAGGAGATACTGCAGGTACTTGGTCTGCTCGCCAATCTGTTGGCAGAGCGTGGGCACTTTTGCGGCGCAGCGTTGGTGGAACTTGTAGCCACAGGTGCGGCAGTAGAAGCCCTGGAAGAGTAACTTACGGCAGCACTCGCAGTACGTTAACGAGAAGAAGGTCTTGCGCGCGTAGTTGTGCGAAATGCTGGTTGTGATCGGAAAGTTGCTATTGATCTCCACTGTGATCTCCTCGCCTTCCAGCATTGAAATGTCCACATCCCATGCAATTGGTATTTTCGTCTCTCCCTAAAAATCAAAATTAAATGTGATCAATTATAACATCAGTTGAATGATCTGATAACTAAATAATATAACTGAGGAAATTGAAAATAATTAAATAAAGATTATTAATTGTTCTATTTTCTATTATTTACAAATATGTTTTTATACATATGTTAATTTTCTTACCTTGTAAACAATACACATGTCTGGGGAGAGCTTTCTGAGGCTCATGGCCTTGGCAAGGGCCTCTCGGACGCTGAGACCAGGTCGCACCTGCACAGAGGTGCGCTGCTGGTTAGGCAGGTGGGCGCGTATCACAGATTTAAAGGGCGAGCACGGCACCACAGCGGGGTAGCTGATTTCATCGTCCTGCGTCACCATAATTGGGTGGATGTTATCGGAGGCGTCACCTTGTGAATTGTTCTCCATTTCAAGGCGGATCTTGCGCTCGAGCTCTTCCTCACGAGCGATGAAGCCGTGCAGCTTTGAGGTGAGCTCGTTGTACTCACTCACATACATTGGCGGTTGGAAGTCAGCAAACTTGGAATTTAACGCCTCAATGTTCTTCCGCGTTATACTGATCAAACTTTGAATGTTCTGCAAGGTCTCCTGCAACGTCTGCAGGTCCTCACTATCCATCGAGCGCGTCGGGCTGTTCAGTGACGGGTTCGAAACCTCATCGTCGTTGAACTCCTGACCGCTCGCCATTTTTAATTAGTTTTTATTCACTTCAATCGTTCAAAAAAAGTACACTTTTAATAGTTTGTTTGTTTCAATGCTAAGTAGGGGGAATGCACTAAGCCTTGGGCTTCTTGGCCTCGGGGGCTGACGCGGGGGTAGAAGAGGAGGGCCTCTTTGCGGCGATGCGCAACTTAATTCGGTACCCGGCGTCTAACTTGCGTTGGCCGGCGGTGTCAATTTTCAGGTAGCTCGTGGTCGAGTACGCAGTGAAGTTGAAATCTTCTTTCACAAATCCTTCGGCGATCAGGTGCGCCAACACCTTTTCCATGTACTCACGCGAGTGTGCAGGAGTTGGAATGTCTTTCAGTCGCAAAGAAGCTTTACCTTTTCCGTACCTGAAAAAAATTGAGAAAAATTAATCAAAATTCAGGATTTGCACATTCCGAACGCACCACAAGTCAAATAGCATGTTTGAGGTAAGCCTGGTTTCATTTTCAAGGGCGTTCCTGACAAGGCGATAGACTGAGACACAGTGCTTGGTGACGTCAACCTCCTGGCAGTTGGTAGGGTGCAGACAGTGGTCGCACATATACCGGCACAGGTCTGAGGGGCCCCACGAGTCGCTGAAGTGCTGTGCGACAATCTCTCGGCGGCACTTGCTTGGCTCCGTGCAATAAGCAAGCATGCACTGCAGCTTCTGCAGGCCAGTCTGCTGGCTGAAGACAAGGGTGCTGAGCCGGAAGTAGTCGGCAAAGCGGAAGTAAAGAATGCACTTGGCAGGCTGCGAGTCTCGTCCGGCGCGGCCGCTCTCCTGGTAGTAGTTCTCGATTGACTTGGACAGGCTGTGGTGCAGCACGAAGCGCACGTCTGGCTTGTCAATGCCAAGGCCAAAAGCGGTTGTTGCCACTACCACCTGCAACTTGCCGTCAAGCCACTGTGTGTGCGCCTTCGAGCGCAACTCGGGGCTCATGCTTGCGTGGTACCATCCTGCTTTGATCCCCCGTTCACGCAGACCCGATGCCAACTCCTCGGTGTCCTTGATGGACAAGGCGTAGATGATTCCCGATTGCCCTTTGAATTCGCCCTTCAGTAATTCCACAACCTGTGTACATTTGCAAGAAAGATAAGTACATTGACGTAATTAAAAAATTTGGCATTTACCTCTTCAAGCCAATCCTTGAGGACCGAAGTCTTGTGTCGAACTTCGTAGTAGAGATTTGGTCGGTTGAAAGGTGCCTTGAGCACCAGGCAGCCCTGCAAGTTCAAGATCTTCTGAACGTCTGTGACGACCTTGTTGCTGGCGGTGGCTGTTAGGCCAAGAATGGGCACATCACTGAAAAGGTCCCTAAGCACCCCAAGGAAAGTGTAATCAGGTCGAAAGTCGTGGCCCCAGTCGGAGCAGCAGTGCACCTCGTCAATGGCAATTCGCGCGATTCTGTCAGACCTGTGCAGTGTCTGCAACAATGACATAAAACTCTTGTTCTTGGCAAGCTTCTCTGGTGCCACAAACAGCAGCTTCAAATCTTCGTCTCCTGATTTTTTCAAAAGCAGATTCTTGATTCGCGTGTTCTCCTCTCGCTTGGTCGAGCCAGTGAGCATTTCAGCACCAACACCAAGTTTGCGCACTTGCATAACCTGCAAACAAGCAAAAATAATTACTGAGCAAGAATATCTAAAAACATTATGTAAAAACAAATAAGATCGCTCAATTTAATGTTTTTTAATATACTTTTTAACTCAGAAATTCTAGCCATGTTCAGTAGCAAATTAATTCCAAAGTAAAAAAATATAAGTTAAATTCATTAAAATAACTATTTTTCAACACTGAATTGAATGACGGAATTATCAAAATACTGTAACAGTAATTAAGTAAATAATTGAAAGATTGAAATTTGCTACAACTCCCAAGACTTGTAAAAATCATAATTTGAGAACAAAAATGTTTCAAGCTAACTGACCTGGTCTTCCATCAACGAGATCAGCGGACTGATGACCAAAGTCACGCCTGGAGACAAGAGGGCCGGCAGTTGGTAACATAGGCTCTTGCCTCCTCCAGTGGGCATAACAAGAATCAAGTCCTGCTTGGACAAAGTGGCGTTCACAGCCGACAGCTGCAGGTGCCTGAATTTCTTGATCTTGAAGACATCCCTCAACTGCTGCTGCACTTGTTCGGACCATTCAAAGTTGGTGCCCGACCAGTCTTTCTGGGCGAGCGTCTTGGACTGGAGGTGCAAAAGCTGATCGCCGATCTGCTCCTTTCTGCTGGCGAGCGCCGCCTGTCGCTGTTTGAGTCGCTGGAACTGTCTGCCGACGTCCTTTAACTCGTCCTCCACCTGTGCCAACTCACGCACTAGACCCTGCTGCTGATCACCATTAGATGGTTCCTCCGAGTCGCTGTCCAGACAAACAACATCGCTCGAGTTTTCTTTCTTTTTTGAACTGGGCCGCACAACTTCTAAGACATCTGAGTCTCGGCTATCGTCGCTCGACATGGTCCCTCCTTGCTGAAGTGACGTCCAACACCTGCCAATCAAAATTGCCTACATTAATTGAAATTCTTTTATTTTTGGCTCGGTGTTATACCTTTGGCTCTAGAGGTTGCGCTGAACATGCTGACAGGTGCAACTTTTCCCTCTTGCGGCTTGCGACAATCAAATTCACGCGTCGTGGCTTTTTCCACCCTGAAAAAAGGGAAAATCCCGATCAAAAAAATTCAAAGTCCGTGAAATTTTTTGCTAGCATCGAGGGACTCCGTGAAAAAATTCACTTAATGCACAGCAGATTTTCAAGATGAGTCGCAACGAAAAAGAGAGAATGCCGTGTTGTCGCGACAACTCCACAATTTATTTTTCGCCATTCGGCGTCTCCGCCGACGACCAAGTTCGCTTCAATTTGCAGCAGTTTAATTAATCTTAGACCTACCAAAGAAGTTGGGAAGCAAATTCGGGCCGATTAACGTCGAATTCTTGCCGGTCGCAACAGCAAGTGGGCGACAGTCGACTTATTAATTCACTTCCATGTTCTGCGTTCGGGCTGCGCCGCAGCTGCTGCGCAAACAGCGTTCACTTGTTACAATCTGAATAAAAAGCGCGAACAAAACTTTTCTTCAAATATTTCGTAGAAACTTTTGGAACATTTTGGACATTAAATAAAAACTGAATAAAACAATTATTATAATTACGCAAAACATATAATCACATAAAAATTATTATTAATATTCTCTGCTGACTGCTTTTATATCACTTTATTTTTTATTATAAGTAAAATATTAAAAATGTATTGCTTCATTCCATTAAATTGAAATACGTTTCTTGTTTTAAGTAGAATACAATATATAATAAAGATTTTTTGACAATAAAAAATACTGAAAAACATTTTGCAATTATTAAGGTTAGAAATAAATACCAAAAAATCCAGAATCAATCATGCACCTTAAAACTACCATAGTCAAATAACAAATCCGCTTTTGTATAAAAATTTATTTTTTCACCAATATACACGGTTAAATCCACCTTATCCTAAACAAATATAGACTGAGAAAATAATGCACAGTGAAAAGCCTACGCCAATGGTGCAGGTGTTGGCACACTCATTAAGGGAGACTCAAAATCTTCAGCTTTGGCAAAACCATCATCAGGGTTGTCGTTTTGAAGCGCCTCCAGTTTGGCTTGCAGACTCTCATACAATAAATGTACATCTGTGTTATGCTAAAAATTTATGCGATAACATTAATAAACCTTTAAAGATGCGCCGCGCCGGCTACGCCAAAGGTTGTAGCGGCCACAAAGAAAACAATGAGTACCTGAGACGTCGGATGAACTGCTTTCACTAAGGTTTCCAGTCTGTTAGTGGGGAGTTTGGCATGAACGTACCAGAGGAGTTTCAACAAGTGGCGGGTCACATTTTCCCTTGCAATTCCTGCAAAGAAGAACTCATCGAAAATCACTGTGCAATAGTCCTCTGCGGAAAATTCGTCAGGATTATTGATCAGCAGCGAAACCTGTTAAAATTATATAAAAATTGTTTATAGAAGTTTGAAAAAAAAAATTTAAATTACCAAAGAGTGGAGGAACGGGTCTTCGAAGGCCCGATCATTTTCGCAGTTGGCCAGCGTGCCAAGGACTCTCATCAGACCAACACGGTCCTTGGTCCGTGCGCAGTGCAGGGTGTAGTACATGGCCAGTATGCTGGCCACACTACTCTCCTGGACATAAGCTTGACATGCGTCCGGAGGGGGGCCTTGACATCATTATTACATAATTTTCCACTGTCAATTAGTTTAATGCTAATTTTATACCGGAGTGCTCAATGATGGTAATAGCAGACTCTCTTTCGTCAGGAGGGAGTTTTGAGTTAAGAGATCGAACCTGGTCATCAACCATCAGGGACATGAGAGCAGGCAGGAATTTTGTCACCACCTGACTGTCTAATTTGGGCTCTCGAAATTCCTGCAAGAATTGTTTTTACAACACAAGTAGTCGGTAATTAAAAGACATACTTGGCTATCAATCATTTGCCAAGCACTCAAGCCCAAGGCCAACATTCTCAGCAGCAGGATAAGGATTGTATTTTCCTAGAAAAATAATTTATTTCATTCACAGTAAAATAATAATATATAGTTTACCCTGGGCATGCTGTCGTTGTTGATAAGGTGAGTAAGGATTTTCATAGCGGAGGTGGCAAGGAAGTTGACTGCGTAAGGGTCACATAAGGTCATGGAAAGGTCACCAAGGACTTGCTCTTGACCCCTTTTTATGCTATCCAGGAAGCCCTGCAGCTCTCTTGAGCGTTTGATGTCCACGTTCTTCTCCCTGATGCATGCGTCCAAGCACCAGGTGAACTTATGACAAGGGTCCACCGATATAATGTCCTTGCAACGATTCAAATAAATTTTGGCCTACGGAAGAACAAAGGTAACTCACTTGGACCTCCAGGTCATGGAGAGCCATCAACAGCTCTGCCCTCAGGGTGCAGTAGTGCACGTTGCGGGTTCGCAGGAACAGCGTCCGCAGGAACTGCAGCACCATGTCGTAGAGGCGCACCGAGTTACCTACCATGTTGGCCAATTTCTGCACCACCTCCCCTTGTCGACGAATCTTTGAAAGTATTTTTGGATTAAATTTCATTTCAAAAAGGTAAGACGCAGGAAGTACTTTTGGTGATGGCGAGAAGAAGAGCGAGTTGAGGTTTTCGTGGTCAAAGAGAACCTTTTCTTTTTCCCGAATGTACTGACTGAGAAGTGGCGAGACCTCATCACCAAACAGAGATTGGTTGTCCTTCCAAATTTGCCGCTTCACCTCGGTGTCTGTGTCGTTGTACAACTCTTGGTCTCTCACCAAGACTTTCAGGTACTTTTCATCGATGTGGGGAGTGTTCCTGAGGATGCACATGACCACAGGTCGTAGGGACTTGACCCTGATGACCGGAAAACTTTTGGCCAGCAGCTCCTTCAACTTTTTGTCCCTCTCCTTGGGCTCCTTCTGTCCAATTTCGTTTATTTGACTTAGAAGTTTCTCTCTCAACTCCTGTTAAATACATGAAAGGAATTTAAGTGTGAAAATTAGGAGTGTTGTTCAAAAATGCCAAAATAAAAACCTCAAGAACCGAGTTGTGAAAATCGAGCCGGCGAACGTCGTGCAAATCAAGGAGCGGCAGCATCGGCCTTAGTGAAGGCAACAGAATTCCATTTTCCATCTTAAAGAAACATATGTAATTTAGTAATAAAAATAAAATATTCCAGAAATAATTAAAACCTGAAAGCTCTCAATAGCTTTGAGAGGGTCGGTGCAGCTTGTGAGGGCGTCTCGGAGGAATACCTGGCCGGGAATGCCGACGTCCTCCAGTCCTCCGGTGGAGCCCGACATTTTCCCGAGCAAAAATATACAAAAATTCTAAAACTTTCTACGACTTTTAATTAAAAACTTTATAATATTCGGCTCCGACGGCTGTCACATCGCCAAAACATAAACAGCCAATTTTGGTTTGGTGACTTTTGGTCTGACGATTCGTAAAAGGGTAGACAACATCCACGATGGCGTCGGCGCGCAACGCAATGGTGCGGTAAGGAGGGCGTGGTGCGTCGGGCGCAGCGTTCGGCAGCGCCGTCTTACTGCAGTGGTAGACGGAGTAGACGGACCTAGAGCAGCGCAGTCGAAGCAATGTTTCTCGTCGTGTGTGTCGTGCAGCGCACGTAATTGTGAGTCAAGTGAATCTTGGGTCCGATTTGCTCGTTCGGCGGCCGACTACTATGCGCGGCCGCCTCGCCAGACCCTTCTAGCCGGCCGCCGCCCGCTCTCGTCGAATCGCCATGTGAAGGTGAGCAGCAGCAACACACCTCCTGCTTAGTGCGTAGTTACCGTTTTCAGCCAATTCGGCCGCCGAAACGCTACCTCTCGCACTCTCAAAATGATCTCGCCGACCCTTAAATCCATTCCGACTAATTTTTTGCCAATTAATCGACCGGGGAGACGCAAAACTCTGCTTGTTGTCGAATGTGCGCGTTTGTTTTGGTGGTCCTGCCACAGTTGTGGGCCACCCGTGGTTGTTGGCCGGGCGCCTGCTTTTTCAACCGCAAGGCCGAAAAGTGGTGCCTGGCCGAGATCTGTGTTACAACCGTAGTGAGCGTGCCGTGTGGCCTTCAGAGGCCGTACACGGCCACCGACCCCTTTCCAATTCGCACCTTTTTTCCATTCCAATTGCGCCCTGCGAATTTCCAATGGTATGTTTTATTTAGCAAAATTTCTAGAACGCAAAAGAGCCTCGGTGCAAGTGGGTGTTTTCCGCGGAGGGGCTGCGCGGGGGTGGCTGAAGCGCAGCGAGAGACGGGGGCGGCGGCCGCACAAGGCCGTTCTTTTGCGCGTCTCCACTTTTCACAATCGCAAAATCAAGCGCACTTCTCTAATTATATATTTCAATTCGGAATTATGTTAGTGGGATAGCAATGTCACGGCCACGTTGCGTCCATTCACTTAATATTTGTGTATTTTTTTATCACTTCCTGGAAGAGACGGCACGTGTCGGTGTAGGTCGGTGGTTCGACGCCCACCTCCGTCTCGCCGCGCACCCCCGACCCGACCTCGTTAACCTACTCCACGGAGCGGGGGTTTGTTTTTATTATTTTTTTTTCCTTCAATTCATTAATGGCTCTCTTACGTCGCAGCCAGAGTATTACGCGTGAAATTTAATAATGTTTTGGTGCAGTGGCACGGGATGGGAGGAAGGGAGACCAATGCTGTCACTCACAACTCGCTTCATTCATCACTCTCGCCTGCCAGCCCAACTGGCCAGATTTCGCCTCCTCTCAAATTGGGCGCCAAACTTTTGCGGAAAAGCTTAATCAATTTGGGCTTTACTTTTTATTGTTTCAAGAAAACAATGAGTTACAGGTTTTTGCTTATAAAATGAAAAATGTTGTTTTTTAATGTGGGTCATTCGGTCATTGGTTGCCGAGTATCAATAATTTTTTATAACGCGATAACATTGCGGTTTATAGGAAGTGGTTTTATTTCGTTAAAATTCAATATCTCATAATAGTTAATTTTTCATAAAAAATTTTGCTCAAGGATCCAGAGATGTTTTAAATAAATATTATTCTTAATTTTTCCTTTTCTTAATCCCAATTTAAGAAGGTTTTTAAATTACCTTACCTCATTATACTATGAAAGGTCCATTTTTGTGTGTGATTGAACTAAAATTTGATTTTTTTTATATGGAAAGTCCAGTTCATTCAAATTAAACGTTATTATTTATTTTGTGTTTTCAGGAAAACTGAGGGCGTGTTTTATATGCGAGCCTCTGGTTAATTCGCAGCTATGGCAGCCAGGGTGGAGGACAACGGCCAGTCCACGGCCGACGACATTGCTCGTTGCGGCAACCTCAAAAAACTAAAGGTAGGTTTTCAAATGCAAATTAAGGGAAAATGGTTGATTTTTTACTATCGACAGACTATGAAGAAGAAATACTTTGTGCTTCGAAGAGAGAGTGCCAAATTACCAGCAAGGCTGGAGTACTACGACTCTGAGAAGAAGTTCAGTGCTGGAGTCCCGCCCAAAAGGTTTGTCCACCTCTTTTTCCACTAGCAATTTTTGAAATAATTGTATTTCCTCCTCAGGAGTATAACTTTGAAAAAGTGCTTCAACATAAACAAGCGGTTGGACACGAGGGTAAAACACTGTCTAGCACTTTATACAAAAGACGATAGCTTTTGTATTGTCCTCGACTCTGCCGAGCAAGCAGACGATTGGCTCAATAAATTATTAGAACTGCAGAACGGCGGCTCCACTGTTCCGGGCGTTGCTCCCAAGCCCACTTTTGGTACCGCTTTTTTTCATTTCTGTAAATATTTTACTTAAAGAATCATTTGAAATTTAGAATTTGTGTGGGAGGTAAAGATGCAGGAGAAGGGGTTGGGCGCCTCCTACGAAATTCTAGGGCCATACCGAGTGTGCCTGACGGCCAGGTCGCTCAGCCTCCTCAAGATGAACTGCAAGGACGAGGCTGATATCGAGCGCAATTTTTACGACTTTCCTGTAGGATTTTTTAATTACCAGCCAAATAGAATTGAAGTAATTTTTTGTAACTTGAAATGCAGCTGGCCAGCATCAGGAGGTGTGGGGCAAGCGAGCGGTTTTTCTACATGGAAGTCGGCCGCTCGAGCATCACAGGCGCCGGTGAATTGTGGATGGTCACCGAGGACAACCACATTGCCCAGCACATGCATAGTGCCATCATAGGGGCCATGTCCAAAAACATCAAGAGCAATCTTGGCGCCACGCCCCCCTCTGCAGACTCTGAGTTGGACTCTCTCGGCCCGAAGCCCCGCAACAGGTCCAGCTCGGCCACAGAGTCCTCCAAGCCCATCCTCATGCAGCAACGCCGTCAGACTCATGCCAACGGTAAGAATTTTCTTTTATTTTTCCTTTCTTTTCCTTCCTTCAAGAAAATCTGCCTTTCTCACTCTTTTATTAAACTGCTCCCTGGTGTTGGTGACATTTTGTAAATATATTGTGTGCGTCGGCAGACTCGGTGACCTCGCTTGGCTACCTGGGAGCAGCCACGCCCAGCACCAACTCTACTTCCTTGCTCTCTTCTCACACTGCCAGCCCAGCTACCACAGACACAAATCTCGGTAAGAATTGCACAAATCTTTCCTTTCTCCAGATGCACTTTTTATCACGAGAAATGCTTCTTTTTAGCAATTTTCAACATACTTTTTGATTTTGTATATAAAATCCATGTAATTTTAACAAAAAAAAATCCAGGTGACAATGTTTGATACATTCTCATTTTTTGCTACTTATCAATATATGTTTATACTTTATAGTTTCATTTGGTTGCTAAATTTATTTTTAACATGTTTCCGTCTTAAAGATAATTAAAAAAAATTAATAAAGGAAAAGCTTGGATACGATTTTCAACATGATGAGAGCCTCACGTGGAAAATTCTTTTAATAAATAAATGAAAAATTACAATTATGCTATTATCATGGAATCCATATTAATTGTTGCTATAAAAATAATTTGTTTTGGCAGGTTCAGAGACGAGTGGAAGCCGTGAACGGTGTGACTCGCTGCCATGCGCCCCACGCACGCGCACCACAAGTGAAGGTTATGTTCCTGCCTCCAGTGCCCCGCACCACCACCCCCGACTTCTTGGACACATGTCCGGCCAACGGCCAGCCTCGATGTACGCCAAGCCTTCGCCCCCCATTGACTGCTCCCCCGTCAGCCCCACGTCCGCTGGCTGTTCAACAGACAGCGCCGGGAGCTCGCTGTCCATCGACGAGATCGACGGCAGCATTCCCTGGTCATCAGACCACCAGCGTCCACATGTAAGATTTTTTTACTTTCCATTCAAGCTAAAATCTGTTCTTATTTTGATAATTTTGGTCCTAATTTCAAAACTTACATTAGTTTTATTGATTCAAACCACTCTTATTATTTTTAAACGCAATTAAAACATATTAGTTTTACTGATCAAAATTGTCTTATTGAAATATTTTCATCTTTTTTTTTTCAGGGGCGTAATAGTTTAAGTGATAGCGCAGGCGGCTTTACACCGCCATCGTCACGGTACTCAGCACTTGACAATGGGCGATACAAGAGCCTGCTGTCGCCAGACGAGTCAATGGCATGCCCCATAGCTGAGGAAAGTCTCACAGACTACATGCCGTGGAGCCCTCACGAGGAGGACCTGCAGGAGTATGTGCCCATGGAGCGGCAGACCAGACTCAATCTGCCCCTTGTATCCTCAATCAACAACAACAATAACAATAATAATAACAACAACAAATACGATACCTCAAAGACTGCCGGATCACCCTCCGAAGTAATTAATTCGCTTTTTGTCCTGTCTTGCTTTATGCTTAATTTTTATTTTTGATAAACAGGGATGTTACATGGACATGAGCATCAACAGTCCAAGCAGCTCGTCTCCCTTGGAGACGACTGGTGGCTACATGGTCATGAGCCCAGGGGCTGATATTACTCCTCAGGCGCCACAAGCGTCAACCTTTACCCTGGGCATGTTCAACATCTCGTCGGGCGCAGGCAGCATTTCCTCAGCAAACCACAGTCGCGCGTCCAGCATGGCTGAAGACACCCCACTTGGTTATGTGCCTATGCTGCCCATGTCAATGCAGCATCGTCAAGAGTCATATGTCGACCTAGACCACAGCAAAGGTTGGAATTAAGTCAAAGAACTGCTTCCTCATTTTCAAATAATTAAACTCAGGTTCCATCGGAGGCAGCAGCTGTTCCCTGACCTCGGGAACACCCTCGATGACCAACACTGGCGATTTCAGCCACCCATACTCTTCAGAATTTCATCTTGAAAAGGTATGAAATCTTGTGTTGATAGGATGAAAAAATCCACAATTGTCCTTTGTACTCAATTTTAATCAGTAATTGAAACTATTGGATATCCAAAGGAAAAAATTTAAAAATTTAATCTCTCTTCTTCTCAGTGATGTGCCATGACCACCTGTTTCCTGTTTATAATTATCCACGTTTGAATAATTTGTCCAATTCTAATGTTGAACTTTTTTCTTAATTGTCTCAACACAGACAACAAGACGGAAGTCCTTCAATTATTTTTTTTCCTTTAATTGTCACAGGTGAGTTCGTATTTTGTGCCGTCTGAAGATGAGGAGGAGCACACGTCAGTGTCGCAGCCGAGCCTAGAAGTTTCGCAGCTGCGGCCAGCAAGAGCATACTCACTGGGCTCTCGGCCTGAGGTTGTAAGGCCGGCGGCCATAGCAGTCCCTCGAACCGAGACTCGGCCAATGAGCGCCAAAACTCAGATGCACCGCAGCCCGTCTCGCAACCGGAAGCAAACCGCGCCACCCTACCTGTCAAGTTCATGGTCTGGCTCGGGGTGTGTGATGCCTCCAAGCAGCGTCGCCGGCCGACGCCTGCAGACCATCCAGCAGCAGCCCCAGCCGCATAGACACGACGAAGACGACAACTTCAGCCTACTCGACTTTTCCAAGGCGGACACTGCGGACGATTGCTACGTGGAAATGCGCGTTGACTCAAAGCGCAGCCAGCCAATCAACATTGGAAGTCAGCCCAAGTCCTCCATCAGCCCTGGCTCCTTCTCCCTCTCGGGCTTCCTCTCAAGGAAGAGCTCGAACAGCACCCCTCCCAAGACGGCCGCATCCACCGCATCAGCGACAGCAGCCGAGCCCTCCACCTCCTCCTCACCCTTTTCTTCCCTTCGGAAACAAGCGAAAAAGGTCAGTACCCTAGTTAGCTAACTAAAATGATATCAACCAGCTAGTTTAACAAATTAGGCAAATTATACTTTGTTTGTAGCATTTATGAAATGTGAATTTATTTTGCGTTTGTTTTGATTGCAGTCTAAAAGACATTCAGAGTCAGCGACCCCGGTGGGCGTGTTCCTGTTCAGTCCGTCGACGCCGTCCAAGTCGCTGGTGCCGGAGGAGCAGTTCGCGCGGCTCAACGTGGATTGTGGTGGCGGAGAGTCTGTGATAGAGCAGCGGCGCGTGGGCACGGTGCAGAGGCCGGCAGCAGAACAGCTGCGGCCGCGAAACTCGGCATCCGAGTCTGACTACGTGCCGATGCAGCCGTCGTCCTTGAAGCGGGACGACGCGGCGCCTCGGAAGGCCCAGTCGGAGAGCGTGCTGACCAAGGACGACAACTACGGCGAGGGAAACTACGCCCTGATGACCGCCAAACCCAAGGTCAGCAAGGCCCCTGTTCAGCCCAAGGTCCAGCCTCAGCACGAGGACTACGCCATGATGGAGATGGCGGTCGGCGGACTCGCGCCCGCCTCCCCTGACCCCAAACCAGTGCCCACGGCCCTGGACATCATGGCGGCCATCCCGCCCCTAGGCCCTTCCGAACTGGACACGGACTACGCGTTGATGATGCCCGGCGACGGCCGCACCAGCCCTGTGGTCTACGAGCCTGACCAGGCCAAGTGCCACGCCTCCCTGGAGGTCAAGGTCAAGGTGGACGAGGGCGACTACGCGGTGCTGGCCAAGGATGATTACGTGGTGATGACGCCGGCCATCAAGCCGCCCATGCTGCTCAGCACCGAGCTGCACCTCAGCCACCCCCCGGCCACCTCCTCGGTGGCGACGGCGCACAGCCCGGTGCTGGCCAAGGAGCCCCTCGAGGCCAAGACAACCAGTCCGCGGCCCCTGAAGCCGCCGCCGCAACTGCCAAAGCAGCCCGAGCTCAACTACGCCTCGCTGGAGGACACCGAGGAGGCCCAACAGCCCCTCTTCCTGCGCAACCTCTCGTCGGACAGCTCGGGCGAGTCGGACGCCACCACCGTGTGCAGCAGCTCGACGCAGGCCCCTCTGCTGGGCACCCAGTACGCGCAGATCGACTTCGAACGCACCCAGCAGCAGCAGCAGTGCAAGAAGAAGCAGCAACAACCAACGACGGCAGCTGTCAAGAAGAGCAAAGTGCAATAACGAGCAGCTCTCTATTAAAGGTCCGCTCGATTTCCAATCGGGGGGGTCTCTTGACTTTGCCTCGACTTTGTCTCCCCCGGTGTTGAAACGATTCCAACGGTGCCCAGTTTAAAAAGTTTGCGCGAAATTTATATTAGTCTTTGTTATAAACGAACGTCGTCTGCCTCCCATGTAATTAGAATTAAAAAAAAAAACGTAATTTAGTGAACACAAACTCGATAACGCAGGTGGACGACGAAATGGGAATCGTTTCTCCACTTGTCACGCGAGTGGAAATCCCCTGACTGTGAGTTGGAAGGACCTTTAAAGTCACTCACACACTCACGCGCTATAACTCTTCTCTTTTGTACGCAAAGTAATTGTATCGAATAGTTTTGTTCTCTGTCTTGAGTCATTTTTCGGACGCTTGCAGTATTCCAGCTGCTTTTACACTCCGTTTTACCTGTTGATTTACTCCCCGTCTCTTGTCCTGTCCTTGGCTCTTTTTTTATAACCTACCCCTATGTGTATAATGTTGATGACAACCACACTCGCCGCCCCTTAAACGACCAACTTTGTTTCTAGCCCCATTTTTAACCCTCTTGTTTCTTCGTTCCCCTCTATATATATGAATATAACACCCACACACATAACAGACACATTTGGAAGACGCGTTCACTTACAGTCGCTGTTTTTCTTTTTGTAAATATGTATAAGAGTAAATATGGAAAGTCACACTCTCGTTACAATTGTGTGAAATGCGATATATTTCAAATAAAACATCGTGAAGTGTATACAAGATTAAAACGCACCCTCTTTCATTTCAAAAAAGTTTGATGTTCGCAAATCGGTTCGATGTGGCTTTGGAGGTGCAGTTCACCTGCTCGACCGGGAACATGAACTCCAAGGGCACGTGGTACTTGGCCAGTTTGTCGCGCAGGTACGAGAGGACGGCGGCGCCGAGTGGTTCGGGGCGGCGGGACATGATTATTGAGGAAAGGTAGCGCGGCGTCTGCTTCTTCTCGGCGCAGTGCAGCAGCAACATCCAGTCTTTGTAGTCCGTGTCCAGCACGTACGTGTTGTACACCCCTTCGTCTTGTTCAATCAAAAAGTTTTCGGTGAAAATTATAAACATCAAGCCTTGTTTTTTTAAGCAATTTATAAAATTTATTAGCTAAATGACTTATTTTTAATTTTTTTATATATAATTAATTCTGATGTAATTTAAAACTTTTCCAATTTTCATATTGAATTCAAAAATTTGTGTCAAAAATTTATTTATTATTTAATTTTTTTTTATAATCCACTTCTTTTGATACTCACATGGTTGTTCGGCGTGCTCCCAGTGTGCCGGATTCTTGATGTCAGGAATGACCCAGGTCATGTTGCCCTGCAGCATGTCGGCGTCCGGGTCATCAATGTACCCGTACTGGAAGGTCATGATGACCCTGGCCGACAGTCCTGTGCCCTCGACCTTCATCTCGCCGCGCATGCAGTGGTACGCGAGGGCCTCCTCCGAGCTGGCAAAATACTGCTGAAACGCCCAACCTCCCTCGATCTGTTTGAAATATAAATATATTTTTTAAATATAGAAATTCAAAGGTGGAATTCCTACCCTCGGGAGGTCGAAGAAGCGCATCGGCTTGACCTTAGGGCACAGGGTGTCGTCGATAATTTTCGCTTTCCGCGCGTTCGTCATGATGACTCCATTGGCCAACGAAATCAGACACGCGGAGAGCAGCAAAGATGGACCCAAAGTTTTCATTTTTATTGAAATTAAATCGTTCAATAGAGTAAAAATAAAGAGACACACCGTCTTGGTCGAGAGAGTGAATGAGAGAAAACAACGCAGCAAATGAATAAAGCAGAGATAAAATCCTCCCACGCGAAAAAGGCTGCGAGCTTCTTGCATACAAATCGTGGTTTCCTGGCAGACCAACAACTTCTTATCGCGACAAACATTACGCACATGCGACTCTCTTGGAAATGGAAAGGATATTTTTAATAATATTGTATCACAAAAGGATTTTAGTGTTTTGCGAAAAATGTGGTTTGAGGTTTTATTTTGTAAATATAGATAAATTTTACCCTAATTTCCGAGAATAAATGTTTAAATGCGCCATAGCAGATCTTATAGTTGTTATGATTCATATCAAAATTTAATCAACAATATCTTATCAATGGGATATATTAAATGTGCAGCGGATTGAGAAATTTCAAATTGGAATAAATATTTGGTTAAACAAAGACAAATCTGTTGTATAAAAATAATAACAGTAACACTTTTTATATTATTTTGGTCTTTTGCTCCCACAAAAAAATAAAAAAAGGAATGCTGTGAAGTTATAATTTATTCATCTTCATCAAATAAAAAAGAATCTGCCATTTTTAAATACACCCATTAAAATAGCAAATTAAATAATTGCAAAACCGCTGCTTTTTTTTCAAGATGACTTAACTATAGGCTGCAGTTAAGAAAGCTTCAATAGTAATAAAAATTTTAATCTCAAAGATTTTTTTCTATATGCTGAGGGAAACATTGTAGAGTTCAGTAGAGCTTGATAATAAGCGGCTTAAATTTTTCATTCATAAAAGGCGAATCGATGGGATGCTGCGCGGAAAAGCAAAAAATTGAAGCGCGACCGGGCAGAGAAAATTGCGAATCGGAATGTGGAACAAAGAGGAATTTTCCCTTACATAACTTAACGAGACCGTCACTCACACAAACACGCGCGCGCTTAACAGAGATTTATGTAGGTTAGAGATGCGCGCGCGTCAGTCAGTCAGTGACCGCATCTCTTCCAGCATCTCGACGACCGCTTACATAAAATTACGTGTAAATGCGAATTAAATGGAGAGCCAGGTGATCAACTAACTGCAAATAAATATCCCTCGTCAGGCCCCATTTAAGTTCATGGCACGCGTGAAATTATTGATTGAACTCATTTTCACACACCAATGTGTTTCTTCTGCATATGTGAGGAAAAAAGAATTAATTTTAATTTAAATATGTGAAAATGTGAAAATTAATTTCCAAAAATATGGATTCCTGTTTTTCTTTTTTAATTGGGTGAAGATATAAATTAAATATTCTTTCGTATTAATACCAACTTTTAATTTGCTACTTTCAAGATTGATATCTGGTCTGAATCACGCAAGACGAGCAACTAACTATTAGACAGGAATAAGCGGTTCTTTCTGCGATGAGGCAAACAGATCGAGCAGCGCCGATTTCAATAATCACAAAGTGCGCGCGAGTGGTCATCAATCTTGCCATCCAGTTTTTCGCCAAAGTGCCGGAATTTTTCGCAGTCACCTCTTGGTGCTCCATTTATTTTTTGGCCCAAACCAAGAGTATCTCTATTGGCAAAAACCAGTTTGCCGAAATGACCTCGCGAATTTCGCTAGCATTGAATGATTCTAGCTTAGCAGAAGAAGTGGTGGCAATAGAGACAATAAGCATAATTCAAGAGAGGCGTGTGAGAGTCGATCGATTGAGGATGGGATTACGGACGGAAAATGATAACGGGGAGTCGAGAGATCAATTTTGAATCTGGCCCACGGCTCTCATTGTCTCTCGGTTGGAAAAGCGATGCCGCAATTAAAAGAGAGATGCAAACAGTTAGACTCGATTGTAAAATGTAAAAAAAAACTTGCAAACAATGGATTAGAAAATTAGCAAAAAAATGTTTATTTCCTTAAAAAGAACTTGATATTTGCGTTGGAGAACCAATTTTTATAAAAATAACTTTGAACTTTAATGTTGATTAAATTAAATTATTGCAAGCTCTGATTTACATTGGAATGCTCAGTGGCCTGGATTCGGCTGGTTGACTGGGCACTCGAAAAGTGAATTTCGCACGAATCGAATGGATTTTGGCGAGGAAATTTTCGAGCCGAGCGGATCCCCACCCAAGGCTGGCCAAGGGCCGACCGCGAGGAGGAAAGGAAGAAGCGCCGACCGACGGCGGCACAGTTGCTCTCAGCACACATTCGGAGGCGCACACGCGAGAGGCAGCACAAGAGCAGCAGCAGCACCGCTAATCAGCAGAAGAGAGCCTCAGCAGCCGCTGTCTCGCTCGCGCGCAGTTACTTCCAGACACCTGCGCCAGCCGCTTTTGGACATCCAAAGCTCAGCACACACAATCGTCGCACACACAACGCCGCTCAGGTAACAAAATCACCTTTCATCTCAAATTTATATTCCTTTAAAAAAAAATTTAACTGTCGAAAGTGAACTTTTGGAAGGCTAAAATTTGCAGAAATACTATTATCAATGCAATTTATTATTTACAATTTTTTAAGGGCCATAATTTTTCTGTCAAGTATTTAAATTTTGAGTTAAAAATTATAAAAATAAATAATAATTATTTCTTCCATCTAAAAAAATGAGTGAATATTTTTATATTGCTGATTACGGGTGTTTCATTTGGTTCGGTTGTGGTGGCAGGTGCACGTGTTATTTCGCGAACGGTCTGAAAAGTGTTCATAATTGGGGAGGAAGTGAATTGGCCTTTGGTCTCTGAGTGATCCGCCGCCGATGGTCTGGTCGTCGCCGTGTATCATTGAGCGCTAACGGTAAAGCCGATGCGAGAAACAAAAGCAGATGCCCCGTCCGTCCGTCCAACCTTATTTCTTTTTGCTCCATGTGGTCACTCTGCCCTGGTCACCTCCTCATTCATCTCTGTCCATTGCGGAATTCCTTAAACTTTTTGCTGCTCAAAGTCCTGAATGAAAAAAAAAAAATAAAAACATTCCGATCCAATTAGAACCGAATTTAAAATCGATTAATAATTATACTGGTGATCTCGATGCTGCTGAATTATTTTGTCAATTAAAATGCAATTAAAAGTAAAATTTGGGCGCCGCTGGGAGAATGTGGGTTAGTCGGGTCGGTCCATTGAGTGGCGGCGGCACGAGAGGATTGCGAGACGAATGGCGAATTGTGTGTGTCCTGGTGGCCCACTGCTGAGCGCCGCCGCCAAACTCGCGCGCCGCTGACGAGCCATTGTGCCGAGATTTTCGCATTCGCCGCGCAACTGAAACCCAATCACGAAAGTGAAAAACGGCAAAACTGCGGTTTTTTTATTTGGTAATTTAATTATTTGCTCCGAGGAATAGGAAACGGAAAAATTCGCCTAGGGCCAGTCGGAGGCTCTAATTTAAAAACCGCTATAATTGCGCCGGCCTTTGAACGCGCTCCGTGTGTGATTTGCCTGAATGATAAAAAAAAACTTCGCATACATTTTAATTTTAAAAAGCTTCATTCAAAACATTTTGAGGAAATATTACTTTTCGATTGTGGAGAAAAAAAACTACTTCCCAGGTTGAAACAATTAAAGGAATTTTTTCTCGCGGCCGGTATTGTCGTGCGTGACCCTGTTACTGAATTATTTTTAATGCCGAGTCCAAGTCCAATAAAACGCCCACCCCGTTTCCGTGTGCATGTTTTCCCAGATTTTCTTCTTCTTCTTGAGTGACACGATTCACACAGGCGGACAATCTCCAATAACGCTGTCAAATTAAGCATATTGTCAAAACCTTACTCTCGTTTCCCACATAAAAAAAGTAAAGTGCTCTGCGAAATTGGGTGACTCTTTTGAGAAGAAAAATCAGCATGTGTGTGTTTTTAAGTTGAGTTTGATTTGAGCGGGGCATCAAGCAGAGCATGCCGGGGATAACAGGTGTGATGGCGAACACCGTTATGAGCGCGCAGCCTTATGATGATATAAGCAATTTATAATGCCTGCTGGCGTATGTGTGTGTGTGTGCGAGAGAGAGAGAGAGGAACATAACCGACTCTTTGCTCTGGCCCTCCTAGATCTGCTGCCACACCGGGACTCGGAATTAAATTGTTTTCCAAATAAACGGCCATTATCAGAAATGTGGAGACCCACCCAAAAAAGTCAAAATATAATAATTTCGTATAAAAAGAAAATTATCTCTTTAATTTAGCTATTCAAACAAATATAATTTGATGCAACAAAATTGGGCGAAATTATGTTATTAGAACAATCTTTTATTAAAAAATTGAGTTTTGTAATTTGAAATTTTAATGTTAGTCTTTTATTTATAAATTTAATTACAATATTATTATTTATAATAATTTTTGTTTAATATACTGTATTTTATTTTATATTAGTTTGAAAAAAAGTATATTATGTGTACATTGAAAAAAATTACAGAGTTAGCACAAAGTAAATGTGGAAATTAAAAAAATAGCTTTTAAAAGTATCAAAATTTAATGTTTTATTACTTTGTTGTGAGGAATTTGCATTTGAGTTAACTCAATTAAGTTTTTGCACCGCTAGTCTGGCAAGTGAATAGGATGTCGCTCATTTCTCTCTCCACGCACCATTGGCCTCGCTCGCCACTCGGCCGTGTAAACACAGACCTTCTTATATATTATAATGTCTTGTTGCATGCGTACTTAAGCAAGTGGACGCGCTGCTAGTACAACAATTTGCATGCAATTCATACTTCCGAGCGGCGCGGAATGTGTGTCATAAAAATATATTAACTCGGAATTATAGAGTGTGTGAGAGAGAGAGGGATTCATTCTTTCTCTCTCTCGCTCGCTCGCTGTTGGCGAACGTTATTTTTTGTTAATTGGCGCAACCTAGATAATCCATCTCTCTGCTCTTTCGTTCGGTTCTTAATTTTTTTCGCTCTCTTCACGCCGGCGTAGCCAAGTGGGTGCCTTTACCCTGCGCTCGCGAGTATAAAACTTTCCGTTAAAAAGTGCAGCCGGCGTGCAATGACCAAATATTCGCCAATTAGCACTTCTTGCTGCCGCATGCAATCAGAATCACACCGCCGGGCAGGAAACGCCGAATTCAATTTTCAGCAGCGTGGCACAAACCTTAAAACGTACATATGATATGCCTTCAATGAAAGAAGAATTTCACCGTTTTGGGCCCTGTAAATGTTGTTGGGGAAAGTTTAAAAAAATAATAAATTTTTTTACCAAAAAAAGGGGAAATTTTAATCCTTTACATAATTTAAATAAATTTAACAGATTGATTGAATAACTACGTACATGATTAATCTTCTTTTATGCTATTAAGGAATTTGTTGGTATCGGAATGAAGAAATTTAGGTATATATTCAATTATTTCGTGGCTCTTCTAGCGGCTTATTTTCCTCTACATTTGCCCTCGAGCGTTTAATTTTGTTGCCGAGAGTAGATTTGAAATCTCTTATTCTTTTTATTTGTCCAAGTGATTATCCGTTTCCAATCACTTTGCCGGACGCACGGTGAGCGTGTAACTGGCCATTACACGCGGTCGTTTCGTTCCCAAGCACTCTTCGTTCCGTAATCAAATTACCGCCGCCGACTCTTTCGACGCCTCATCACGTAGGAAACAAAGGAGACGTTGAATTATTACGTCTCTCGCATTCTTGAGAGTCGACGCAGATGAAACTATGTAGGACGCGAGCAGAGAAATAAAGAAGGAGGAAGCGAATTTGCATAGGCACACACATGACACTCTTGTGACAAACGGTATTTAATCCGAAATGCCATGATCTGGGTGCGTCTTCACTAATTTTCACCTGTGCCTCACCGGTATAAATATAAATCATTATTATTATTTTTTTTAAATATTCTCTACAGAAATTTACCTTTTTTTTGCTATATAAACTTTTTTTAACTTTCTTTAGTCGAAAAGTAGATCAATTGATAACTATTAATTTTTTATTCTAATTATTTAAGTTTTTAGAGCTGCTCTGAAAGTTCACTGATGTGATCATTATGATTACCTCGTCTCCATTGTACGTGTCTAATTTGTGTGTCTCTGTGTTATTGTTACAGGTGTTGCTGACAATGCTATTGAGAATATTAATCGTCACGGCCCTGCTCGCCCAGGTATGAAAGAACACGCGCATTCTCCACGCCTCGCTTTTTGTCATTCGTGTCGCGCTCTTTATTGCTCTTTCACATTTTTATTTGTATCTCACTGTGAGATTATTAAATAAAACCCCATTTTTCATCGAGACAAAAGTCGGGATCGGGCGTTAAAGTCTCTGAGAGAAAAATTCGGTCTAGAATGCGGGTTACATAATTTAGAGGCTGCGTTGCGAGGAAGGACGCGCGGTCCAGCGGCTGGATCTTGGCGACCGGCTGCGGTAATAGGAAACGCGCATGCACACTTGACCCAGTAAACCTTTGAGGAATGCCGAGTACCGCGCGATGCTGCCGCAGGCGCGATGCCCAAATGACCTCCTAATCCACGCGAGAGACGCGACTGCTGCTCCAGCGACCGCAGCCTCTCTCGCAGCAACAACGCGCAATTACAAAAAAAAACTTCCACTCCATTCATTCGGAATTTTTCATTAAATCCCTTGTTAATTGACCAACGAGCGATTAACACTTGAGAACAAATTCTTTTGCGGAAAATTGCTTCGACATTTAAAACGGGATTAAAATGGACGTGTTTAAATGTGGAATGAAATGACCACAAAAATTTAAGCAAAATATCACTTCCTTGTTTTCAAAATAAATCAAATTGAAGATATTTTTGTGATAAAAATTATTTCTTCTTGGTTTAAATTTTAAAATTATGTTTTCTTGACAATGTGTATGCAACCAGCGCAACAATTATTGTGTAACTTTTTGAGATACTAATTCTGTCTATTTTTCTCAGATTTTTTTACGTACAGTAATTTAAAATTTAAATAATATATTTTTTAATTTTTATGATATGTGAAATAAAATAAATATAAGCTTTATTTTAATTTATTATAAATCATTTTTTGTGGCAACAAGAGAGCAATGAAAATATTTTAAATATCTATGCTACCCTAGCTACAATTTGACTTGAGTGATCATTTCAACTTTGTTTCGCTTTTTGTTCTATATTAATTTCGTGTATTTTTCTCACAATTTTCCTCAATAATTTAATGATTTTCCTTTCTTAAAATTAAATTATATAATCGAAATTAATAAAATAAACACACACAAAAACTATATATTTCATTTATATAATTTCTTCTACTTCTTTTTTGTTTTTATTCACTTGAAATTTGATTCAATAGGGCCTGGTGGGAGAAGAGGTTGTGGACAATGAACCTGAGGCGTCCGAGGTGGAGAGCGTGCAAGCGGAGGAGCTTCGGCCGCCGCTGCCGCAGCCCAAAGTGCGCGGCCCCGACCCAGCCGGCGACAAAATCGACCTCGGTCCGCTGGGCCCATTGGGCCAGATCGGAGGCCCGTTGGGCGGCCCCTTCGGAGGCGGCCCTCCGGAGGCGTGGCAGGGCGACATGCCCAAGATCGTGCAGCTGGACGTCAAGTGCGAAAAGAACTTCATGAAGGTGCTGCTGGTGTTCGACAAGCCCTTCTACGGCATCGTCTTCTCCAAGGGCCACTACAGCAACGCCAACTGCGTCCACCTGCCCGCCGGTCTCGGCAAGACCTCGGTCAAGTTTGAGGTCGGCATCCACGCGTGCGGCACCCAGGGCAACACCGAGAACGGCCTCTATGGCTACGGCGCCGACTCGGGCAGCGGCACCTACTTCGAGAACACAATCGTCGTCCAATACGATCCTCAGGTCAGTTTTAATGATCAATTTCAAAATTGCAATTGGTTTTTATTTGATTTTCTTATTATTAATATGGCACCAAATTCGGTAAAAACAAGTTCATATTTAAATAACTTAGTGAATTATTCTAATTTTCCTTTATAATATTTATTTAATTTCCTGAAAAAAGTTTTGAATTCAATAATTTGCAGAAAGTGAAGTTATGTAGTAGTTTTCTTTGTTTTTAAAGTTGTATGGCCTAAATATAAAATATAATGATTTTATTTTTGAGACTGAAATCAACAAAATATCAAAGCCAAAGTAGAAATCGCGTTCAAAAATTTATCTTGAAGCCTCTAAACCAGGAAGTTTCAAAACTTAACCAAAACAAATTAATTTTAACAAATAGTTAAATATTAATACAGAATGTAAAAATGCCAAACCTGGCTTAAGAGTGTAAATTTTTTGTATTTAAATTCTTAATTTATCCATACCAATTTTTTGACTTTCATATACAGGAATAAAAACTTGACTGAGATATTATTTAAGTAGCTAATGATCAAGATTTGTGTCCGTAAAATTTTTAACCCTTGACAAACTCCCATAAAATTCTATAAAAAATCTATGTTTCAATTTTGCCTTAAATTTGAAATTTATATTATTTACTTAACAATCTGTATGCAATAAGCGCATATATAAAGTTCTTGCTACACTTTTAACTGTATTTAGATATTGATTCCGTATATTTTTATCACAGTTTTACCGCAATAATTTTAAATTTATAATCATTAAACTATTTTTTAAATTTTATTATTATGAAATAACTATAAACATTGCTTAAATTTTATAATTTTTCTTGTGGTAAAAATTAGAGCATTTAAAGTTTAAAAGGATATTTTTATTTTTTAATGCGTATGCAACCCGCGCAACAATTGGACTTTGGTGATAATCTCAACTTAATTCTATATTATTTTGTTGTATTTTTCTCATAAATTTTCCACCATAATTTGACTCCGATAAAAATAAAATCAACAGGCAAAATCTTTCTCTTGCAAAGATAAACCACGGAGTAATTTGTAAAAAAATATTATTCTCAATTTTAATATTAATTTTTTAATTTTTCTGCGTTTCAGGTGCAAGAGGTTTGGGACCAGGCGCGCAAATTGCGGTGCACTTGGCACGAGCAGTACGAAAAGGCGGTGACCTTCCGGCCGTTCGCCGTGGACATGCTTGACGTGGTTCGGGCGGACTTCGCCGGCGACAACGTCGGCTGCTGGATGCAGATCCAAGTGGGCAAGGGGCCGTGGGCGTCCGAGGTGTCCGGCCTGGTCAAGATCGGCCAGACGATGACGATGGTGTTGGCCATCAAGGAGGACGACAACAAGTTCGACATGCTGGTGCGCAACTGCATGGCCCACGACGGCAAGCGGGCGCCCATCCAGCTGGTGGACCAGCGCGGCTGCGTCACGCGCTCCAAGCTCATGTCGCGCTTCACCAAGATCAAGAACTTCGGCGCCAGCGCGTCCGTCCTCTCGTACGCGCACTTCCAGGCCTTCAAGTTCCCCGACTCGATGGAGGTGCATTTCCAGTGCACCATCCAGATCTGCCGCTACCAGTGCCCTGAGCAGTGCGCCTCGCCCACCCAGGAGCCGGACGAGCTGTATGGCCCCCCGGTCGACCACTACCTGGCCGCCGCCTCCGCCCCCAGCCCCAACGGCCGCCCCCGCGACGAACGCCGAGCCCGACGCGCCACCCCTGACGAGCAGGAGGAGGTGGGCGTGCAGAAGATCATCAGGGTCGTGTCCACCGGCGACCTGACCTTCAGCCTGGACGATGAGCAGCAGCGCAACGACACCAGCAGCACCCTGGTCTTCCCGGTCAACAGCAACCCTGACAAGGGCTACGTCTGCATGACCACCCTGGGCTTCGCGTCCACCCTGATGGTGTTGCTGCTGGTGCTGCTCGTCTCGTGTCTCCTTTCGGCCGCGCTTTACTGCAAACTCAGGCCCAAGAGCGTCCCGGCGCCGCCCAAGCACGCCCGCTGCGCCTACTAGGAGCCCCTCTTCGTCTAGCCCCACCCCCGGTACAACCTCCGACTGAATTTACCGCCTGTTAAGGACAATCGAAATCCGAATTGCAGTTTAAAAAAATTAACGAATTGAAATTGTTAAAATTTTTACACTTTTTGATTAGATCGTTTGATTTTTTTCTTGAAATAAGAGATTTTTAATCGAATGCAGTTCAAAGATGAGCGGGCGAGAACCGAACGGTTGTGGCAATGCAGTGAACAATCATGATCCTCTCTTGCGTGTGTTTTATTTTTTTGTGCTCCGCTCTTGCATTTACCGCAATTGTGTACAGGTCTCGTTTCCGCAGTTGTTTTTAATGGTCAGGTAAATTTATCATGTGAATGCTCAGCATCGCGCGACTTCTACTGTTTTTTGTAGGGATCCATTCATATTAATCTTTAACTTATTTATTTATTAATATCTTATTTAATAATTTGTATATCTTAAAACGAAAATCGTCGACGACACTCAAACGCAACCCGGACGAGTCGGACGAGAAATAAAAAAAGGAGAGAAGATATAAACGAAAAGCTTAGCTCAATACGTGCTCAATTATAATTTTGTCGGGACTGCGCCGCGCCGACGCAATATTTGAAGTTGCCATGTGTGTAATTGTTGAAAAGTTTGAAATATATGTGCACTTCCGGCTGCTGCAAAAGGTTATATCAGCGAAAAGTCACAAGTAATAAAAGTATACACAAAAGTAAACCAGCAGGATTTTCCTTTATTCTTTACATCATCATCTCTCAATTCTCTCTCATTATTGTTGAATAATTTAAGGAGCGGGAAGGAATTCCACGGCACAAAACTCACGCACCTTGCGCGCGAGGCACACATTTTTATTTTAGCCAGGAGAAGAAGAAGATAACGGTCAATCTCGTCACAGATTTAAGGTGTTCCCTCATTTAAAGAGATGCTGACCGGTATTTTCTATCCTGCAGCTAGAATAACACGATATATATCCAGGGAGCCTTGAACTTCTTCTCTTGAATTGATCAGACCCCTCCACCTTTAACTATTCTGACTTTGCTTCTTTTCGCACTCTCGTGCGTCATCTTGGCAATTTTTTTTTTCATCCAACTTACGCAGGTGCCTCTTGAGGGGTTCGAAAATTAAAAACTCGTTTTGTGATTATATAAGATTGTTTTTATTGAGCAAACTGAGTATTGATTCCGCAGAACACAACAATTGATGACACGCACCCTGCTGCTCCTAGTTTTCTTTTTACTCTTTTCCTAAAAAATGTTGAGCAAGTTGTTTATGGTGCCTTCGGGGATATTAAAAATTATGTATTGTCAATAAATTAAGTCATGATATAATTTATAATAAATAAATCATTTGTTAGAGTAATGCTTCTTTTGCCAAGGCCAGCGAAGACCTTTTACACAAAAAAAATTGTTTAAAACGTAGATTATTAATTAGTACACCAGAGCACTTGACACGTGCTGACAGTGAGTTCCCATTTTTGTTTTTCGCCGGCAAGATGACACTCGCACACGCATACAAACGGTGAAGAAAAAATACAGAGAAAATTCCGCCGATTGTTTGGAAGACGTAATAACAGAGCGGCAGCGACGGCCGCCGTTTTTGGCATTGATCGATATTAAATAAATAAAATAAATACACAGAGAGGTACACAACACAAGACAGAAAGAAACGTTCGCCCTATTTCAATATATATTCTATTTATGATAACAAAGAACCCTGTGTGATCGCGGAAAGAGAGGTGGGATTGAGCGAAAAGTCTGCGCACATTTATTTTCACAATAATTTTTCTTTAGAAAGCGAACAAAAATCTTCACTTTTTTTTATATCTTTTGATTTGCAGTCGATTTCTTGCAGCCGAAAGTCCAGCTTTTGAGCATTTTTTTCGTTTCACATTAATACTGATGGCATAGATTCGGATATAATTAAAACAAAAAGGCGCTACCCATGAACTTTTCACACACTTACAGAGTAAAACAATAAATAAAAATAACTAATTATTCTTCTGCCGCTTTTCTTCTTCGCCATAATTATGTACACAATTGAATCCCTCCCGGAAGGAAGACTGCATATTTGGGGAAATAATGCACTTGTGTGTGTGTGGATAATGTGTGGTGGGGTATTTACAAATGGGAGTCATTGAGATTAACCAACCGCAACCGCAGAGCTAGTCCTGAGCGGACAAATGACTGGAGGAATGGCGCCTCAACTGCATGAGACTAGGAGAGTGTCCAGCTACTACTTTTTTGATTCAAAGTCTCTTGTTCGTTTTCATGAAAATTTACTGCTGGTCTTGGTGCTGCTGGAGGCCGGCGAGCGACAGGAAACTGCGCAGGCTGAGCCAGGCGGACACGCGCTGCGTCTCGCGCTGCTTCTGGTACCGGTGGAAAAGGGTGCCGGCGAACAGCGACGCCGCCACCGCCAGCGCGCCCAGCACCACGAACAAGGCGCCGAAACTTTGCACCGGCAGGCAGATCCCGTAGACCACGTCCTCGTCAGACTGCCGTTGGCCCTGCAATAAGAAACAATCAAAATACATTTTAATCAGGACTTTTAAAAAGGATTTCAATCATATTTTGTGATAAAAGTTAAATACTTTATTAAAGATTTTGCAATTGCTTATTTTTTATTTTTATTTATTTGAAAAAATGAAGTGAAAGACTTTGAATTTATTTTGTCGCGCACCACATTGAAAATTGTTTTGTAAAATTTTTTAAGTTAAGTTGAAGTTGTACTCAAATGAGTTTCAAATAAAAGAATATATATTTATTTGGATAGTGAACAAATGTTCTATTTTCCTAAATGTTATTTAATTATTTTATTTTTCTACTGAACACTGAAAAAAAATATGCTCTAATGAAATAGAAAAACTTTAAAACAAAATTTAAATTCTGTTAATAGTTAAAACATTTGCGCGTCATAATTTAAGAGAATTTGAATTCCACCAAATTTTCCAAAAAAATTGTAAAATAATTATGAAACTACTTAAATATTTTGTTCTTCATAAGTGTAATTTTTATAAATTTATTGCATTTATTTATTTTCTTTAAAATTAAAAAATGAATTGTATAGCTAACCTGGTAAACCTCAACGTTTTCCGGTCTGTTGTCCACAGCAAAGGCCAAGTCTGTCTCGCTGATGACCTCGTACAGACCAGACACTCCGACGTCCTCGGCGGACGACTTGGCCACGAAACGACGCACTCGCCTCACTGGCTGCGCAGTCTCCGTTTCTGCAAAAGAAGATTGAATAACTAATAATAAAAATTGCATTTAAACAGTGTTTTTTGTACCATTTGAATCGTGGTAGAGCTGCCGGGGTCCCTGAGGGAAGCGGTATTGGCCGCGGTGCTTGGGTTTGGGCGGCGGCTGCACAGAATTCTGCGGCATGTCCTGGAAGGCCTCTTCAGCGGCAGAGTTGTGCAGGTCCTCACGACGCTCGATCGGAGGGCCCTTGAAATTAAATTATTTTCTTTTAAATTCTGTAAGTTGCAACAAATGATAATAAAAAAATGTATATAAATTATTAAAATCACTAAAATTTTTTAAAGCCAGAGATTTTGATTAAATTTTCAAATAATAATTATGTGAAATATTGAAGAAAAAGCTTTTTTTCAAATGTAAATTTAATCGCATCAATAATAGAAAAATAAAAACACAGTAAAAAAAATTTGATTTATTTTACACAAATAGTAAATTGAAATAGTATTAATAGATTTTGTACTTACATGGTAGGCAAGTGGAAGTCCGTTTTGCTGAGCAGCAAGGGCCGGTTCGAAACAGTGCTCCTGGCAGCCCTTGCGACAAATCTCGACCTTGCAGTCGATGTGGACGGAGAGGGCGTCTGGGAACTTGAACGCGTGGAAAAAGGCGTAGGTGATGACGGAGGCGCGTTCGTCGGCCGTGCGCGCCTTCAGGAAGCGACTCACCATCTTCGGACGCAACACGCAACCCCGCTCGTCTGAAAGTTGGATCACGTGGCCCCCGCTGCCGTCGCTCGCCGAGCAAGATTTCACCCTCATGTCAAATTCACCTGTTAATTTTATGAAAGGCACTTTAAATTTTTAGCTTATTATTTTGTTATTTGGTAAAGAAAAAAAGATTTTTAATTGTATATGCAAAAAAACATATAAATGATTTATTTAAAATTCAAATCCTTTTTTACTCATTCTTAACTTGTATTTTCCTAGAAGTTAAATAAAAATAAATTAATATTAATTTAGTATATAAAAAAAAATATGTAAATAATTTATAAACGGAAATAAGAATCTCATTTGCAAAAAATCAATCATGCAAAAGCAGTTTTCAGCAGTAATTTAGTAATTGTGCTTTAACAATCTCAAACTTGTTTTCTTTTTAAAAAAATTTTTAACTTACTCTAGCTAATAATTAAAAAATTGTAATTTTTACATGTTAAATAATGATTATTTTTAGTTATTTTAAAAATTTGATTTAAATTCTCTATAAAAAGCTTTTAATTTTATCCCTTTTTGGCCTAAATAAACGTTCATTAACCAAACATAATTAAATAATTGTCGTACCTCTGTGGTCGTTGATGGCAATGACAAGGGTGAGGGTGGATCCGAGAGGGACGATGCCGCTGACGGGTGGAGCCCAGGGTCCCTTTCCGTGCTGAATCTCCATCCAGCAGTCGACGTTGTCGCCGCGGAAGTCGAGCTGGATGACGTCGAGGTCAGCGATGACCATGGGCGGCTTGGACGCCGTCTTTTCGTAGTCGTTGAACCACTCGCAGCGCAGCCGCTTGGCCTCGTCCCACACCTCGAGCAGGTCGCGGTCGTACTGGATCACCACCGTGTTCTCGTAGAACTGGCCGTGCAGATCCGGCTTGGTGCCGCACCGTCGGTACGCGATCCGGAACGTGAAGTGCGTCCGCGACTGATCCGCGCTGCCCGAACCGCCGCCCCGCGGCGCCACGTAAACGCACCGAGGGTCTCCGTACTGACCCTGACGCAAGCAAACACATTCAAGTTTATATTAATCAATTATGCAAATTTGTCAATAGTATTGAATTTGTGTAAATATGTGAAATGTTCTCAATTCATTGTATGAGTTTTAATTTGTTTTCATTTTTAATTTCAATTTAAATTATAAATTTTTGAATCTTACTCTGATGATGGAGATTTTTACAAGAAAATAAGAAAGAATAAAATGAAAGTGAAATTATACCATTTAGCACAGAATGAAATTGATTAAAAAAAAAAATTAGAAGTTAACAGAAAAAAATTGAGAGGTTTTTACTTGCTTTTTGTTGAAATTGTGCAGTGAAAAACTTAAATTTGCAGCACGTACCAAAATTTTGAATATAATTATGTAATTAAAATTCTCTAATGATAAAAATTTAACTTTTTATGTCTCAAAAACAAAATAAACCTTATAATTAATATCTTGGTTATAATTATTCAAAAATTGTGTACATATTTCATTCTTTAAAGTTTTTCCCGCACAGTTTTCGTAATAACTTTGGAAACAATAAAAAAAAGTGCTTGTTCTAATAAGAACAAAATCTACCGGAACAAAAACACAAAAAATGAATCAGATAAACTCATCCTCTATCAGAACCTCGGCTCATTTTTTTTTTTTTAAATATCTATAAAAACAATAATATTGAACAACTTTTTTTAAATTTAATTTTAATTTAAATAATTTAAAATTTGTGTACCTTTGAGAAGACGAGGCCATCAAAAGGTCCTGTAAATTTTAGATGGACATCCATGTGCTCCTTGCCGCACATGACTTCCAGACTCTGGATGGCCACCATGCCAGTCGGCCGCTCCAGAGGCCACAGGTCGCCATTGCCCGCGTTCGTCGGCAGCTGCGACACCTGCGACACACAAACACCGACAGATTAATTGAAAAGAATTCAAATCGCCGTGAGAAGCGGATGAAAATAAAGAAACAAACAAAGACAGAAAAGAACGGTGCATTTTTTTTTCGCAATTTGCGTTTTCCACGAATTTGTGTCTCTATTTTGATTAAATTGGTATGAGAAGAGGAGACAAAGCAAGGGTGCATCATTAAATAATCTTAGTCGGCGTGATTACGCATGTGACACACTTCGACGTGTGCGTGCATTCCAGTGAGCGCGGCAGGTAGCATAGGTGCCTCTACAGCTCCCTGTCCGTTGAGGAATGCGGCAGAGAATGTGGGTTAACGTTAACGTTGTGTCTTGCGACGGAAGAAGAATAAAAAAAACTCTTTTTCTTCTCAAGCGCCGGGAATATAAACATAAAAAAAATAAAGAAGAAGAAAAATGATGATCGCGCTCCTCTCTCGAGTGTTTTCGGTTGAAAAATGTACTTTGAAAACGGTGTCTCGCGACAGGTGCAGCTTCCTTAATCGAAGGCCATTCATTCTTTGACTCATTGTTTCACGTTTTAAAATAAAAAACGAGGAAAAGACTTTTAAAAATTTACACCAGCACAAGAAATGCACACGCTAATTTGGTTAATATCAGGATTTGAAAAGTTGGTCAGAAAATTAGCACGAAGATATATAACAAATTTACGACAGTTGTTTGCAGATGAGTGAGCAAATAGAACCGCCCTGGTAACAACTTTTCGCTGCCGGTCCTAATTCGCCAAATCGATTGCCTGCTCCCGTCCGTCTCAAATTTATTCACGAAATTAACTAGCAGTGAAACTGGAAACTGGATCGCGAGTGAGCCGCGCGCGCGGAATTTGCTACCAATTTCAAAAACTGGTTGCTCTCGCAAACTTTTCTAGCGGTTTTACGACCCAAAATTTCTCCTATCCTCATAAATTTAATTTTTCTCAACTAAACAAGATCTCATGCTTAATGATTCCGGGTCAAAGCAGCGCAATTTATAAATTGAAGGAAATTCGATTTAATTGTGAATTTTGATTATTTAACTAAGAACTGTGCAAATTTTGCTTAAATATGTATAATTTTTTTTCCCTCTCTTTACGTTTTATAGATTATTATTATTTTTTTAATTTTTGATTAATTTATTGATGATGTATCTCAAAATGGGCAGAGATTGCCTTGCAGTGCATTAACAAACTTCATTTCAAACATTTTTTTAAACAAAAATAAAGTTAATTGTAATATCATTGTTTAACAATCGCATAAAAATAAAATAATTTCGGCTAATTTAAATTAATTCCAGTGAGATTTGATGATAAAATACCAAAGATGAATCAGATACATAATTTTTACGACTGGAGGTAATTTTAGCTCTGGGCTGGTGCAACTGATACTTTTCGTCTCTAATCCGCGCCAAATCAGCAATAAGTCCATCAAAGCGATTGGGATCGCGGCACGATCCGGGCGGCGCTGCACACAAGTGAAAAATAACACACACACTTGAAATCGAGGAGAGCAATTACGAGCGAGCCGGTCCGAGTGCGCGGAGAGAAAGATTCTGTTTCCGAGAATCGAGTTCCGTGATTGAGCGGCGGCGGCGGCTGCGATACAATAAATCAGCAGCACTAATTTGTGCTGCCGCGTGTTTACAGTTAAAAATATGTATGTGCATGCACGTGTGGTACGGAATGTGCGTCTCTTGCATCGCACGCGAAGGAACTTCTTCTTCTTTACGTAATAAATTCACGGGAGGAACTCGAAGAAGGCAGGAAGAAATTAAACCGCACTGACCGCGGCTCTCTAGCGCTCGAGCCGAGCGAGTTGTTTTAACAAGAAAACGGTCTGGATGCTGCTCCGCCGAATCAACAGGTGGAACCGTTAGCTCTGGCGTATTATATCACGGCGACATTACATTATACGTTTCTCTCTGCAGCGTCAAGATTAGCACGTGCCTAGCAAAAGAAAAGGGCAAAAAATAGGAAGGCGACGCTCGGTTGACCCGTCGGTCACGCCCAATTGGCTGCGAAAAAACAATGCGTGACATAAACAAAGCAAAAAACCGACAGCTCAGTGAGTAATAAATTAGAAGACCAACGAGGTATGAAAATTTTATCCGAGGCGCGATTAATTTTTATAATAATTTCTCTCTACATTTTTTGGATGCAAATTCAAAGAAGACTTCATAAGAAAAATTGTAACTTAAATTTGTGAAAATCAGCAAGTTTTAATAGGAATTTATTTTGATAAAAAAGTGTCCGATTTGAATTGATAAAAACTCATCAAGCCAAAATTAATTTGGCGATATCAAAATTTATAGCACTGATCTTGTATGAGAAACGGTTCAGTAAACATGTTTCTTAGTTTACATGAGCTCTAAATAATTTCTCTATTTTCCATTTTTACACCTTCTCGCAAGTAATAACCGTGGGAACAATTGAAAATAAATATCTGACTTTCGTTTTTCTCATTCTCGTCGTTTTCTGGAATCAACAAGAGGCGTTTTGCTGTGTGAAAGAGATGCGGTTGCGAGCAGAGAGCAACCGACAAAAAGTCTCTCATCTTCTACACCAGATCTAATAACGAAAGTAAGACAAAGAAACCCGTCATTATATGTGGCTCGGTACTAAAAAAAAGAAGTGTATCAGCAGTACCAATTGAGACATTTTCCCAAAGCCGTGGGAATGTAGGCTACGAACAATATGCTCATCCCGTCAAGTTTCGTTTTCGCTTCCCAAGCGCCTCCGAAATTAATCGATTCGAATTTGAATGGGAACGAGACTGACAGACTGACTGAGTCGTTCGCCGCGCGTCTCATTAATCCAGTTTCGGAATGCAGTTGCGGCCTACCTGGCACCTCTTTCTCAATCGACCTGACCACTTGAACCCAAACTCGATTAGGCCGCGTTGTGAACAAACAACGTCACGACTCAATTTAATAGCCCCGTTTGCTCCAAACTAACTCAGGGAAAGAGAGATCAGTAATTTTGAACGACTTTTTAATGGTATTTGGAGAACATTTATGGACCAAAATTCCTGAAATTAATCAAAAAATGTATTAATTTTATCTAGTCAAAATTTTATTAGTTGTAAATTAAATTATTATTTTTGTAAACTTAAGATAAGCTTTGGCCAGAATAGAGAATCGTCAGGCAAATATTCAAAATAATTGTAAAGGAAAACTACAAAATTTAGAGATGAAAACATAAAATTACTTTAATAGCTTTTTGAGAAAAAAAAATATGAAAAAAATTCACATTATTTGTATTCATGACTGTATGTCGAATGTAGAATAAATTAATATTGTTATTATTATTTATTCTACTCAGCCGTAAAAAATTTTAAATTGGAAAAAGAGAATTAGAGATGTCTGTTAAAACGCAGGATATCAAAAGAGACTCGGCTGCCGCGGTAGGTATAAAAAATTGCAATATCAAAAACCCTTTAAAATTACTGTCACAAATGCAGCTTGTCAAATATTATAAATTTGAAAACCAAAATTAAATAACTTTGGAGAACAAACCTTTTTTTATTAGAACCTATAAAGTATTTTGATTTTTTATGATATTTTCCTTTTTATCAACTGTTCTTTTGATCTCGCGTTTATAGAATTTCATACTTTTCGAACGCCAAGTGTAAACATTTGGAGCCGAAATCAGCGCGTTTTTCGCTCTAGTTTGGCCGCGAGAGCAGAACAAACGAGGGGAACGAACGGCGGAATTCGTTCGTTGCACGACACAAGCGCAAATATTAGGTCATCTCTCTCTTCTCTTCTCTCGCGAGAGACGCGCCCTTGATTTTTATACGCACAAAGAAAGACGCGGCGCACGCACGCTATTTATGCAGCGAGAGTTCGACACGGGAGATGCGTGGAAAAAAACCGCAGCAGCACGTCAGTGAACGTGTTGGCAATGAGGAGCAATTATATAGATTTGCACACAGCAGGCCGTTGTACCCGCCGAAGTATGCGAAAACGAGCGCATTAACTAGAGCCTCTCGTGTGCATGACGTGTATATTGAATGTCGCACGCTGCGGTCAAGGCAAAGAAAAAACTTCGCGTGCCGTCGCCAGATTAACAAGCTTCTTGAAACTTTGTCATCTCTGTAATTAACAGCGCGTAGTTATTACAGGCCTGATGGTAATCAGTTGTTTTAAGAACCTGACTAAACACCATTCTTATTTATATGTAGAGGCTTTGGAAAGTGAGGTGCTTCAAAAACATCAATCTTCTGATCAAGTTGCTTCATGCTTAATTCTCTAACAGGTTTGCACCGTTTTCTGCGGGTTTGAGTAGAAAATTCAGTATTGCTGAGAGAGATTTGAAAGATCTGAAAAATTGTGTTGTGTCAGTATGATGAATTGTACAAGTTACAAACGTTTAAATTGCTTTAACTTTTTTCCTCTTTTAAGTAAATTAAAAATTGTAATCGAAAAAGAAAGTATTTTTAAATACTGACAAAAAAAATATTGCTTCCAATTCTTAGTACTTTTTTTTTAATTTGAATACTGTGATTTCCCAATTTTATATATCAATAATTTTGTTGTATTAGTTTGAAATTAATTTATAAATTTATGATTTCTTTGAAAATATTGCACGGAAAATATTACATCAAACTTTTCATGCTCAAATCAATTCAACTATGATAATATACTAAAATAATTCAAGGAAACTTTTAAACAAGGGTTTTTGGCAACAGCAAAATTTTACAATCAGAATTTTAAATTAATTTGGCCAAGTAATTCTAAAATTGAATAAAAGCGGAGATTTGTGTATATTTCTTTCAAAATAAGACATTAAATGTTTAAAAAAGTTGATAAAATTTATAAATATTCTAGTAAACTATAAATTATTGAGTAAAGCATATTTAATTGTAAATTTCAGAATAATAATAAAAGATGATCAATTTATTATTATTTGCATAAAGGAGCATTGACATTAAAATTTTTTTATATTTTTGTGTTAATTGGGGTGCTTCATTTATTTATTTTAATTAATTATCAGCTGGCTATTGCTTATTTACTGACTGATTACAGTTATAATTAATTTTAGTTTAAGTTGACATTATTCTCGATTGATCACAACATAAAGTATAATATAAATTTAATAGATAAATTCAAAAACTACACAATTTTAATTTAACAAGTATGATCTCACAATCGGTACAAGATTCAATTATAAAATAATTCATTTAAACAAACACATTTGCAACAAATTATCATTTGGCACAATCTTCCTTTCAGCGCGAGTACTAAAAAATGAAATATTGTTTTGCGCCGGCATTAAAAATGAGAACAGAAGCAAATGAGACATTTATTTCGGTCGGTGTTTATTGCTACAACGCCATAAAAGTTTCGAGGCCTCCCACTTGAACAACGGCACTAATTAGACAACAGCTCTCTTAATGAATTGAGCTTTTAACAGAGACAAACTCAACTCTTAATTTACACGTCCAAGTGCAGCAAACAGGAAAAAAATCCACAACGCTGCTTCCGGGAGTTCAAATCTCCACTTGTTATAATCACAATTGATGGAAAACAATTTAATTAGCAATTGAATGAAGAGATCTAATCCGGATTAATTGGTGATTTATTTTTTCGCGAGCTGCAATAATTAAGAGAGGCGGCGCGGCGAGCAATGAAATTAATTCGGATCGCGCAGATAAGGGGCCGCGGGAGATGATAAATGCCCTTTAAAAATTGCGCCGCTATACTTCCGGCTTAACACGTACACACTAGTGTGTGCAGTTGGCACGAAAGAGAGAGAAGATGCAATATCTTGGCCCGTTACACTTTTCCAGTCTGATTGTGTTGGCGCGAGCAGAGTCATTAGCAGACGCGCGAGTCCCAATTAGAAGCAGCCAATCAATTACCCACTCTTATGCAAGTATCGCTCTCGAAAATTCCGCTCCACATACGCGCTCGCGCCATTCATTATTTTCGTGCTACTCATATTTTCGTCGCTGACCGACCGAATATATATGAGAACCGGAGCACCCGCCATGGGAAATTGTGCAGAGGTGCGATCGACAATAATATTCTGCACCTCGTTTGTTTGTGCGAAAGAAGAATTCGCTGCGATAACGAACTGAGAATCAGGCACGATTGCCTTTTGCATTGTTCTCAAAATTTGGGAGTGGTGCCAGCAAAAGCAGCGAGAGAGCCAAAAGTTTCCTTCTGCCTAAAACTGTACAGCACGATTTTGAAATAGAGGCAACAGCAACTATATAAATTAATCACATATTTAATTGTTTTAAAATTAATCCGGTTTCTCAAGTTGTTTCCGGATCGAAATATTAATGTTTGTAGAAGAATTTTTTTAATAAAAGATGAATTTTAAGTTGGCTTTTCCTTGATAGATTCGAAGAAAATCTTCCTCTAGATGTTACAACTGCAAATATTCCTGCGTGAAATTAATTTAATTTATCCTTACAAATCTATCAATTCTCACAATCAGTTAAAAATTATTACACTGGAAATGGTAAGTTCTAGCGTGATAATTCGGCTGTGAGAAATGTTTTATAGAAAATAACTCTGTTTTTTTAAGGTAATTTTGAAACAAGAAATCAATTTATGCTCTAGTTTCCTCCCAAAATAATTAACAGTTCTTCAATAGTAGAAAAATTTAGGGTAGAATATTTTTGTCTGTGAATTAATTAATGAATCAGTTGAAAGAAAAGCTACTTGAAAAAGTTGAAATTGAAAGATCAAAAGATTAATTTTTTCTCTTCTCTATAAACATTGATGATCTACATATGTGATCATTATAAAAACAAATGATTGCAACTTTAAAACATTATTGCGTTTAAACTCAATGACGAATAAAAAACTTTAAATTCTTGTGATAAAACTACTTCCATCTCTACATAAGTTTACTTGAAGTGAATTGAGACTTTGAAAGCCTTGATTAAATGCATCTCAATCACGTTTTCCCAGGTCAAAAAATCAAATGGAAAATGTTAACTCGTCCTTGAAATTGCTGTAACGAGAGCACGCCGAGCGATCAAAATAATTTGAAATGATTGAGCGTGATTGCGGAGAAACTAAATTACCGATAATCAGCGCGGCCGGCGCTCGTAACCAGGCTCAAGGATGCGCGCCATCGATCTCCGTATTTAATAACATCGACTGACCGTCTCACGAATATTAGCATAAATTTGCGAGACGAACGGGGGCACCGCCCAAACGACAATTATCCAGAATGATTTCTCCCAATTAAGAACACTTATTAATGAATTTCCAGTTCAAAACACTCACCGATGATGATATGGTTGCTGAAAAGGCCAGCACGGCGAGCAAATAATTCCCTAAACTAATCATTTTGTATCAGCAACAGCGACCTGAAACAGAAAATAAAACAAATGTCAGTTCCTTTTTTTATATCACTTGGAAATATTTACTAGAAAAATCAATCTAGCCCTAATTATTTTTTTAAGGGATTTTGATTTTTTTTTGTCGAAGTGTTGAGAAGTGCGTGTGTGCGAGCGAGACTTTCTCGGAACCGAGCGAGATATCAAGATGATGCTGCGGCTACAGGAATCCCCTCCCAGCTAGAACCGATCCGACGGCGTTCCAAGACCATTTTTGACCTCAAAAACAGGCAATAAAGCGACACACACACAAACTCATATAAAAATTCTAAATAGCTTATGATTTTGGACGAATTAAATGAAACGTTTATCTTTTTCATTCGACCGTATAAATTTGCACGATTCATCATAAAACAGAATAAGGAATGCATAAATCTGAATGATTTTAATTTTTAATTCATTTTCAGCGATTTTTTCGCGAGGAATAAGGGAATTAAATAAGATGTAACTATTATTGTGGTAAGTGTGCATTCATCGAGTTATTTCCAGTTTTGAGGAAGTGGCTTGTTCAAGTGCAAGTTCGAGTTGTTTGGCCGGCGAATGAGGTCAGCGCAATAATTCACGCGCATTGACAAGAACAAGGATGTGCTCGGTACTTTATTGTGAACGCACCGGCTCTTCCGATAAACCGCATGATTTTGATCGATACAAGTTGACGTCAAATTAAAGTTCATTGACAGGATAAACAGAAGGGCGTGTTTATATCAAGTCAATCCATTCTGTTAAAAAAAAAATGGAATTTTTTTGTGCAAATTACACTTACAACAACAAACCGGTGCAGAATTTTAAGCCTAATTAATTAAGACAAAATTATAGTGCAATTCCTCAATAAAATTTCTTAAAAACAGTTTAAAATAAAAGTATAAAATTTTAAATAAATTTATGAAATTTGATTTTAAAAGAACAAAATATTTTTATTTTCAAACAATCGACTGCGATGATTCAACGTTAAAAGCAGGTAAATTTTTCCTCTTTGAATTAAGAGGCACATTCCTGCTCGGCGAATCTCGTCCACCTGCATGGACCTCTGCCTGCCCGGCGGCGGCAGGTGGGTCCGGAATTCGCAAATGATGAATGTATTTTTGCAATTTCCGAATAAAAACTCACTGTGAGAAGGCAGCATGGCTCGGAAGGAAACTGAATCACTTGGACGCCGCTCGTGTCAGGAAGAATCGTCTCTTAAATTTTAATCCAAACTGGAGAGCAGCGAGATGGGGCGCACGAGAGACTACAGAGGAATGGACCTGAGCAACATCTGGCAGGTGTCTGTCGGTCGGCCGGGCTGCGCGCGCGCTGCTGCGAGTCAAACTACCGCTACTCGGCGCGATCGCAGCCACGCCATAACGGACACACACACACACGCAGACACGGCCCTCTGAAGCCCCACTCCAACCTCGATTTTCAGCCGAGAATGGGATAAAAAATAAAAATGCAGACCCCTATCGACTCCTCGGATGCCTGCGAGGAAAGCAAAAGTGAGAGATGCTCACAAAAGCCGACCGCGGCCTCTAAAGGAAAAAAAGTGGTCAAAATTGGAGGGTTGGTTGCCCCCCGGGGGTTGGTTCTGACCTGAGTGTGAATGTGAAGGGGATGAATTTTTTATACATAATTGTCTATATTGCCCTGAGGCAACATGTTCTCGGAATCGAGGCCTTCCTAGGAAAGTGAATTGTAAAATAAATAGAAGCATTTTATAATATTGTTGTTAAATTCCAATACTTTCCTTACTTGGAAATCTTGGAACGTTTTATTAATAATTAAATTTTTTCATTCTAATTTTTAATGCATTGAGGCCGTCAATAAATAGTAAAATTTAAAATTGCCTTGTAAAACTAAGAATAAAATTAAATTCATTCAAAACTTTAGTATCATAGATCAATTAAAAAATGTTTCTAAGTCAAAGAAATACTAATAATTATAATTTAATTTTAATCAAAATTTCAAGATTCTTTTTAAATCTGATTGTTATGAAGTATGAAAAATTGAATCCGGGCGAACTTCGTTGTGAAGAAAAAATTAAAAAAAAAAAAAGGACAACTGACCCAAGAGGCGACCAGAGGCGACCTGCGGTCTGCTGGTACTTTTTTCTTTGCAACGAAGTTTTTGATTTAAACAATATCTATACTGTATTTTTTCAATAATTATTATAAAAGAATCTGCCTATTATTATTTATAATATATATAAAAATATATAATAGATCAGATAATAATTCAAATAATATTCCTCTTTGTGTAAAAATACTACAAATAAAAATATAATTAAATGGTTGCAACGAGGTTTGCCCGGTTTCAAATTTCTCAAAAAAATATAAAATTGTTTTATTTTTACGCAATTTTTTACTTTTTTAAGTTGCTGAATCAAATCTGGCAAACAGAATCGCAGATATAGCACGCAAAATGTTAACAATTGTTGATCCTCTTGAAAAAATGAGGTTCTTTAAATAAAATGCATATTTAGTCTTTATACAGAACTTCCTGAAAATTCGCAACAGGTGCGCGTGTTTTAATAATTGAGATTAATCGCTGGCCGCGGCAGTAATTAAGCTGCAAGTCACTTGCTCGCACGTTGTCACATTGGCGGAAACGAACAATTCTCCCACAATCCGTACAAATAGGCGACAATTAGCCAATTAGTCAGCACGTTGTACGACAAAAAGAAAACCACGCACCTGTTGCTCATTATTTCAAATGAGAACTCACGTTTGGACCGATCCCTGCTAAATTCAAGACCTTTCAAAGTAAATCTCAGTCGGCGCAATATGGCATTTGGGCATCTGCTGCGCTTTTCAAGCAAATTTTCCTGCTGACTCGCGCACTTAATTTCGGTTACAGTTACCCCGTTTTGGCAATTTCAATTCGCACGCTATATACTCTTGATGATCGCGGCGACGAGTCTCTTTTTAATTAATATGTCGGTCGGAATTAAGGTGCGTCGAGAATTCGTGCTAGGCAAACAACCTGACACATAATAGAGTCGCAAATTGCTAATCAAACAAGACGTGGAATTCTCTTTTGAACAAAAGGAAGATTGTAAACATATCATTGAAAAGTTTTAAAAAGGAAGCTGCTCGTTGGGAGAAATTGTATGAATGGAGAATTTAAACGCTTTGCCCGCCGTCAAGAAACTAAAATTTATTTACTTTTCTGCATAAAAAAAGAAAGGGTGAACAGGTTTGGCATTTAAAAAGCGATAAAGCTGCAACTTAACGAGCGCTCATTTTCGATTAAGTGTGGGCGAAATGAGAGATGACAAGAGGGAAAATCGGCGGCGATCGGTCGGTCGGTCGGTGTTTGGGGCTTTCGGTGTGCAGTGCTGCTGTCCTGCACGGCGAGCTAGGAGTGCTCGCTGCGGGCCATTAACGGAACAATCCACTGGCGCGCGTTCGCCTGCCTCGGAATGAGGAGCGATCAGCGAAGACGAAGCGGCCGCGCACAACAATCGAACAAATCGTCTATCGCGCGCCGCCCTCGCCGACCCCATTCGCCGTTCCCAGCCATTGTTTCTCTGCGCCTCCATTCAGACCATTCCACTCGCTAGCCTACTTGCCGCGCGCTACAATGTGAATCATTGTTGCGCAGACCCAAGTTCGATTCTCATCGGAAAGATGAACCATTCAAATCATTGATTGTACATTTTCCAAGATATCTGCAAAATTTATTCTGTTTAAGAGCAACTTGGGGTATCCAAACTGAGAAAAATTAATGAATCTGCTTCCCATAAGATCAATGTATTAATTGATGTCGACTTACCTATGGTTTTTGTTAATTCAGGTAGATTAGAATATGAATTGGTGAAATTCTTATTAATTTTGGCAGCGCCGATTTTGAGGAAAACAATTATTTTAGAAAATTTCCATAAGAAATCAATGTTAATTTATAAAAATTTAATCCTCCAGATTTATCCAATTCTTGTGTAATGATATCACCTTTGAAATTGTTTCTACAAACTATTAATCGCGTCGTTTTTAAGCAGAAGATTTGCATTTTCCACGTTTTCTTTTCCAAAATTTGAGCAAAATCAATCCTTACAGAAACGTACAATAAAGAAAAACAGATTTTTATCATAAAATATCATAAAATTAAGTGGAAGTGCCAGATTTGTTATTTTATTTCCTGATTTAAGTGCATTCCTTTGTGAGAGGCGGAGGTGAATTATGGGAACCCTGTAGGCACTTGTTTGCGGTTGAGTCTCGTGACAGAGACCATATTTTGACTGCAATGGTCAGCAATAAATCCTCTTGGCTGCGGGGCGACCAGGATGTTCCCACAACAGAGAAAAATTTCCTCTCTCTCTCTCTCGACTCGCACACACTTATTTCACTCCTTTCCGAAACAGTTAGTGGCCGATCAATTACCAGCCGAGCTTTTTTCCCATCTTTAAATCGCCGAGCATTGTGTTTGAGTTGGACAAGTGCAGCTGTCAACGGCCGCGTGACACCAGAGCGGTGCATTTCCTCCCTGGCTGCATCGCAGGTCGAGAGCAGACTAACTGCAGTTTGCCGGCCGCGCACTGCTTTTTGCAACTGCGATTCCGGGAAAACGACAGTCGGTTAGTTACGCAACAACCTCTTCCCTGCGATGCAACTCGTCAAAACTTAGTCTTCCTGTCCGCGCGCTCTTCATAGTCGTCAAACAAGCGAGAGAGAGAAAAAAAAAGAAGAGGAAAGGTCAAGACAATGAAAATGCTTTTTAACATTAAGTCGGACTTTATAGTACAACAAAGTAGTTACCATTAATTGAGTTCTTTATCAAAAATCAGTGCGAACTGAATAAATGCAAAACAAGTTGAGGAACCATTCAAGTCGCTTGAATGCATATAAACTGACTTTGAAAAATACAATTTCAAATAAGTAGAAAATTACATAGCAAAATAGAACCATACGATTATTGTTGCCACACGTTTAACTTTTTCTATAGTGACTTGTGCAAATTCTTAAAATATAACATGAGTTTTAAAAAAATGTAGAAACAACATTTTTAGTTTGAATGAAATCAGCAGATTTTGCAAAACGAAACTTGCTGCCGAAATCAACAGTGCATTTTTTTCTGGCTCTTTGGCTTAATTCCTATGCTTTATACTGACAACTTTCCAAAATATTTGGCAAAAATTAATGTTTTGTTTTTAATTCTACTTGAGTTCACGTCTTATTTCTCTTTCTCATTGTGCAGATAATATAACAACCATCAATTACTGAGAAGTCGCCTTAAATGCTTGAGAGTAATAACATCAAGACAATTACGAGCGTGTGCAAGATAATTTCTGAAACGCGCAGCTTTTTAACTTATTGAAAAAATCCAAATTTTGGTGTTCTAAATCTTACAGCGTGTGAGACATTCCAAATGGAATGAAGGAAAAACCCAATCAAATATCACAATCCGTGTCTGCTTAAACTTACATGAAACAAAAATTGTTTCTGAATTAAAAAAATCTCAGTCTTTGAAAACGTTCAGTCCTTTTCACTTTCGGAAAAACAAACTCATAATGTCGGAGAAATTAACTTGTGTTGTCAAACGTCAGCCTCATTTGTCGACAACAGTCAAAGCTCTGGTCGAAAAGCGGCGCGTTCGGAATACCTTCAGTTATCGTCAGTTACAGTAGCAGTGCCAGTTAATGAAATAACTAAGAGAGAGACTAGGGGTGCCTCGGAGGGGTCGGTCAGTCCAAGGTGAGCTCGCAGGAACTGTTGACCCGGCGCTCGATGAACTCCCAGTCGTCCCTGAGTTCAGGAGGAATGGTGTCGCGACCCTGAGGCGCCCGCGAGGTCGGACCTTCGCGCCTGCGCAGTACCTTGATGCCGTAGGTGCGCTGCGTGCACGAGTAGCCGTCGACGGGCTCGGGCGACACGCACGACGTGCGCACCACCGTCACCATCGACTGCCCGCCGACGCCGCACTGACGCACGGGCACCACCTGCGGCCAGTGGCCGTCGCCCAGGTCCACCAAGCCCTGCGACTCGACGCACACGCACGGGCTGTCGTACGAGCTCCGCTTCGGCCACTGCTTCCCGCGACGACTTAGAAAAAAAAAAACAGATCACAAATTACAATTTAAAACTCACTCGCTATTGGTTGGATACAAATTTGGGTATTTTATGTATTAATTTTGAGTAAATTGTGCAAATAAATGAAAACACTCAACAAAAATGAAATGATTTATTTTGCTTATATTTCTGAAAGTACTAATTATTTCATCTTACAATATTCACGGTTTACTTATCTTTCAAACATAATTATTTGCTTTAAAATAAATTATTAAAATTATTTCTTTAAATTACCAAAATCATTTTTCCTTTCATATTCAATTAATTGCTATTATTTTATAAAACAATTATGCTTTTTCAAACTAATACGCTAATTTTAAGGGATTAGAATGTCTCATTGTAAGATTCATTGATAGAGGACTTATAATTAAAATACCGACAGAAAGCTTGAACTGAAAATATAAAAATAAGTAAGTGTTTTAATGCACCTTTCATAAAAGGTTCTTTTCAGGTGCCTGCAATATATTTAAATAATTCAATCAATTAAAAATCACAGAAAATTTAAAATCTTGCACTTTAAATTTATTTTCTAAGATGTTCTCTTTCGACAACAAAAAATAATAAAATTTCTTATTCTAAAATATGGTTATAAACGGTTTATTTTATTAAGAATTATTTAATGATATTTAGGTATCTGTAGTAAAAATTATAAAAATACAATAGTTAAATAAAAAATTGCAAAAAACATTTATTGTAAGGGATATTATTTTAATAACAGGGCAAAAAAATCGAGGTTTTGAATGAAAATTGTAGATATCTTGGAGGAATAATTGCAAAATAATTGGCCTTGTACCAGGTTTTATTTAATTTCCTCAAAAGATTTTGCCAAAGTAATTCATTTAAAAGGAAAAATAGTCCAGAGTGAATTAAAACAGGTATCTTCTTTAAAATCAAGCATCCGCATTGATAATTTTTATCTATTTTGCTAATCCTCTATAAAAGAACGTTCTTATTATACTTTCAAAAGCAGTTTTCATTAATGAAATGGCAGAAAACTGTTGAGGAGATTAATTTTGTGGTAGAATTTCACGATCAGGGGTTAATTCATGGTGATTCAAATTTAAAATCGGCTTTTCCTCGAAGGGTTTTGAGAGTTGTTTATTGTTTTTTCTTAAACAATAAATATAACTCACAAAACCCATCGAGGGAAAAGCCTATTTTAAATTCTAATCACCATTGATATTAATTTATTTGACCAATATCACGCTCCACTTCAACACTTGAAATGCTTGAATAGTTCAATTATTACACTGTTTAAAAACATGAAAGAAACTCACGGCGTTTTGAAGCCGGTCTCCCACCAGTGGGCACGACTGAAGAGGTCCCTCCGACGACGCTCTGGTCGCGTGGCGGCCGTGATCAGCGACAGCGTCAGCCACAACGGCAGCAACTGCAAATCAGTGTTAAGATTTTCGAAGCTCATTTTGGCGAGACGCACCTTAATCAAAATCATCCCGGCCGGGCTGCGAGTGGCCGGTGGGTCGGCGTCGGCCGCTTTTATAGCTGCTTAGGCCGCGCACATCCCCCGCGCTGACGCTTCTTTCTTCTGCACGCCGCCGGCTCTTTGTCGTCGCCGCGCATTGTTTCTTTAATGTCTAGAAAAATCGCACCCACCTCGCGCTTATTTTTAGGTCCTTTATTATTTGCCCTTACCAACGAGGACTTGAGAGGGCAAAATAATGGCGCTCGGAAAAAACGGCGCTGCTGTATTTCATTTTGCGACTGCGAATTTCATTTCCTGTCGCCTCAACTCCAACGCAAACTTTGTTCTTCTGCGCACTGCAGTTTTTTACTTTGAGCAAACGATGAGTCAATAAAAATGCTCTCAACAATCGTTTATTGTTCCATTGTTGAAAAAATTTTAAAGTGGAAAAAATGTTCTTATATGAGTACAATTTTTGTATATTTTCTCTGCTATAATTTGTAATAAAAATTTTTGAATGATATCAAAGATTTTTAATTTTTATTGTTAATGAATTAACTTTAATTTTGTGTAGTTTGAAATTTGATATATTTTGCAACGAAGAAACAATAAATAACTGTTACAAACTATTATGATTTCAGAATGATGACCTTCCAGTTAATTAACATATTTCTCTTTTTATGAAATGAAAAACTTAGGGAAACTTTAAATGACCATGTATATTTAATCCAATTTAATTTTTTTTAATATTTTTACCAACATTAAAAATCTTTCAACTATTTATATTTTTTCTTGGTTTTATTTACCTTTCATAAGCATTATTTACTATACATTTGGAAAGAGCAAAGTAGTCATGAAGTGCTACAGTGAACGATCCTCTGAAATTCATAAATGGATGTTTAAAGAGGTACTGCAGTTCTAGTTAACTCCACGCCAAAACAAACTACTTGAAAAAGATCTTCAAAGATGAGTTCAAATACTTCAAATTCAAACAGAAATATAAAGATTTTTTTTTAATAATAACCCATTTTATCGGTACAAATTAGTGAAGCTGGTAAAACCCACTAATTAATTTTAAATCCCCAAAACCCAAAACAGTTTCGTTTTGTCTTTTGTCGAGGAGATTGCAATGAATCATAAATATCAACATTTTGTCAATTTTTGAGAATTTTAGTGGATTTTTTTTTAATTAAACTGATTCAAATATTTTGAATTGCAAAATTAAGTACTTTCATGTTATTTTTGATTATTTGTATAATAATGAGTTATCTCAACATTGAGCCCATGTAGAGAAATATATGATTGTATATATGATAATTTTGAAGATGTGCTTAAAAATTGTCTAATGTCAGCTTTATTTGATTTCTAGAAATATCTAAAAATCTTTCTTAAAAGTCTTTGAGAAATCTAGAAAATTTTTGACGTTAATTGATAAAGAAACGAGGGTAATAGTTGCAAAAGAGTGATTGCGCGGCGCACAATGGAATTGCGCCTTACTTGGGGCAAGACAGCCCGAAACCAGATCCGCAGGTGTAATGGGTGTTTGGCGTCTGCGTGGGTGCGCGTTTTGAATTAGCGGTGGCAACGTGATGAGGCACAAAGACACTGAGCACAAAAGATGCATGGAAACCGATACCTGCGCTGGTCATTGTTGCTGTGCGCGACCGACTTATTGGGGTTGAGAGTGGGCGCGCGAAATATCAATGGGACGGACGGAGGGACAGCCTGTGCTGGAAAGGTCGCAGATCGGCCCAAATTCCGCAGAAGATTAGAGAATGAATTGACAGCTTCTGGGAATTAGGATAAAGATCAAAATTACGTAACAGATTATAAAAATTTTACTTAAAATTTATTTTAAACTAAATTTTTCTGATTTGGAGGAAGAATCTTTATTAAGATGTGGCGAGCTATTTGAAAATCAATAAATTTACTAATAATTTTAATTGTTCTTTCCCACTGTATTATCTTTTGATCTATATTTGAAGATTTTTTATTAATATTAATTTAATTAATTCATTATCCCAATTTTCTTAATTTTATTATATATTAGTTAATTTAAGATGAATCTTTCTGGGTGATTCTGTGATACGAGCTGTTTAAAAATCATTGCAGTTATTATTGTTGTTTATTTTTACCAATTGTTAAGTCACATTGTTTACATTCAATTGTTGAAAACAATTTAAATGAAAAGAAAGGTATTGTTGGAAAAAACGACACCACCACTGGCAAGAATTTTGCTAAAACTTCCTTGATCAAAAAGACCCAATCCGCCGCAGTGAGTTTTGAATATTTTTATTTTTCATTTCACTCAATATTACTTTTTGATTTAAATTAAATTTAAAGAATTTATTCATAAAAATTAATTAACTATTTTTTTTTATTACTCTAATTTATTTTGCTTATAAATTATATCAACTTATTTTTATGAAAAACTGAATATTTCTAGTGTGCAAGAAAACTTTTAAAAATTACAACCGATTGAAAACGCTTTCATTTTTTTTTTTACTTTATTTTTCTTATTGATATTTGCAGATATTTTAAAATTTTCCTACTAAATTAATTATAACAAAAAAATTAAACATTTAAATTTTCATAATGTGAGGTTAGTGTTAGTCCAGTCAGCGCGAGGGCGTCTCGTCGGTCGAATCTCTGTGACGAGATTTTGGCGCTCTCGATCTCGGCGCTGGCGCACCTTGGGAAGAGCCACAGCGAGCGGTGCTCCAGTGTATTGATCGGCGCCGGTGCTCATCCGAGCGGGCGCAGCCTCTTGAGTTTGCAAACAGCGCTCCCCTCGTCAGCACCACCTGATTTTGGTCAATAAGTTTTTCGGCCGTGGCTGATGGGCGGCCGAATGAATTTCTTCTCCGAATCGGAATTTCCGCGAGTTGCGCCTTCGAATTAACGCGGACGCAAATATGTTTGGCTCCAGCGCGGGCTATTTTTAGCCGCGCGTGCATCTGCGAGCCGCCCTCGGTGAGTCTGACGACCCCGCGCCGACTTTCAATTAAAGCTCCCTCCTCATTACATAATATAAATCTTTCTCACTGTAAATACCTGAGTGAAGTTTTCAATTTTGTTTTCTCGCCCAATACATTGTCCTCCTCATTGGCACCTCTTTCAGTTTCAATGCCGTGTGTAAATATTTACAATAATAAATAATAAAAACGATATAATGATCATTTCGCGAGTAGACTTGGATTTTTAGCATTTCGAGTGATTTCGATTTTCTCTTGCAATTTTATAGGACCGGCTCAAACTCTCACACACAGTGCTGCGCTCTGATCTCTCTCTCAATCTCTTTTAAGACATTAAATAAACTAAATCTGTAAAAATGTCTCGAGGAAACATTCATTATGTTGGGTCGGGCCTATTGATAGTAGGCAAGTAACAAAACCATATTTATCTCTCTCTTTACTCCGTTCGCTCGCTCGTTCGTTATTCGATTGACTGACTGCATTTCACTCTCTATAGAATGACACTTGATTACATATTACCAAGACTTGGATTTTGATTCGATTTGGTTACAGCTATGTTCTTGCGCATTATTTTCACTTTTGTATAGTTTTTGATTGGCTAATTGCGATGAGCAATGTCCGATGATTAAGGAAGCATGTCCATTATTTAGAGATCACCACGTGTGTCTAGACTAGGTTTAGTAAACAAACAAACCGTGCCAAAAGTTATACATTTGCTCTTTTCCACAAAGATCCCAATTATAATTTTGGAAAAAAAAACTCTTTTGACTTCAGGACGTCTTTGTAAATAATTTTCACTAATGCACTAAAATGATTTAAATTTTAAGGACGTCTTCTATTTTATTCCCTAAAAAAAATGGTTTTCAATCCACCTTAATTAAAAAGAATTGCTTAAATTTAATTAATACGCAGAGATGAATTACAAGAACCAACTCTCACACTTTTGGCACAATAATTTATCTAATTTAATTAATCACCTTTTGATACACGACCAGCAGCATTGTGAGACTTGCATGCGGTAGAGAGTTAATTTTGACGCAGTTTTAAGTGCGAATTAATTGCGACCGACGTACGCTTTGCCTGACACTATTTTCACCGACCGACCGCCTATTATTATTATACTTGCCGCAAATTATGAGAAACATATATTCGCCCTTTTCAGTTTGGCCGCTGCTTCCATGCATATTTATACATAGTGTGTGTTTCTCTCTCACTCTGGACAGATGATATATACAAGCCATCATAGTTTATAGTCGACTGCTTGGCCTGCCTGCTGGTAGATTAGGAGTTACTATTATACACACAGTTGACCGAATCTCTCACTCGCTCGATCAGTTATTTCTGTATGATTTTTGCTGATCGCACTCACACACTTTTTGATTACCAAATTATGAAAAGTATAAATTGAATAATTGCATGCGGCGGCGGCGGCGCGTTTCGATCCAATTGCGGGGCAGATTTTTCTAAAGTTCAGTGCAGGCGGGTGCGTTTCAGCCACCATGATGCTCGGCCGGAAGCAGAGCCTCCGTGGCGACGGCGGACTCGCAGACTACGGCCCCGACGAAGCGCAGGGCGAGAGCACCGAGACCGAGTGGGTCAATAAGGTACAAATTTTTTTCGCCAAATTATATCAGTTTCATTAAAAAATTGATTTATAAAAAAAAGTGAAGTTTATTTGCATCTTTTTTGATGGGCCAGGGCTAAAAACCACAATTTTTGAATGTTTTAACAGAAAAAAATTGATTTATTTTCATAGTTTATTTCAATATTACATTAGAATCAATTAAATGGTATTATTGTTCAATATTAAGTTGTCAAATTAAAAGCAAAAAAAGTGAAAGAATTGATGTGTCTTTTAAAATAGACTGATCATTTTGTAATAACAAAGCTTTCTTATGTTTCATCATGTATTATCAATTTTAAGAATGAGTATTTTCTTTATCTTTTTCCAAATCAGAAAGATTGTTTTCTTTCAATTAATTATTGAAGTAATTGAATTCAATATGTCAGGCTCTCCAAATAAAAATTGTAATAAAAAAATCCAAATAGAGCAGCCAAAAACTGTCGATTTAAAAAAAATTATTGTTGCAAATATAATATTATTAAGTTTGTTTTTAATTACAAATTCCTCAAATTGAATCATTGATTAAAATGCTTAGAATTAATGATGATAATATTAAAAAAGGGTCAATTTTTATATTACATGCTCTTTAAATTTAAGCAATAAGTATGACAAAAAACCAAACAGGGAAGCAAAAAATTGTTAAATTTTCAACATGATTAATGAAAATATATAAATATCAAGTTTTAATTTTTTAATCACATAAGCTATAAAATAAATCGATCTTTAAGATTAAAACACTCATTTTTTTTTTCAAAATTATCAGTGTTAAATTTCGTGTAATATTATTTAAATTAGGTCATGATTTTGGGTTTTTCGGTTGTTTTTTTCAGCTATGGGTGCGTCGGCTGATGCGTTTCTGCGCGCTCGTGTCGCTCTTCTCGGTGAGCCTGAACACACCGAAGACTTTCGAGCGACACCCGAGCCTTCAGTACGTGACTTTCTGCTGCGACGCGATCGTGACGGTGCTGTTCACCGCCGAGATGGTGGCCAAGATGCAAATCCGGGGCATTCTACAGGTCCGCTCACGTAACCGGGGTCGCGGTGCCCCTCCACCCACTTGTACCTCTTTGTTAGCGCCGAGGCTCCTTTCAGGAAACAACCCCGTTGTGCGACCACCTTTACTCGCAGCAAGGGTACCGCCCGAATAGCGGCCAATCTCTTTACTCTCACACTTTTAATTAGATATTTACATATATATCATTCGATGCCTGCGTTCGTTTTTTCATTCTATTAATTCAAAACAATTTCATTAACGGCCTCGAGAGCTGCATCGCACCTTTTGCTCTCTTGGCGCCCCCACGAGACTCTATAGAGGACGCATGGACCCGAGTTCTAAATTCACTCTTGGTTGGTTGGCTCGTTTATTGGCTGATTGATTGACTGATTGATTCGAAAGTCCGCGCATGTCCTTTCCATCAGACCTACAAAGATTCAATTTTGCTCAAAACTATGCGTTCGTCCATAATGAGATCCATTCTTAACTCTAGTTTATAATTATTTAATTAAACATGCATCTTGCGGTGAGGAACTTTGGCGCCAAAATATATCCCATTTTCAATGTAATATTTACATATAAATAATCATGTTTAAAGGGTTTAGAAATTAATAATAAATCAAAACAAAATTCAAAAATTTAAATTAAATAACAAAAATATTTTTTTCATTAATGAAAAAAATAGAATGTTAATGAAAATTTAGTTTAGGAATAAAAAGCCAAGGTGCCTCACCGTCCGCCCGTATTTTGAATTTTTGCATGTCGTACCAACTAGCTAGAAAGCGTGCAGAGTTATAATTCGCAATAATTTCACCGCCAAATTAATTAGATAGGGGGACGTACAACCGAATTATTGATTTCTTGCTTTGATCGCCATTTGAATAAATTATTCCACCTTTGCGTTAGTCGTAGCGCCAGATTTGGTTGTTTTGCGAATCGCCCCCTCTTTTCGAATTCTTTAATGAGATTTTAGGCTCAGTTTTTGATAGTGAGCTTTGGTCGTGCTCTAGGTAGAGTAGACAAGCTTGTCGCCCGCCGATTTCTCTGTTTGCAAGTCGGGTTTTTAACGCAAGTGGTGCCTGTCCCGCAGGGCGAGACCCCGTACCTGAAGGACCACTGGTGCCAGTTTGACGCCAGCATGGTCCTCTTCCACTGGGTCTCCATCGTGCTGCAGTCGTGCGAAATCCTGGGCGTCGTCGGCAGGTACAGCTACTTGTCCATCCTCAGGGCGCCGCGCCCACTCATCATGATCAGGTTCATCAGGGTCTTCCTCAAGTTCTCCATGCCCAAGTCCAGGATCAACCAGATTTTCAAGTTCGGATTTTGATTATCAATATTTGCATTTTGAAAAAAAAATTAATACTTGCAGACGGTCGAGCCAGCAGATCTACAACGTCACCCTGTTCTTCCTCTTCTTTATGTCCCTTTACGGCCTCCTTGGTGTACAATTCTTTGGAGAATTGAAAAACCACTGCGTCCTTAATGATACCGATCCAAAGTAAATGTAAAAATAATAAATTTAAGTTAAAATTAATTATTTTAACCGCAGTTACATTACAATTAACTCTTTGGCCATCCCGGACACCTTTTGCTCGACGGACCCTGACTCAGGTTACCAGTGTCCACCCAATATGAAGTGCATGAAACTCGGACTTTCAAAGTACACGATGGGGTTTAACGGATTTGATGAGTTTGGTTGGTATAAATTTCTAAATCAATCTCATGATAACATAATTAAAATATATTAAAAAAAAATCTTTTTTCAGCCACATCGATTTTTACGGTGTATCAAGCGGCGTCACAAGAGGGGTGGGTTTTCATCATGTATCGGGCGATCGACTCGCTGCCGGGGTGGCGCGCCGTCTTTTACTTCAGCACCATGATCTTTTTCCTTGCTTGGCTCGTCAAGAACGTTTTCATTGCTGTCATCACGGAGACGTTCAACGAGATCAGAGTGCAGTTTCAGCAAATGTGGGGCGCCAGGGTGCAAATCAGCAGCAGCGCCGCCTCACACGTGAGCTCCCCTATTTGTTATTATTCATGACAAAGAAAATCAGAATCGATACAAAAAAGCTCAAGATGAAGTAAAAAGGCGCCTGTCGAGTTGGCGGTTATGCAACTTGCATGGCTCTCGTGTGCACCAAAAAGCCTAAAGCCTCTCAAAGCAGTTTTCATTTTTTATCAAGATTTTTTCTGATACATTAAAATTTACAAATTAAGGTGGCTAGGAAATGAATTGAGCTTTTTTTATCCATTAAAAAAAAAAAAGATTGTCATTAAAATATTTCCACAAAGGTTTTGAGTGGCGACGACAGCGGATGGCGTTTGGTCAAAGTGGGCGAGAGTCGTCAGCACGGTTTGGCGCCGGATTGCTGCCAGGCGGTGCTGCGGTCAGCGTGGTTCCGGTTGCTGGTCATGTGCGTGATCCTGGCCAACGGGGTGGTCACCGCCACCATGAACTTCAAGCACGACGGCCGTGCCCGCCGCGTATTCTACGAGCGCTACTATTACATCGAAGTTTGCTTCACGGTTCTGCTTGACCTGGAGACCCTGTTCAAGATCTGGTGCCTCGGCTGGCGCGGCTACTGGCGCCACTCGTACCACAAATTTGAGTTTTTGCTCGCCATGGGCACCACCCTACACATCGTGCCCCACCTCTATCTTTCCTTCCTCACATACTTCCAGGTTTTTATTAAAATTGAATCTTTAAACTCAAAATAATACAAATTTAACCGATTGATATAGGTGCTAAGGGTCGTTAGACTGATTAAGGCGTCGCCAATGCTTGAGGATTTCGTCTACAAGATTTTCGGCCCAGGAAAGAAGCTCGGAAGTCTGATGATCTTCACCATGTGCCTGCTGATTATTTCCTCCTCTATTTCCATGCAGCTTTTCTGCTTTCTGTGTGACTTTACAAAATTCGAGAGCTTTCCTGAGGTAACATTTTAAACTTTGTTTTTTATTTTTCATAAAAATAATTTGGAATTTTGGACACAGGCTTTCATGTCCATGTTTCAAATCCTTACACAAGAGGCGTGGGTGGAGGTGATGGACGAGACGATGCTGCGCACAAGGGAAACCCTGGCGCCGCTGGTGGCCATCTACTTCATCTTGTACCATCTGTTTGTGACGCTGATCGTGCTCAGCTTGTTCGTTGCTGTCATCTTGGACAACTTGGAGCTGGACGAAGATATCAAGAAGTTGAAGCAGCTCAAGTTCCGCGAGCAGAGCGCTGAGATCAAGGAGACGCTGCCCTTCCGCCTGCGCATTTTTGAGCACTTCCCTGACTCGCCCAAAATGTCTACCCTGCACAAACTACCCTCCGACTATATCTTGCCCAAGGTCCTGATTATTTTGTCACTCCAATTGAAAAAAAATAATTGATAAATTTGCAGGTACGAGACAGCTTCATGCGGCAGTTTGTGATAGACAGCGGGCTGTACGGCGCTGAAGCGGACGACGAGGAAGACGTTGCTGACGTCACCGGCAAGAAACGACTCGAGGCTTTTGACTCCAAGATCGTGTACCGAAAGGGCCGCCCAGTGAACACCCTGTGCTGCACTGACAAAGTGCGAAACATCAGTTCTGATCTGCGCAAAGCGGCCATCCAATATATTATCAAGTAATATTTACATTTTCTAAATATCAAATATTAAAATAAAATATTTTCAGCGATTCAAACAACCAGCGACTTATGCTGGGCGATTCGGCAGTTATTCCCATCCCAGGTAAGACCACCCTGAAGCCGCAAGGTACAATAAGCAGTGCCAAGCAACTGAGGATCGACCAGAAAAAGTACGTTTATTTGGGTTCTAGTAGTAAAATTCCCCCCTTGAACGGCCATTACTCGAACTTAATGCAGGTCATTGCGTAGGAGCGTACGGAGTGGTTCGATCAAGTTGAAGCAAACCTACGAGCACCTTCTGGAGAACGGCGACATCGGCGGGATGAACAGAGTGTCGTCGTCGCGGCGGCCACAGGATCTCGACATCAAGTTGCTGCAGGCCAAGCGACAGCAGGCCGAGATGCGGCGCAACCAGCGCGAGGAAGACCTCAGGGAGAACCACCCTCTCTTTGACACACCCCTCTTTGTGGTACCCCGCGAGAGCCGCTTTCGACGAATCTGCCAAACTATCGTCCACGCCCGTTACGACGCCAGGGTCAAGGACCCGCTCACTGGCAAAGACCGAAAGATGAACTACAAAAGACTGCAGTATGAATTTTTCAATATATGCCATGAAATTAATTAATAACTCTACTGAAAAACGTCTCAATCTTATTGTCTCATAAATTTAAAAAAAAAAAAACTAACAATAAGACCCCCCAAAGTTGTCAAGTCTTTCGTTTTAAAAATAGAAAATCCAATTTCAAATTCTCCCATTTTTTTTCCAAAACTTATTACGACATATTGATTTTTTTTTTGTGCATTTTCAACAGCAATTTCCTTGGATTGGTGACATACTTGGATTGGGCGATGATCTTTGTGACGACATTGTCATGCATGTCAATGATGTTCGAGACGCCAAAGTTCAGGGTGCAGGAGTCTCCAGCCCTTCAAATCGCCGAGTACGTGTTCGTCGTGTCCATGAGTCTAGAATTGGCCCTGAAGGTGCTGGCCGACGGCCTCTTTTTCACACCCAAAGCCTACGTCAAGGACTGCGCCACCGTGCTCGACATTTTCATTTACATCGTGAGTTTTGACAAGCCCAATTTAAAGAAGGCCCTGACTGGGTGCATTTTTCAGGTGAGCCTGGTGTTCTTGTCGTGGATGCCGCGTAAGGTGCCGCCGCACTCGGCGGCGCAGCTGCTGATGATCTTGCGCTGTCTGCGTCCGTTGCGGATCTTCACGCTGGTGCCGCACATGCGCAAGGTGGTGTACGAGTTGTGCCGCGGCTTCAAGGAAATCCTGCTCGTATCCATCCTGCTCATCGTGCTCATGTTCGTGTTCGCAAGCTACGGTGTCCAGCTTTTCGGCGGCCGACTCGCGCGTTGCAACGACCCCAGCATTGAGCGCCGCGAAGACTGCGTCGGCGTCTTCCTCCGCAGGGTCTTCGTAACCAAGATGAAACTCGGCCCTGGCGAGAATGAGACTTACCCCTCCATGCTTGCCCCCAGAGTCTGGTTCGTACACTTCAATAATTAATTTGCTTAAAATGAGCTTCTTAATTAGAAACTAAAACTAATTAAACCTGAAATTTCAAATTATTCCGCCAGTTATATTAAAAACTTTGGTGCCATCAAAGCTGTTTTTTTTTTTTTTAAACTAGGATTGGAATAAGTGGAATTAATAAACAATTTCTTCCATTTTTAAGGACTCTTAATTGACATCGTTAAATCAAGTCTTTACAACAATGGTGCTTGAATTTCCAAATAATTGTTAAATGTTTCCTTTTGTTGAAAAGACTTGATTTGACTATGTGAAATAAGAGGCCTTAATTATCTTACAAAAGAAAGTTGAATTGAATGAAATATAATTATACAAAATTTTAATTTTTTTTTTAAATAAATAGGGCAAACCCAAGACGGTTCAATTTTGACAACATTGGCGACGCGATGCTCGCCCTTTTTGAGGTTTTGTCTTTCAAGGGGTGGCTCGACGTGAGAGACGTTCTGATCAAAGCTCTCGGCCCGGTAACCCTTTTTGCTTTTTATTTTTATGGCGAGAAATAAAACAAATGTGTTTGGCAGGTGCATGCGATTTACATCCACATTTACATTTTCCTCGGCTGCATGATCGGGCTGACCCTTTTCGTGGGCGTGGTGATCGCCAACTACTCGGAGAACAAGGGCACGGCCCTTCTGACCGTCGACCAGCGCCGATGGTAATATTGAATTTAGGGCCGCAATGTAATCGTAAAACTTTTCCGACAGGTGCGATTTGAAGAAGAGATTGAAAATCGCGCAGCCACTCCACCTGCCACCGCGGCCAGACAGAAAAAAATTCAGGGCCTTCATTTACGACATAACGCAGAACCTTTACTTCAAAAGGTTCATCGCCGGAATGGTCCTTCTCAACAGCAGCCTTCTCTGTGTCTCGGTAAATTTTAACTGTTATTTTTTTTCTAGTGGTTCCAAATTTTGAAATTGTATAACGTACTAATGAGTAAAATGGTTTCAAGTTTTAAATAATAAAAAATACTTATTTAAAATTGAATATGCATAAAAAAAATCAATCTTCAAATTTTTAATGTTTTTATGTGTTTTAAAATTTCAAAGTTCTGATTAATCATTGTACAATTCTAAAATTTAGTAATACAATTTGATTTGTGACTTAAGTGTTTTATAAATAGACAAAATATAATTATATAATATATTCACATTCGCTGTTGCTGACTTGGCATTTGAAAAACCCCCATTAACTTTTTTTAAATTACTTTGAAGAGATCTTTCATAGAACAGAATATAATTGAAGTGACTTTTCATGTATTTCTTGCTCTATATTTCCTTTCTAGTGGAAGCAAGAGGAGCGACATACAGGCCCCTTGGCGATGGTGTCAACCGTGCTGACTCTGATCTTCGTCGTGGAGGTCTTGATGAAAATAATCGCCTTCACGCCGCACGGCTACTGGCAGTCGCGACGAAACCGCTACGACCTCTTTGTCACCGTCATGGGCGTCCTCTGGATCGTCCTTAACTCGTGGCTCCGGGTGATTAGACTTTTTTTTCTTTCCATCATTTTTCTCTTTTTCATACATTTCTTTTCAATGAATCGTAGAACGACGTGAGCTACAGCTTCGGGTTCATGGTGGTGATCCTGCGTTTCTTCACCATCACGGGCAAGCACGCCACCCTGAAAATGCTGATGTTGACGGTCGGCGTGTCCGTCTACAAGTCCTTCTTCATTATTTTTGGAATGTTTCTGCTCGTCTTTTTCTACGCGCTCGCCGGCACCATCCTCTTTGGCACCGTCAAGTACGGCGAGGCCATCGGACGGTCAGTTCTTTCATTTTGCCTCAATTTCTCAATTTAATAAATTTCACTTGGAAATTAGGCGGGCGAATTTTGAGAGCCCGGTGACAGGGGTGGCGATGTTGTTTCGCATCGTAACCGGCGAGGACTGGAACAAGATCATGCACGACTGCATGGTGCAGCCGCCCTATTGCACCCTAGCGGACAATTACTGGCAGACCGACTGCGGCAACTTCACCGCCTCGCTCGTCTACTTCTGCTCCTTCTACGTCATCATCACCTACATCATGCTCAACCTACTTGTGGGTAAGGCGACCCAGATAATGTCATAATTAGCCACTTGAGACTTTCACCCTCTTCAAACAAGCTTTCATTTGAGCACGTATATAACCGTGATTCGCAAACAAGGTTTGGTCTCTTCGCTTTATTGCTTATGTCGAGAGACGATTCCATACGTTTGCGTAGATATTTGGCAAAAACATTTTAGCAAAATATTTAACAATTTATATTTTTTTTTAAATGATTGAAATTCTAATGCCGCATTGAAAAATGTGTAATTTGTATTATTCCTGCAAGAAAAAAAACAAAGAAAAAAATTAATGAAGGAATTTAAACTTGAAAAATGTGGTAAACCTCAAAATTTCACAAATTGTTTGCAAAAATCATTATGCAAATGCATATTTAAAAAACGTTTTACTAGAATTTTTATATATTAATAAAAATTTCCAGTTCATATGTTTTCTGATATTTTATTTGGAAAAACGTTAAAAAATTATCATATTTTTGTATAATAATGACTTAAAATTCCTGTACAGTTATAACATTCAAAATATATTATTACTTAAAGAAATTTATAATTATCTTGCATTCGCAGCTATTATCATGGAGAACTTTTCCTTATTCTACTCAAATGAAGAAGACGCCTTGCTTTCCTACGCCGACATCCGCAACTTCCAGAACACGTGGAACATCGTGGATATCCACCAGCGTGGTCTGATCCCGGTAAAGCGAGTCAAGTTCATTTTGCGGCTGTTGAAGGGTCGTCTCGAGGTGGATCCGCAGAAAGACAGATTGCTCTTCAAGCACATGTGCTACGAACTTGATCGTCTGCACAACGGCGAGGACGTCACATTCCACGACGTATTAAAGTAAATTTCAATTATATTTTTTACTTTTGAAGAATCAAACTAAATTGGAAAACATTTTAGTATGCTTTCGTATCGGTCGGTTGACATCAGGAAGGCGCTGCAGCTGGAGGAACTATTGGCGCGCGAGGAATTCGAATACATTGTGGAGGAAGAAGTGGCCAAGCAGACCATCCGCACCTGGCTCGAGGGCTGCCTCAAGAAAATGCGATCAGTGAATGTGAGTTTGACTCTTAAAAAAAAAGTATCAGAAGCTTATTGATTGATGGGATTTGGGGCGGCAGAAAAACCAACCAAACCTGTTGAGCGGCCTGAGGGCGACGCACCAAAGGACTGAGGCTGAGAGCCAGGAGGAGAAAAGCACTGACAACACTACTGACGCCGACGTTGAGCCGGCGGCCAGGGTAAATAACAAATTATTTTGCCAAAAATAGAGACAAAAGGTTAAATTAAAATTTAAAAAAATAAAGTAATTAAAAAATTTGGATTTTCTCGGCCTTTACTATTAATTTCTTTTTTAAACCATCGCTAGAAAAAGAATTGAGCATTCTCTGAACTATTTCTGGAACAAAGCGTCTAAATCATTCTAATTTTTACAAGGGCAACGTGCCAAAGTAAATGAAAATCTCTAAGCTAGGAACATTCCTTCAGCTTACATTAACATCTTTTTGGCAAGACGTTTGAAAACAAGGCAATTATTTTGACATCTGCTTTTAAAACAGCTACAAAAGATTCTCTTTCTGCTTTCTTATTATGAGTATATAAAATGATGGTAAGTGAAAAAAGTAGATTGTTAAAAGTTACAGCTATCCTAATAGCCAAAATTCTTCACTTGAAAAAAAAATTATTTTTCTAGTTAAATTGGCATCATTTCATTTTTATCCAGTAAATATTTTGCTTTTTATCAAATTAGGAAGGTCACGAAAGACACCGGAAGAAGGGGACAGTGATTCCGCGGTCGGATTCGGTTGGTTCCGGTTCTGGCCGCAAATATCTGGCGCCCACTTTGTCTGACCCCCAGTCCAGGGCTGAAAAGAGTGAAGCACGGAATACCGCATCCATCAAGAAAAAGTCGATCAGGGCGACAGGCAAGTTCCTTTTTTTATTCAAAGAAAGGTGTAATTTATTTTTAATTTCTCAATTCGAAGGAAACGCAGGAAAGACGCAGAGTATGGAGACGAGCAGCAGCGGCGGCCACCCGCCCAGCTCGACTTCGAGCAGCAACAAAGTGGACGCCAGCGGCTTCAACAAGGCGACCATGCCACGCATCAGCAACGCCATGCAAGAGGTGCGCGACTGGTGGAGCGAGCAGCTCGCTTACGACAGCGGATCCGAAGATGGCCTTTGACTTAACATTTAAAAGAAAGAAATGAAACCAGAGCTGTGTTTTAAGCTTAAAATCGAAATATGATAGAACCAGTGTAATTTTATTAGAGAATCATATTTACTGTGCCGGTTGGCAGATTTAGTGCTGTTGATGTTGCGAGAATGAATGTTTATATTTAAGAAAGTGGTTGTTTGTTTTCAAGACCCGCCGCGATCACTGCCAGAGAGAGCTGGTCCATTAATTAACGCAGCGGAAAGCACGTCTTTCATAACTCACAGAAGGAAACAAAGATGTGGGCAAACAGAAATGAATACTATTTATTTATTCTTTTTAGAGGCAAATATATGAACAGCCAAAAGAAGGAAAAATTTAATTTAATAATTTAATTTTATAAAACATTGAAATGAAATTTATAAAAAATTAACCTCTACCAAAATGAAATTTGCAAAGAAAATGTTATAATTATTTTAAGAAAATTAATGATTGAGAACTTCAAATTCTAGTCAACTTATTTGAGCCAACCATTATTATTTTTTATTTTTGCAAAAAAAATTTAATAGATTTTTTTGTTTCCAATGTGAACCGAGTTAGTGGTTAATTATTGTTGTTTATTTGTCTAAATTGTTGCATCATATAGTTTAAATTCAATTTGTGAAAACAATTTATTTGTAAAGAAAAAGCTTCAGAAATCAAAAAGACCCCAAAAAGGCCGCAGTGAGCCTTAAATTAGTTTTTGTCTAAAAGTTTTTGAATAATTCAAGCGATGAGCGATGATGAAGAAAAAAAATGTGAAAAAAGGTGCAGGAATTTATTTGCAAAAGGGTTGAACAGTAAAAACTGTTCTTTCCTCGAGTTGGATTGATGCGACCTTGCAGGCGGGCGACGGGAGGCGGAATGGAAGGAAAGGGTCGGGAGCGAGCGAGCGGTGCTGGGGATCGGGAGGGTTGCTGACGTCAGTGGTGGGCGCAAGAAACGGTGGCCCGTCTCCATGGCTACCCGGGGAAACTATCGGAAGCGAATATGTGGAACAGGGGGGCGCGTGCGCGCTGGCCGCTGGTCTAATGCGCCGAGGGCCATCATGGAGACGGCGGCCGACGACAAGTCGCGGGTGTGCTGGTGCTGGTGCTGAGCGTCTTGGTGCGGCCGAACGAGTGCGTTGGTCCGAGTGGACGGTCCGTCGCGGGTGGGCCCAGTGGGCAGCAGTGCTTCAGTCTCGTCGCCGACGGTGAGTTGCGCCCGCAGAAGTGCCGACCTGTTGGGGCCGATCGAGTGTGTGTGCGAAAGAGTGGCAGCTTAGGTGTTCGAGAGGCCTCTCGATTCGAGCGGCGCCTCCAGCTTGTTTTCCTTCGTTAGCCTGGGTGTGCTCAGGGGCCCTCGAGACGAACGCCCGTCGCAGCCACCGGTGCTCCACGACGCCCTTTGTCAATCGATCTCTCGCAATCGCGAGTGCGAGAGTGAGTGAGGAGCGAGTGGCCCATGCCCGCCCGCCCGCCAGCGAGCCGAGCGAGACCAGATCGTTAAGCGCCGCCGATTTATTTCCCTTCGCTCACTCTCTGGCCGCGGTTTCTCCAGCACCGACTCGGGATTCCCGAAAGATCAAATCGCTAAAATTTTCTTTTTTTGCAACTTCCTTTTTTTAAATTGATTGCATTGACTCGGGTTGAAGATCATTTTAAGAAAATAAAGAATAATTTAATTCATATTCTAGTCTTGAAGTGCAAACTCTAGTTTTTTTCTTAAAGAACAAAAGTGAAAAAGAATTATAAAATCAATTCTCTAGTCTGGGTGGTTAATTAATATCAGGTTTTATTACAAAATAATCTGATTAAATATAAGTTATTCTAGGAAATACCCGAGTAAAATGGCCACCCTAATGGAATATTAATCTATTACGAAATGATATTTAATCGTCATGAAAGAAAACCAATTTGTCTTTCATGAAAAGAAGACAAATCTGTTCTTAGTGGTGAATAAATCTTAAAAATCTCATAATTCATTTTCTTTTCCACTTGACAAATGCACTTTAAAGTTGAGCCCATAAACACGCCACGTATTTAAAGCGCGGAGAGATAAGACGCGCTCAACAAATCGAAAGAGCAACACTTTGCAGCTCGTTCGTCACGAATTCTTGGCGTGGCCGAAATAATAAACATCCGCGAGAGCGCAATGATCCAACTTTGAGCCAGCTGTTGGCCCGACGCCTGCGGACGGCGGAGGGTAGGCAACCCGCTGGACGCGGCTGACCGACTGTTTGCCTACGCGTCGGAAGTGTACCTTTGCAATCGGGACGGGCGGAAGGAGAAATAAGTGTGTCGAGTTGTCGGTCGACCGAGCGACGCAGGCGAAATCAATTCACGTCGGACGCTCGGCGGCGGCGGCAGAGCTTTGATCGATAGGCCTTTGCGTAAACACAGCCAGTGCGTTTCACAAAAGGCAAAAGCAGCAGAGAAAAAAACAATCGATACGCGCGCGAAAGGTTATTTAAGGAGAATTTCTTATTAATGTGCTGAGATGTCTTTTTGAATGCCTAATGCAAAGTAAATGTTTTCCGCCCTCGCCGAGCTGATGAGAAAAAAACAGGCAAAAAATAGCAGATAAGGAGGAGCGAATCACATGCGTTTCCAACATTAGAGAGGTAAAAAATAGCCACTGAAGCTTAACGATTGGAGATATGAATTTTATTAATATCCAGATATTTTCTTTGAACTAAGTAAGATTTTAATAAAAATTCTTTAAATTTCAATACAATTAATATGACTTCTTAAATTTAATTTTTTTTTTTCAAGTTTCGAGTGACGGAAAAATGTTGTTGCGAGAAGTTTTTGGCGTGTTTGTATTTATCGGCGGCACTCGTACGCTATTGATTTTGCTGGGCGCTTATCGGCGACTGAAATCTTTCTCTTGCTCTCTCGTGTGTGTTGCAACAGGCCTGCGTGCAATTATGCGGACAGCCACGCACGTGGTGCCGCGGGATGCCTGGGTTTTTTTGTACATTTCTTTTTTCAAGAAATATTTCCAAACGACAAACGATTCACTTCAATCGGCCGGCAGCTTGGCTTTTCGCCTTTGATTTCTTCCTTTGAAGCGAGATATACATATTTTTTTTATTTCTTTCTGTGGTGGAGAGCGTCGGCGGCCGTAGGACGGGCCAAATGGGTCAGCGCGGCTCCCTTGGCGGGGTCAGGGGTGGATCGGAGCGTGTCATTGTGATAAACAAAGGCGGTAATGTTTTGATAGCGGTCTCGTGCTTTTGTCAAAGTCTGTACCGCCGGCAGCAGCGAGTCGATCGTTACCCCTGCCAGCCCGTGCTGCCGTGCCCGTATAGACGGGGGTGCGCACCACCGCTCCGCGCACCCTTCCTCCGCCACTTCCGCAAGTCCCACGAACCCACGGACGAACACCTGAGGAACGGCAATCGAAACCTTCCTTTTTGTCTCCGATTGAAATTCGACTCGCACGTGCTGCTCCGCATTTAGCCCAATTTCAACAAAGGCGCCGCGCAAATTGTTCCACTTGGCTTTCTTTGTTATCCCTTTCAAAAAGAGACAGAATTGTCAAAACTCTTCGCGATTTGATTATTGAAAGTTTAGGGCTTGAATAAGCGTGCATGAATCACTTCATCGGAATTCAATTACCAGAAGGAAAATTGCATTTTTCATCAAGACATAAAAAATTCACGGCGCGTATATAAAAAGCCATTAGGGACGAGTCAACAACAAATCAGCGGCCTTGGTCAATCAATCTATTTTTAATGGTTGCAGACGATGAGGGCGATGGCGTGATGCGAAGCTGCAGGGGTTGGATAAAAAAGAAACGATGCTGCCGGACCTGACGTAGCCTGCCCCCCTTGACGCAGCCATGAATCTGCTGAACATGGACGCGGAGAACCGCGTCGTGCTCAACGTCGGCGGCATCCGCCACGAGACGTACAAGGCCACCCTCAAAAAGATCCCCGCCACCAGGCTGTCGCGACTCACCGAGGCCCTGGCCAACTACGACCCTATTCTCAACGAGTACTTCTTTGACAGACATCCCGGCGTCTTCGGACAGGTTCTCAATTATTACAGGTAAAAATAAAATACTTTCATTTGCGGCCGAAATAAAAGGATGACAAGTCCAAACGAGGGGGAATTGAGTGGCTCTGATTAATCGCCATGCCAATATTTGCAACATTACGTCGGATGATTGATGTGCCACTGCATTTCGAAATCGCTTATTGATGGACCCACTCCAGTGATACCCCCGCACGAAATCTTTTTTCTCTCTGCCCTGTTTTTTTCCATTTCCTCTCCAGCAAACTCTCTTTTTATTTCCAAGTCTTATGAACTTTTTATAGTTCTTAATAAGTGCCCCATTTGCTTAATAAAATCTCTTGCGGGCAGAACCGGCAAACTGCATTACCCCACAGATGTGTGCGGCCCCTTGTTTGAGGAGGAGCTCGAGTTCTGGGGGCTCGACGCTAACCAGGTGGAACCGTGTTGCTGGATGACCTACACGCAGGTTGGTTTATGGTTTAATTTTTAACGTAAAATATAATGTTTAATGTTTATATTGGTGAAATTAATAAGAAAATATCTGAACAATGCATAAAATTATTATTATTTTTTTTAAATTAAACTTCATTTTTTATTAAACCAGATCATGACATTTTAGCGCAATTGATAATTAAAAAAAAAACTGAAAATAATTTCACTTTAAAACAATTTACTAGGTTAGAAATTAGTTTCAAAATACCCAAGGAGGTGAAATTTAAGTTTTCAACAAAATCAAAACTTTTACTCTTAATTAATACTGCATAAAAAATGATCATTTTCAAATATCTTTAGTTAAAAAAATTATGTAAATAACTTAAAAAAAATTATATTCCTTTGCAGCATCGAGACACGCAAGAGACCTTAGCGGTGCTAGACAGACTAGACCTGGACACGGACAAGCCCAGCGAGGAGGAGATGGCGCGGAAATTTGGCTTCGAGGAGGACTATTTCCGGGGCACTGTTTCCTGGTGGCAGAGAATGAAGCCCAACATTTGGTCCCTCTTTGACGAGCCTTACTCAAGCACGTCCGCAAAGGTAGTAAATTTTCATCCACAACATTTTTATTTTTTTAATTCAATAATAAAAAATTGAAAAGTACCTGCCACGAGTGGTAAATTTTAAATTAAATATTTCTGTTTTTACAGATCGTGGGCCTGCTGTCTGTTTTCTTCATCTGCGCGAGCATCATCTCGTTCTGCCTGAAGACGCACCCTGACATGCGGGTGCCGGTGATCAGAAACTTCACAGTGAGCACGTCGTCGAATACTTCAGCGTGGATGCTGGACAAGACGCAGACGAACGCGCACGTCGCCTTCTTCTACATCGAGTGCATTTGCAACGCGTGGTTCACTTTAGAGATCACGATGCGGTTCGTGTCGACGCCGAGCAAGTGCGTCTTCATCAAGTCGAGCGTCAACGTGATCGACTACATCGCCACCCTGAGCTTCTACGTCGACCTGATCTTGCAGAAGTTCGCCAGCCACCTGGAGAACGCAGACATCCTCGAGTTCTTCTCCATCATCCGCATCATGCGACTCTTCAAGCTCACCAGACACAGCTCGGGCCTCAAGATCCTCATCCAGACGTTCCGCGCCTCCGCCAAAGAGCTCACGCTGCTCGTCTTCTTCCTTGTCCTCGGCATCGTCATCTTCGCCAGCCTCGTCTATTACGCAGAGCGCATCCAGGTCAGTTGCAACCCCAAATCTCACCCCCTCACGCCTCTCAGTACGTATATCTCTCTCAATTTCAAAAACTTGTGTCGCCCGCCGAAAGGTATAGCAGCAGCTTTTTCATCACAAATTTTTCCATTCTACATTTTTCACCCCCTCCTCTTAATGTGCTTGCCTTTTTTGTCCCTCTTTAACCGAAAGGTTGCATCTTGCGATTTTTTTTACTCAAGCACGCTGCAGAATTAGTAGAGTTATTAGAAATTAGTTTTTTTTACAATTGGTTTTCCAATCAGAATTTTTTTTTTCACAGTAAAAACATTGTGAAATTCGGCCTGCTTGGAGCAGTCGTAACTTTTGGCCGGCGTTATGTTTTGCTTATGTTAATTTGAATTTAAAAAAACGATTGGGATTTTTTATGTAATATTTCAAGTTTTGATTATCTAAGTACTATTTGATCGAATGATATTCTCAATAAAACTTATTAATTATTAGATATTTGTATTTTACGCTGGTCATAACTTCAATGATTGGTGTAAATTTAACGTCTTTCCGGCGCCAATATATTTATTTATTTATTTTCCACGAGGGAGAAACTTTGTTTTCGCATCTCCTTTTTGTGCAGAGATTCCTGCCTGACTAATTACTAATTTGGCCAAATCGCTTTTCAGGCAAACCCGCACAACGACTTCAACAGCATCCCGCTGGGACTGTGGTGGGCCCTGGTCACCATGACCACCGTCGGCTACGGCGACATGGCGCCAAAGACCTACGTGGGCATGTTTGTGGGGGCGCTGTGCGCCCTGGCTGGTGTGCTCACCATCGCCCTTCCTGTGCCTGTCATCGTCAGCAATTTTGCCATGTATTACTCTCACACCCAAGTAAGTTCAACCACATTTTTAATTTTATAAATTTATTTTTAGAACTTTTTAATTAACCTGTAAAGGTAGGGCTCTCTAAATTAGTAGCATAATTTATTATCCAAATTTAATATTTCATAAAATATTTATAATAATTTTTATGCAAGATATTCATTTCATATATAAAAAAATAAATATATTTTATAAAAAAGTGATTTTTTTTTTAAATCAGACTTTTACTCAAATTTTTTTTATTAACTTCTTAATCATGCGATTTTGAAGTCTATTAAACCCGTGTTTAAGCTAATTTCCGGACCAGCTGAACACAGCTTGTTTTCACAGTGCAACGAAGAGCTAATGAACTCTCTGTATGGTTTATTTTTCTGTTTGCTATGTGTATGCCTCTTTGACACATTGCGCGCCCTCACGAGAAAACAAACAGACGTAACGAGAGCTCTTTACAACCTCGTCGGCAAATGTTGACCTAATTTTTAACTCTTTTTTTTATACCCTCGTATTTTTTGTTGTAATCAAGAAAATTTGTATTGTTTTTCGCAGGCACGCGCAAAACTGCCGAAGAAGCGAAGGCGAGTACTTCCAGTTGAACCTTCCCGGGGGCCGCGGTTGCCCGGGGCTCCCCCAATCCCGGGCTGTCCCGGCGGGGGTCCAGTGCTGGGCGGGGTCCCTTGTGCGGGCGGAGGTCGCGGGGGCGGGAATCAGGGGGGTGGCGTTGTCGGCCTCGGGGGCGGTCCCGTGGGGGTTGGGGGCGTCGGAGGCGTCGTCGGAGGCGGCGAGCCGCAAAACCGCCGCATGAACGCCATTAAGCAAAACCACCCGAAAGAGGCGCTCGGCCACAAAATCGGTAACGACAGTATCATAAACTACATCCCCATGTAAAAAAAAAACCGAGAGTCAGTTTGACACACTCACGTTTGACAAAGCAACAACTGACCCTTAAAATGAGAGTAATTACTTGAATATACTTAAATAAATAAATAAAAGCCTCCGTGTTTCGGTTTGCAGCAGAACAAAAACCCTTCCGGTAGTAAATTACCCCCCGCCCCCCGAATCTACCCCCACCACCCCTCCATCGCACTCTATATATATAATTTTAAATTGACCAATTTTGTGTCGCTTTGAAACCCCAACTGGCACCGCGAGGAGTTTTTTTGGCACAGAATTACACAAACTCACTCTTTTCGACACACTTGTTTTTCCGTGTAAATATTATAGACAAACACTTACACGCAAAAATTTGAGGCACAAATACACACGTTGAGGTTTGCGAGTGCGTAGGCTTGGTAGTTTTCGGAGCGAAATTAAGCACTGGTGTGGGCGTGCACGTAGCCATCAGACTAATAGCAGCCGTTTTGCCATTCAAGTCGGGGGCGCTACAACGAGTGCTAACGGCGCGCCGGACCTGCCGGGCTGTTCCTCTTCTTCCGGACCACTGCCGCCCCTCCGAGCAGCCGCAGGACGCCAGCTGCCCCTGGACTCGGACTCGGACCGTCGCCGCTGACTCTTTTTGTGATAATAACCAAAGTGAAAACAACTACTACAGTGGACTCGGAACGAGCTGTTTGTTATTTCCCGCAAAATCCGTTCTTTCGGTGTGTGCTTGCGTTCGCATTTTTCATCATTGTTATTGTTTCCTCGACGCCGCGAACAGAACAAAAAGAAAAATATGTAACTCAGAGAGCAATGACAAATCAATCGAAAGCAAATCTGACACGCTTTACATTGAGAGAGACCACGAAACACACTATGACGTTATTTATTGTTGTACTATGATGTGCACCCAAATTGGCAATAATAACCCGCTGAGATTGTAAAAATTGAGAAAAACACACATACAAAAACAGGTGGGAGTCTCTGCTTCTCGGCGATTGCTTATTAAAGTGTATTTTTTTTCAAATGATTAAGCTCAAAACGATAAACGAGTGAAATTTTCAATTACAAATTTGGTGTTAACTTGTTGCAAACCGTCGTTGCAGGAAACATTTGATTTTTCAAACATACATTTTTTTAAATTTAATATTCAGAGACTTCTGCCTAAAAACACTTATTTTTTTGTTCTAAAAAAAATCAATGATAATTACATTGAACAGAATCTTTGACTCGAACGCTTTTTGGAATTTCCTCGCGTGGAGTTTGTTGTTTAAAAGGAGAGGACCGAAGTCGCTTTCCTCTGCATCGGCCAATTCGGCCGTCGGTTTCTGTCCAGTATTAAGAGATTTTATTGTTACACAATTTGATTCGCGAAAGTTATACAAATATTGTAACATGTATCGATTACTGCATATTGTACTGCTAACAGGAAGAAGTCAAATCCATCGAATCTCACACGTTGTATCGAGATTTACCTAGGGTACATATTCATGATTAACGAGACACGCATAATATTATATCCTGCTGATAATAAGCGAGGCCGCCTAGTGACTGTAGCGTGGTTGAGCGAGCAAGACGACAAGATTTTTCAAATTAAACACAAATATGAATTTAAAACTTACAATAAAACAAAATCAGCGTAGCAGGCGAGAGTTTTAAAAATGGGAACAAAGTTTTTACTCAGAGACGTGTGTGAGTTCATAAGTATTTGCTGCATCATAATTCTCTCTTTATATGCGCAGGTTACTCAAAAATCACATATTATATATTCGGAATTCTCATTCTAAAGGTCTTGAAATATTTTTAGCCACGTAAATCAATTTAAAGATAAATAAAAAAAAGATTAAAATTATATGAGGAAATAAAGCGTGTTGAAATAAACTTGAATAAATTGATTTCAATGATAAAATGTAGACCAGCATTATAGCATATCCCAGACATATTGTATTTGAAAGCAGGGTTGGCGAGAGAAGGGCGAAACTACGAAGGGTGCCGGCAACCCTTTTTCGTATTTAACAATTTAAAATCACATATATTTATAAAACTTGTAGATTACAAAAACAGTCAGTGGCCGATTTGTGTTCGCCTCCAACTCAAATGAGTTTTGAATCTTTAAATTAGGTCTGATTTTTATTTGTGTCGAGTGCACAAAATTTTGACTATATTTTATAAATCATTTCCTTGAATCTCTTTACAAATCCAACGAGAAGAAAAGAACGCGATCCTTGTGCTTTTGATTATTCTCTTCTCACACTCATTTTGAAAGGAGAGGTGCTCAACTTTTGTTTGTTTAATAGATAGCTTAATATCTCGCTTTCCTTCATTTAAATGGAAAAAAATAACACTGAAAGTACATAATAGTATTTGATAAAAGTGCTGGATGCGCACTCTAATTTTGGTTCTCGACGTAACAAATGGACGTATTTAAATTGTTTTTTGTAGAAATTTGAATGCAACCCAAACACAAAACATCGCACACAAACGGAGAAGAATAAATTAAAGCCCGCCCGCGCTCGTTAAATTTGTACCACGTTTTATATGAATGAAAATTTTAAAGATGAGAAGACTTTGATTGCCTGATGCTATTGAAGGGGTGAATGCGTTTGTTGTGCAAAGGACCAATTATTAGTAAAATCGCCATCAACTTGTAAATTTGACAAGCTATAAAATATTGAAATTTTCCTCTATAGGATTAAAAATAAAAAAGGTGCATGCAAGTTTGTAGCAGGCGTGTGGCCATTTTCTAATTGATAAAAAAATATCGCTTCTTTTGTAGATAATTTAAGTGAATATTATAAAATGCGTGCGAATTTATTGAATTCTAAAAGCAGAGCGTCTGAGATGAATTAAATATACATGACTAATCGCATTTAATGAGAATTATTGTTCTACTTCTCGCTACGCGTGTGATTCACTCTCCGTACTTCATCAATACTCCCTAACGAAAGTTGCATTTACGCTATGAAACAATAACAAAAAGAAAATTAAATAACAAAAGTTTTATCTCTCGTCTCTTATTCACGAAAAAAGAAATCTCTCACAGTATATCTGAATGCAAATATATTAAGAATAAAATCTTGCATCTCATGATAAAACTTGAACAAACATAACATTGTAAATAATTTGGGTGTTAGAAAATATGTAATTTTGCTACTACTTGAATCCATCATCACCACAAAAAGCTGTGTAATGATTTCCGAAAATAAAAACATGTTACATTAAAAGATAAGTCGCACTGTGAATTTCTGTACAGATTCCTCTATTATAAATTTATTTACAACTTTCTTTAAAATAAATTAAAATACTTAAATTGAAAGTGACTTACCTGTTTCAGTGGAAACTTGGGATTTCACCATCAGCAAATCTGGAATACAATAAAAATATTATTTTTATAACATCTTCATGATAATGCGAACTCGGCAATGTGTTAATTTATAACGCTGCGACAGTATGCAAAACTTTTTCTAAATTAAAATTATTTATTTATCAACATTTAATTTGCAAGCAAGCTTTGCTGCTAATTGTCGTAGAATTACATACAGATGATCGACAGTTGATGTCTGTGGTAAGGTAGCGATAGGCCTATAAAAGAGCAGTAACCGGTCGGCATCATCGGCCTGAAGTGGAATTGTTTTTTTTTTACAAAACTATACGCAAAAAAGTTAAACTATAAAACTATACCCAACCTCTGCATCTCAATATTCTCTAAATAAATTTTATTTAATCTGTGTGTTGATCGGATAATTTTTCACTCACCGTTAATTCCTCAAATTCCGGAATTTTCTTTCACACGGGGGTCGGGGGTGGATTCCAGAGGCTCCACGGAAGAAATTTCACACACCAAAGACTGTACACACGAGAATTACTCTGGGCAGGCCGAAAATGTTTGTAATTCATTTTGGACACAACGGACGACTTATTCAACTTATTCAGGGTTCTCGAATCGACTACATAATTTGGCAACTGGCAAAAAGTCACTGTCAATTCAAAAGCAAAATTTTGGGTCAGCATAATCGCACCCCTTAATTATGTATTGTTTCTGAATCTAAACTAAATTAAGGCTGTAAACAACAAAAACTGCAACTACACGACTTGAATGCACGGCGCACGCAGAACGCACATGTCATCGCATGTTGCCATTGTGTTGTGCCCAACACTTTTGTGTGTTGTGAGTCCCTCTGACGGCCCCTCGGTGGAATTAATCATTTCGGATTGGCGGGAGCCAGCCAGCTGGAGTGTTGGTTATGAGCATTGCCCATGATTAATTACAATTAGAATTGAAAATTGAGATTTTGGTAAGGTTGTACGTGTTGACACCAGTGAACTCACGATGAGTTCGTTCCTCACTAAGCTGGCAGAGCTGGAGGAACTCGGAAAGTGGGACGAAATCGCAAATGTTATCACACATCTCACTGACGAGAAGGTTAAAAAAAATTTTATTTTGCCTGCAATACAAAATAACATTGACTTTCTTTTATAGCTTTTGACGATGTTGAAGGCGCGTCTAGTGGACAATTTGGCGCCCAGGGTCGTCGGAATCATTCTCACATCTTTTGGCAAGAGTAATCTTGAAAAGAAAAAGCTTCAGGTTTGATTTTACAAATAACATGTAATAAATAATTTATTCTCAAACTCAATTTTATTGCAGCTCATTAAGACGGTGCTGGATGAAATTCCGCGTCAAGCAGCCCTGACGGCTGTGCAGACCAGGGATCTGACATACGCTGTCCTGAGTGAGTTGGACAGCCTAGAAACCAGCTCGTTAGTTAAATTGGTCGACTTTTGCATCAACCTAATGCAGAGTGACGAGCAAAGCAAGGAGTGGTGAGAACTACATTTTATAAATCTGGACATTGTGTTAAAATTAAGGACAGTTGGAAGGAAATTCTACCACGGCTGTTGCTCCTGCTGAAGGAAAAGCCGTTGGTGAGCCACTGCGGTCATGAGATGTCCGGCGCTGACTACCGTAGTCAAGTGGTCAAATCGCTCTGCAACACAGAGTGGAGGCCACAAAACATCACAATGATTGCTGCTATGTTTAGGTACTAATTTTTCCAAAATTCATTGATACATCTTTGATTTTCAAATCCACATAGAGAACTACCTGTTGCGGGGGATGAGTTCAAACAGGTGGTGGATAAGCTGCTGGACGGTCTTGACGAGTTGGAGGCATCCGAAGTTCCACCGTTTGTCTATCAGATGCTGCGGCTCTGCAGCCATCAGCACTTCCTGCTTGTGCTCATGCATGTGCAGAGATATTATAACAAGAACGCTGCTAGGGCTCCAGCAGACAATGAGGACATAGACTCGATAGAAGCTGTCGAGGCCACCAGTAATTTTTAATATCACTTTTAAAGCAGTACAAGAACAATATTTTTTATACTTTTTAGATCGAGGAATGTCGGCTGATCTGAAGCAATCCGAGAGCATGGTGCTGTTCCATGTGCAAAGGTGTGCAGCGCAGGACCCACAGAGTAGTAGGAACTTGGCCACCAATCTCAGCCTGCTAACCAACACCCCTGAGATTATCTTTGGCAAGTCAAATTTTCTCCTGTCTGCAATACTGATGGTGTGTGATGTTGCCACCCTGAGAGAAAAGGTAATTTATTTTCATGTTCAATATTTATTATTTGTAATAAATTCTTAAAATAATCTACTGGGGGACAGTTCTTGGCCATTCTGGTCAGCAATCTAGTTCGCAGCATCCAGGACGAGGAAATTAGATCAAGGAACACTTGGACAGCAAGTGTGCTGGCTTCTCAAAATAAACTGGAACCCTGTCTGAAGGGCCTTATCGAAAACACGTAAACCTTTTATTTCCGTCTTTTTCATTAATTTTGTAATGCTAATTTTATAGGGACATACAACGAGGGGCAATTTTGGAACAGTTAGTCAAACTATGCTTTGAGTTACTATTGAATAAGAAGTCTGGAAGAGCTGCCGAGGATATTTTGAAGGTGGCTGCCAATACTTTGATGCACATTGCCAGAAAGCAGCCAGACTCCGTCTCAGTCATCCTTGAGCTGCTTGTGAACAACATTGCGGCCAGCAAGGCTGACCCTCACTTGCTTCGTAAAAATTCCAACTTATTAAATTTGGCATTTAATTTTTAATTTAAATTTAACAAATAAGGGTGTCTGAAGCGGCTGATTGCAATGACCCCTGCCAAGTTGCTCATCAAGGCCGAGTTTATCTCGGTGAAGATGGTCGAGCACCTCGTAAATATGAGGCCTGCCACGGCAGAGCAATCAGTTGTTGCCATGATCCCGCTGTTGTCCATTTCCGAGGGCCTGTGCAACAGCCTAATCCTCAACTTGCGCAAGGCCATTAACAGGCCGTTGGTAGCCACCAAGCAGATGGCTGTCACTGGCCTGCTTACCATGCTGCAGCGCCTCAGGGTCAAAAAGTTTGCAGTCGGCTCACAGGCCTTCTCTTCGAGCAGCAGTCTCTCAAGCCAGGTATGTCTAACAATTATTCATATCCAGATCTTATGGCAAAAATTGACACCATAATTTTATTCAGATAAGTGCCGAAATAACGCATCACGGTCTCATTATCAGTAAAGACCTGGCGGCCATCAACCTGGAACTGATCCAAATACTAACACCTGCCCTCTCCTGCCAAGCCGAGGTGCGCCTCAGGTTGTATGAAGGTATGGAAACCCATAAAATCATAAAATGCCCTTCAAATAAATCCTATTTTAAAAAGGAATCCATCCTTTGGCGGCCTCCAATGCCGACCTGGCGCCTGTGATCCTCCACTTCTTGTACAAAAACGTCACCAAGTGCAAAGAACTAGGCGGGTCGGAGATGATCAACTATGAGAAGTGTTATAAGGAGACCTCGGAGGAAGAGATCGTTCTGGTCGAGCCTGTTGGGCACCTGATCTTTGCGATAGCCATGGCAGTGTGCCACCTGAAGAATTTTGAGTCTGAAGATGGCTTAGCCTCTGAGATGGAGGACTACCTGGATAAAATGACGGAAAAGATGGCTAAAGTGACCACCACTGACCTTGGCTTTGTATTACAATTTCAATTTAATTTTATTTTTAATCTAAATTTTGTATTTATAAAGGACAAGGACAATTTGATTATTGATGAGGGAGTTAAGGGAGAGACGAAAATGTTGGTCCTGACCCTGGGAATGAATGTGTGTGAGGCCTTAATTGGATACCTGATCAAACGATGGGCAGACTCAAAGGACCAGCATTCAAGAAAAGTCATGTCAGTCTTCAACACTTACAATTCTATCCAGGATCATATCAAGGTAGAAAATTAATTTCTTAGAAATTATCTAAAATTATCAATAAAAATCAGGGTTGCAAGCGACCTACGAAGAAAAAGCAGGACGCCAACAACACAGTGGTAAACTCACAGAACCCAAGAAAGCGTGGCAGACCGTCAGCCAACATCCCCTCTGCAAGTAAAGAGAAAGGTTCAAAACAGGTCGGTGGCATCTGCTTGCCTCTTGTTCTTGACCTGTCAACCCTTCACCTCACTCTGCAGCTACTCTATAGGTAAAATTTAAGTTACTTGTCTTTCCAAAAAAGGTTATAATTATTTAAAGTGAGGACGTTGACTGGGCGGACAAACATCATGCTAACATTCTGCAGAACAAGATTCCCTTCCAATTGTGGGTTCTGAATTCCCTTATGCAAGCCATTAGCCACTACAAAACCCTCAGCAGCAACGGCCTGATGGAGAAAACTTCTTACGAGTTCAAGAGTTTCTGTTACATTGGCCGGTATAACTAAAAAAAATATATATCTTTACGTTCATTTTTTATTATTTATTCAACAGAATTTTACTAGACTGCATACCAAAGGTTATTGAAGTTGCTGAGGACAGCATTGATGTTGCTCTACTTCAGTTGGAATCCCTCTCAGAGTTGTTGAGCCTCTTTCAGCACGACAACCGGACCATGCTAGAACAGTTCATCTCAGCACTTGGAAGTAATTTAAATATTAATAATATCCTCCAAATCAATAATATTTATTTTTGGAGTAGATAAGAAAATTTAGTTCAGGATATATCTAATTTATATTCACAAAATTTCCAATTATTTTCAATTCAGATGGAAACATGGACGAATCGATTGCTGAGATCATTCCCAGTTTACAAAAGCTAATCGCTGATTTCCTCAAGTACATGTACGAGAATGAGGATGTTGAGCAAAACTACAAAAAGCTGCCGCGCTTGGCTGTTTCAATTGCATCTCAAATTGCCTCACTGCTGAACCACTCAAATCCAGTCACAGCAACAGTAAGATTATTAAATTGATATAAATTCTCTGTTATTCATGATTTTGTTTTGCAGTTTGTTAAGTGGGTGCAGCAATTAGCCCGTCAATCCGAGTGCAGGGATGAGCAGGTTGTCAAAGCTATGCTGGAATTGCTGTTGCAGGTGCACAGCCTGTGCAGCAGGACTACTGGTGCCCTCAGGGCGCTCGCCTCTGACGTCCGCATCATCCTTGGTACAATTGAAGAAGTATAAAATTTGGTTAAAGAAAGAGAACAGGATAAACAAAAAAATTCAAATAGGCTGAAAAGGAGCAGGAAAGAAAGATCCTGCTGATCGGTGATGGACATGCGGCTGTGGTGGTGCAGGTCATTTGCGCCCACATCCGAGACAGCCTCGACATTATCAATGTGCTCATACAGAGGCTACGCAGCGAACGGAGTCTCCAGCCCTATCAAATTAACCCAGAATGCGCTGATAGTGAGATTTAACTTGATTTTAAGCAAGTTCTATAAATGGAATTGAATTTTTGTATTAGTTGTGAATGAGGTTGGGGATAAGGAGACATTGATTTGTGATCTGATGGATACAATGATGAGTGTTCTGCGCATCTTACTGACCACTAAAATGAGCATGGAGCAGGGCGAGGCGCTGCTCAGGGACATTTGTCATGTTTACCGCACAGCTTCCAGCCTAAGCAAGCATTTTGCTAAGTTCAGCAGTAGGGGTGACCCCTCCTTCCGCCGCACAAAGTATGTAACCAATACTTTGTGAATTTTATATCTTAAAGTTAATTCTGTTGAAGATTCCCAGTGGTGGTGAACGTTGCTGGAAATGTGCTACCGCCGCTGATCACCTCATTCATCTCGTACCTGGAGGAAAAGCAGAAGGAAAAGTACCAAGAGATGCAGGTGAAAAAGTCGTACAATGCCAAGGTGGCGCAAAAGAGGGTCCTCCGCGAGTCAGACACTTTTGCCAGAGCTATGTTCGAATACGAGAAGTTCAGCAAAAGCGTATTCCAACTGTCAGCAAAGCTTAAAGTAATACAAATTAATTCATAGGGAAATACCACTATTTATTTTCCCTCGTGCAGGATGCCTCATTAAAAGACTGCCTGAATTTGGGGCCCAGCTATGACTTCAGGATTAATTACCAAGATGTGCAGGAAAAGCTCAGGGAACTCCAAGTAAGATTTCATTTAATGCATAAACTTTTCAGATTGAAAAATTTGTCCAGGAGGAAGAGGAAGAAGATTCCGAAGGAGAGGAAATGGACGAGGATTAGAATTTAATGTATGATGAGAAATAAAAGTGAGCCAATATATTTTTTCAACTTTGGAAATGTGAATAATTGTCTTTCTTTAATAAATTACAAATTCAGGAGATTTAAAAATTGTACATAATAAATAATACACATTTGAGAAGAAACACAAGTGCATTTTTGTGTGTACACTCAGTCAGAAGCTGTCACAAGTTGTATGTAAATAAAAGAGTTAATTATCTTTGGTTCAGCTACTTAATACTTTCTGCTAAACTCATCTGGCTACTGCACTCAAATACTGAACCTCGTGAGTGTCTATAATTTTTAAAGTTGGGGAGCAGTCTGTGGGTCTACAACGTGTCCATACACACACTTGGCTGGTGGCTGCGTTGAGAATACTATTTTTAAAAGTAGGAGGAATACAGATTGCTCGCAGCTTATCACAAACAACGTTGTCAAACGTGTTTTTTTTTGCAATTATATAATAGGTGGTGTCATGTTCACTCGTGCGTAGAATTCAACACTCACAAAGTACTAGTAGCTTTTGCACCTCAAAATCACAGCAACCGTCTATGCTTTTTGCTCTGCTTGCGGTGCATCAAAAAAAGTGAAAAAAGGTTATAAAAAGTGTAAAAAAATAATCTCTTTAAATTATTGTCAAGAAGATTAAAATCTAGTCAAAATGCACAAACTAATTGTTAATAGAATTGACTCAATGCAAAAAAATAATATAACGAAAATGAGAAAAAGAGCCACCAGCACTCTTCAGACCTTCCATTTCGATTCATAAAATTTTGTTTCTCCCTTTCGGGAATTATTATATTTTCATTTTGTGGTGATCACATTTGGCAACGTTGGGGGCAGCAGTCCTTCAATGTTGGGGGTCGAAGCCAAGGCGTTTCAGGGTGGGGCTGAGGGGCAGGGGGCGCACTGGCCACACCATTCTTCTGCGGAGGGCCTCAGTGTCAGCGCCTAATTTCTCTAGACTCTCCACGTACGGCTGCATTTTCTGCTCGAGCCACTCACCAACAGTGTGCTCGTCGAAAACTTCAGACAACGCGTCCCTCGCCTGCTTAGACAAACTCAGCGCCGAGTGCAGCATTCGCGAGTGGTCCTGCATCAGTTCATTTAGTCGCAGCGGCGTAGTGAAGTTGTGCCGCACATTGTACTCCGTCAGCCACGCTTTCTTTTTGCGGACCTATAAATTTAGATTTGTATTAACATCAATAAAAAGACAATTTTCTCAGTTGAAAAATAAATGCTTAAAAAAATTGAGCATGGAAAATTAAAACCCATACCAGCAACATAAACTCGTCGTACTCCTTGTCGTATATTTCAAGTCTGGACATCAGGCGGAAAACGGTGGCGCCAGGGAAGGCGCAACCTGAAAAGCGCTCCCAAAGAAACGAGTCCCTCTCCATATTGATGATAGCCCGTGGCGAGCTGGGACAGTTCATTGACGAGTCTATCATTGGTCGCAGACTGTGGTTGAAGTAGCCATGGCTTGTGGCCAGCATGTCCAGGGCCAGTGACGGTAAACCTGAGGGCAGTAGCTCGCACAGGGTTGCAAAGTGGTCGTATCGCTGCCACCCTGTCACTGCAATTCCTGAGAAACCTTCACGGAACTTGCGGTTCTCGTTTGTCATCACCTATAATAATTGTATATTATTTATCAGGAATTGAACCAAAAAAAAGAGAGTCAAAATAACAAGAATCTCACCTCGAGCCAGCGGAGGTTGTTATCAAGGTGCCGCTTGGCGTTCGGGACATTTATGGTCTCCCCAAAGGCACCCTTGAAAGCACTGGCCGTCCACGCTCTGCGGAAACTGCCTGCATACTTTTCCCACACCTGATTCATCAATGAATTGTAATGAAATTTCCAAACTCAAAAATCTGGGCTTACCGAGGGCTGGACAAAGTGATAGACGTTCTCGGCATAAACCCACACCATGGGCTCGACTCCGAGGTCGCCGATCTTCCTCAGCTGGTCAGGCTGCAAGTGACGCAGCATGTCGTCCCAGATGATGGGCGTCACATTGTACTGGCTCCGCACAAAAGAGGCAACACGGGCGACGTGGTCGAGGAAGACATCGTCCCGTGCTTTCCTGCGGCATAAATTGCACTCGCCCATCGTGAAAACCTCGTCACACCCAATGTGCATATACTTGGGCTTCATCACCTGCAAAAATATTTTGGTTTTTACTTGAATTCTGCATTTCATCATAGCAAGAAATAATTACAGCAACACCAAAAAATTTTTAGAGAATTTCTTAAAAATACGTTTTTTTTTTTAATTTACCGTTGAGTGCAGCTCATAGACTTGGTGCAGCAGTTTAGTGACCATTTTGAAACTGCTGTTCTTTGAGGGACACAGTGCTTGTGGGATTTCAGCAACCTCTCGTAAATTGCTGAACTGCTCAATTTTAAGCACGAATTCAAGGTGGCCAAAGGTCTGCACCAGGGGAATCACCTCCAGCCCTAGCTCCTTGCACTTTTGCAGAATTTGCGTCACCTTGGATTAAAAATTTTATTGTATGCTTGTTGTAAAATTAAAAAGTTCAACCTCCGCAGTCGAATAGTGATTGGTGGCCGCGACCTTGGCCATTGAGTCTTTGAAGGGAAACATGTCCTCCCACTCGAGAAGGACGCCAGTGGCTCCTTGCTGCTTGAAGATAGGCAGCACCTGCAGCAGGTAGGAAGCCTTCGGTGGAGCTCCCTTCAAGTCAAAGTGCACCAGCCGATGTGGCGGCACGTACGGATTCTTTGGGTTCAGTGCCACCCGTGCAATTCCCATCTGGTCAAACTCGTCACTTCAAGAGGAAAAATAAATAATGTATCTACTTGCTGTTTGAGAAGTTGCTGGTTTTGTACTTTTGTCAGTAAATTATTTTAAATTAGTTACATAAATTAAATGACAGCAAAAAAAAGCTACCTCTGTGCAGTGATAGCGCTCTTCACAGCAGCGGAAGTTGAAGTAACATTTTCTCTGATTATAATTATTAAATTGATTTAAAATCAAATCTTACATTTTATATTTTAATGTTAAGTGTAATGAATTATAATTATTATTTAATTTGTGGTTAGTACCTCTGTTTAGTAATGTTGGACGCAGCAGAAGTAGATTTTTTGATATCTCTTTCATAAATTAAAATTATTTAGAATCACAAATTTTGTCAAACAGAAATTTTTAAATTCAAAAAGCAAACCTTTGTGTATTATTATTGGTAGCAGTGGAGGTTTCTAGCGTATTGGCTCTGTGTTTATTATTTTTAAATAATTTTTTTTGTATATATGAATCAAGAAATCAAAATTCATTAAAAAAATAATACCTATCTGTTAAGTTTTTAGTAATAGTAGGAGTTGAATTTGAAGTAATTCTATTATAAAAATGTATTTTCATTTCATTTTTCCTCAAAGAAGATTTAAAAAGTACCTCATTGTAGTGGTTCCAGTTGTATTAGCCAAACTTGATGTAGCATTAACTCTATTTTATTTTGATTAATTTAATATAGATTCATGAAATGCTAAATCACTTGAGAATTTTTTAATTTTAGAAGTCAAAGATATTAAAAAATTATCATTTGCGAAGAAATTATTGCAATATTAGTAAAACCACAGGTTAACAGTATAAACTGAGCCTTTTCAGGAAGTTAACAACTGTTTGATAAAAATTTAATAAGTTTTAATCCGCTTTTCTATAATTTAAACTGCCAACCACAGGAATTTGGTTGATTTAAATAGTGGTAAGGAAATAACAACTTACTCTGCGTCTTGGTGTTGCCGCCTTCCGTAAATGTCGTCGCGGCTGGGGATGCCGTTCCAATAGTTGTTGGCCGCGCGCTGCTCCTCCTCGAAGTTCTTCTGCACCATCTCGTCCTCAAAGTACGGCGTGCTAATTTCTGATTTGCGGTCAGATCGCAAAAACTCCACGCCGTCTTTTATCAAATTGCCCTTGTTAAGCTAAAATTGAAATTAATCCATATTAAAAAAATGCCCAATAAAAATTGATGCAATAATTTAAAAATAAATAGTACCAAACGTTGAAAAAAATTACGGACTCCCGCAAGCTTTAAAAGCAAGAGAACAATTTAAGCAAAAGCAGATGAAAATTTATTTGAAAATTTAATTATTACCTTATGCTCGATGGTGACTTTTTGGTCAGCGGGGCTGAAGAGACCCGGGCCGGAGTAGAACTGAAGGCAGACGAGCAGCAGCATGAAGAGGAGGACCAGGCCAAGCCAGGTGCTTCTGCGGCGCCAGGCCGACAGTCCGAGGCGGCCGGCGAATGCGGTGGCCGCCGACATCTGCAACAATTGCGATCAGGTGGCAAAATCAGCAAAGGCACGTCAACACTGTGACACGTCAACTTTCGTTTTCCAGCTCCGATTTTCCTGAATATTGGAATTGATGGAAAACACGCAGCCGAGAAGGAAATTTCAGGCGGAAAAACGAGTTGTGGCTCCGATTACAAGGACCAGCCGTTCCAAATTTGAATCTAGGATCGAAAAAGAGACTGACTACCTCACTGAAGTGCTGCCTTGTTGGTTATCTCTCACTTCGTCCGGTTGATTCTCTACTTCCGCACACATGATTTGGAAAACCACAAAATGTGGGCTTATTTTCAGTAGTTAAAAAATTTTCTGTCGCATAGGAACCATTTTCTGAATTCCATGTAATTTATAGAGGAAAAACAGAATAAATTATCTAGATTGAATGAGAATAAAATCTGTGCAATAGAATTTTGATGATATTCAAAATCAAAACATTTTCGTGGCGAATAAATAACTCTCTTTCCTTGGCACAAAACAGCTTTATTATTCACAGCAAAAGAAGAAATTTATTTGTTTTGAAAAATGGCAAAAGAAAACATTTAGTCATAATTTCGCTTCACTCTGTTATTGATTTTAAAATATTAGTCTTTTTTATTAGTTGACAGTTGACAAAATAAACTAACAAAGTGACGTCAAATCCATCAAACAAGCATGCTATTGATGCAAGGTAATGCCAAAAATTCTTTATTATAAGGGTTAACTGGCCCTGGATTTGGAAAAAAAACGCCCATGTTACGCAAGTCTTGGCCTTAAAAAATTCAATAGCAACCATTGAAAGTCAAAAGTAAGCCTAAGGCACGTGCAAACAAGAGGCGATAACCGAGAGAGCGTAGCTTGTGGTGATAGGATTTCCTTATCTAAAAAATATACGGTAAGACTTTTATGATTGCTTTTATAGAAGGGCCACAATCAGAACTACAAATAAGAAAAATGAAAAGTTTTAACTTCGTAAAACTGCTCTTTTAAAACAAACTTCTTGTAGTTGAGTTGAATAACATTTTTTTTTTTTACAAAATCATATAATTTTTGAAAGTTTTACAATAGTTCAGAGTATATATTTTGATGAACTTGGTAAAAATAAATTTACTTATTAATAAAAACATTCGCCTTATTGATATCCAGTTGATTTATTGAATAAGTTTCTAGGGTAAAACTGACTGCTGATTCTAAAATTGTTTTGTTGGAGCCGTTTAATATTTTAGCAAATTCTTTTGACACTAAATCCAAACTTAACGCAAAAAAATATTTACAATTAGACTCCAAAATCGTGTTCGTTACTTTCTAAATGGAAAATTGAATGTTTATGATTATTTTATTTACACAATAATAAATAAGATCTATTTAAAAAAAAATTTTTTGATAAAATTTGCGGTCTGTGAGGATTATATTAATTATGTTTTTACCAGTTTTTTCACAGTAATATCACACAATGCAAATCAGACTTGCAGAAAAACATTAAATTTGCAGAGTCTGTCTCAGCCTTTTGTACAGTAAAACATGAATTAAACCTGGACTTGGTCAAACACTTGGTTTGTTTTATTCCACGGTTGTGCCGAATGAGTGCAAGAGCTGCATTATTTTGTAATTATGCTGACAATACAGAGATTATGCAGAACTTGCTTATTTATTTATTTAATGTTTAGATTTACAGCTGCATTATTGAGTGACGAGTTTCACTGTCAGTTCAGACCCTGACACAAATTTAAAAAAGAAATAATTTAGTTTTAATATATTTAGGCATTACAAGGCTTTCATGTCAAAATGTACATTTTTTTAAAGCGCAAACTTCAGAGAAGAATGCGAGAAAATTAAAAATCGAGTCAAAACCCAGTGTTATAGTTGAATTTTTAAAATTGAAGGTCTTTTGGCTACTTCTTGAAGGTGACCCACATGTAGAGGATGGTGCCGGCGACGCTGACGTTGAGGCCAATGAAGTTGAGCATCGTGAAGACGTAGTCGCCACCGACGAACATGCCGATGTAGGTGACGCTGACGTTCTTGACGCTGCCCATGGTGGCGGCGGTGAGCGGCGAGTTGTGGTGAACGCACAGCACGACACTGTACTGCAGGACGACGCCCATGACGCACGACACGGCGAACAGCAGCACGAACTGCCAGTCGTTCCACGCGTCGAAGTTCCAGGCGGCGACGACGCCGCCGCTCGACGCCACCAACAGCGCCGTCAGCGGCAGCGCCAGCAGCGCGTTGTAGTGGAGAACGCCGAGGGGCCCGAGCTGCGCGACGCACCGCTTGACGAACACGCCCTGCGTCGCCGAGCACGCGTTGTTCAGCAAAACGTACACCACCCCCAGCAGCGTCACGCTCAGGTCGTTCATCGCCGCCACCACCGCCCCCAGGGTCATCACGCCCACCGCCAGCAGCACGCTCGCTCGGGGCACCTTGCGATAATCTTTCAATTTATTTTTGTCTGCGCAATTTTCTGTTAATTTTGGTGCGGAAATAAAACGTTGAAGGGTGCGTTAAAAAACTCATACACACAAAAACCCTCATCTATATGAAGATAATATGAGAAGGAACAATATTATTTAAATGCTAAAAATGGCACAACAAGGAAAACAAAATTAGTAAGAAAATTATGGCAAATCTTGTTCGACCTTTTTGACACACTGAAATTATTTATGAGCGTTTTTTGAACTTTTTTTACTCCTGAGTACAACAATAAGCAACAAAAGAGCCTAAATTCTCTTAAAATAGTGTCTTTTTATCTTTTATTTTTTGCGAAATTAATCATTTTCACATTTTGTTAGCAATTAAAAGTGCCCTTTGTAAGTAAATCATTTTTAGTGAGCGGACTTTGTAAAAAAAATTGCAGTAATATTTTTTTAAAGAAAAATCCATATTTAGTGTGAGGCTTAAAAAATATTTTTTGCTTGAAATTTCATGCGTTAATCATGAAAACCCAATGACGCACAACTCACTCGAGCTCATTTAATGCTTGCAATAATCCCCTAATTATTGACGTATTCTGATTTTACTTTCCCTTGCATATTGTGATATGAAAAAGGAAAAAAGCTTTTGATTTTGTTTTTTAATTAAGTACTTCAAAAATTTAATTTTTCATCAACATTTTACTGGAAACCCTCAATGAATTAATTAGGCAGAAGTTATCTTACAATGCAAAGAAAATAACTAAATGGTCAACTGTGGTCAACTCTTTGAAGACCACATTTTGCTTCCATACATTAATTTGTTTGGAGAAATCGACGCTCAAGGACATGATCATGGAAAAATAAGAGATCAAGCTTTTTTTTCATTGTTGCAGAAATTGTTTTTTATTCAAAAGCTATTAGTTTTTGTCACGTTCTGCGACCCTATTTCACGAACAAGTAAAATAAAATAAAATCAGCAAAAACTGAAAATCATCACATTTTAACAAACAAAAACAAAATCTTAAAACTTAAAAAATTTAAGATTTTAATGTACAAATGTGATGTTATTCAATTTTTGCTGCTTCTTTTCCTTGCTCATGAAATATGAATAGTTAATAAAAAATATTTCTGAAAAGCCCGATCTCTTCATTTCCATACGTTAATTATTTTGAAATAAAAATTTTGGAATGGAAATAAAATTGAAATGGCAAAGCGTTGCAATGTTTGCATCATTTCACTAAAAAAAAGAAAAAAAATCTTTTTTTGGCCATGTAATAATAATGACAGCGTTCTTACAATTGTCAGAAAAATCCAAATGTACATTGTACATGGTAATTTGGAAAAATCCAAGGAAACAGTGGCCTTGCGTAATCAGAAAAAACCTGTGATAAAAAATTAGCCGATTTCCTCGCGAGTTATACTCCACAATTATGTTTCCTCGTGAAAAAAACAAAACGTGTCACGCTAATTACCTCCTAGTGCAAAATGAATTTAAAAAAAAAACGAAAAACTGAAAACTACACAAATAAAAATAATAATATAATAATGGGGGTTTAGTAAAGAACGAACCAGTAATGCCCGGTCGCAAGCAAAGATTATATATTTATCAACAAGTGATTAAGTTATATAATATAATAGAAAATTAATCTGGAAATAGCGAAAAAGTTGGTTTGTTATCGCTGTGAAAATGTTGTAACACCGCCAAAATATGAAGTGTGGAAAATTTGATGATAAGGAAAGATGTCATTAGAGAGAGATTTGATCTAACACGCTTGGCAAACGGGTGCGAAAGTTTTTTGCGTGTGCTGAGCATTTAATTAATTAGCCTGCCAACTATCTCCCATCAAAACAGAGCAAAACAAAGCACGCCCGAAGACTAGAGTTTGGTATACCGATCGGAGGATGAGGACCTCGGCAAGGAGGGTCATCACAATGGTGAACCTGCGGAGGGCGATGAAAATCGGCAGGCTGAGGTACTGCATGCCTACGAGGCCAAAAAGCAGGTTGCCAAGGAAGAGGCCAGGCAACGGCCACACCTGCAGAAAAATCTCCAGGGTCATCTCGGGGATGCGGACGACGCCGAACAAGCGGCCGACGGCCAGCACGACCACCGTGGCCACCAGTTGGCACAGGCCGAGCACGTCGGCCGACGGAAAGCCGAAGCTCGTCAGCACGGCCTTGTTGCTCAGGGTGATGACGAACGAGCCGACGCAGTAGAACAACGCCGAGCCCACCCTTTGCCACCAGGTTGATTTAGGCGCCTCGTCCAACTCCTCCTTCACCTCCACCTCTGTTTGCTCTTCTAAAAGAGGCTGTTTCTCTGGCTGCTCGACGGAGGCCATGTCCAGGTCAAGTGGCTGCAAACGTGATTTACCTTGAAAGCGGTGCCTGCTGCTGAATCAGGTCGCGCGCGCCACTTCTCGGATCACTCCAGCTGCCCAGCGGACTCCTTCTTCGGGCCCGTTGACACCTTTTGCATCCTTTTCTCGCCGGAAGTGACTGCTGTGGCGCGATTATTCGGCACCGACGCGCTCCTCACAGTCCTTATCCGTCCTTCCCGAGCATAATTGGCATCAAACCAAAAACAATCACGAAATTTAAAACACTCACAAGAAATGACACACAATTGTGCGATGACTGCGATGCGAACACGACCTGCCAGCAGCCAGCTTTTTTTAAAAACTAAAAAGCGCCTCTCTGCGGCTGCGCAAGGGTGAACTTGCCTGCCTGGATAAATCAGGTGGGGGAAAATGGGTGTTTTGGAGAGGAGCTCATTAATTTTTTCAGAAAATCTCATTTTTGCTGATTCGGGATTCGTTAAATACATCAAATGGCTAAATTTAACAAACGATGTTTGAATATTTCTCAGTGAAAATATAAATTTGTAATGAATTTTTATATTATATCCAAACGAAAAAGATAACTCATACATCTTGATGCACACTGTGTAGCACAAAGATCCACAACAAAAAACAAAATAAACAGAATCCCGCAATTCTAGCACTTTTAGCAGCAACAACAAACCAAGCAAATCTCTCTCTAGTGCCACCAAAAAATTATTTTCAGATGCATATTAATGAATGTAATTTGTAAACTCCAGTCCGAAAAAGGTTTATACTATTTCGAAACTCTATAAACTAATTACAATTGTTGCAAATACATAATATATTTATTCACAATGTTGTTATTGCAGAGTTGGCAAAATAGGGAGCAAAGCAGAAGAGGTGGATTTTGAGGATGAGGAACTCAAAGCAGGGTCGGCTGGAGAAGGGTGGCGGGTCAGCGTCGGAGGGGGGCAGTGGCCAGGAGGCGGACTCGCCGTCGGAGCACACGAGCGATTGTGCTTTCCAGACGGTGCTCGAGGACGTGCGGGCGTGCAAGTCGGCGCGCTGGGCTTGCGAGGATGCGCACAAAATCCGGCTGAAGCAAATGCGGGCCACCCTGACCAAGCACATCGACGAGACCGAGTGGATGTACGAGCCCCTGGACTCAATCCTCGGCTTCAGCAAGTAAAGCGCAAAAAGTATCCTAAGAGAAGCGGCATCCAACTCTGCGCTGTCCCCGGCTGTCCCACCAAGCAGTCACCAAGCGGCGTCAAGTCGTACCAGTTTCCTAAAGACAATGAGAAGCGACGCGAGTGGCTCAAATTGTGTTCCATTGCCTCGTGGGCACCAACGGCCCGCATCTGCCAGCTGCACTTTGACCCTCATGACCTGCACCCCTTCAGGTGCCAACAGGTCATGGCCTGTGGTCTAGCTTGCACCTGCAATCTCCACAGACTGCCTGAGGGCATTTTGCCTTCCAGGAATCTGCCCAGTGCTGGTCAGAAGCAGAGGGAGATCAATCAAAATCGCAAAAACAGGATCGAGAAAAGAGAGAGGAAAAAAATCGTGAAGGAACTTCTTGAACAAAACCCACTTCAGCAGTAATTTCTCCATAAAATTATACATATCTCTGTCTATGAGGATTTAAAAATATAATAAAAGTTTTTTGCTTATTTACCTGTAATTAATTATAATACTTAAAAATTTTAGGCCACAAGAGAAAATCTCCGCAATCAATGAGAGCAGTTTAGACGACCCACTGGGTGAAGCTCAACTTAGGAGTTTCCTGCCTGAGGAGTTTGCGAACAGATCGTGGTTGGCCCTACCAGATGATGATGCAATTTTTGAAGTGCTAGAGCCAGTCGAAGCCCCCTCGATTCACATCAAGCAAGAGCCTGGAGTTGAAAAGGACCCTGACATCTTCTGCCTTCAGGACCTATGCAGAATATGTGCTCAGGTGTGTTTAATTAAATAAATTTTGGCTCAAATAATCTAATCTCCCTTTAAAACTCTTCCCTCTTCTTAGAAATGTGATGATGAAGTTTCCATCTTTGGAGACACTGACTATGCTGAAATGATTGCAGAGTGCATGCCAATCAAGGTAAAGGATTATTAAAATTTTTGAGATTGGTTTGAAAACTTTATGTGTGAATTAAAGATTGATAAAAATGATGAGCTGCCAGCAAAAATTTGCAAGGGCTGTTTGAAAACTGTGAAGAAAATCCACGCATTGAGGAACAAGTGTCGAGAGGCGGACAAAACGCTGAGAGGTCATTTAAAGGAGCAGTAGGATTTCGAGGTACCTAAGGAAAATATGTATTAAGCCAAATTTAACATTATTTGCCTTCAGCGTATGACTTTGGAGCACGAGGAAGAATCAAAAGGAGAGAGCGATGAGGATGAAGTACTGATGAAGAACGTCTGCTTTGTGGTCAACTCTAATGACAATTCCACAGGACATAATAAAAAAAAAACTCAAAATGATGTGGTCAGCATTCCTCAATATGTGTTAATAGGACGTACAGTGAAGAAAAAAAGCCTTTCAAAGGTCGCAATCAAAGCTCCGTAACCTAAGTTGTTAGAGGCACCAGTGGTTTTCATTTTTTTTTTCATGCCATCATGGACAAATCTTTAACTGACTGAAGTTTTCATGTGCAAGACAGACACAAAAACAGCCATTGATGTGTGGGATATTAAACAGTGCTTCGACAAATAGCTGATGATACTGACATTTTACGACTTCAGGCTTTTTTAATAAATCACTTGTAATTAGATGAAAACAGGACACTAAGTTTAATTTTCTAGTTAAATAAAAATAAATGTGGTAGTTGCTTAACAAAAATATTTTTCATACTCTTTATTGAATGGCACGGAAGACTTCTTTTTCTTTACAAGCTGCTTTGAAGGCTTTGAGCTTTAGTGGTAATGTGCTTTGACTCAAAATCGACATTTTGATTTAGATCTGTATCTAGAGTTCCTTGTTGGCACATTGAGAATCATCACTGCATGACGGGCATGGCCACTGCAGCCTTGGTGTGGGTCACGTCACTCTCTCGCCATAACTGGGTCACAGTCTTAACGTCTGTGTAGAAGTTGATGCCCTGATATTTAAATACAGTTAGTCTGGATCTGGAGGGTTTGAAAAAGGTGGTTTTCTAATCACCTGCTTGCCATAAAAGTGGGCGTCACCAAGAAAGGAGCCTCTGGAGCCAGTGAAAGAGAACATGGGCAGCGGCACTGGGATGGGCACATTGACCCCAACCTGGCCAACGTCGATTTCCTGTGTGAACTTGCGTGCGGTGGCACCGTTTGTGGTGAAAATTGCAGTGCCATTGCCATATGGGTTCTTGTTGATAAGCTGGATGGCATCGTCCAGGGTGTCTGCAGACAGACACACCAGCACAGGGCCAAAGATCTCTTCGGTGTAGCATTTCATGCTAGGCTGCAATTAAAAATTAATGTTTGCACTTTCATCTATTAGACTAGCCTACTGTAACGTCAGTGAGAATGGTGGGGCCCACAAAGTTGCCCTTGTCGTAGCCAGGAACCACAAGGTTCCTGCCGTCCAAAATAAGCTTGGCGCCCTGGTCAACACCAGACTGGATCAGGTCACAGATGCGCTTCTTCGACTGTGGCGAAATGACGGGGCCGACGTCAGTTCCAGGAACATGGCCTGCAAATTAAGTGAAAATGATTAAAAATGAGGTTCTGGCACCATTAGGATAATCCTTTCCGGAACAATTTAAATAACTATTAAAATAAAAACTGGACTCGCCTGCATTGACCTTGAGTTTCTGGGCACGCTCGATAAGCTCTGGAAGCCACTTATTGGCCTCTCCAACAAACACAGCAGTGCTGAGAGCCATGCAGCGCTGGCCAGCAGCTCCAAAGGCAGCGCCAACTAACTGATTGAGGGTGTTCTCCTTGTTGGCGTCGGGCATAATGACTCCGTGGTTCTTGGCGCCCATGTTGCTCTGCACTCGCTTGCCATTCCGTGATCCCCTCTCGTAAATATACTTTCCCTGAGTATTTAAATATTTTAATTTCTGTAAATCGAAGTGACAAATTTCAAGTTACTAACAGCTTGGTCAGATCCGACAAAGGAGATGGCTTTGATGTCTGGCTGGTCGCAGATAAAGTTGACAGAGTCGTGGGTGCCGTGGATGACGTTGACCACACCATCTGGACACCCAGCATCCTTCAGCATCTGCACCAGCATCATGCACGCGCCAGGCACTCGCTCAGAGGGCTTCATCACAAACGTGTTGCCACACACAATCGCCATTGGGTACATCTGGGGATATTGAAAAGACCTTCAGAGGGGGGAAAATAATGGAATTAAAATAGTACCCAAAGGGGAATCATGGCAGGGAAGTTGAAAGGCGCAATCCCAGCAACAACTCCGAGGGGAGTCCTGTACGAATGCGTGTCCATGTCACGGGCAATACCGCTCAAGCTTTCACCCAACTGCAGTGAGGTGATGCTGCAGCAGTGCTCAACAACCTCTGCAGAACATAGAACAAAATTAAATTAAAAAAATTACAAGATTTATGACAAAAAAATATAATTTTTTTAATATTTTAAATACTCACGCAAGCCTCGAAGGACGTCACCCTCGGCGTCAACAAGTGTCTTTCCATTTTCAATTGTCACGTTTTCAGCCAACTCTTTCTGTTAAAACAAATTTTATTTACTCTAATTTCTCTTAAAATAAATATCATTTTAAGATAAACTAACCATGTTCTTTCTGATGATGTCTTGGTACCTGAACATGATCTGCTGGCGAGTCAGGATGGAGGTCTTGGACCAGCTCTTGTAAGCCTCCTTGGCCGCCTCCACAGCCGAGTTCATCTCATCCAGGGTAGAGTTTGGTACCCTCGTGACGACCTTATTTACCAATCAATTAAGTCAATAATAAACATTAAAATATTTATCTTTTACCTCATTTGTGGCAGGGTTGTGCAGATCGACCCAGGAGTTGGTCTTGGACTCGACAAACTGCCCGTTGATGAACAGTTTGGTCGTCGGCGCCGCAGCAGCCGAGCTCTGGAAGCGAACGCCACCACATCGCTGCAAGCGCCCAAATTTATCAAAATTTTATCTCTAAACAAGGTCACGCATTCAATGAAAAATATAATTATCAAAGATAAGGGAAACGATATTTAGCAATAATAAAAAAATGTGTTGCAAATAAGGCAGTTTTAAAAAAATTTAAATGAAAGCTTTAAATAGACTTTGGAAGGGGTGTCCTTTATGGAAAATATTTGAATAGTAATAAAGTCCTCTAATTCAATTACTACAAAGTGAGACAATGAACAGTATTATATTATTATATATTTTTTCCCCTACAAATGTCCAAATTTTAAACTCTGTTAAAATTAGTAGTGCTCAAAATCTTAAGCATAATGAATTCAATTAAATATTCCAAGCAATATTATAAGATTTTTCTAATTGTTTCTAATGTTAAATTACAGGAAATGAGGATAATTGAAAGATTGATTTGTTACATTAAAGATTAATTAATCAGAGATCAGAGTTAAAACAAAAAGTGGAGTTCGATGTAACACATAAAATTTATAGTGATTTATAGGAGCCGGTATAAAGAAAATTTAAATCACTCAGCAACAGCTAGGCACATCCTGCATTTTTGTAATGAGAACTTTAAATTAAACCGTCCGTTGACTGTTTTAAGTATCCGACTTGGACGAAATCGGTGAGCACAACCAAATAATTAGGACTGTCTTTAGCTATAAAGGGTTTTCCTCCTAGCTGAAAAATGGTCCTTACCGAGAGCTTGGCGAGCCCAGCAAGTCTTAAAGCCATCTTGAACCCAAGTGAGAGAGATAATAGTGGGAGTGCACACGCCGAGAACGAACGAAGAGAAACGCCAAGGTCACCAACTCAGCAGCCAAGGCCCCCAATGCCCCTCCTGCTAAATTTGAATTCGACGACGTCGGCTTCAAAAACGCACACGTCCTCCTAAACTGCGCAGATCATTGGCCCAAGGGAAGCCGAGCCTGCAAAATAATCAAAACCATGCACAGCTCCGAAAAGTGAGAAAATAATGTGGTGAAGAAAAACTGATGCATACATAATAATACACAATCTACGCACTCTACTATCAAATTTATCAATTGATTTGATACCCTCATATATTATTTTAATACTTTTAAAATTAAAACTTTCTCTTCTTCTTGTTAATAAAAAATTTAATTTGAGAAGTACAAATATATTGCTGTAGGAATAATTTTTAAATGCGAGAAAATTCAATCAGAAGATATGTACGCTCTTGACCACACATAGATTTCAATCTGGGTGTTCCTTTAGTCGACTCCAGTTGATCTGGAAGGAAACGGGCTGCTTTTTATTGGGTTTAATTAGTTTTAATAGGGAGACCGATCACTGATGATCGAGTGTCCTAGAATTTTAGGATAGGAGGTGTGGCTCAACTACGTCACTACTGAGCAACGTCACAATCAGCTGCAAAATTTGGTGTACGCAAAGTAGATAAGCTGTTTTAATCGAAATTCGAAACCTTTCAGATTTTTACAGAAAAATGTATAAAATATCTATTTTTACTGAAAGTAATTATTTTAAATATTTGAAACTTTATCATGATTTTCATACTTAAATATGTATTTTTATTTTTGGTAAATTGATCTCATTGAATTTTTCTCTCCTTAATAAAACCTCTCTTTAAATGGTGCTTAAAAAAAAGTCGGACATCAACAAACATTTGACGGAATATGAATTTTTGCTTATTTTTAACACAAGAAATATGCTGAGATAGCAGGAAGAACTTTTCTTTAGACACTGTAGGCTTCCCTGTTAAGAGCATGGTGCATTCCGCCAAAATTTTGTCTTTTGTTAGTTAAAGGTAAGCTAAAAGGTAAAATTTTTTTGCTGTAAAAAATTTTAGAATTTGTTTTTGTAAATTATTTGTAGATTTTGGACACAATGAGTGACGAGACGATGGCGGCCGAAGAGGCTCCCTCTACCTCTGAACCTGAGGACGTTGATTCACAACCAGCTTTGATCCCCGAGGAGACTGCCGCCTCAGTGGGTAGCTCAGTCATCGAGCACCCTGCATACTTAACGGCGATGCAAGAGATCCTGAGTCTCAGGGCGCAGGTTAAGGAACTGGAGGAGGCTGAGAGAGAAAAAGCGCTGCTACAGGTCCAATTGGATACCCTGACGAAGACAGTAGAGAACCAAGCGCACGCCCTAGAACTGGCTAAGGTACATAATTAACAAATTTTTACATTTGTGATTATTATTTTCATACCCTGATCTCAGGTGGAAGCGGGTAAGCAGGACGAGGCGGCCGTGGCAGCGCTGGCCTCTGGAAAAATTCAGTTGGAGCGGCTGCGGAAAGATTACGAGGAGCAAAGGCGAGAGCTGGAGGTAACGGTAGTTCGATATGCTGTCAGTGAGCAGGCAGTCATCAAGGCTAAAGAAGAGGCGCTTGCAAATGAGCGAAAGGTTCTTGAGGCCAAGAAGGAACTTGAGGCTGTGCAGAAAAGGCTCAAGGCAGCCACCATCGACCGCTCCAAAGCTGACAAGGACTTTGACCTTAAGGTTTAATTTTGCTCTCATTTCAATTATTTTCGCTATTTTTTTTACGATCTTTTATTTCTATCCATAACTGACCCAAAAATTTTATTTAATTTCTGCTTCTTAATGCTTGTTAAACAAAATTGTTTTCTGATTTAGTGCAATGAAGTAATGGCGATAAGCAGGGAGAAAGAGAAGCTGCGGGATGATCTGCACAACAAAGAGACTAAGATCAAGTGGGCTCACAACCGGATCACGCAAGAAATGGACGCTCATAAAGAGACACAGGAAAAATTGGACAAAGTTTCTGCCATAGTGCAGCAGGCACAGGATGAGGCCGAGCAGGCCAAACAAGATGCCCTTGCATCTGTCACTGCCTTCAAGCAAGCCCACGCGGAAAAAATGAGCTCTTTAGGTACACACTTTATAAACGAGTGTAGCCAGATTAAAGAAATGTTTTTTGGCAGAATCACAAGTGCATGAGCTGAAGGCGCAGCTAATTGTGGCTGTGACAAATGAAGACGCACGAAAAGTAGAGCAGAAAGAAGCCAACGAGGCAGCGCTTAAAATCAAAAAGCTCGAGGATGAGAATGGAGTGTTAAGCGGGAGGGTGAGTTTAAATTTAAGCAAATTTAAGTGAGGAATAAAATGTTTCATAATTTATTGATTGACCTTTAGAGTTTCCCAACTTGAAATTTTTTCAGTTTTTAATTTGCGATTGTTGTTAGGAATTTTTATAAGTGAAAGCCTCCTGATAATTTGTATTTTGTTTTCAAGGTGTTGACTTTGGAAGCCGAGAAAATTGAGCTCCGACACCGTGTTTCCGATTTGGTGAAATGTGAGCAGGAAAAAATTCACCTGGAAGATGAACTGGCTTCAGTGAAAGCCGAGTTTGAAAACACGAGGACTGAGCTGGAGCAGCGCCGCGAAGAAGTGGAGGCAGCAGCATCAGACGCTGCGGCGTGGCGCGCCAAAGAGACAGAACTCCTCAGTTACACTCAGCAACTGACAGACAAACTGGTGGCTGTCCAGTCAGAGGCCATCGCCGCTGACAACAAGGCACAGCAGCTCGAGGCAGATCACCAGCCTTTGGTCCGGCAAAACGCAGAGCTAGAACAGCAGCTGGCCAAGGTGCGGGAAGAACTTGAAGTTGAGAGGCAGGCCAGATCTCATGACGTCCAACTGCTCTCTCGAAAGGTAAAGAACAAGCTTGAATTGAAAAAAAAAATGTTTTTTTTTCATAAAATAAGCATAATACATTTAATATATGATTTTTATAAAACCCTCGGAGGTGGGTCGGTGTAAAATCAAAAAACCGTAGTATTTATATTGGCCTTTCCTTTTACAATATTTAACTTACATTGAATTTTAAATTCAGGTGGCAGAGAACCAGGAAGCGGCAGAGCGGGCCTCGGCCAAGTTGGAGGAAGTGGAGGGTGAGTGTGCGGTGCTGAAGCGGAAGCAGCAGCTGGGAACCAAGGAGCTGACGCGCGAATTGCAGCAGTGCCGTCGGCGCTTGGAGCAACTCGAAGCTGGCGGCTCTCTTGGATCCCGCACCAACAGCTCAAGCTCCCTCGAGGACAACAACCAGACTGCCAGCACCAATGGTGGGACGGTGGAGCCGCAGATGTTGATCGAGCACATTGGCAAGCTGCAGAACAAGAACTCAAAGCTCAACGAGAAGGTCGAGTTCCTCGAGGAGCACTCGCGCACGTTGCTGCTGGAGGTGCAGCGCAAAACCAAACTAGTCCAGGAGCTGGTGCTGCGCCAGGAGACGGGCGCCCTTTCCTCCAGGGCCCACGATCTTAACAAGGTATATAAATATATTTATATTCTCTACAGGGGTTTTAAGGCTTATTGAATTGGAATATATTATTTTGAAAATTTGAGTGAGCAAATTTCTCTTTTGACTCTTTAGCTGGACAGAGCCAGGAAACAGAGTCAGGTGAGACTAATCTGGAGTTGACAACTGCACAAAATTAGCTATTGGCACTTGCTTTTTATTAATTATTTTAATGTCCGTTTTTTAATCTTTATTTTATATAATTTTTGAGTGTTTTTCTATTTTAAAATCGTAATACTGATAATGAAATTTTGGTTCTTGAAAGCTGGAATTAGCAAAGCACGGGGGCGTGATGGCTTCGGTGTACAGCTCGCAAGACGAGGGCATCACCTTGCAGCTGTCTCTGGAGATCAACAAGAAACTGCAGGCAGTGCTTGAGGAAACGCTGATCAAAAACATCACCCTGAAGGAGAACATGGACACCCTGGGACAGGAGATCGCTCGACTGTCGTCTGAACTGAGCTCTCTAAAAAAGCGCACGGCAGCGAGCTAGCGACCAAGCCCTTTCCTTCAAATTCATTCCAAGTGCGACTTGTACCTTAATTAATCTAATGTTAACATATTTGGAAACGAAAGTATATATTGTGGCTGTAACACTGTAAAATTTAAATGTTGTACCATACTAAGTAAGTTGTGAATACGGTGATTTTTTTGAGTTGTGAAACTGATAAAGGTTTATAATAATATATCATACCATGAAACCAAAATATAACATAGGCTTGATTTACAAGAATCTCAAATCACCTTTTCAGTTTCAATTATCTGCATTAAGTAGATTTTCTTTGAAAAATCAGTTTTTCCAAATGTCGTTTAATTTATTTCAAATGTGAATAATAATAGGTATCCGCTAGCTTTCAATTTACATATTACAGAGAGATAGTTTGTTGAATCCAGTGAACATAGTTGGGCACCATTGAGTAGACACCAAACTTTCCGCGTCTGCCACAGCCCTCTCCAAAGCTCGTGACCCCAAAGACGGTCCACCGGTCGCCCACTTGGCAGAGCAGGGGCCCTCCAGAGTCCCCAGCGCAAGAGTCACGCACCTGACTTGGATGTCCCGCGCAAAACATGTTTTCTGTGATGTGATAATTCTCATAGACCTGCCTGCACCGCCCTTCCGGCATCACGAACACCTATAAAAAAGAATTCGCAATAATTTCAAAACCTTTTTATGGAAATTTTTTCACCTCAGTCTGGTGGAGGATCTTAGTGCCCTCAAAGTCAGTTGGCCGTTTCTTGCCCCAGCCTATGATGGTGCACAGACGGTCCTTCGGTGGCCGCTGGTTTGCTGAAGGTAGACAGGCCACCTGTTGCGCGGAGGTGCCGCCAGTGTCCCTGAGGCGTAGCAGAGCAATGTCGTTATCAACTGTGTCCACGTCATATTTTGGGTGCACCAAAGACTCGACCACCTTTAAATACTTTTCTTATATATAAGGTTTGATTAATCAGTTGAAATTTTCTACCTTGACTTCAACGTCGCCGGAGGACTTGATTAACTTGTGGTCACCGATGCGAACAAAGAGCGTCTTCCGAACGCAATGGGCGGCCGTCAGAACCCAATTCCTCGCGATCAGGGTTCCACCACAGAAGGCGTGCTAAAAATATTTTATAAGATTAAATCGGATTAAATATAAAAATTTTGAATCAAGTACTTTGTGCTTATTGAGGACGGCGACCTGCCAGGGCCAGTGGCCTCGCTCGGATGGTCGACCTCCAATGATCTTGGTCAGAGCCGAATTATTTGGCTTGAAGACGCCGCAGTAATTTTTCTCAATTTCCAAATTTTCCTCGAAAGAGTCGATGTACTCCTCGTTGAAATCTCCTTCGTACTCTTATATAAGTGGAGAAAAGTTAATATGAATTTGTGTTGATTTTTCAAATACAACTCCAACCTGAATAGTAATCTTGGTAGTTTTCATCGGTGGCCTCTCCTTCGTACTCCTCCTGCTGGCACACCTGCTCGAAAATCCACTTGAAGCAGAGACTGTCTTTTGCAAAACAAAACGCTTCTTCCTTTTCCACTTCGGCCGTGCACCGACCCTGTTTCTTGCACCGTCTATTTTATAAATTTTCTTCTAATTTAAAAAAAAAAAAAAAAATTATGACAAAATAACGTGTACCTAAATCTAGATGAGGTGCATGACCTGCTGCAGGGTGACCAGTTGGACCACGGAAAGAACAACAGGTTGTCAGTAGCCGTGGGTTGGCGAGCGCTTGTTGAGCGGAGGCGCCGCGACGGCTGCTGATTTTGATTGCTCGAACAGATACTCTCGACCAGTTCCTTATTAAAATTTTGTTAAGAAAATTTAGATAGTAATTTTTAAAACATGCAGTTACTCACAACTTCTTTGGCTGAGGTTTGTACCGACAGCTGCAGGTGGATGACAAAAATTTTTAGGAGCAGATGCTGGAGGCGCATGATTGAGTCATAGCATTGTAGGCGCGCGGGCGAGAGTGATTTTATTTCTTCAAATTAGGTTACGCATTTTTTGAACCAAAGCTCTCACGTGAAGCAGTGGTGTAAAAAAAACTCGTTTTAAGTAGGGATTAAACGACAGGTGACGACGGGTCGTCCGTTTTTATATGTATACCTTAATTCAGAAGAGAGGATTTCGAATAAATTGACGTCAATTTATAGCAAACACTATTATGCGCCGCCCGCTTGCCTATACAGTATATAATTGTATATATTTTATACATTGGCGACTGACGAGGAAAGTAAAAATAAAAATATATATATTAGTAAAAGTCAAGGCCATGCAAGGTTGTTGTAAACTTTTTACAACAAAGTAGGCACACAGAGCAATTATCAATAATTTTTAGCTAATTTCTTTTAAAATAAAAAATTAAAAAACTTGCGTGTTATTAAAAGCAGGTTCTAGATTCACTCTTTTTTTTCTTGTTTAAAAGCTTAAAATTATTTTGCGTGCATTATTGAATGATCGTCATAGAAAACAATAAAAATTCAATACAATTTTTTTATCCAGAATACTTTTCATGTTAACGATCTGCTTAAAAATAATAATAAGTGCGCCAATAAAATTCATTCCATCAAAAGTTTGTAGAGATTTGTTTTAGCACATTTGAACAGTACATCGCTATAGCATAAAATGTTAATATTAAATGTGAAAATGTTTGGTAAATGGAAAAAAATATATATTTTTTATAAATTAAATTACTAGCCGTAATTTTTTTCTAAAAGCTCCACTACAAATGATTTTATTAATTAATTTCAATAATTTTTATTGCAGGTTGGTGGATTGGCTTTGTGAGAAGAGGAATTAAAAATATACCAGCAATGTGATGTGAAAATTTCAGATGAACAGTGACGATGACGCGCAATACAATTTTGCCATTTTTTAAATGCCATAGATTTCAAGTCGCCCTCCAGAGTCAGTCAGAGAGAATATTATCGGTGTTGGCCGCGCATTGGTGCCTTTTGAGATCTAGCAGCGCATCAAACAAGACCGTTTTCTATCAGCAGGATTTTTGCCAATTTATTGCACCATTGTAAGTTAAATAATATATATATATATATATATATATATATATATATTTTTTTTTTTAATTTACAGAAATGTATTAATTTGTAAAGAAGCCCATAAAATTGCGACGATTTTTTTTCCTTATATTAGTTATATTCTAATTGACATTTAACTGACCTGCTGAACAAAAGCAAACTGCGAGAGTAGAAATTATCAGAATAATTAATTAATATATTCGTCATTAGAAACTTGACACGCCTGCTCACAGAAGAAAATGGAATTTTCTTTTAATTATTTCATGGGTTGTTTAGTAATTATTGATTCATAATTATTTTTTCAAAGTAAATAATTTTGCTTTTTAGTTAACAAAATATTTTTTATTAAATAAATTAATTATCATATCACAGCGTATAAAAAATAACTCCAAAAAAATGAAATAAAACGGAACTATGCAGGAATAAGTTTTCAGGCTCTTTTTAATAATAAAAATTATACAATCATATTAAATCGCTCAGGGAGTTTTTCGAGACTAATTGAAAGAATTTTTCAAGCGCCTGTCTGGACGCGCGTCGAGCTGTGCAGAATGCGGTGCTTTGCCTGCCCGCGCGCCACAACCTGTAGCACGATTATGATCACAATGAGCTGTAAAAAAGCCTAACATTTCGTTTCAGAAATCTTTGCTTTGAAAGCAATTTTAGAATAAGCGGAATTGCAAAGGTCATAAAACATTTTTACATATCATATATTGGGTTCTTGCAAACATGAAAATGAAGAAACGTGAAGTAAAGTTTATAGTAGAAAAAAAGTGAGCAAAAAAAACGTCAGCTGGTTTATTTTTAATTTATCATAGATGTAAAGAAAATAAAAAAAGAACAGCCTTATCATTGGTTGTTTATTAACTGAATAAATTTGTAATGCGATCGGTAATCACCCCCTGTTATTTTTGGAACTTTTTAATCTGACTTGTTTTTATTTTATTTTTAATTTTTCTCATAAATTATACAGATGAGTCGCTTTGTTCCCGTGGTTGAGCAAACAACACCAACCAATAATGCTGATTCGTCCAATTCAAGTGAGGAGGAAGTAAGTAGATAATTAATCAATATATCATGGAAATTCTCTTTCCTATCAACCAATTTATTTAATGAAGTGTATTTCCAGAATTTAATTATTTATTATGAGGATTTAACTGTTTCAGCTAGACTTGTCCAACATTCCCAAAAATACGATTTTGTGCAACCCTAGCCGTGCAGTCCTGCAGCGCGTGGTAAAATAAAAACTTTTTTGTTGTCAAATACAAAAATTTTTACTGACTTTGAATGCTTCTCAAAATAACTTTCTCTATTTTTTTTACTTTCATCTTGAAATTTTATTATTAATTATTATTATTTTTTTTTAATAACTTAATTATATTTTTCTATTTCCGAAAGGCAAGTTAAAACTTTGGTACCAATATTGATTAAAAATGATGACCTGACTTATAGTTGCAGTTGAAAAAGGAGGACAAGAGAGAGGCGTCCAACAGGAATAGGCTTGTTAATCTGGTGTCTGATTCTAGTGACTCTCAGGAAGATGAAGTGAGTGTGTCTTATATCTTCCTCTTTTAAATTTGCTTAAAAAAAATTAAAAAGTACCTAGACAAAAATAACTTTTTTATTGTAATAATTAGCGTACAATGTTAACATATTTAATTACTTGAAAAATTAAAAATATGTAAAGGATAATTGAATTCAAAATAAGTTTGTTTGTATATGAAATAGAATGTCAGGCGAGTTTTTCTTTTATTGGTTTAATAAAAAAATTAAACTTTGTTTGCAGCCGCCCCAAGAAAACGTGAGACGCAGACAAGAAGCCAGAGAAGACGGCGCTGGAGTGAGTTTTCCCTCATTTTTAGTTTTTAGATCAAATATAATATGTCTTTAAAATTTGTAACACAAACTAATACTAAAATTTTTGTCTCCAAGCTCAATTGTAATAACTTATTATACTTCAAATTTCATTACAGCCCTCAAGAGTGCAGCAAGTTCATTTCACTGCTGAGGATGAGGACAGAGAAGAACCTGATTTAGATGATTCCAACGTAAGGGTTTTGAATTATCTAGAATGAATGTGCGTATAAATGATCTTTATTTTAAATCAAGAAAATTAATTATTACTTTTACCGAAAAAGATATATTCTAATTAAAATGTTTATTGGCCAAACTTGGAGCAAGAGATTTTTTAATTTGCTTTTTTAACAAGATCATTAATTCCAGTGGCCAGAAGGACTACAAAATGAGCAAGAAGACGATCATCAAGAGGATGACTCTCTGCAGGTGCCCAACTTCAGGGAGCGCCGTGCTGCGCGTCAGACCTGCAGTCCTGCCACCCTGAAGCTGCTGCTGGAATCCGAGCGCGAGAGCAAACTCTGCGTGATTTGTATGGAGGTGGAAAAGTGCGTGATGCTGATGCCATGCAGACACATTTGCATGTGCCAGCTCTGCAGTGCCACAATCGCCAGCACCAGCAGCACCTGTCCGGTCTGCAGGACCGTCTTTGAAGAGGCCATCGAGGGTTTCATGTAGCAATCCAAAAAGGGCCAAACTGATCTTATTATGTCGACCTCTATAACGTTTTTAAATTTTCCGAAACGGTTTTAAACTTTAAATATTCATGATTACCTATTGAAATTTCCAAAAGCATAGTATTTATCCAAAAGCATTGTCAGATTTGAGCAATAAAAGCAAATTATTTATATTGAAAATAATATTGATTTAATCAGTCATCATAAATATTTAATGAGGGAATTGATTTTAAAAAGTCTCCGAGTGTATTTTTGCGTGACTGGTTGAGCATCATTTTCTTCAGCAAATCTTTGTTCACCACTTGTTTTTTCAGTTTGTCCTTTTTCAACGAATTGGCAACTACAGCAGGACTTACTTTAAGTTTTGTCAAGGCTGATTTGGGGGTCGAGGTCATTGGCGATTTCACTGGAATTGGCGAGGCACAAGGAGAAGAGGCTGCAGAGGAGAGCAGCGGCGAATGGCAGGGCAGATCAGAACTGTTCAAGGACATTCTCAGGCCGCACAATTTGTTCTTCTTGCTCTTTTTCCTCTTTTTCTTCAATGACTGAGGTTCTGGGGTCTCTGGAGGGGGAGCAACTTTTTTTTAAAATGTCGCCATAGCGCATCGTTTCTTCAATATTTTTTTTATTGTACTCAATGTACTCCCAGGGCAATAGCATTATATTATCTTACCTCGTCGGTCTGGAATCGAGACATCGCGAAGAGCCCTCTGCGTTCACCTCTGCTGTTGCTTCTGCTCCGTGTAATTGCCGACGGCTGCCTGTGATGAGCCTTCCTCAGCTGGGAGCAATACGCACGATGCTCTGGAATGAGAAAGAAAGTGGAAAAGAACACAAAGAATCGATGTACAATTCAAAACGGCACTTATCTGACGATCCACTCCGAGGGTGCTGCACATTGAGGGGATGCCACATTTGCCCCTGACCTTGGGGTTCGCAGGTGAGAACTTTGCTGTTGCTGTTTGGACTTTGGCATTGCTGCTCCCTCTTTCCATTTCATCATCACCCGCTGTAATGACACAAGAGTTAAAAATTGAAAAAAAAATTATGATCCAAAATCCACGTAAAAATCGACAAATATGATATAATACATATAAGTGGTCAAAAAACATTAAAAGATAACCAAAAATCTAAATTTACAAACTAATGGGAAAATTTGGATGATTCATAAAATATTTCCAGGCACATATAGCGCCCATGCAAAAAAGAATTAATTGTCTAATATTAATAGGGTGGTGAGAGCTGGTATCAAACATGTACATATACATAATATTATATTAATAATGTAAAGTAGGAAGTAGGAAGATGATTATCATAATAATTATATATGTATATTAAAGGTAATAAAATCGTCAATGACGACGTCGGACTCAAAGCCCGAGCCGACCAACCAAGTTTAATTTAACCTTGTGCAGAGCCTTAAATCGTTGCTCTCGACGCCTTTTTTGGGAAGAAAAATTCAAATATAAATTGTGTATGTAATTTAACTATGTATGCATACATACACGTCGCGATTTGTTGATTAAGAAAAACAACTTACGACGTCTTTAATTCGTTCCATTTTGCAACATACTGTCGCCGTGATTGGCACAGTGTACATAGAGACAAAGCAAGAGAACCTACGATTTGATGCACTGCATTTGTAAATAATTAGCAAAAAGACTTCATAACTTGAAAAATCGCACAAAAACGGTGAAGGGGGCGTGCCATTGTTGGTGTTTCTTTCTTCTTTCCGCTTCTTTCATCGGCGAAACGCGAAACTTTCGCGAAACCAAGGAGCGCGAAACCGTGCGAGGGAGGTTGCACGAACGTGGCGCGAGATTTCAAATGTCCGTAAGGCCTGTGTATAGCAGCCATGCTGGGGTGCTAAATTGGACATTGTCATTGGCTAAAAAGTGGCTGTGACGTCACGTGTAACCTCCCTTGTTTACTGGCTTTACTGTCATGGCTACCATGCAATAAGCTGCCATGCGACCATGCGCCATGCGTCGAGAGCAACCGAGACAAAGGAGAGCCCAAAAGCCTAAAGGACTCCGGACTTCGTGCTGAAACAATGGACGCCGACCAGACAATCAAAAACGCAATGGCCTTAGGCGAAGACTTGCAAGAAATCCTTCAATCCAAAGGCCGCGGTGACCCTGACGCACTGACACGTCGCCTTGCTGTCCCATTGGGAACACAATATCCCACTTTCGTACCGTGGAGGCGGCGGTAATGCAAAACTCATTATTTTGCGAGGCACTTTTAATCTAAATTTTAACTTCTCTTGTTTCTAGGGCCAATCACAAAGGCCGAGCTCAAGGAAGGTATGATTACGCGCGTCATGGACGCGCGTAGCATTCTCCTTCGCTACCCAAACCCTTTGATGTCAGACATGGACAACATTCCCCATGACCTGCTTGAAGGTGCGCGTCGGATTGACCTGCTGGGCGACCGATTTTTGCATGTGTTGCTGGACTTTTTGGGAGCGGAGTTTGTCATCACCGAGGGTAAAATTTTGATTTTTTTTTATGATTCAAAATTGATTTCTATAACAATATTGCAGATGGTGGTACCTTAAGGCAGAAAGCAGAAATGGTACCTTTCCAGTATATGCTGGCGCCTCTTGCTGCCCCGCCTGTTGCGGCCTCAGCTGGGGCTGCGATGGAAGAAGGAAGGAGGCGCCCTTGCTGTGGCCCCAGCTGGTGCCCAGGTGCAAGAGGACGCCCCTGTTGACGCAGTTGGCCCCTTCCCAATGAGCTAGTTTAACACGCAGTCTTAGAGGTATGTTCATTACCTAGATTTCTATTCAACTGCTGTCTGAATTATAAAATAGTTGTAAAAAAAAAATGGAAATGGATCTTCTGAAGATATATTTGATGAAAAATAAACATCTTGTCACTACTTTTATGCGCTTTTTCTGCAGAACCAATTTACCCCATTAAAAAAATTAATAAAAAATAATATAACTTACAGTGATTCGAGAAATTGACGATGATGTTCACTAAAAGTAGTGCTGATAAAGAAACTGATAGAATTTTTTTTAATCTGATTGAGGGGTGAACTTTGACTCGGAGAGAACTGTAAGCGGAGCTGAAAAGCAAACTGCAGGACCAGATAAATTCTCAGCATAATTAATTCTTCAGTAGAAACTTGACATGCCTGTTAACTAATTGCATCTCGGGATTTGTTTGTAATTATTCCTTATTTATGATTTCTAAAGTGGGATATTTTGCTTTTTTTATCTTTTGTTATTCAATATCTAATTTTCATATCGCAGCATATAAAAAATTGCTCACGAGAAATCAAAACTATTTATATTAAATTATTAAGAAACTTTTTCACCATAAAAATATAAATATCGGCTTCATAATGTTGTTGGTAATTCTGGAATTGTCAAGCGCTGTTTTTGTGTTTCGTGTCAGCACCTGTCCGGTCTGCAGGACCGTCTTTGAAGAGGCCATCGAGGGTTTCATGGAGCACTCCAAAAAGGGCCAAACTAATCTTTTAATGTCGACCTCTGCAACCTTTTGTAATTGTCCAAAATGGTTTTAAACTTAAAATATTCATGCTTACCTATTGAAATTACCAAAAGAATAGTATTTATCCAAAAGCTTTGTCAGATTAGAGCAATAAAAGCACATTATTTGTATTGAAAATAATGTTGATTTAATCAGTTATCATAAACATTTAATCAGGGAATTGATTTTAAAAAGTCTCCGAGTGTATTTTTGCGTGACTGGTTGAGCATCATTTTCTTCAGCAAATCTTTGTTCACCACTTGTTTTTTCAGTTTGTCCTTTTTCAACGAATTGGCAACTACAGCAGGACTTACTTTAAGTTTTGTCAAGGCTGATTTGGGGGTCGAGGTCATTGGCGATTTCACTGGAATTGGCGAGGCACAAGGGGAAGAGGCTGCAGAGGAGAGCAGCGGCGAATGACAGGACAGATCAGAACTATTCAAGGACATTCTCAGGCCGCACAATTTGTCCTTCTTGCTCTTTTTCCTCTTTTTCTTCAATGACTGAGGTTCTGGGGTCTCTGGAGGGGGAGCAACTTTTTTCGGCAATTGAAATTCTGATGTTTTCTGGCACATTGGGCACGTCAGAATCTTCAAATGAAAAAATAAATTAGTTGATTTGCATAATTTGCAAAAATTTATCATATTACCAGAGCAGGGCAGTTTTTCTTAAGTTTAGGAACCAGGTTTTTTTCAACAGGTCGCAGCTGCAGTGGGTCAGCTTCATGTCTCTTGAGGACCTTTTTCGATTTGGTTTTCAGTTTCGATTTCTTCTTGACTCGGACTCTGAAGAGCTGCTCATTCCACGAGTTGAAGCAGAACTGACACTTGACTGCGGGCCGGACAGCACCACTGGGCAAATTGAGGGATCCAATTTCTTCGAGTCTCTTACACCTCTTCCTGTACCAACAAAATAGTTCAAGAGCTTCATTTAAATATTTCAGAAGAGATAAATTAGAATTCAATTGTGATGGTCTTCTTCTTGGAGCAGGTAGGGTCCTTGAGCAGGGTGGCGGTGCCGTGAGGGTGACCTTTGGAGAGAAGCAGACGGGTGTGAGGCACTGAGTGCCATGCAGCGCCTAGGGCAGCCTTGGGCTCTTTTTCTTCGGCCGTTGGCTGCTGCAGATGGTTGACGACCAGAAATGCCACCTGCTGCTCAGCGGCCAATCTCTTCAGCAAGGCGGCCGCTGTTTGCAATTTGGCCAGAGTGCGCATCTGGCCGCCGCCCAGGTGAGGGTGTGCCAAGGAGGCCACCGAGTCCAACACCACCAGACGCGGCCGCGTCTCGGCCACCAGTCCTGGCAACTGCACCACCAAACACTCGAGGCTGCGAACGGTCGCCACAGAGATTCGCTTCATCGCCGTCTCCACTGAAATCCAAATTATGAAACAAGATGTAAATTTAACACATAATATGATTAATTTAAAATTGGCAATGGAAATAATTAAGTATTTTTCAAATTGAAATGAATTTGTATCTTTTTCTTTTCATTTTGATTGATCAACTCTCAGGAATTTCTTATTAAAAATTTCCGTATTGAAATGAATGTGAAGTAAATATTTAATAAATTTTCATAGAATTTAATCTTAGAATTGAACTAAATATTTTTCTATCTTATCAACCTTTGGAGGAGGATGACTCGAGTTGGAATCTGCCTCTCATGATTTTAAGGACGGTGTTGGCGCTGAAGTCACCCTTTGTTTGGATATAGAGGACCCTTTTCTCAAGGTTGAGGGCGACGTTGCAGGCGACGGTGTGGCAGAGGCGACTTTTGCCGGCGGCCGGATATCCGCACACCTCGATCAGTTGGCCGCTGGCGAGGCCGCCGTCCGGGAGAAGCAAATCGAGGGCCGGCAACCCTGAAGGTAGCACGGCCGCGGTGGCCACCAACTCGCGGTACGTCTGCAGACCCGTTTGCGCAAAGGGTGCGCTCGCCCTTGCCACCCTGGCTCTCAGGGCACGCGTCTCCTTGCTCTCCGCGTCGTCGCCCAACAGCAACTCGCGCACACTCCTCACTCTCCTCTTCAGCTGCCGACCCTGCAGCAGCTCTTCCGGCAGGTCGCCTACCTGATGATGGGCCATGACCTGACAAGTGAGGAAAAAACTTACAACAAGTGGGCCACGAGCAGGCCGTGGCCAGCGGCTCGAGGGTCCAAACTCTGCGACAGCCGCCAAACGAACTCCACCTCACGGTTCTGCATCACCTACGAAGGACGATGCTCAGCTGATGCTCAGGTTCGCTCAGTTTTTTAAGTGTCTTGTTCTTTTTTTTTTGGCATATATTTGTGCACGAAAAAGTCATCCCACGTGTGTTCTTTGTTTTTGTTTTGTTTGCCACTGCGGATGGAGGGATGGACCTCTTGCGGCATCTCTGTGAACGAAAGAAATTGCAACAAAAAATTCTTTGATTTTGAGAATTTTGCATTTGGTTTTATTGCTTTAATGATTATATATTTTTGATATTTTTCTTTTCATTGGCTCAAAAGCCATGTTTTCAGGGATTGTTATATGTAAAATGTTTTCTATGAGTGCATTTAAAATTTACAGACAATTCGGTCTGCCTCTCCTTTACTTACACCCCTACCCCACCCCTTCTCCCTGTCAAAAATCCCAGCTGCAAAACGTAAATAATTGTGATCGTTACGTACGTATAGGACTTAGGACTTTACCTGTACGTTCTAGCAAATTCCGCGAACCTTGCAAAAACATAAAACATGAGACTTAATCTTCCCCTTATTATGTGAGAGCATTTGGCGGCGTGAGGATTAGTTAATCAGGAGCTAAATTCCTGAAGAATTTCAATAATTTCACAAAAGTCTTGAAGGTTAATCATCAAGGCGATTTTATTTGTACATACATTTTTGCCGACAGCGCCGAAGGTAATTTCGCATGCTTTATTTTTACATTAGAATCTGTGTGTGTCTGGGATTGTGGAAAAGCCCTGACCAACAACCATGAACGAAGACCACAAGGAAAAGGTTCCGTTTCCAAAATATACACAGAAAATTATTTTAAATTATTTATTTACGATTATTTTTTTGCAATTTGATCTTATTTACTTAACGAGCTTGGCTAAATTGTTGTGTTTTTAAATTTGTTTAATTTTACCAAACTTTAAATTTCTTTACACTTATAAAATTGAAATATATGTATCATTTTTTTTTTTTTTTTTTTGTAATTTTTCTTTTGAGAAACAAGTTAATGTAAAATATTTAATCGTAACAGGAATTATATGAAATGAGTGCCGATTTGGCGTCGACGAGCGGGTGCGATTCGCCTCGGAAGCCCATCAAGTCAACGGCTGTGGTGAAACTTTCCATCTCGGAGGCACCAGCTAATTTTGAGAAGCTCACACTGAACACAAATCTGAACGAGCCGCCTTCCAACTGGCTCTCAACAAAACAGACCAACGGATCACCCTTTGGCTTCTCCAACCCATCAGGATTTAATAGGTATTATACATTTCCAAAGTTTCATAAAAATCTTAACTAAAATAATTTCTCAGCTTTCGAATTGCAAACATGTTTCCTGACTGTGTTGGTGAGGTGGACGTTGTGTCGGATGCCGAGAACATAAAGAAACTGCTCAAAATTCCCTATAGCAAAGGACCTGTAAGAATTTTTTCCCACTTTAAAAAACACAAATTAACCATTAAATAACATCAAAGGTCAGCATGATTGTACACAGGGTGGAGAACACCCTGCTGATTGATGAGTTTGACATCCACAAGCACCTGATGCGGACCGCCGAGAGTGAGTGGAAGTGGCTCCGCAAGTTCTTCTTCGAGCACATCATGAGTACCCTCAGTTCTAAGGTAAATTAAAATATAGTTAAAATAAGGCTACAATAACAAATCTTTTGTCTGAAACAACAGGGGCTGTACCAAAAGGATTTCAGCAGGGACGCAGTGCAGGAACGTCGACTAGTGTCCAAGTTTTTGTACCACAGTCTACGGGAGGCCGCAGAGATGGACACTCCTGAAAAGGGCCAGACAAGCAAGGAAGACGACCTGCAGCCTGAGGGCGTCCCCATGCACTGGTCCAGCCTTCCTGAGCCGCAAATCGAGATGCCGGACAACTCTGTGGGCCACGAGTTCGCCAGGAATGTAGTTTGGACCTTTGAGGATATTCAGATGCTCCTGGGCACTGACATGCCCATTTTTGGTGGTGACACTCATCCCTGCATAAGCCTAAGACTGAGGTATGCATTTATTTTCTAATTTTTGATGATATGTACTGTGATAAAATAATCTTTTGAATTAAAAAAAATTGCAGAAATCGTTTAAATATAATAATTATTTGATTTTTGTTCACAGAGACATGAAGAAGCCGATTAATGTCCTTACCGGCATCGACTATTGGCTAGATAACCTCATGTGCAATGTTCCTGAAGTTGTTATGTGCTATCACTTGGATGGATTGGTTCAAAAGTCAGCTTAATTTTTAACTTAATTATAATTTGCTCATTAATTAAAAATTTTTCCAGGTATGAACTGATAAAAACTGAGGATCTTCCACATCTGCCAGGCAGTAAATTTTCACCCAAGCTCATCCACGATGTAGCTCAGAACATTTTGTCTTTCCTCAAGTCAAACGCCACCACACCAGGCCACACATACTGGCTATTCAAAGGTACTAAATATAAAGAAAAATACTGCAGTTGTAATAATATTCTCTATTTTAGGTAAAAACGATGATGTTGTTAAATTGTATGATCTGACGACGCTCTGCAACAACGATCAAAATTGTAACGAAGAGAATCCTTTCACCGTCCCAGTTGCCATGCTGCTCTACAAGTAAGGATTTGTCTTTTCAATAATTTTGCGATAACGATGGTTTTTGCAGAGTGGCTCGCAACATGAAGCGACACGACAGCAAACAGCATGGCTGCATAAAAATGCTTCTGGAGCACTGCATTTCTCTTTTGAGCAAGGAAAAGCACACTCAGGTTTGCAAAAATCTCTAAAAGATAAAATTGAAACATCAAATTTTGTTTTGCCAGGTTGTGACCTCTGCGCACTACATGCTAGCAGACCTGTACGTCCCTGCCGAAACTAGTCCGTCAAACCCTGCTTTTCCTGAAGAGGAGGAAGACGCTTCTGAAAAATTGAACGAAGAGGAAGAACCTGAGGAATTTGAAGAAAATGGAAACGACGTTGAAAATGTTGAGGTAAATTTTAACTTTACTTTAAAAAAAGTTATTAATGAAATTTTCACTCTAGATTGGCTCTCTGTGCTGGAAGAACTCATGCACAAAAGTTTTGGAGAAGACGACGCCGCCTCCGCTGATTGGATCAGTGTATGATCGGTGTCGAAACAGTCTGAGACACATTTCAGATGGACTGGTGTGTCTGCGGCAGCTGGACACAAGGCAAATCCAGCAGGAAGAGGAGGAACCCAAGATGGCCCACCCATTCACGGCCATCCCCATGCCTTACACCAACATGACCAGCATGGTGGTGTCACCAACAAAGGCTGAGGAGAGGCAACCGCCAGAACCACCTGACCAGTGGAAGGCGCAGCTGCTCACCCTGTTGTACGAGAAGGCCCTGCTGGTCACAGCTGTAATGACCCAAAACTGTGTCACTACCGAGCAATTCGGCGCTGCCCTCCGCCTGGTCCAAGTCCTTCTCACCCTCAACCTTGGTCTCCAAAAGCTGGCCAAAGTCCTTGGTGTCAAGCATGTGGGTTTTATTTTTGCATTTTAGTTTTATTTTTAATGAAACTATTTCCTTAGGGCAAGGAAAGTGAAATGGCAGCCATGAAGAGTTTCCTTCTGGGCCAGGCGGGCGACGCGTGCTGCATGATTGTGCAGAATTGGAATAAGGTGGAGCAGTATCGAAGTGACATCAATACCAAAGACGAGCTCATTGAGCCCATTTTGAAGCAGATGCAGCTTGACGTTGGGCCCACTTATGGTAATCATTCTTAACTATATTATATTATTCTTAATTACATATATTTTCCTGCCAGACGATACGGTGCCAGTAGATTTGGACCTGCCAAATGTGGAGGACGTTTTGAGATCCAGCCTTGAGTGTTACATCCAAGCCGTCAACTCCAAGCCTCCAGCCGACCAAGTTCCCGGCATTCAAAGGCGAATTGGAAACATCCACAACGAACTAGGTGTCTTTTACATGACCCAAGCAAGTGGTAAGACCTAATAAAAAATCAAATCAAAATCACTTTCCAATCATCATAATTCTCTTTTGCAGCTGTTGCAAGTGAGCGGGGAGTTAAGGACAGCCAATTTCAGGTGCTGGTGAAAAAGAGCCTGAGCGAATTGGAAGCTGGAATTTCTGCTTTCGAGAAGGTGGCTGATGTGAGCAACCTGGCGCTGCTGCTTTTGAACACAGGCAGGTTGATGAGGCTTTGCTCACACGCCATGTCTCCCTCGTGCCGCACGCCTCTGCAGGGCCAGGAACGAAACTACTATGTAAAGGTAAACAAATAAGTTATAATTTATTAACTTTTATTCAAAATTTTGCCGTCATTAGGCCTTGAATTACTACCAAAGAGCATTGTTTGTGTTGGGTGAGCGAAGTGAGAAAAATGAGCAAATCTGGGACAGCGTCAACTGGCAGTTGTCCACCACTCTATACAACATGGCTGTGATCCTGCAGGACTACCCTGACAACAGTGAAAAGGTTTTGATACTAGTTTACCATTTTAAGTAATAATAAAAAATAAAAAATTAGAATCAAGAGGAGCTGGAGAAAGAGGTGGTAGAGCACCTGCAAAAGGCTCTGCAAGCATGTGACCTGACCACGCCAGGTCGGCAACAGCCAATGTACCAATTCAGGGCCGCTTCCATCCACCATAGATTGGCTTCTCTCTATCACAAATCTCTCAGGTAGGATTTAAACCTTGCTAAATATGTGTATATTTATAAAATTATGCATTTTTCAGGAATTGTTGTGGAGACGACCACAAGAAAAAGTTTATCCAGCAGTTGTGCAAAATGCATTATGAGAAGTCGGCAGAGATGTATAAGAGCTTGGAAGGATTGGCTGAGTTCCTCAGGGTACAGCTTGAGAGGGTCGCCTTTGCGGAATTTTCAGCTGAATGTAATTTTTTATCAATTTGCATGTACCTTTAAAACTAATTAACAAAATGAAATTAGGCACAAATGGTGTGGGAGGCAAAAAGTCACTGCTGGTCGGTGCGGTGGATTTAATCCTGGGCAGTGAGGACGTGTTGAAAGTGGTGATGAAACAGAAAGAAACGCCTGACGATGAAGACGATGAGCAACTCAAGTTAGTGCTGCTGATGGAGCAGAGACTGCAGTGCATCCTTCTTTCCCTGGCCAAACTCTCGTCCAAGGACAAAGCAAACGCCAAAGAGTCAGTTTTGTTGTAAACATTTTAATTGATTTAACATTTGGCACATTTTGATTTCAGAACTCATTTCAAAGCCATGTACGCAGCAACCTTGCACAGAAGCAACAAGGAAAAGGAGGAACTGCACTCGGCAGCCAGCAGACTTTGTTCAACCATGCAAAAAGTTTCAGAGCTGAAGAAAAGTGTGTAATTGCAAAGGGATTTTGTTTGTGATAAAAGAGTTTAAAACCAATGATCAAATATGTGAACGTAATTATATAATTTTGACTGAAAGTTATAATAGTGTATGACATTGACTTGATTAATAAAAAGTGATAACAACACAAATAATTGATATTGCATTTAATTTTTAAAAAATAAATTCAAACTTAAAGCAAAATTTCAATGCTGTGTAATGATCGCACAGCCGCGGATTGTGAGCACGATCGTGTGCGCCCCCACCCCACCCTCGCGTACCGCCTCTCAGTGCGGCGAAGTGCTGCTGAATTGGCGGAGCTCAAATGGTCCTCAGCGAGCAGCATGTGAGAATGTGCGGTGCTTTGTGAGGAGCGTAATGATGGGCACCATTAGCCTCCTTCTGCTGGTGCTGGCCTTTGCCGGCGGCCAGCAGTTGGACGTGGACACCACCCAGGCCAGAGGCCAGCAGGACCCGCAATCGGCCGCCCTTGCTCCGTAAGTGTGTCAGATTTTTCCCTACATTAATTCGTGAAAAAAAAATGAAAATGCGATGTTAAAAGTAATAAAAATAGTCACGCAATTTAACTTGTCATTCATCTCGCATGTTGACAGTTTAATAAACGCTCAACTTCTTGATAAGGATCTTTAATTGCGGCAAAACTCTACATTTTCTTACGCTTTGCATTGCACGGTATATCAGAGTTATTCACAAGAAAACGAATCTTATCATTATATATGATTATATTTTATATATATACATTTTTTTTTCCAACTCGTATATGCCTCCGAGCATAATTTTTTCTTTCTTAGCGCGCGGTGCCAATCAGAAAGGCATTCAGATTCCCAGAACAAAAGTATGATGAGATTTAAACTTGTCATTAGTGCGGTTCTGCTACTTAATTTTGTGGTTGCGATTTGAGGATGAATTTACGGCACGGATTTTCCGTTTGAGTTTTTTAACCTGCGGCACACGTGTTTTGTACGTGAGTGATAAATTTGGAAAGAGCCGATGATCGATTTTAATGCTCGCTGGAAACAACTTGGGCCGGTTGCTAAGAAACTGGTTGGGACTTTTGTTGTGACGCCGCCGCCGTACTAAAGCCGGTCACGAAAAAGCAAGAGCCTGACTTCAAATTCAAATCGATGTCAATGCATGTTATTATCCAAATGAAGCTTAATTTTTTATTTAAATTAAAAAACTAATTATTTATTTTATTTTTTTAAATAAAAGTTTTTAATTTATTTTATTTCTTTTCTAGCCAAGATTTTATGATTTTTCATTACTTTAATAATAAAACTCCAATTTATTTCTTGATGGGTGGTGAAAATTGGCCCGAGCCAAAAAATTAAGTTGCAAAATTAAACGCGGCCCGCAATTGTTTTACTTATTATATTTATGAGCCATTGTGCATCACCCACACGCGTTAGCTGATTTGATGGCAAAGGACACACCTGCCCGTGTCGGTGCCCACCAAATTATAGCAATCACTTATTATTGTTGTTAACAATTTTTTTCGCAAGTAGTGCCAAGACCTGCCGCGGTCAACAACCTCGCCAGGGCCGCTCTTGCTTTTTTTTTTTTTGCTTTTTAGTTTCGTAGACTCGCCAGGAGGCACGAGAGAGACGGACGCTTGCAGGCCCATTATCAAGTGTCTGGATTAAATTTTTTACGACTCGTGAGTTGAAAAGAAAAAGCAGGGAATCCCTTGGTGTGGCGTGGCACCGGCGAGGTGGCGTATTGACCGAATAAGGGCCACCTGGCGAAGTGGTGCTTCGCGAATTTTATAATTATGCAAATGAGTCGCGCTGGAACCGTCAATCTTATTGTTGAAGAACGAAAAGGCTGCCATAGTAAAAATTCCTTTGTTAATCATGAATCACCTCAACAAGAATGCGGCAAAACTATAATTAATTTAACTAGATAATTATTAGGGAAATTTATAACATAATTTTCGTTCAGAAAAAGTTTTTTAAAAGTCACAGTTGTGCAGGAATTTTTGTATAAAAGAATTTAAGAGTTTCAATTTTAGTTTTCATGAAAAATTAAATTTTTTATTCTGCAAATTAAATAAAAAGTCACAATATCTGGATTTCTCTTTTTCAGAGATTGCAAAAAAAAGGGAATTTCTCCCTAATTGTAAGATTCATATATTTCTGGCTTTATAACTCATGAGCATTTAAAGTTTCTTTATAATTTTGCAACAATTTGATTTCTTTTTCAACTACACTGCAGGCAATCACTCTCTCAGCTGAGCGTATGTTTCACAGCAAGGGTGTTTTTTTTTTATGGCTCAATTTGGGCGTGCGACAAATACTTATTATCGCGCCGTGTCGCCGCTTTTTATTTTTATTTTTAGCCGCACTCGGTCGGTCGGTGCAGCACGATTGGAATTCATTCAGCTCACTCTGAACTAAATGGCTCGTCTTCGATTCGCGGCACGTCCCCATCGCGCCGCGCGCTCTCTGCCCCCTGTTTGCTCTCCCTCGCGATGAATATATGGAATAATTCGAGCTGCGAGGAGACAATCTCGCCTTTTCCAACAACAACTCAATCGACTGCCGAATTAAGTTGTGAAAACAAATCAAAGCACTAACGGACACAACCGGCACACACACCTGCACTCGCCTTCCCTGGAGGGAAATCTCGACCGATAAATTTTCCTTATAAAACGCGCTACTGCTCTTGTTTCTTGCCGAGAGACAATGAGAAGACAATGACAATGGGCTTTGCGTGCAAGATTTCCATGTAATTAAATAATCAATCTTTTCTAATGCGCTCATTTAAAAATTATTTAATTATGCAAGAAAATAGCTCAAAAATATATCTCAAGGAAAGTTTATGGAAAATGTGAAACCGTCAGAAACTATTGCATTATAAAAACCAAACATAGAAAGTTAGATTTTTAAAGATTTTATAGAATTTTAAAAGGTCATTAATTATTATCCTCGCAGCCTTTTAAGTTTTTTTCCTGCTTTTTTGACCTTTAATTCTTTTATTTCACAACTGTGGGCAGTTTTCAGTCTCCATATATAAAATTATTTTCAATTTAAATTCCTGGCAGCTGCATTTATAAATGCAAAGAGTTGTCCAATTTATCTTGCGAGGAAGGCATCGCAGGTCGAGTTTTTCGTCCTCTTTCAGCTTCTCGGTGCTTTCCTTCGACTCGTTTTCTATTCAAAGCCGGAGGGTGTGCCTCGCAAAGTTGTGAAATTTACGAGACAACTCGGCCGAGAGATGCAACTTACACTCCATACACTCACAATTAAGTATCAAAATATAAACGTGTAATGTAACGAGAATGCGCCTCAAGGCCAGCAGCTGGGCACTTCTCTCGGTCCAGCTTCGTTTGCAAAGCGAGGAAAACGATTCAAAAACGTGTACATCAGAACTGGCGAGAAATTACGATCTCTTTAACGGCCCTATTTAAATTTCTCATTACGACCAAAATTTTGCAAAAGCCAGACCCATTCAAATGCAAATCGAAGTGAGAGATACAATCTGAAATCCACATGCAAATTAATTCTTCAGTCTCCGACCAGCAGTGCGTTGCTTTTTTTATCTCCTGACTCGCCAACCACTAATTAACGATGAGAATTCCAACTATTGATCAGAGTCGATTGTCAGCAAACAGCCCCCGGTGTTTTTTTCTGAACGTTTAAATATTTACGGTTTGTTTATCTAACGATTTTATCTGCAAAAATTTATAATATCAATAATTTTTAACATGCCAGCAGCCATAAAGATGAAAATCGCGAGTTTAAATAAAAAAAAATCTCTCGCAGGTTTTTCTCCCAAGTCAGGTTTATTTATATAAGCCTTATTTACGTTGGCGGAATGAGAATGTTTTGGCAATGGTGCTGAGCGTCATGCTTGCGGACGAGAGTTTGAATGAAAATTAATAATGCGTGCTGCGGGACACACAACACATGCCGGTGTGTGCTGCATGGAGGGCCAAGTACGCGGCTGGCATCGCATTATTAAAAGGCGTCGAGTCATCCATAGGATAGGCACAAAGAATCATCACCGAAAAAAATTAACTCGCTTTTGTGGACATGCTGACTTCGAAGGTCAAAAATGATCCACACGTGTCTGCGTATAAAAAAAAGTCAATCCAAAGATAGAGAGAGGCGCTTCATCGTTATTTTTAGAGATTTGAACGCGTGTGATTAATGGATCGTTAAAATGTGATTTGAGACATCTTTTTTATATCGTAATTAAATTTTCGTCTTCTTGCGTAAGACAATTTCGTCACGTAGATTTTGCGTGAATAAAAATTCTCCGCTCGCTCCTATCGTCAAATTTTGTGTTTTCGGTTCTCACAATAAAATTGGAATCGTTTTTGGCATAATTTCATTTGTGCGTGCTAAGTCCATCTACTTCCCATATCAACGTGGGTCTGCTGAGAATTCGTCACGAAATTTACACGTGACTCTCTCGCGGACTTTCAGGTGGGATTTGAGATAAAAGTCATTAGCCATTAGTTGTGAGACGAATCCTGATGAGCCCGAATCGTCTTTGCAAGTGGTCGTAATCGTTCTTTGTTCTCCCAGCCATAAAATGAAAAGTAAACAGAATGCAACATGAATTCAAATTTTTAGATTTGGCACATCCAATGTGAAGCAAATCCCAGCGAAAATAATTCTGTCTAAATAAAAAAAAAACTCCGCCTAACAAGGCTCCCTGCTGAACGCAGAGGCGCGCACGTGGAGCATTAATAAATTTGCAAAGGTATTCTGATTGCATCAAGCGCTGGTCTGGCTGTCGTCGTTTTGAGGAAAATTAATGCCGTATGTGCTGAGAGATTTTTTTCAGCAGTACCAAATATTGGTGCAGCCGCTGTGATTTACAAGCGCAGACGTAACTCCGGGTCAAATTCACTCGGCGCTTTATCTCTCTCGTGCGTCAAATCAACACTTATTTTTCATTTTCGCTCCCGCACCGCGGTGAGAAATGCAAACAGACCAAAAACGCTCCACTTTCCTCATTTTTTTAAACTTATTTCGTTCATAATTTACATTTTTTTTTAATTTATAAATAAATATTTGGAGCAAATCAATGTTTTGCATTCTCTCTTAATACTCCATTCGTTTTTTTAATTAATGTTAACAATTAAATATTACTTTAATGAAAGATAATAAATTTATATGCACTTACTTTAAATTAATTTAGCTTTAAGCAATTACATACAAATTTGCAAGTACTTTTCTGAAGTCTGTCTTGGATGAAAATTTTCACAACACTACTTTGAACATTTGCACACAAAGTAAGTAAATTACGTTTTTGAACAATTCTTAGAGGCAGCGTACACGCTGATGGCGATATTATAGGTACTGCTGTAATTTAGAGGTGCATTGTGTTTCGAGCGTTTTCATTCCCACGATGCACTTGCATGTGCACTGCGGCAGAACAATATGCCTCAATTTCGCCTTTTTGCATTCACAGCCAAATACAAAGTGACCTTCCACACCAGAGTCATCAGAATAAACGTTGCCACTGTTGTTTGTTTTACCGCCTGAGGAAAATGTAAATCTAACAACTTTAATAGCCAGGCTGATCAAACACGCAAAAATTTAAAAAGACCCAAAAATATGTTTATACATTTTTCCTCGCCTTCCGGGTATTCCCCTGTTCGTCAAATATTTGCGGTCTCGGGGAAATGATTGCGTTTCGTGCAGCATCCGTTTGTGGTCACAAAATAAGTTCCAAAACTGGCGTTGCAATCAACTCTAATTGCCCTTTCATTCATATTCGGTGTTTGTTCTCCGCAGCAGAAAACACCCAAATGGGCTGGGCCCCCACCACGCTCTGCTTAACTATGCGATCCGCACCCAACGGAATCAACTAAATTGCAATATATTTATTTCTAATGAATAGTATAATTATATAAGATGATTTTTTTTTATTTATACAGTGAGTAAAAAATGGACAGTGAAGTCGTGCAAATTACTAGATTTATTGAAAAAAATCGTTTGTTTTTCGAAACGAACAGCGAATTTGAAGTGTTTGGGGAAAAGTTAAATTAATATTAAAAATTCTCGGGAAAGTATATCAATCGGGTTATTTTCAATTTAAAAAAATCATTGCTTCAAATTAATTTCTGGTCAATTAAATTAATAAGAACTTTCTTTGAACAATATTAAAATTTAAATATCTTTTTGTTCAATTTTCCATAAAAATAATCTATCAAGCCTATTAGTATTAGTAGAACAAAAATATAATATATAAGAAATAAGCTTTTCTTCAAAAATTAGGTGTTTCATTTTCACATTTATTTTATCAAAAATTACAATTCGCCACGCCAAGTTGTCGGAAAAAATGTTAAATTCTATTTATTTGAAATCATTTGGTAGTTGAAAGAATTTATTCAAGTGTGACATTGTAACTTTGAAAACTGATACTGCGGCGGAGCGACGTGTGCAGGTTGCCAAATCGGATGTGCAATACGACGTTATAATAAGAGGGAGAAACTTAAGTAAGACAAAACGATTCATCTCGCGGCGGGTTAATTCTGCAGTCAATGGGCGCAATCGTTTCCGCGGGTGGTGCGCGCCTCAGCATATCGGGTTTCAGTTACGCACGCGTCCAATTAACCCTTGCTCTGAACCCTCGGCACAACGCACGCCTCTGTTTTGCAAAGTTAATTAGCGAGAATGTGATCGAGTGGATTTTGTAATGAGATAAAGACAGACGAGAAGAGATCAGCGATCTTCTCACTCTTATTTCATTGTGAATTTTTGCTTAAATTATTTAATTGAGTTCGAGTTTTAATATTATTTGATGAATTCAAGAAAAATCAAGTTTTAATGACGTTTGTTGTCGTTAAAATTTGATATAAAATGTATAATATAAACTGTTTTATAAATATTCAAATTAAATTATAATAAATTTTCACATGCCATAATCTTTTTCATTATTTTATTTATAACTTTTCAAATAATTGTCTTAATACATAATAAAATATAAAGAGTTTTTAAATTTCTAATAAAGCATTAAATATAAAAATACTGATAAACGTATTTTATTATCTAAAATTTACATCTTATCGCAACTGAACTTTATTTTCATCTTTTTTTCACCGCATTTTACTCTTGGTACAATGCAGACTGCAGGCAAAGTTCAAATGGCGGAACGATTTCAATTTTCGCGTCTGTCAGGTCTGTATGTGTGGCTGTGCGCGGAGCAAATTTGGCGAGCTGGAAATTTTCAGCCGGCGTGATCAGCGCTTTGCTCTGCACGCTCGGTTGAGTGGCGAGAGGAAGCGATTTCTACCTGCCGCATTACAATAACCTATAACGCACAAAAAAGACACACCCTGCGCTTCAGCATGCATGTCATGGGCACTTTATTTTTACATCAGACAGGCCTTTGTTCGCTCGGTCAGATTTCCGAATTGGAATTTGCGGCGCGTTGGCGCTGTTAGTTTTCAGATAACCATCGGAAATAATCCGCGGTAATTGTTTTATTGACGCGCCGTTGAGAACAAAATCTGGTTCAACAAGATGCTTATCTGCGAAACCACTTATGTTTAAAGAGGGTCGCGAAAATCGAGTTGTCCGCGTAGGCTTACCCAAAGTTCATGAACGAAATTTAATTGAATTTTAAACATCAAACAATTTTTATGAATGTCTTTGTTTTCCAAAGAAAATTTGCTGTGATTGCTCCACGCGTGGTGCGGCCGTCGTCGCTGTACTCGGTGGCCGTGGCCGCGCTTCCGGGCCTGGAGGACCGCCTAAAGGTCAAGGGCGCCCTCAGCAGGGATGGTGTCCAGTTGGCCACTAGCGGCGTGGAGGAACTTCGTCCCTCTGGTATGTCACAATTTGTTGAAAGATTGGAACTCGTACAATTAAAATTCAGCTAATTATTAAAAGTTAATTGATATGAATTGAGCACTAAATAATTATTAATATTTTGTTAAAATTCTAAATTTGTTCGAATATTTTAAATAAAATAGAAAGGTTTAAAAGATTTCTCAATTGATTTGAATTTCCAATTTTATGGAATTTGTACAATTTTTCATGAAGGTTCAGTGCGACTGTTGATGATGGTGCCGGGTTCGAGCGCGCCTGGGGATTACTCGTTCAGGGTGGAGGGTCACAACGTTGAGACCGGCGCCAGGGTTTTCACCAACACAACCGCCCTCAACTTCTCGCCGCGTTTCCTCACCATCATGGTGCAGACCAGCAGGCCCATCTACAGCAACGGCCAGGACGGTACTTTTCTTTGGCAGATCTCTTGTTAATCAGGCCATAAATAAGGTGTTTTTAGTCAGGTTCAGGGTCGTGTTGCTCAGGATGGACATGAAGCCTTTCGACGAGGCCGTCACCATTTACATGCAGGTCAGTCTTCCAAAAATTTTTTGAGTTATTTAAATTTAAAAATATTTGAAAGGATCCTCTGGGCATGGTGATGAGACGCTGGATCAGCGCCGAGACTAATAATGGTAAGATTTTTTTAAAAATTTAATTTAATACTATAAATTTAATTTAAAAAAGGTGTTGTGAGCCTGATGTTCCAACTGCCGCGTCTGTGCCGCGAGGGCATGTGGTCGGTCCGTGTGGAGGCGCGCGGCCAGCTGGAGACGCAGAACTTCCAAGTGCGCACTCACTTCATTCCACTCTTTGAGGCAATAATTACAATAGTTTGAAATTTATTTGATATTTAATTGGGGGGAAGCAGGTGTTAATGTTCACGCCGAAGTACGCGCTGGACACTGACGAGAGCTTCACGGCGACGACAAATGCAATTTCCTCAACAGAGCGCCTTGCTAGAGGTAACGGCACCCTCAGGGTCTTCGGCCACAGGTTCGCAAGCGCCGACGGACGCAAAGACTTGGAGCCCAAACTGCTTTGGTCTGAAACCGTCTTTATTGTAAGTGTAATATTGATTTCAATGAATAAAATTTTTATTAAATACATTTTATATTTAAATTATATAAAAAATGATGAACTATAACATTTTTAATTTATTTTTTATATAACACTTTTTAGGCAACTGGAGTTGAAAGCTGGGAAATCGCCCTGAGCAGGGTGGAGGCCCACATGGGATTGCCGTTGGCAGGCATCGAGGTTCGTCTTCCTTTCGTATTTTTTTTTTACCACTTGCTCCTTATCAGAACGAGTTTTCGCATCGAAATTGCTAACATTAATTTAAAGCACCAACGTTCTTGAAATTTATTACACGCCACGTCTCGCGAGTTTCTTTCTCGCTTTAAACACATCAGAAATGCAGAACGGTGCTCTTAAAATGATGCAATTTCCGCGCGTAATAAATTCAATTGCACGACCCATTGCCAGCAATGAAATTGTCGGAACAGGTCAAAGTGGAGCTGGAGGTGATGGAAACCTTCTACGGCGACGTCAGGTCGGGCTTTTCCTGCACCCGGATCATCGAGGCAGGCTTGCAGCTCAGGTTTTTGGGCGCCGCGCCGCAGATCTTCCGACCAGGGATGCCCTTCGAGGGACAGGTCTGTGAAAAATATCTCTAATTTGCAAACAAAGCTGCGAAAACGATTTGAAATTTTAATGAGAGGGCTCTGGGAATTAAAACGCAAAAGCTGCACGCTTGGAGAATTTTATTGCAAAGGAGCAGCCGTGCGAAAATTAGTGCTTGATAAATATAGTATTAAATTTTTACAACAATTAAATTAATCTCACGCTGTAATTAATAAATTTTTGAGTTGATATGATATGACCAATGATTTTTAATAAAAATCAGGAAATTGCCTGCTGAATTAAAATTTTAAACTAATTTAATTTATCAATTTATTTTACCTAGTAATAAAAATAACATGGAAGATCTACAAAAAAAATTCTGAACCGTCACGACGTGTCAGGAAATTTGTGCCAAATAAGTTAAAATTAATCTCGCTTATAGAAAAATATTATTCTATTAATTTTTCTTGAAATATAAATTTTTTTACGTCTGTTCCTAACTATAAAAATACACACAGGTTGCCATTAGTCACAAAGATCACGAGAAAATCTCCGAAGAGCTGCTGCAGAACTCGCGCCTGGAGATCCGCGCTTTTGCCAGTCTGGAGAGTGGCGGTCGCGTCGACCTGCCCGAGGTAAAGATCCCGTCGGCCGCGGATACCAACCAGGAGCCCCACTACCTGCGCGAAGACTGGGACGAAAATGACGTCGCCGACATCATGCAGCCTTTCTTTGACCAACTCGCCTTCCGCCACTTCCGCGCCACCGGAGTACACAAATTTAAAATCATGGTCCGTTGTTTATTTTACCTTATAAAAGAAAAAAAAATTAAAAAAAATTTGGTGCAGACTCCTGAACGGGCGGTACGAATCGAAATCCAAGCGACCTTTACCGACCCTGAGGGCAAAGTTGAGTCTGCAGAACTAAAATTGGAACGCCACTTTTCTCCAACAGCTCGGTAATTAATGCTTAATGCATACATTTTTCTAGTAATTATTATAATTGAGAGATATCTTGGGAATGTATTTTTCCAGATACATTTCAGTGACGACAAGCACAGAGACAGGCAAACCCGGTGAATATGCAATTTTTCACGTTTCTGCAAATTTCCTTGTAGAAAATTTCATTTACATGGTACAAAATTCCATTTATAAAGTAACAAATTTAATTAATATTAAAAAATAAAAGGTGGTCTCGAAAGGACTTCTATTGATCGTAGACAGCATGGACGCGTCTTACGGCGGCGCCACGACTTTTGCGGTACCAGTGTCCGCGGAAATGAGTCCCGCTTTCCGCCTAGTGGTGCTCGGCGTCACCAGGCAGGGCGAAATCGTTTCCGACGCCGTCTGGCTCCCTGTCGAAGGAATTTCTATGCACAAAGTTAGACTCATCAATAAATAATTAAATGCTAAAATTTAAATTAAAAAAAAAATAGGCTTCAATGAAGCTGAACCAGGCAAAGGACCACACTAAAGACACAGTTGAATTTGAGGTCAGGGCTGAACCAGGCGCCTTCTTTGCCACGCACTCGTTGAACGTCTTCATGTACGAACTGCAAGCGGGAAGCGAAATCACCCGAGCCAGGGTCATGCGCGCCTTGCACTCGTTTGAAAATGAAACAAGGCAAGTGACGAAAGTAATTTATTTTGGCAAATGTGAAATTAAATGCCTTTATGCCAATCATGAATTTACATTTGGTTAAGAAAAAATTTAATTAATTAAAAAAAAACTACAGGGCGGTGCACAAAGTTGCTTGGAGGGCGAGAGATGGTCTCAGAGAGGATCAGAACGCCTTCTTCAAATCAGGAAGCTACGGCCCTGACGCCAACAGGACTCTCCAAGAGGCAGGGCTGATCATTATTACGGATGCCATTGTTCCTTCCGTGCCTGGTTATAACGGAAGTTTGTTTTTCAAATTAAAACATTTTGGGAAATTGAAACAAAATTTCAATTGCAGAAGATTGCAACTCGAACTCTTCCATTCCAATGCTTCCGTGTGCTATTAGAGGTTGTTTTCCAGCGAGAAAAAAATGCGACGGCCAAAAGGACTGTCCTGACGGGTCGGACGAATCCAATTGTGAGTTGAACTAATTAGAAAAATTATTTTCTAATTCTAAATTAAATAAAATCAACCAGGTTACGAAGTGGACAATTTCCAGGAACAGGTCCACTATTCCATAAACAGGATGAGTGGCTACACAGTAAAATTTGGAACTTGAAAACATCCGCAGACTTAATATAAATCTAAAATTTAGGACTTGTACCAAGTGGGTGATGGTGACTGGGGCTGGTTTGAACGAAACATTGGCCACCATGGGCGCGAATTTGACAAAATCGCCGTTGCCGCTGTCACCAACACGTGGTACATTTCTGGATTCAGCGTCAGCAAGGACCACGGCATCGCCGTCCTGGCCGAGCCCCTCCAAGTAAAATTTAATATTTCGGTAAAAGAGATTTTTTAAATTTATAATCAAAGCACGAGAGCCAACGGCCGTTCATGGCGAGCGTTGAAGGCGCGACGCAGTGCCGGCGGGGCGAACAGGTCGGTCTGCGGTTAATGCTGTTCAACAGGGAACCAGGACTGCACGAAATGCTGGTCACCGTCATTCTGCACGGCTTGGACGACTACCAGTTTGTGCACGTTGAGCAAAACGGCGTCGTCTCCAGCTACGGCGCCCGTCTCTCGGGCGGCGACCACCACCACCTTGTTTGGGTAACAAATTTTTACCTAGTCAAAACTTTTCAATCTTCAAAGCAAAATTTTCAAATAAAAATAAAACACTCATAAAAAGTTTGAAGTTCAGGTTCAAATTACTTTGGGTGTTGGAACTATCATTTTGAATATGAATTTTTTCTTTAAAACTCTTCTCTTTTCCAGATTGGTGAAGGGGGTGAGCTACAGGTGGACATCCCTGTGCGGCCCATGATCGAAAAGGGCGAGGTGGAAGTTCGAATTACAGCCACAACGCAAGTAGGCTTCAAGGAACTGACGCACACAATTAACGTTTTGGGCGAGGGCGCCCCCGTCAGCGGCCATACTTCCATTTTCCTTGACCTCAAGTCCAGGGCGACCGTTTTGCGCTACCTGAACATCCCTGTGGAGGAAACACCCATTGTGCCCTACCATGATTGGCGCCGCTATGTCTTCGGCAGTCCCTCTGGCACCATCATTCTTTCCAGTATGTTTATATTTTTCAATATAAATTTATATAATGAATAAATATAAAAGGTGACTTGATTGGGCCGGTTTTCCCTGAAATTCCGTTGACCACTATTGGTCTGGTGGACAGACACCTGAAGGGAACTGAGGCCAGGGCATCAGAGTTAGGCGCCAACGTGTGGACCTTGCACTACCTGCGCCTCACCAATCGTCTCAGAAGAGAAAAAATGCGTGAAGTCCTTGGCCACTGCAGCACCATTTTTACTCAGGCACAATATTTTAATTTTTTTTTAAATTTAGATAAAATTAATTGAATAATTTAATGTATCAGGTGATGATGAGATTCAACACAACGACTGGCGCCTTCCACAATTGGGACGATTCGCCTCCTAGCGTTTGGTGAGCGGAATTTAAGTTTTTTTTTTTTTAAATTATTTTTATGTAAAAATTGAACTAGGGTGACGTCTTGGGTTATAAGACTGATTAAACACGCGTCCTTCCAAGACTGGGAGGACCACTTTTACGCCGAGTCGCGCATCACTAGCCTAGCGGTAGAATGGCTCCTGCAGCACCAAACACCCAGCGGCGCCTTCTACGAGCCCGACTTTACTTACTCTCGCAGCCCTCTTGATCCGCGCATGCACCCCACGCAAACGGTATACAATAAAACCAAATTCCAAACCAAATTAAGTAGGGTTCTTTGTTTTTTATAAATATAAAATTTTTTGGTCGCCTTGAAAAGAAAAATTGATTTTTTTTTGTTTGAATTTATCGTTGCAGCTGGATCTTTAGATGTAGGGCGTTTTAGTAGACAATTGCTTAATCTTTTTTACAGTTAGATTTTTTATCAACTAAGAAGAAAAAAATTACAAATGAAAAAATAATAAAAGATAATCGCGTAATATTAGAATCTTTGGAATTTTTACCATAGAAAACATATTGACGACATAAACGGCTGCTTATTTATTTAAACGCCTGCCCGTCGTGGAGTAGACGACCCGCTCGACACGCTCATCCAGCCGGTTGCCAACTTTTAAGTCTCTCTCTTGCATTTTCTAGCCGCAGCCCAATGCAACTCGCGGCGAGCGGTGGCGCGACAGCCTGTTGAACGCTAAAAACGTTACCTTGACGGCACACGTGCTCATCAGTATTCAGGAGGCCCTGAACTCAGTCCAAGGTGGTCTCAGGGGCGAGGCCGCCTCCGCAAGAGACAGGGCCATGAGGTATAATATAATAATTTTGGTCTGCGATTCCGGTATAATCAGTTTCTGAATAAGGTACTTGGAGCGGCAGTTGAACTCAATGATCGACCCGTACGAGGTGGCCATCACCACCTACGCCCTGACCCTGTGCGATAGCGTCGAGAAGGACATGGCCTTCCGACGTCTTTCCGCCCTGGCCCTCAATGGAGACGGTTCGTGTTGGAAAATTAATAGTTTTAAAAACGGTGTTAAAATAATTTTTTTGAAAAGATGGTGAACTGTACTGGTCGCGGGTGAAGATTCCTTCAAACCCAATCAAGTACGAGAACCAGCGGCCCTTCGTGGAGCCGGCGCCAATAGTCGAAGGTGACTCGGTGGCCGTCGAGGCTACCGCCTACGCCCTGCTGACCTACATCGCGCGCGAGGGCATTGGAATCATCCACGAACGCATCGTCCAGTGGCTCGTCTCCGTCAGGGTCACATTCATCGGCTACTTCTCAACTGTGGTACGCATCCTGATTTTTAAATTTTTTTATTATTTTATTTATATAATTATATATATTTTTTTTAAAAATATCATAGGAGTCGGTGCTGGCGCTGCAAGCAATGACAGAGTTTGCCTTCAGGGCTCGCCTCCTGGACATTACAGACATGAGTGTGACCCTGGAATTGCCCAGTTCGGGCGCCCTGAGGCATGAACTACGCCTCCTTGGCAATGACTCCGAGGCAGAATATTTTACCACAGATGTAAGATAGAAAATAAGTTAACGAGCAAAGAATAAAAAAAAATTACAGATTCCAAGCGTGTGGGGCCATTTGAATGTGGTGGCCAGAGGTCGCGGTCAGGCTCTGGTGCAGATGGACGTCGCATGGGGCGTTGACCACGACCCTTTGAAGGACGGCCCTTCTGAGGACTCATTTGACCTGACCGTCCAAGAGTACTACTCCGACTTCAGGAACAAGTCAAAAATCACCATTCAGACTTGCTTCAGGTAATATTTAACATATCAAAGTTAAAACTTGAGTTGATGTTTTAAAAAGATGGGTTCGGTCGAGTCCTTTGACAAGTGGCGCGGCTGTGCTAGAAGTGGAGCTCCCTTCGGGGTATCACATGCTCGAATCGGACGCCATCGCCCTGGCCAGGTCAAATGTGCACCAGACCCTGAGAGAGGGCCTTACTGTCCCCGGCAAAACCCTTTGGTACTTTGAACACGTAAGCCAATCAATTTAATACGTTAAAAAAATTAAATCTAAATTAAAATCAGATTCCTCCTGAATGGAGCTGCTTCAACCACTCAGTGATGCGCTGGTTCCCAGTGGCAAACATTTCCCTTCACCGCTCTGTGTTCCTCTACGAGATGTATGCTAGAGGTAACACTACTTTTTTTAATTATTCAATTATAATTAAAAAAATATTTGCGCAGAGCGATTTGTGCAGGTCCTGTTCAACTCGACGCCTTTGTATGTGTTGAACATCTGCGAAGTGTGCGGCTCTTACCAGTGCCCATACTGTCCACATTTCAGCCGCGCCGCCTTCGACCAACTCTCCGCCGCCGTCTTAATCTCTGCGCTCGTGGTTGTTTTGGTCAGAAATTTCTAAATGTGAATAATTATATGAATTTAAAAAAAAAAACTTAAGAACGGCCGCCGCGACTGAATGGCCGCAAGTCAGAAAGTGATGGGAAATAATCTCATGCTAATTTAGTTTTAAATAATTTTTTACTGTCACTTAAGTTAAATTTTGTTTCCAAAAATACGAGATGTACGATTGGTCAAGTCAAACGGCTAACCTGGCTTTTCAATTGTGAATTAATGCATTTTTCGCTTTAAAAGTTAACATAACTCTGAAGGATAAGCAGTGGTGGGCCACCTGTACTAACAACGATCTTGGACTAAAGCGAATTCTTGTCGCTGATCCTCTTATCAATAAATCCGTCCTTGTAATAAAGATATTTTTGTAAGAGATAAGATTTCAAGAGTCATCCAATCATTAGATTAGATATGCTTAAAATAATTGTTACAGTTGTAAAATTTTTGCGGCAACTCCTCTATTTATTTTAGATTATTCTGTAAATTTGATTATATAGGGAATGATTTTAATTTGATGAAAAGTTTTGAAGTTTATAATTAAAATAAAATATTAAATCTCACTTCTATATTATTCTTTCATGAACCAAAAAAAATTAACACAACGCTACATAGTGCTCCCATAGTTCGCACTGTCACACTTCTCGTCTATGTATTTACTCCTTTAATTAGTAATTTTTGTTTGCTCAGAAGGATGTGTGCCACTTGCAAGAAACATTTTCAGAAAAAAGAAATAAATCATTAATCACAAACAATTTTGGTTTCAACTGCGATTAAGAATAAAATAATAACAATTAATTTATTAATTCATCTTTGGAAGTTTTGTTATGATTTTTGCAAGCATAATAAGAAAATAATTTTTGTTGAGCAGAATCTAACGTGATAAAAAATTGAAAAAAAAAATTGGAACTTCCTCGCCAGTGCTTTAAAAGCGGTAAGGTAAATGTCATTTACAAAAAAGCGACAGGAAATTACCAGGAGCTGTGCTGACGACGGCCAGTGTGCGTGTGTTATCTGCAGCAGGTCTGCGTCACACCAACAACCAACTCGCCAGTTGGCCGACTCGCACAGGACACGTCGCAGCCGCGAAAGCACAACAAAATAAAGAGGCCGATTAAGTGTCAAAAGGGATGGCGAAATGAGCAGAGGGCAATTGCAGGGCCGTTCCGGGCAGTGATCCGGCTGAATGGGAGAAAAGTCGTCCGAGCACCTGCTCAGGGTCGACTCGGCCCTCGCCGATCAGGACGTGCTGTGGTCCAGGTGAGAGCGAACGTGTCAACTAAAATGACCACGGTTAAAGGCCTGCTTGGAGAACTGAGCGCCTATGAGTGTTCAAATCGAAATTTCCCTTTTTCTTTCAATAATTAAAATTTTCAATAAAAAAAGGTCAGAGCGTCGGCGATGGCTGCTGACAATGAGTCTGGGCACGTGCGCCCTGTACGCGAGCAGGTTGTCCGTGCCACTTGTGATGCCCGCCATGGCCAACGAGCAACAATGGACCAAGACCGAGACCGGCGTCGTCCTTTCCTGCTTCTTCTGGGGCTACACGCTCACCCAGGTTCAACAAAATCCACCTAACTCGACCAATAAAAATTACTTTCAATTTACTGCAGGTGATCGCAGGGTACATGAGCGACCGTTTTGGAGGGGAAAGGGTTATCATTTTAGCAGGTTTGATGTGGTCGTTGGCCACACTGGCCATACCGCCAGTGGTCAGGTGTTACAGCCACCCTGTTTCCTGGAGTCTCATTCTACTCAGGGTCATGCACGGCGCCGCTCAGGGTAACAGTTACTTAATTTATATACCTTGAGTTAATCAATTTAACTTATTTGTGTGCTCATATAATAAGTGTTATTTCACCAAGTGTTAATATATTCATTAAAATATTTTATATTATGTGTACTTCAAAAAATAGAGAGAAAACTAATCAATTCTGAGATAATGAAACATCAAATTTAAACTTAATTCTATGTCCAAAAATAATATAAATCTCTCCTGCTGTCAGTAAGTTTTAATTAAAACCCCTTAATTATGGCGATCTTTTACATTTACTCTAATTAATCAGGAGATTTTTGATAGCAAAAATTTTTTATTTTCAAAGTAAAACTATTTAAAAATTTTTACCTTCAGATCTTACATCTTCAGTAATTTCAGTTTTTTATTCTTTTTAAATTTGTTTTTTTACTTTTCAGCAAAAACAGTAAATTAATTAATTATTTGTAGGTTTTCACTTTCCGAGCCTGTCTAGTCTGTCCAGCAGACGGCTAAGCGTGCTTGAGCGCGGACCTTTCTTTAGCATCGCCACCTGCGGCAGCGCTTTCGGGGCCATTCTGGCCGCCACCGCCGGTTCGGTGCTCCTCACCTTTTTCGGCTGGCCCGAAGTTTTCAGATTAATCGGTGTGTAATATTATATTCTTATTTTAACGCTTAATAAACGTGAAAAAATTTGAAAATTTTAAGGGGTGTGCGGACTGGCGTGGGTTTTGCAGCTCCGCTCGACCATCAAGTGCACGCAGCGGCAGAGAACCTTTATCCTGCTGCCGCCCAAACCCTCGCCCAAGGACGAAGAAAGATCTGTCGGAGAATTGCCCATCGACGAGTGGCACGTCATTCTTGCCAGCTCCCCTTTCTGGTTATTAATTTTTATTCAATAAAATCAAATAAAATAATTTTAATTTAATTTTTTCTCTCAAACAGGGCCGCAGCGATTGCTCACGCATGTCAAAATAACGCCTTCTACATCATGTTTTCGTGGTCACCCATGTACTTCCACGAAAATTTCCCAAACGGAAAGGTTGCTAGTTTATTCGAAATACTTAATTTTAATAATTATCGTATTTTTATACCCAGGACTGGATTTTTAACATTGTTCCGTGGGTCTTTTTAATTCCTGCCACCTTCCTGGGCCGCGAACTGTCTGATCGGCTGCTAATGCGAGGATTTTCGGTCACCAACACGCGCAAAATCGTCGAAGGCACCTGTCTCGGCGTCCAAGCCTTTGGACTCTTGATCATGCGTACTTTCAATTTAAGTGAAAAAAAAAATGATTTTTCAATTTGTTCATCTTCAGCCTTCATGAAGAATTTTTGGATGGCGGTGTTTTGCTCAACTTGCGTAATCGCGAGCTCAGGACTGCACAACAACGCGGTCATGGTGAATCCGCAAGACCTGGCGCCGAACCTGGCCGGCTCGGTTTTTGGCCTCATGAACACCGTCGGCGCAATTCCAGGTGCGATTATTTTATTTTTTTAATTCTGGTGGTTTTATTTATTACTTTGTGGTTAGGTTTCGTGGGAGTTTACTTTGCAGGCTACATTCTGGAGGTGACTGATAGCTGGGCGCAAGTTTTTATCACCACCGCCCTGATAAACTTGGCCGGCTGCGCTCTTTATTTGCTCTACGGCAGCGGCGAGCGAGTGGTTTGAATGCGGAAAAAATGAGTATTTTTCGAGCAAACGTGGCTTAACTAACATAATTGTTTATTTATTGTTGTATTTTTGTGATATTGATTTTGAGTGCAAGGCTGCGTAAGATTTTTTTACTATAAATATAAATAAATCAACTAAAAAAACAGAAATATGAATATTTTTATGCATAAGTGCATAATTACTATGAAGGCATCGGTTTTCCCAGGTTTTAAAGCTTTAAAAACATATTACCTTAAGTTTTTCCCCAAGAAACTCTGACGCGTTTTCATAAAGATATCTTACGAGTTTTATCTAATCTGTTCCTTATTTGGGGATTTCTCAAGGAATTCTAGCGGGATTTATTATGACGCTGGCACGAGTCTTACGACCCTTTTTTGTGCAAACACGACTGCAGCCAGGGATCTGATTATGAGCAATAAATAAAAAGAACGAAATAATTTCGTACTTGTTTTCTGCTGAATATGGCGATTGCTATATTTTTAATTGAATTACATTGCGTTGTAAATGCCAGACTGTTTGAGAGTTTAACAGATCTCTGAGGAATTCAAATCCTTAGTTTCCCTTTAAAGGCTGTCAGCAAAGTTAGCAAGTCAAGATGACAAAAGATGCGGTTATTTAGATATTATGTGGAACAAAACGTACCAATTTTAATGAAGAAAAAGAAGTTCTTAATGCAACTTTTCTGCACTCAGTCAGAGCTCACAATTTTGAGTTACGGTCGCAAAAATAGGACTATTTCATTTATTTAAATTATATGTGAGAATGCGTTGATTTTAAAAGCTTTCTTCTAAATGTCTAGTGAATATTTTTGTTGCCCATGCACAGACAGTATGAGTTAGCATCTCTTTATATGTTATAACAGCAGCTTTTACGAGAAAAGATTGAATTGAAATGTAGGTAAACAAAATAATCTCGATATTTTTGTTTCCTCTTTCCTCATTATCACAATTACTTTAAATATTTACATTTCATAAACTATATTTCTAGGGAAGACTACATAGAAATGATGTGTTTCAATTACAGCAGAGATAACATATTGCAAAAAAATTATTTCCAAAATATTTGCCTGAATTTTTTACTTTTAATCAATCAATCACCTAAGAAAGTTTTGTTGATAAAGTTGATAAATAAAAACCTAACTAAGAGTTGGTTTTATATGCACAAATGTAAAATCAAAATACGTTAGGAGACATTTAAAAAATTTAAGGTAAAACTCTGAAGTGCACGACACTAAACACTACTTACAAATTGAAAACGTCCTCCTCTGTCTCGAATACTGGCACCTGATCTAGATAGGACATGACAGTGACTTGCAGAGTCTCATCATCTGGAACTGCACAGAAAAAAATTAAAATTTATCATACCTTTGGAAAAGCAGTTCTTATTCAACTCGCACCTCTATCATAATTTGATGACAAGTAGTGGGAGATGGTCCTAGCAATTTTTTTAAAGGCCTCTTTAGATTTGATTTTTCCAGTCTTGTAGTGGGGGTTGAGCAGAATGATTATTTTCTCTGCAAGAGCTGCCTTGGTCTTGGCAGCACCGCCATCTCTGGAACTCTTGCTCTTCTTGTTTTGTACGGCATCCTCTTTGCTCCCAGCACTGATTTTCCGTTTCTCTTTTTTACTGGCAGCAGAGACCTGCTTTCGATGAGACTCCTTCTTAAAATCTGTCGAGTGTTCAAACTGCGGAGAATCAACTTCAGGAACTTTTCTTGGACAGTGTGTAGATGTTGACTGCGTGTGGACTTTTTGGTTAAGAAGATCACAGTTGTCGGGTGGTGCTGGAGAGACCTTCCTGTTGACCTTGCCAGCCTCATCCTTCACCCCAAAAAAGGTGGTTATGGATGTCTGCTGCTTGTCATTTTTCAGGATAATTGGTTTCTTGGGTGCTTTTTTAGCCTTGTCCAACTCTAGCGCTTTGGCCACTTGCTTTTTATTTGGTGCAGATTGCTTGGGCAGCAACGTGGACGCAGATGTGTAGCCGTTTTGATTTTGGCTGGCGGGTTGTTGCTGTTGCTGCTCAGAATAAACCTGTAACGCCGACTTGATTTCCACCTTCTCTTGTTTAGGTTCGTCAGACTTGGCACAGCTTGTCCCTTCCACTACGCCCCCATTATTAATAAAGCTTCTAATTCGAGGGTCCAAACAAAAGTTGCTGGTGTTGGATTTGATGTCGGTGACCTGCAAAAAAATAATAATAATGAGTTAGCGATGACAAACTTTTCCTCGACTTACAATTTTCATAAGGACTTTCCTGTATATAGAGGCAACAATCGTGGAGCAGAAGGCATCATACTCCAAATGAATTGCAGTTTGGCTCACAAGATCATCTCCAAATTCTTCTTCAAGCTCGCCAATTGCTCGACACTTGTCTCTGTTCTTTTTCAGCATATCCTCTATCAAATTTAAATATGTCTCCCTCGTCTAAAACAAGAACGAAATTTTAATATTTATATAAGTTCAACCTGTATTGCTTACAGCAACATTCAGTCCATTGACTTTGGAAGACGTACTGGCAGCAGCCTTAACTCTAGAAGACTTTCCATAGTCAGATTCTTGAGAGCCAGTCGACTGCTTCCTCAAAGCAAACTGTTTTCCTATAAGGGTGCTTAGGGCTGATTTGGCAGTTGATTGGTTTGATTTTCCAATTTTTGAATACTCTTCAGTCTCTCTGTATAAAAACCATTATATTTAAAAATTCTAAGAAAGTTCTCCAAACTTCAATAACTAATACATTTAAATTAAATCTAACAAAATTGCTCCTTATTAAAAAAAAAAACTCTATTATTACTTTTTCAGGCCTGCCCGGCCGCCTCCGTACAACTCGTCGTCAATGTCTCCACCAGACTTGCCAATACTTGTCCTAAATCTCATGCTTCTAGTCTCAAAATCGTTAATCTTTTTCTGCACAGCCTTTGGATTGACACAGCAGTCGCACTTGTTTTTGCATTCAGGCAGTTCATCTCCAAAATAATCAGTAAAAACCGCATGTCGGCACCTGGTGGTTCACATGATAAAAAATTCACTTATTTCACCTTCGAATTTCCAATTACTTCACTTCTTCGCAGTACTTGATCATTAGTAAGAAGCTATCCATGGCTGCCTTGGCCTGCTTCTTTTTGCTTTCCTTAGTTTCTTTGGACATGGCTTTACTCAGCAGAAAGGTGACTGCGTCTTTTTCCTTTTTCGAGTAGTAAATGCGGCACCTGGCTGGTTTTCCGTCTCGACCTGCTCTGCCAGATTCCTGGTAGTATCCAGCAACATTCTGTGGCAAACCCCAGTGAGCCACAAACCTAGAAAAATAAGAAATCAATATTTAATATTCTATTTAATAAAAAAGGAAATACGAGGAAATATGGAGAATTGAAGAAAATTGGGGATAAAATATTAATATTTTTATCTCTATTCAATACGTAGAAACAATTTACTGCCTGTACTTATCAAAAAAGTGTATTACCTAACGTTGCCTTTGTCAACTCCCATGCCAAAGCTGACTGTGGCCACAATTATTTTGCACCTTTCCTGCATCCAGTCTTCCTGGACAGCCACTCTCTCCTTGTCCTTCAGACCTTTTAACAACCAAAGTTAAAAAAAAACTATAATTTAAAAATGTCCTCCCTTACCTCCGTGATAGGCTAGAGCCTCGATACCTGCCCCTCTAAGTCGGGACACAAGCTCCTCTGTCTGATTTCTTGTCCGGCAGTAAATGATTCCACTCTGGAACTGAACAAATCTACAATATAACATCTCTCACAAGAAAATAAATATTTACACCCTCCTCGGCAAAGTCATCTGATTCCGCCATTTCCATAAATTCCACTAAGTCGGCAATGGGGTCCTCGTCCATAGCATCCTTGAAGACCACATCATAGAACAGGTTGCTTCGAAAGCAGGACACCCTGAAGGCAGCTGGTGACTGCAGCTTCAGCTGCTCGTAAATGTCCTTCTGAACCTGTAAAAAAGTTTGAATAATGGCAAGTTTAATTTTTTTATTATGACTTTACACTTTTGCTGGCAGTTGCTGTGACCGCAACCCACTGCACTCCTGGACACAAAGTCCTTAACTTTCCGAGCTTCAAGTAGTCTGGCCGGAAGTCATGACCCCACTGGCTGACGCAGTGCGCCTCATCCACCACAAAGCAGCCCAACTTGCCATTCTTGTGCAACTTCTGCACCACTTCCTGTTAGTTTCAGCAAATGTTAATTTTATATTTCAATAATATGATTTTTTTAATATACTCTGAAAGTGTCCGTCTTAGCTTGCTCGGGAGTGACGTAGAGAAGTCTCGTGGACGGTCTGTCGCTTTTAAGATCTGTAAGCACCAGAGCTCTCTCAGTCAAGGTCATTTTGCTGTTGATGGTCTTTGCATCAACATTCAACTCCTTGTTCAAATAATCCAGCTGATCCTGAAAAATTGATGAATTGAATTGTGTTGGTGTATAATTTTTGTTTTCAACCCCAAAATTTAAAAATTGTATTGAATCCTTTCAATATTGATTCAATCAAGCAAGGGGTTTAATTAGGTAATAAAGAATAAAAAAAATAATGTTCATACTTTCATGAGCGCCAAGAGCGGAGAGAAGACAATGGTGACTTTTCCCTCGTTGGCCACCGCAGGCAACTGGAAGCACAAGGACTTTCCGGAACCGGTAGGCATCGACACGAAAACATCCCTCTTTCCTAATTCATACATAATTACATACATTTAATATAAAAAGTTGCATAAAAATTCTGAGCAAAAAATATACCCTGCAGGATGGTTCTAATTGCCGCTTCCTGTGTTTGGCTCCGAAAATGTCGATGCTTGAAAACGCTTTTCAACGTCTTCAGCATCACTTTTTCAGTGATTGCAGATTTTTGTTTTACGCTGTCCATTGTTGTGTTTCAATTTCCGTCAATTGTTTATCCGCGACAAAGGTTCTCACATGTTTTTCTATAGCTGAAGATGAAGACGGAACATTTTTGATGCCTTTTCGAGCGAATCAAGCGAATGTTTATATTTTATATTTTTTACGTCTTTCGTTTTCGTTTGGTTTGAGGTTTTCGTCTTTTAGAAAATCAAACCGGTATTGAATAAAAATCGGTAATATTTTTGGTGCAATAATTAAACTAGCCAATAAAATGCGAATATTTGGCGGTAATTTTATCAAATAAATCGGTATTTAATTTTGCTCAAAACAAACATGTCACGTGACCAAAACATTGCCATGTGATCGTCAAATCGAGAGGGAAATGAGAAATGATTGAAACGCAAAAAGCTGATGATAAAACTCCAAAACATGTACGGCAAGAAGTGGTACGCTTTAACTGATTATTTTTTAGGTTCATGTTTTTACTTGCATCAATTTACAATTGTGTGCAATACATTGCCCATAAACTAAAAACGCAGACGCAAAATTCATGCACAGCATCAATCGTTTGACGTTTGAACTGATTTTTTAACAATTTTTACTTTTAACCAACTCTACAACTTTAACTATAATAGTTTACTATATTTAAATTATAATTTAACCACATAATTAACCCCCCTATCATTGCATTTCAAATTTAATAGGCGGTAATAGAGTCACAATGTCTATTACACATACATACGTAGATTATGCAATTTAAAAAATTATATGATAATTTAAGAATTTTAATAACATTTAATTTAAAAAAATTAAGTATCAATATTGTTGATTTTCTTACATAATATCATCATTCTTGTTTTGATAGATTTTATTCGAAATGGATTATTGCAAGATTGATGGAGAGACCCAGGTTGTGGAACTCCCAGAGAAAAGTGAATTTACCTATGATTTTCCATCTTGCCAGAAAAGTATGTATGTTATTTTTTTAATGTTCCTCAATTTTTGTAATATATATAATAAAACAAAATATGATTTTATTATTTGATTTCAGTCCTTAATTTACCTAAAAGAGTCCTTTTGACGTCCGACTCATGTACACTTATTGAGATCGTCGGAGGAAATGTCCAAGAGCAGCACTTGAGTCTGCACATAGCCTGCCCTGCCAAATGCTTCAAGGTCCTTTACACCTATCACCCTGACAGGGTGGACATTCACTACCTGATTTTGGATGCCAGTAATTATTTGCACATTGTCGAAAGATGCCCCAAGCTGAAGGTTTAAATTAAAATCCATCTTATTTTTAAATAAATAACTAAATCTTCTCTACGAAGGAAATCTCCATTTTTGAAAACGTGGAGCAAGTAAAAATTTGCAGCAGTGACGAGACAGGAGAGCCCGAGTGCCGAATTAGGAGAAGGTGTTGGGAGACTTTGCAGCCAGGCTGTTTTCAAACCAAGTCTACTCTAGTGCGTGACCCTCCTAAGGTGGATGCCGTCTCTCCTCCTTTAAACAACGCTTTAGAGGTTTTGATTTTTGTGTCCAAATAATTATTTTTGATTAATAAAATTAGAATCTTAGAGCTTTTTAGAAAGACTGAAATTTTTAAAAATCATTTTGATGAAGAAACGTTTGCTACGGGCAAATATAATCAACAGCCTAGACTTCGAAATGGATGAGTTGAGCCATGTTAAAGTTGAATATTGCCAGTTCTTTGTTCTGCACGGAAGACTTGTTTTTGCAGCCAAAATTAAAAATGTTTCCTCGTAAGTAACTTAATTAAAGCGAAAACTGATTTTTTAAAATTTTTATTTTTTAGAATTGGAATAAAAGATGTAACTTTAGTTGCCCTAACGTCTTCAAACCTCAACTTGTCGCAGCTGACACCGACAGCCGAGTTGGCCGAGGGAGAAACCACCATTAGGACTGCCACTTTTGAAGTGCCTCCTCAAGAATTTTACTTGAGCATCGAGTATTTTGTTAATGACTTAAAGCACTGCCTGCCTCTTGCAACCTCACATGCAAAGACTGTGATCAATCTGCACCAGCGCCTCAAAAGCATAGGTAAATTTCCCATTTAAACTTTTAGTTTCATATTTAAACGTCGGCTGTTCATTTTTTTGTTCTATTATTTAGGTATTGGCGACTGCGTTCAAATTTTTCCCAGCGTCAGTTCAAAGTTGGCCAAACTGAGCTGGAAGCCAAATTTTTCCAGCTCCGTATCGAGAAGCTTGAAAAGAAGCCTCAAGTTTTTGCCGTTGATAGAAGACTCAATTAATAGAATCGCTCTCTCCACTTGTGACCATCCTGACCTCAGAGGGTCAATCCTCATAGAATTTTTTCAGAAAAATCAAGCTCTACTTTTCTTTAGGTAAATAATATTTTAACTTTATTTTAAAAGCGGGCTGAAAATTCATTGTTTAGAGATGCTGTGCAACTGAGGATTTTGACTTTTTTGTTGGGCCCCTTGCCTGTGTTTATAAGGACAAGTCAACAAAGAGAACTAGAATCAGAAAAGTGTACCATCTCTACGGATGTTGCCCTCATCAGGGAGGTTCAGGTTACGTCCAGGAAACCCATTCCAATACCTGCATATTTCCAAGTTTTGCAAGATTTGATCCACAGAATGTCTATTTTCAAGAGGTGAATAAATATTGTGTTGTCTGTCCAAATTTTTATATTATTATTTTTCATTTATATTAGGTGAATTAAGAAAGAAAAAAACTGAACTGAATAAAACAATGTTATATTTATTTTTATCTACACACGTTTGTATTGCATAGCAAAGAAAACTTAAAAACATCTGGGTCAAAAGAATTTTGTGACATTGTATGAATACATACAAACAAATCCTGGGTTTGTTACCTACATACTTGTTCAATATTTATAAATGGAATAAGTTCATTTTGGCAGTGGGGCGAGGCAATTTTTAACATAATTATACTGCTTGGAAATAAATATTGCTTAGGTGCCCTGTCTGCTCAAAATCTTTCCTGCAATTTTCTTGTCTCACAAAGACAGAGCACCATTTGTGACCATTAATAAAGAAATAAATGCTTGATGTGACATTTTCATATTTGAGTAAAGATAACATGGGCTAAAGCAACAAAAAACGCATTTCGAGCAATCAAGTGCCGTCAACAAGTAAAATTTAAATGAGCTGTAGTGCACAACGCTAGAAACACATGATGTGGCACCAATTCCAACATACAAACTCTGGCAGACCAAAACCAGCTCACTCACAGCCAAATGTTTGTTATGCAGAGGAGTGCGTAAATAAGAGGATAAAAAAAAGTAAAGACACAATGGATATGACTCAAAATTTTCAGACAAAACCAAGCATTTCCTATTCGCAATTCGCATAGGAAAAAAATTATAATTGATCTTTTAGGAAGAAGGAAAATGCTCTGGTTTGCCTATTATATAAAATCGATTAAGCCAAAATTATGCCTCCTTGATTCCATCAAAAGCTTCGCAAACGTCAACAAAGACCTCGTCTGGAGACCTGTTAGCCAGAACAGTGCGGACAAGGTCTTGTGCCCTGTAGTGATCAACTATGGGCATTGTGGCATTGATGTAGGTGTCAAAGCGTTTAGCCAAACTTTCAGGGTTGTCGTCTGAGCGGCCGCTGCCAGCAGCGCCACGTTGCAGACATCGATCGGTGCACACCTCCTGAGGGCACTCGAAGAACAGCACAAAAAGCAAATTCACTTTGGCGCCCATCTGGCTGTTCCAGCCGTCAAGATTATTCTGTAGGAAGAAAAACATAAATTTAATTCTTAAAGATCAAGTAACACTCAGTATTTTTAAAATGGTCATATTTAAAAGGTATTGTAATTTAGTCTATTTTTTGTAAATTTTTTTAGGCAAGAAAATGTAGTGCAAATAATAGACCTGGTTGCGAGGAAAACCATCGATGAGGAATTTGGAAGAGCCAGACTTAATCATGGCTTTTTCCAAAAGGCTGCAGGTGATTTCGACGGGCACAATAGTGCCGCCGGTGATGTGGCCCTCAATGAGAGCGCCATACTGAGAACCAGGGGTGTTGCGCTCTTCTCGCAGCAGGTCGCCGGCCGAGAGATGTACAAAGCCAAACTTGTCCACAATTTTCTCGCATTGAGTACCCTTGCCGGAGCCTGGAGCGCCCAGCACAAAAACTATGCCCGGTTTAGAGGTCATCTGGCTTATCAGTCTTCGCACAAACTGCATCATAAGCAAAAGTCACGCACGAGCAGACAAAAAGCATCAGGGTTCAACACTGACCTGACCTACGGGAGGATCTTTGTTGTCTCTCGGCTGGCTGTCTGTCGTTGAGATGCCAGGCGCCAGCGATGCGTTTGGTTGGCTAGTTGGGGCCGGTGGGTTTACTATCCCCTATCCCTCGATCCTCTGTGCTGAATAGTGACGTCATCACACTTCCTGCACACGACGATCAATTTTTGTAATTTAAAAAATTTAGGTCGAGATGTTATGCAACCAGTTATCACACAAAAAATACCGGTTTATACATACTTTCTATTTTAAAAATTAATAAAATCGTTGCAAATTTTTCACAAATTATCAGTAAATTACAAAAATAATATAGAATTTAAAAAATAAAAGACATTTTTGCCGCATATTACGTGTTTATAGTGCCGAAAATTGACAAAATGTTTGATTATTGAAAATTAAATATAACCGGTTCTGTAAAAACAACCGGTTTAAGTGTAAAAAGACAAGTGATAAACGCAAAGCGGCGCAGCGTGCCGCAGAGATCCTTGCATGTAAACAATCTTGGAATCTAAAATTGTTTTTACGAAAAAATCCCTAAAAACTTAGCAAACTGAGGTTTGAGAGGAAATTTTGACTTCTTTTAATTCTTTTCAAATAAATAAACCATGGATGACGAAGCGGAAACCTATAAACTATGGAGAATCAGGAAAACAGTCATGCAGGTATGATTGCAATTTTGCTCTGTATGTATAAAATTTTAAAAATAAAATTATTCGTATCTTTTTTAACTATAGTTGTGTCACGACAGAGGTTACTTAGTCACTCAAGAGGAATTGGATCAGACGTTGGAGCAATTCAAAGAACAATTTGGAGACAAACCAAGGTTTGATTCTTTGTTAGACTTGGTCACTAAAGTTTTGAATTTTATTATGTGCTGATTTCAGTGAAAGGCATCCTCAGAGGAGCGACCTAATCGTACTTGTGGCCCACAACGATGACCCCACTGATCAAATGTTTGTTTTCTTTCCTGACGAGCCAAAGATTGGAATCAAAACTATCAAAGTACTTTGTCAGCGCATGCAGGACGAGAACATTCACAGAGCCATCATTGTCGTTCAGCAAGGAATGACCCCCTCTGCCAAACAAGTAAATAATTTGATTTTTCATTCCAAGTTATAAATAATACTTAATAATTTTTCTAGTCTCTTACGGACATGGCCCCTAAGTACATTTTGGAACATTTTCTGGAGTCTGAGCTTTTGATCAACATTACAGAGCATGAGTTGGTTCCTGAACATGTTGTCATGACCTCTGAGGAGAAGGCAGAACTGCTTGCCAAATAGTAATATTTTATCATGAGTGGACTTCAAAGGTGTTCAATTTAACAATCTTGATCTATAGCAAATTGAAGGACAACCAGTTGATGCGAATCCAGCAAGGAGATCCAGTGGCTCGTTACTTTGGACTAAAGCGTGGACAGGTTTGATTCATTTTTTATGGAAAGTTAAAAATCTACTTCAATTCTCATTCAGGTTGTTAAAATTATTCGACCGTCGGAGACTGCAGGGAGGTACATCTCTTACCGTCTGGTGTGCTAACTTCTATCTTTTTTATATTGATGAAATTAACATTGAAATACTAACATAATAAAAATTAAGGTAACAAATTTCTATGACTTTTAATTATTTCAAAATAAATCAGAATAAATCAAGTTTTTATTTTTACATGCATCAATGGAAACACGAAATAAAACTTTTTATCTATTAATATTCAATCTTATAACTGATACACACGCAAACTTGAATTGTACACTAAAAATTTAATATATTTTTCATATTTTTTTTAATGGCTATGTAGTTAACATTCACTGTTTTATTCATAATTTTGAGGAGACAAAATAACCTGCTCTTCTAGTTAAAAAAAAAAATGATAAAAAAAATGCGAGTATTGCATTTTTTTTTCTACATGGGCGACTGAGAGAAATAAGTGCAAAATGCAAAACCAGGGGTCTTCGTCGGTCGCCACTGCGCGCGTTTACCTCTCCTGGGTGACGTCACCGTCGATGCTGATTCGCCCCCTTGGCTGCGTTCTCAGCGCGACCAGCGGCCCCCTCCTTCACTTCCAACTTACACAACTGTTTTCCTCCGCTCTACTTGGATGCGTTGGTTGTTCCTACTGGCCGAAGAGCGGAAAATGCCCGTGGCCGACGCGTAGACAGACGTAGCGTCGACGAAGATTTCGGCTGAGCGATCGTCGTAAGCGACACTAATCGAGGTACTTTGGCGTCTTTGCCGCCCGCTGAAGCCCTGTTTTCGCAGATGTGTGTTTGCAGCACCCCTCCCCCTGTCTCTGTCAACAGAATCGCCTCAAAAATGCCCTTATCCGTCGGTTTAAGTCCTTCCAAACCCTCTCGCCAGACAGCTCTACTCTTTTCGAGTATTTTGAGGTGCGTTTCGCCGATTTTGGTCCGCTCGTTTGCCCATAGACCAAGACCGAAAGTTGGCTTGGGAGAGAAAGCTACTTGCTCTGGCCAGCTGCCATTGCTGGACCCCGTTGCCCTGCATCGGTCTGCAGCAATTCGATCACTCCGAAGCAAATTTGGTGGATGAAAACGAAATTTGCAGACGTTGTTTTCTACGAATTTTAAATCTTAGAAGTTGACCGGGAAATTCCCAAGCAGTTTTACGAACAATTGCATCAAGCTATTCTGTTGCCAGGGAACTTCCGCCTAGTCTTTGGAATTTCTTAAGTCCTAAATCTTGCAAAGTTACTTATTTGTTACATAAGTAATTTTGAGCCAAAATTTTATAACGATTAAAAAATGTATTGAGGTTTTGTAATTTTCAGCCTTATTAAAATTTTTTGAATTTTTTACTATTTTATTCAGAGATATCATGTTTATTATAATTCTTAATAATTGTTCTTGCAGGTGCATTAATTGTGATGGAATTCCAAAAAAATTGAGCTGGAGTCGTTTTTGAAAATGCATGCTTCAGGAAGGAGAAGAGATGTGAGTTTGAATTGATTAGTAGGCAATCGGGACAAATTTTAAAAATCAATTATTTTAATACAGGGCGACGAGCCTCCTTATTTAACGGAAGGCACAGAGGTCAGTGCCAAGTACAAAGGAGCCTTTTGCGAGGCAAAAGTTAGGAAAGTTGTTCGTTCCGTCAAGTGCAGGGTAAATAATATATTAGCAACTTCGGAAAATGAAATGATTTCTTTTTTTAAATCAAGGTCACTTTGAAATCAGGAGGAACTATAGTGGTGCAGGATGATCAAATCACTGGACATTTGATGGTATTTAAAAAAAAAAAATACTTCGGTGAGCAAAAGATAACTAAATTCTTTTTCAGAATGGAGCAAATGTTGAAGTCAAATTGCCAGACAAGAAAGATCCTATCGAGGGCACTATTGCCAAAATACAAGACTGTAGTCAGTACACCGTAGGTAAGTGTCAAGTTAAGCTTTTCTATGTAAATTAGTTTAATAAATTTTAATTCTTAATTATGATGATTTCATTGATGATTTTTTTTCTTCAGTTTTCGATGATGGGGACATCACAACATTGAGAAGGACTGCCTTGTGCCTAAAAAGCGGCCGTCACTTTGCAGAGGGGGACACCCTAGACAAACTTCCCCTGACTCACCCTGAGCATTTCAGCAACCCAGTGGTCAACAACAGGCGAGGCAGACGCAGCAGGCAGGCCCAGTAAGTTTTCCCATGTCTTCCTAGATTTAAGGCCCTGGTTGCATTTTATAACTTTGAAGTGATGATAGCATGGACGATGACGGTCCCAAGAAAGGCAAGAAGAAGGAGGAAAGGGAGGCAGACATTGGCAAGGTTGTCTGCGTTGAGGTTGGTGATAAGAAAAAGGTCAAGGACAACTGGTTTCCTGGATTGGTAGTAGAGCCAACTGCACAAGACACTGTAAAGATCAATGTTAAGGACGAGTACCTTGTCAGATCCTTTAAGGACGGTCGATAGTAAGAGAAAAATTTGACGTCTTTGTCTATTATAACTAAACATAATTATGCCATAGTTACACGGTGCCAAAGAAGGAAGCATTTGAGTTCACAAGGGAGATAGGGGCTAAGGTGGACAACAATAGCCTCAAAGCTGCTGTTGACAAGGCAGTCCTCTTTTTGGACAAGGACGAACTTCCTCCTCACTGGGACAGAGACCTTTTGTTTGGCCTAGAGGAATCCTCAGACAGCGACACTGATGGATCTGATTCTGAAGTAAATTGATGTTTTTTTTCATTGTTTGCTCAATTACAATTAATCTTTATTATTCTACCAGTCTGAAAGGCAAGAAGACAAGGACCAATTTGTAGCCAAGCTTTTTACCTTCATGGAAGGCTGCGGCTCACCCATTAACAACGCACCTTCAATCTATGACGAGGATCTTGATTTGCACAAACTTTTCAAAGTAAGAGTATTTTTGTTTAAATCCTAGATATTTTTGTTCATTTTGATTTTGTAAAAGGTGGTTGAGAGACTCGGAGGCTACAATAAGGTGACTGCTCAAAGCCAGTGGAAGCTTGTGACTCAAAAGCTGAACCTGATGAATATTACTGCCAACACCACTACTGCCAATCTTGTCAAAAATCTTTACAAAAAGTAATTGCAAGGATGATTTAAAAAAAGTTGATCCAAATTATGTTTCAATTTCTCCTTACAGATATTTACATGGTTTTGAGGATTTCAACCGGAAACTTGGTTGCACAATGCAGAACTCGCCACACAGCAAATCGAGAAGGCGTACAGGGGGTCGAAGTATCATTAGGGAAAAGGATCGTGCAACACCCGTGTCCAAGCCATCCGTCGAGAAAGAGAAACAACCATCGCCAGCTGCTGCTACCCCTAAGTCAGAGAAAAAGGCTGAGAAGGGAAAGCAGCAAGTTAAGTCGGAGAAAAAAACTGAAGAGGGAGTGAAGAAGGACTCTAAGGTAAGGAGCGAGCGTCTTCAGAACAAGAAAGACGAGGGCAATTTCAAGAAGAGGCTGTGGAAAGAGGACAGCCAGTCTGACAACGAAGGTGGCCCACCCCCTCCGATTCAGAATCAGAGGGTTGAACCTTCGACTTCAAGCACCCCAGAGCCCAAGGTGGCCAAGCGCAAGGTTGAGAGTGAAGAGAGTTCTGACGAGGAGGAGCTGCAGGCAGAAAAGAGAGAGAAGAGGGTTAAGACAAGAATCGCTGAAGAGGAGGTGAGTTAAAATTTTTTAGTTCTAAAAATAAAGTAATTTATGATTTGTTTCAGAAGTTAAAGAAGAAAAGTGAGACGCCAGATAAGAAGGTGGGTGAGGTGCAGACACCGATCAGAGAGGAAAAGAAACCCTTGGTCAAGAGCAAGGCCAAGGATGGCGACGACTCAAGTAGTTCAACAGCAGGGTCTATTACACCAAGCACAGTGGTTGCTAAAAAGCGGGGAAGAAAGAGAAAAGAGAGTGAAAAAACTGAAGAGTAAGTTTTATTACTTAATAAAAAATAAAATTAATTATAACTCTCGCAGACATGTGTACCTGGCAAGTGATATTCAAATCCAAGTTGGTGATAAGTTGAAGGTTTATTATGGGCCCCAAGATGAAGCCAAGGTCACATACGAAGCTAAGGTAAATTGCCCCCTTTTTTTTAAGCGAACAGAGAACAAAAGAGAATGTGCAGGTTATAGACATCGATGTTGCGGGAGGCACATACATGGTGCATTACACTGGCTGGAATACGCGGTACGATGAGTGGGTCAAGAGGGACAGGATAGCAATCAACTTAAGTTGGACACCTGCGAGAGCAAAGCGAACGGGCAGGCCTCCTGCACAGCCTTCACCCAGCCCTCAAACCAAGGTTTGTTAATAGGTCTTGATGAGTTTTAATGAAATAAATATTAATTTGCTGTTCTATTTATTTATTTAATTATGTATTACTACAAGTACTAAAATTTTATTATTTTTCAGGGTCCTTCAAAAGTTGTTCCAAGTGGTCCTCCCAACATGCGATCGTCGAGATCAGGCAAAGATAGCTCAACACGTTCCACAACACCCTCTTCTGTCACTTCCTCGTCCAGCCGGACAAAATCGCCAGCACAAAGCAGCAGAGCACAACGAGCGGTCAAAAGGTCAGAGAGGCTGAGAAGACCTAGAAGAATTTCGGGCACAGGTACTGGTTGTAAAAATTTGAAATTTATTGATTTCATTAAGCTTTTGCCTCCAGACGATAAATATTCCGACTCTGAGTCTGATGAGTCCGATGATGATGAAGAGGAGGAGGCACCAAGGCCCAGGCTAAGGAGAGACTCAACAAGTGGCTCCGACGGAAAAGTTGGCAGAAGGAAAATTGTGAAGAAAGAGGTCTTGGATGAGGAGGAAGGCAAAGATTCGGACAGTCAGGATTCGAAGAGAAGATCCAAGCGAGATCAAAAGTCAGCAGATTCCGACTCAAAGGAAGAGGAAGATGATGAAAGTGTGGACGAGCAGAAGGGCCGCAACTTTAACCTGAGTCAGCTGAGGTCAGAGATGAGGGGTTTCGACAAGGCCCTGAAATCAACTGAAACTGCGCAGGACGCCCAGAAACTTGTCGAAGTGAAGACGGAGTCGCTAGCTAAAGAGGCCAGGTCTGAAGATCTCTTTTCAATGGATGATGATGACATCTACGAGTTCAAGGAGCCTGAGCCGTTTAAACCAGAGAACAGACTGAAGAGGGAATCTGTCCCTGAAGACAAGTTTAAAGCTGGAAGCGGCAGCAGTAAGCAAACGCCCCCAAAGGCTGAATCTCCGGCTACCAAGAGGAAATTTGCCAAGAAGGATGCTAACAAGACGAGTAGCATAGATTTGCCCATTGTAGATGAAAAGAGGCGGCGGCGAACAACTAGCAAACAGGATGAGGTCACGTTGGACAAGGACTGGTCTGCGGGTAGTGGCGACTCCTTCAAGAGCCTCAGCGCCAGTCCACCTGCCTTCTCTGCAGATATTCCTTCTACCACCTTGGGAAGCGGCGGAAAGAAGCCCATATATGCGTCCACCAGTCTTTTTGGAGACCCACACTCTGGTCAAGAGGATGAGGAGCAAGACGATAGGCTGGTCATTTCGGAGAGCGCTGCCGGTGAAAGCCCTTCGCTGCCTTTTGAGATTGAGCCGTCCGTAGAGGGCAAGAAGGAAGAGGCTGCTGTTGAGGAAAAGCAAGGCAAGGAGTTGGCAGAGTTGGTGGTCAAGACAGAAGAGAGTGATGAGGGCACCCTGGCCAAGGTGCCTGTAAGCGATACTTATAGAAAGTACCTGGAAGAGGCGGGCGAGTGGCCAAAAAGGAAACAGGATCTCATCCATGAGACCATTGAGCGCGTCATACAGCAAGCTGGTGATGAGAAGAAACTGGTCAAGCCATCAACCAGCACTTCTACAGAGTCCCTCCCACCAAAGGTGACCCTTCTCAAGGCTGTGCCCATCACCGAGGTTAAGAATCTGAGTAAGGACAGCCCATTGGTTGCTGCCAGTAAAATTAAGGTAAATAAAAGTTTTAACTATAATTGAAGATTTTCTAATCAAAACTGATTGTTTTTCTAAAGGTGGAGGATTTGAAAAAGACTACCTTGGTGGCCGCCGGCAAAGGAACACAGATCTCATTTCTTGTGCACACGGTCACAAAGAAGGTTGAGCCCGTCAAGCCAGAAGAGGAAAAGAGCGTAAAGGCGCCAGCTGAGAACCTCAGCACCAAGCCACTGCAGAGCTGGAAGTCAAATTCACGTGAGCTGTGCAAGGCATTACGCAAGGAGCCTCGCAAGAAGGCTCTAAAGAAGACAGTCAGCAAAGAGTTCATTGATGACGATGATTCAAGCTCCGAATCGGACAGCAGTGAGGACCTGAAGCTGGTCATTGACAGGCTGGAGGAGTCGGGCCAGGAGTCGAGCGACTCAGAATCTGTTGGCAGCAAGAAAAAGAGCAAGCAGGACAAAAAGAAGCAGCAGGCTGATGAGGAGGAGAGTAGTCTCAACTCGCTTCTCTGTGAAGAGACCATACCTGGTAGCCCTGTGCCCGGTGAGGAGCAAGTTGTGGTGCCCAAAAAGGTCAGCCAGGAAGCGCCCAAGGTCAGGGAAATTCCTTTCGCCAGCATGGTGGCAGGTGGAAGCAGCGCTGAGGGAGGAAATGCTGATGGGCCCTCCACCTCAAAGGGGTACGCCGCCCCTGCCGCTGAAGAGAAGCCTGACCTGCGGAAGGACGAAAACGATGCAGCCCCAGTAATGGAGAACACACCACCCACCACACCTGACAGCTCAAGTTCAATCTCCGGATCACCTGCAAGGTAATTTAAGTGATATAGTTTTCATTTTATTTGAACTATCTTAGTTACGTGGGAGAGAAATGTTTTTGAAAAATGAGGGGCCATGAATATTTTTTTTCAATTTCAGGGACCAAAGTGAGAAATCTCCAAAGCAGGACAGTGGCAAGTCTGAACAAGACTTGTCTGAGGTGGACCTAGACAGCCCCATTGATGGCGCCAAGGGCGAAAGCGAGGACTCAATGCTCAATGTGGATGTGGGTTGCGAAAGTCCAACAACGGGCAAAGGCAAGACGCCCCAGAAAAAGGGTGCAGCGGCGGCCAAAGACAACCTTGATTCTCTTGGCAAGAAAACTAAACGCAAGAGCAGAAAAGAGGCTGAGGTGCCCACACCGAAGCGATCACGTTATTCTGCAGGCAGAAGCGCTAGGAATATGGGTGAGGAACGCCCAAATTTTCTTGTTTGTCTCAAAATTAATTCCAACTGTTCTCAGACGCCGCCAGCGACAGTGATGACAATGTGGATAGTACTAATTTAATGAGCATTAGCATTGCTAACACTGACAATCTGCTGGCCAATCAACCTTCAAGACCTTCTCGGTACAACTTTTATGCAGAACTAGGTTGGATTTTGTTTTGTTTCGGTGGAGCTGTTTATTAAAAGAAATTTTTACAGACCCTTCCATGGAGTGCAGCCAAAGGATACAATTGCTGCAGACTCGTTTGCAGGAGCTGAGGAAAACGTACATGACCGTGAAGGCGGAACTGGCGTTCATTGATCGGCGAAGAAAGAAACTGCGACGCAAGGAGAGGGAGGGTAGGCGCATGAAATCACTTTCGTAGAGTGGCAAAACAATTCTGACCGAGTTGGCTTGTAGCGAGCAAAACGACAGCTTCCAAACAGGAGGTCTGGTGTGCAACATGACCGACAAAGAGGTCCAGCAACCAGCAGCCCTTAGGCTCAGCAGCAATCAACAGGCTAACACGGCCACAACTCATTCAATTACCTTAAAGGAGTCTGCATGTTTTTACAAAGTAGATTTAGAACCAATTTTCAACTGCAAAGAGACGACATGAACATCTAGATAAAGCATTTTTGCAAGGAATGCTGCATTTATTGTGTATAAATTGGAAAAACGAACTTGAAACATATCAGGGTTACTATGCAACCTGATTTTGTCTTGAACAATTCTGTAAATTAATTGGAACGTTTACACCTAAAAATATTTAAATGAAATGGACATATAAAAATGCAGTGTAAATATGATTTTTATAGGCACTCTTTCAGTTCGTGTTTGAATTGTTCTGAACTCATTTCCTACTATGTTGACGATGTTAAAAAAAAACTTCTTAAAATTGTACGCAGCATTAAGAAATGTAGTACTTTGTGTGAATTTATGGAAATCGCAATTGATTAAAGCTGGATTAAAGTAATTAATATAATGTTATTGAATTTAAATCAATTTGTTTCTATGCACATACCACCTTTTGGCTATTTCTCGCTGTACTTGAATGAAAATCAAAAGGAGTTTACTTATTATGCTCCTTGAAGAAAAGATTGAGCGGATTAAATTACGTAATTTAGTCAACTCTGCTATTATGACCTAATATCTTTTGCTATTCGTTAATAATAATATTTATCGTAAGTTGCATAACCTATGAGTAGTTGTGCACAATCAAACAAAACGAAAGAAGCATGCCTTTATTGCGCCAAAAAAGTATGAAACTATTGATCCAATTTACCCGCCTAGTACTGACTTCCGGTTTTGGCGTCCTAGTAGTTGAAAGGGTGTAAATAAAGGAGTGTCATTTTTGAATATATTTCGTTTTTGTATTTTTGTTTAAACGCAATAATTCTCTTAAAAAATTTATTTATTGCAAATTTATTTCATTAATGTGTGTTTTATGCATATAATATCCCCGATAAAATACATTTTGCAAAATTTTTTGAATGCTTGTGTGAGCTCCTAGCACAAACTCCACTCAGCGTGAGACCGCTTCACTTTGCGTTCTTTCCGTCGCACATCCATTTGTTTTCTTGAATTAAGTAAGTCGCCATGGCCCAGGCTGCGACCTTCATGGACGGTGAAATGCGGACAGACGGAGAGGTGATTTTCTATTTTTGTTCGCGCCACGTTTTGCCGATTTTTCGGCCGCCGAACTGGGGTACTTTCCGCGCCTTTCCAAACCAAACTTCGGCCTGTAAGCCACGATGCCGCACACCACGCTGCCGAGCTTTTGTGTTCGCGTCTCCCAAAGAAACGTCAAGGCCTCTTGGTTTTATTGCGAAAAAATCAAATTCCCTCCAAAGATCTGCGGGTTTAATGTGTATTTTCCCTTTTCCTCCATCTACAACCGCCGTTAAATTATATAAATTTCATCGTCACCTCTCGTTTTGGGGGCTAGAATGTTTTTTTAAGACCTACTAGCCGGCTTTGGTAGCATCTTTTTATTTGAAAACATTTCAGGAGGCAAAAATCACGAAAATGGACACCTCTGACCCAAGCGCTCTGAAGGAGGCTCCGGCCGAGAACGGCGACGTAAAAGTTGAGGAAATGACCTCGAGGGACTACTACTTTGACTCATACGCACACTTTGGCATCCACGAAGAGATGCTCAAGGATGAGGTCCGCACACTCACCTACAGGAACTCGATCTATCACAACAAACACTTATTTAAGGTCCCAATCCGAACTCCTAATTTGTCTTCGAAAAATTTAAATTTTATTTTCAAACAGGGTAAAGTAGTTTTGGACATTGGCTGTGGTACTGGCATCTTGTCCATGTTTGCCGCCAAGGCTGGCGCCAGAAAGGTGATCGGCATTGAGTGCTCCAACATTGTTGAGTACGCCCGCCAAATTGTAGCTGCCAACAGGCTCGACGATGTCATTGAAATCGTCAAGGGCAAGGTTTGAATTTTTTCTACAAGTTCCATAAAATTTGAGATTTACGGCTGAATTTGCTAAAAGGTTGAAGAGGTATGCCTGCCTGATGGACTCACACACGTGGACATCATTATCTCAGAGTGGATGGGCTACTGCCTGTTTTACGAGTCCATGCTGGACACCGTATTGTTCGCCCGAGACAAATGGCTCGCGCCGGACGGTCTTATGTTCCCAGACAAGGCCACGCTGTTTGTGTGCGCCATCGAGGATAGGCAGTACAAGGACGAGAAAATTAACTGGTGGGATGATGTTTATGGCTTTGACATGAGCTCCATCCGCAAGACGGCCATCAGCGAGCCGCTTGTCGACATAGTTGATCCCAAGCAGGTAAATCTAGAATCCAATCACTCGCAATTATTTGTATGTATGAATGCATTGAGGAAAAAATTTGAATGGGATGAATAAGAAAATTAGGGGAACTAATTTGAATTTAATGTTACAATTGGCCAGAATTGCTAATTAAAATTTTAAATTACAACAAAGATAGCCATACTGTGCATTTAAATTCCTAAATTAGTAGCTACACTGAAAAAAACAATGTAAGTTTTAAATTGAGATACCTTTTGATTTTATTTTGAATTTGAAAGTTTCAAAATTTTAAAGAAAAAAATTATCTTATAAAATCCCCCATGTAAATCAACTCTAAAAAAAAAAAAAAATTCTCATAAAGTCAATTCAATTTTTCTAAAGCCTCCATGGAAATATTACTTGCAAATTATTTCCAATGTATAAATTGAATTTATCAGGGTTTTTTAGCTGAAGCCATTTTACAATGTTTTTTATTTTTATTTTATAACATCAATCTAATTTAAACATTGAAATCCTTATAAGGCCTCTGTTTAACATTCAAACGTCTTTCAGGTGGTGACGAACGCGTCGATGGTGAAGGAGGTGGATCTGTACACGGTGAAGAAGGAGGAGTTGTCCTTCTCGTCGCCGTTCCACCTGCAGGTGCGGCGCAACGACTATGTGCAGGCGCTGGTGACCTTCTTCAACATCGAGTTCACCAAGTGCCACATGCGCATCGGCTTCAGCACGGCTCCCGAGGCGGCGTACACGCACTGGAAGCAGACCGTTTTCTACCTCGAGGACTACGTGACTGTGAAGAAGGGCGAGGTGATCAACGGCGTCTTTTCCATGAAGCCGAACGCGCGCAACAACCGCGACTTGGACTTTGAGGTGCAGCTCGACTTCCACGGCGAGCTGTGCGAACTTTCCGAGCAAAACAAGTACCGCATGCGCTAATTCTAAGTTTATTTAATTGATTGCCAGCAGTGATCCATCTCTTTATTTTTCTCACTGTCTCTCTCTCATGCAGCAGTGCTACCGTAATTTGCTCTCGGGGGCCGCCCCCCGAGAGGCTCGACCGAGTCGAATCGTATTTAACTTCACTTCTAAGCATCTAAATGATTAAGAACCCTCAGCTGCAATTCGGTCCGAGAGGATTTCGTGTTTTACTCTTATTGCGTCTTAAGGATTACTTTGTATTGTTTAGCAATTGTGATTTGAATATATAAATTACGCGTTTAGATCACACTAAAAAAAAACAGTTTGTGTTTTCACACGTTTCTTTATTGCCGTCGCAAGATGTAGAAAAATTATGCATTTTCGGTGCAGATGAATTGGTACAGCCCAGTGCACTTGATCTCGGTCACTTTGTCACTGAACATGGTGGAGTTGGCCTTGATGCCGAGACAGCGGTTGGTCAGCGCGGTCGTGTTGGACGACGCCATGAACTGGAGGGCTGGAATGGACCGCTTCGAAGGGCACCACCCGAAGAAGGAGATGCAGCCGATGTTGTTGGCGCCCAGGTAGAAGATGGTGCCCGCCTTGGTCTTCTGCAGGGCGTTGTCGGCGGCCAGAAAGCAGTTGAACTGGTCCACCGTGAAGAAGTAGGCCAGGGTCATGTTCAAAGTGCAGCACTTGGTCGCAGCCGCGTCGGCGTCAAACTGATTTTGAAATTGTAGAAGAAATCGAAACTGAGTTAATTTGGATTTACGAAAAGAGTCGAGACGTAGTATTTCTTTCCACAAGCTGTCAGTGGGTATCCGTAAATGCTTCCATAAGAATCGCCAGCCGCATCTTGTATTTATAATTTTTTTCTCAAAAGTATAATTTTTAAATTGAAAAAACTTACTTTGCCCGTTATCTAAGCTTGTAACGTCAGCTGTCTATTATTTTTCATTTACAAATTAATCTTCTAATAATTATTAGAGGAATTTATTTTACATTGATTGTGCATGTCGGGTTGGCCGTGCAATTTACGTTCGTACAGGAAACAGGCGCTCCAGACTATTAATGTTATAAGAGTGAAATTAATTCATGTGAAATGTATGAGCACCGCACCGAAACGTCCTTAACCGAATCTTGCACCATTCCTGAGACGACACTGGGCGCGCTGGCCGCCGTGCACTGGAATGCCTGGGCAATCGCCTCACACCCGCCAGCTGATAATTTTTATTTTCAATATTGTCTTAAATCAAACAGATTTGTTTTTACAATTCTTATTTTTGCACACGTCAAAAATGTCGAAACTGTCTTGCATCGCGTCACTATTCTTGGAATTGGCCTCGACCAACTTGAGCACTTCTTTCCCCACGGGCAACCCGTTTTTAACCTATGTTAAATTTTACTACCGCAATTAATATATATTGATTGATTCTAACCAAGCCCATCTTCTCTCCCATGCATTTAAAGTAGCACTAATCATAAAAAAAATATTAAGACAGTCATTTGAAAATATTGTACGTTTACTTTGAGACTAGTCGAAAAAGAAGTTGCCGTAAAGACGGTCTGCAAATCGGCTGTCAATGATTGCAGTTAAAATTTTGTCTTGTAAAACCGTTCAAATTTCAAACACACCATCGGAAACGTTGAACGCCTTCTGGCACAACTGGCTTCGCGCCGCAGTTAAACTATCCCCGTTCGTGTCATCCATCTGAAAAAAAATGTAATGAAATTTCATTAAATTTTTTTTTAAAGGAGGCAAAAGAGATATAAAACGATTGCACCTCGCAGATATAGTTGGCCTTTTCGTCGCAACTCGCGGTTTGCAAATAGGAGACCGTGGCGGTTAAAGTGAGGCGCACACACGTGTTGACCTTGTTGAGCGGCGGCTGGTTGGCTCCCCAGCGAACGGTGCTGCTGTTGAAGAATTCTTCCAGGGTGCACCAGCTGAACTGATCGTCGCAGTCCAGAAAGCTGCCCCCAGTCCAGTAACTGCCCTGCAGATCCGCCATGCCTTCAAAAGAATGAAACGCATAAAAGCATTGAAGTCCACGGCTGCTTACAAACCTTCTCTGGTTATGTTGTCCAGGCAGCTGACCTGCGTCAATGTTTGCGGAGAGACTAATTTCATGCCGATTGACTCGCACTTGCACTTTGCGTCTTGCCAAGACAGCTTCAATTAAAAAAATTTAAAAGTATTTAAAAAAAAAATGAAAGGTTTAATTTTCATACAGATCCGTTGGCCGTTTTTTCTGTGAACATGTAATACTTTTGGCACTTTGACGTCCAGCGACCGTATGTTGTTGCATCTGCGCCAAATATTAGTTCAAAAAAGTTTTGAAAAAAAATTAACTCACATTTTAATTTTCCTCCGCTCTCAAACAGTGAAGCCTTATGAATAAATTTTTTTAAGCATTTTTTAAAACTGAAATTTAAATTCTACATTTTTGGGGCAGCTTCTTGGACAGAAGGGTCTGTTGCAAGGTTTTGGAGTTGCAGGGCCCTTTGTGAAGAGTTAATTTGGTTTTTTTCTTTTTCGTATATCCTTTTAATCTACCCTGCAGGCGATCATCTGCCTGGCCGAGCAGTTCCGCATGCCCAGGGAACTGCTGAAGTAGCTGGTGATGTTATTGGTCGTCTTCGTGATTTGCAGACCTATGCAGTCCTTGTCCACGTAGCTCGCGTTGTTCTGACCTTCCAGGGTCAGGTTGCCGACGAACTTCTTCAACGAGCACCACTTGGGGTTCGTTGGCGAATCCAGCCGAGATCCGTCCGTCCAGTAGTTCAAGTTGTACTGCCACCCTGATTTATTTATTAAAAAATGACTGAAGAATTTATTAATTATAAACCTTTGAGGAGGTTCTCGAAACAAGCAAACTCCTGTGCTTGGTCCAGCACAAATGGGGACATCCCAAGTTGGCAGCAGGTGTTCCAGTTGTCTTGCCAGGAACCCTTAATTTAATACCAATTTTAGAATTATCAAGAGCAAAAGATGTGCAACCCGTCCGACGTCCGTGCCGAGCCGGTTGCCTTCTTTGAAATTACCAGGTTTGTGCCGAAGAGAAAAGTGAAATTGCAGCTGTTAATCCAGTTTCCGTAGCTCAAAGGATCTTGAGTTTTCCGTATTTAATAAATAGAGAATATATTTGTGAAAAAACCAACCTATCACGTTTCCTCTAGAATTGTACAAGGAAGTCTAAAATTTTAACAAATCGGATAATTTTTTCTGATGAATATTAATTAAAATAAATTTTTTACGTCCTTAGTGCATTCATTTGGACACGCCGGCTCATAGGACTGAAAAAAATATTTGCATAAATTTATGGTTTTTTTTTTAATTATTTAAGAATTTTTACTTCGCAAATGAAATTGAGCGGTGCGTTGCAGTCGGAGAATTTCAAGCCGCTCTTTGAGTCGTCGCCCGCGGTCAGAACGAACGAATTGCACTTGTCAGTGATCTTGGTCGGCGCCGTCTGCACACGATTGATCACCGACGTGATGGGCGTTGAGTAGTTGTTGACGTTTGGACACCACACGCTCGGACAGTACGGGTCTGTAATCCCCGACGTCCAGAAAGTCGTGCCCGAATTTTTCAAAACATCTTCAAAAATTACTTACTAAATAAAAATAAAAATTCAGTTAATAAAAACCAACAGACCGTTGTTCAAATTGGTTAGACAGAGCTGCTCGTCGTCTGTTTCGACACTGGCCAGCCGCATGTTGTACTTGCAGCACAGCATCGCTGCTTCATATCGCGTTTTCTGCCCACACAAATATTATATTTAAAAAAAAAATTATATTTAATTATTTGCCTTGACGCTGCTGAACAGATACTTCTTGCCGCACTTGGAGAAGAAAGCACCGTCACTAGAGTCTAATTAAATTTTTTAATGTTTTCCTCTTAATTAATTAAACTGATTAATTTTAAAAAGTAAAATTATTAATTCATTAATAATTTAGTAATTAAAAAATTATTACACCGAATAATAATAAATTACTTTTTTACAAAATATTTGGAGGAAAATGAAAAACTATAAAAAACTTTTTTAATTATGAATTGTTCTTACTTGTCCCTGCCAGCATTGTTTTTTGCATGATCGGCTGCACCAAAAATGGAAATAAATTAAAAAATTATTTTCAAAATTTAACCGTCTCACGTCAATCGGACAAGGATGGTAAGGGCAGCCCCGGAAAACACAGTACTCCTTTTTATGAAATTATAATTTTTGTTATAAAATATTTTTATTCCGTGATTTTTTTACCCCTGTTAAAATGATGGGTGGCGTAGTGGTTGTTGTTTCTTCCGTGGTGGTCGTGGGGGTTGTGGTGGTTGGTGTTGTGGTTGTCGTGGTTGTTGGCTCGGGTGTGGTCATCGTTTCTGTTGTCAAAGTCGAAGTTGTCGTTTCCAAAGTGGTTGGCCCAGCTGTCGTTGGTCCATCTGAGGAGGACGTGCCTGATGGTGGCGCTGTCGTGGTGTCCGCCGGCGCCGCTGCACTCGTTGCAACAGGCGCCGCTGCTGTTACCAAAGGGGTTTGCGAGGACAAAATCTCAGCAGTCGTACTTTCATCTGGTACAGTTTCTTCCTCAACAGGCGCTGACATAAAAAAGTATTTTTTTAGTTATTTTTTAATATATGTGTTTTAATATATAAAAAAACAGGAGTCTTGGCTCTTGGCATTATTGACAGGTTAAACCCCATTTTTTTTTGTCTTGTCCTGCCTCTAGCTTTCAGGAAAAAACATAAAAAATGACCCTTTGGCTTTCCCACACCGACAAACGCAGCAGAGTGCAAATTTTTTCAACTTCCCGACAGGCCTCTGCTGTGATAAAAAATTGTAAATCATCGTCGTTCCCACGCACAATAATTATTTATTACGATTTTATTTTTTACAATTAAAAGTAATAAGATTATATTTAAAATTGATTATTTTCAGTTATCGAAACTTATGAGGTTGGATAAAAAAAAAAAATAAATAAAAACATAACGCAAGCTACTTTGACAGCCACGCACAACTTTTTTAGGATTTTAAAAAAATCCAAAGTCAACGTATATTTTGACCATCTCTAGGATTTAAAAAATTTTAAATTATAATTATTTATTAACTTCAATTAATGACATAATTGAAAAAGTTATTGAAAAGGTTTCATTTGCGTTGCGCACAGTCGACGATCTAACAATAAGTGGAACTAAAAATTGTAAAAAATACTGCTCATCGAACCTTCTGTTGAAGTGGTTGTCTTCAAAGCTCCTTTAGCGGTGGCCACATTTTTGTTAGTCGCATTTGAGTGAAGCGACGTCTGCAATCAAAATTAAATCTCCAAAGATATGATAAATTGAAATGAAAAAAAGGTACCTGAGATTTTTCTGTAGATTCGCTGCACGAATCCCTGCCACAGCAATCTATGATCATTTGCCGATTTCGCCGATTTGATACTGCAGTGAAGAAACTAAAATATCGAGTTTTAATTCTTAAAAAAAGAGAGCTCACACTTGCGATGTTTGGCGCCGTCCGAAGAAGAAGAGACGAAAACCTTTGGCGAAATTGTATTAATTCAAAGATTAAGATAAAAAAATTCAGATTCACGCACGAGTACAATGATGAGGGTGGTGCAGGACAATGCAAGTAATCGGGACAATTTCATTGTTAACCTCTGATGGTGCACTCTGTCGACCCAGTGGGAAATTGGGAAAATTTGCTAAGGCTTTGAGGCCGTGCGTGACGCGCCTCCTGTTTTGCTTTTGAACGTTTGCGCGCAGACGGGATTCCCAAATTCAATATGCGCGATGAAAATTATCAACACGTCATGATTCCAAACGTCCGATTTTAATTATGCAGAACTCCGGAAATCTTTATGTTAGTAAAAGGAATTGAAAAATTCTCTCTGTGTCTTTGAAGATTTTTGTAATTGATTTAAAGATGTATTCTGGAATATATACATACAGGGCGGCCACTGAGTACTTTGCAAACTTTGCCTGCAACGGGCGAACCGTTGGTCAAAAATTAAACAAATCCGCACAGGTTCTGGAAGCCCAAATTCACAATAATTGCCGACTTCCCCGACTTATAAGAATATAAATTTTTAAATGCAATTTTAAATTATTTTTCCATTATCTAATCATCTGATGCGTTTATGCGAGAGAATAAATGAAAAATGAATTGAATTGAATACAATTTTATGAAGATGCAAAAAATGAAAACTTTAACAAATATTAATTTGTCATCATGCTTTTCCATTACATTCAGCATGATGGCCTTAAATGCCATCATCGAAGTGTAATATAATAAATCAAAATAAACCCCTGCCGCACATATATGTTGGGTTTTGCCAAATGGATGAGATTTTCCAACGAATTTCAATCTAATGGCTAATGCCATTTTTCACCAAAAATTATTATTTGACTGTGCTAATTGAAGTTTTGGTGACAAATACAAATAAAAAGTTTCATTGAAGGAATTATTGGCAAATATAGTTCATTATATTTTCATGTCATCTGTGGTCCTATATAAAATACCCAAGCAGATTTTTACCTTTATTTTTATTGCTCTCATGAAAATGAGAAGGTGCAATAATTATTGACTGCGATTTGGTTGATCGCGACACGGCCCTTGTCGGACGTCGGACGTGAGACCCATCGAGACCGTGCTCGAGATCTGTCAAGACCATTGGTATTGGTGGGTCGGAAATTTTGTAGCTTTATCATCCTCATCGGTATTAAAAAATAAGACTTTTTATTAAAAAGGACGCCTTTTTTCAGTAAAAAAGTCGGTTTAAATAAAAAAAAACACAATTTAAAAAATTGAATTAAAATTAATTTTTTTTTAGCAAGGTAAATATTTTGATTTTTTTCTGATATGTGCTAAATTTAAGCGCCCTTGTCATTCGACTATCACGGCCCGCGGTTAACCCAAAGCTTCAAGGAGAGGAGCTTGTGGTTTTTACACTGAAAAAGATTCACCCATTGGACATTTTTGAAGTCAAGATATACATTGAACTTGTTATTAATTTGTCATCTTATTTGGGGGTGATCTTGGTTAGGTGAAAATTTATAGTTTTAATCAGGCCAAATTATGAGGGAAAAATTAATTAGGAAATTCCCATCAGAATATTATGTTAAAATTTAAAACCAATTCTTCCAATGACTCTAATTTTTCTCATAATAAATAACATTTCTGAAGTAAAGAAACATTGTCATCAATATTAATCGGGCCGTTTTGTATTGCGCTAGCAGCAGCCACTCCTTATAGACTGTCCCCGATCAATTTCTTTAAACTTGCGGCCCATGTAATGTAAAAGGGTACAGCATCGCTTCTTGCGATCAAGTTTGCGCGCGCGCAGGGCGCCCACTCTCGAGGGAGAGTGAATCAAAAAGAGCATAGTGTGTGTGATCGCGACTTTAAAGCTTTATAAGCGCGGATAGCAACGCGTCGTGTACGTTTCCAGGCGGGTCTGCCCAGCTCCGTGTCCGCGCACAGGTGTCTCTTTCCATCCGCACCACCACAGACGCATATTATTCTCTTTACATTCCTTCAAGGTTGGTAAATCAAACACCTCACCAAGATGCTCTTCAAATTATTCATTCAATATTTCCTCCAAAATTGAACACACACGTGCCCCGAAATGCCAACATATAATAATCAAAATTCAAAATCTGCTTCTTCGCAAGCAGGTTATCCCTTTCGCTTGGTGTCACGTGACCTGGCGTCAGGTCGACGCGGTGAGAGAATTTGTATTTTTATACACAAAGGGCAGGGCTCGGCGAGATAAATGTATATTTTCCGTCTCTCTCAGAAAATCAATAGCGACTGGCGCCACATCGGAAATTCGTCTTGCCCGAAGAGCAGTTCTCGCAGCCACCCGCGTCCTCGCTAATTGCGCAACATTTTTCATCCGCGCGCGCTTTCTTATTTTCACTCTCGCGAGCAAATATACACTTTCTTTCTGTTTTCCTTGGGATGGAGCGAAAACCAGTTTTTCTCTCGCACCGCAAGTTGATTCGCCAAAGTTGTGTGCAGCTGCAGCTCTCTTTTCTTTTGTCATTTACCAAAAGCAGATGTTTTTCCAGATAGGGTCGGTGGATAAGGATAATAATTTGCAGTTGCGTGGAAACGCGCTCAGCACGCGAGAGTTCGGGAGCGATCGTTAATTTATTAGGGAGCGACTTTACCTGTTGAATTGAAATGCAAAGGGCCTCTTTTGTACAAAATGTGTTGGATAAAATAACATTCCGTGCATAACCCAAACGTGATTTAATGGCATTGGCGCGCACACAGCTTTTCAATATAATCGCAGCGATAAAAAAAGACAGGAAAAACGTCAGAACAGCAATCCGGCGACTAGCATCTTTAGATTTCCAATTATTTCAGCTAATTTTGCTTTCTTCAGTTAAAAATTGCAGTATATTTAAATTTAAAAAAAAAAATACTGAAAGTCGACAGATTTGTTTTAAAAATCGCACTTTTCTGCAATCTCAAAATAAAATCGTTTTTTTATGGAACAAAATACATGCCCTGATTATTCTTGCCATGTTTTATTACTTTTGCATATTTCAAGTGCGGATCTAAATTTTTTTGTTACTATTTTTAACCTTGTTGATAAACTGATGCAAGCGAGTGAGCCTTGCAGATTCTGCACAGGAAGTTTCGTTTCAAATTAAAATTGCTTGCTGAGCAATTCAATTCTTATATATGTGGAAGAAAATAAATTGAGCTGAGTGTACAGTCTTACAGAGTGCATGAGTCATTTTAAAAATGGTAACATTTTATCAATTGGATTAGTCATAACAGTCATGCATTGATTGAATAAAATAATAAACAACAGAACCGAGAACATGTTGGTAACAAACAGAAGAATTATATGTTCATGATAAGTTGATAAACTATGGCTTGATTATTCAAACGGGATTTCCTCTCTCAATTTTGACTCCACATTTGGTTAAATTTTTTTTGCCAAATATATTCATATAATTTTTTTAAAGAAAAAAAAATTGTATGGGTTTGGTGCGAGATCAAATGCCAAGGCCGGAGAGAGATAGGCGCGCGGAGGAAACGCATCAGGTCTCTCTACACATTATAATAAAATTTTTGTATCAGAGTTTTTCTGCGATTAGCATTCTGGCAGCAGCGCTTGCCGGCAGGAAATGGCCGTGGATTAATTTAAACTCAAATTATTCATTCATCATCGGCGGCCGCAGAACAACGGCCGGCCGAGTAGAGCGGGACAAGTTATTAGATCAGCACATCACAAAAAAAAGAACTTGTGTGGTGCAGTCCAACAATGTTGAAAGTTCAAAGGGCGATTAAATGTCGCGCGTAATAACATTTCGACAATTTGAATAGGTTAAAACCCTAATAACAAAATAAATTTTGCTCTTTTGTTTATATTATATTAATTAATTCAAACTGAAAAAAACACACTTAAGTTTAGGACATTTTTTGTCTTCAAAAATACGTGTAAGGCATCAAAGGATTATAATTACGTCATTACCATATATACGGAAGGAAGTTTTTGTTTATAAAATTGTAATGAATAAGAATCGTGGCCAGCATTTTATTTACCTTTTCAATATTAATGTAAAATTTTCAACACCTATATATATTTATTTTATTGCTAGTAAAAGAGCACAAATATTTCACATTTTTCAATAAAAAGAAATATTCTAGAATTTTTCCTCCTCCACATTCTAAATTTGTAAATTTTGTTACAACAGAATCAGTGTTTTATTTTATAATTTTTGTATTTATTTCATTGTATGGATAATAAATACATAAGAATGAAATAATATTTTTTTTAATAAATTTCCATCTGTTGCAGGTCCTAAGAAAAAGACAAAATGCCTAGCACCGCCCGAATCGTGATCCTTAAGCTCATCCAAGCTGTAAGTCTTAACATCGGACTTTTTGTTTCATTTTTGAATGAAAATTTCTGAATTCGTCAGGGCTTGCTTGGCGGCGCCCTGTACATGCAGTACAACAGCATGGAGTTCACAAACCACGGCGTAATGATGTTGTCCTGCGCCTCTTTGGGCGGATTCCTGGCCGTCGTCCTTGGCATGATTGGCGCCGTCATCGTCCAGCAGCCGGTGCCCAAGAGAGCCGTAAGTTTATTTTTTAAAAATCATTATTAAAAATTTAATAATAATAATTAATAAAGGACATTCTGTACAACTTGATGGGGGCGTGCGCCCTCGGAGCCGCTGGCTACTTCATCGTGGACTACTTTTATGTGGCCAAAGACGCCAATTTGGCGGAGAAGATCATCGGCAAAATAAATTCCGGTTTAAGCGAAGAGACTCGCAACATGGGCTTGGCCAAGGGCGCCGTCTGCTTCATCACTGCCTTTGTCATCCTCATCGACATTGTCGCCACCCTCAGGGAGTAAATTCATTTGAGGTAAAATGACCAAGTATGGAGCACAAGTTTTGCTCCTTTTTTCGCCCTTGTGGCAGAAAACTCACTTTCATATTGTAAACTATCACACAAATTGATATATTTTTTCCTTCAGTGCCAAACATGCACAAACACATTTTAAATTTTGCAAGGAAATTCTTCTCTATTAATAAAGTGCCATCATTTCATTTAAAAAGTTCCATTTCAATCTTTTGTTGATTTATGTAGTAAGAAGGAAGGTGTGGTTTCAATTTTAGAGCAAAGCATTTCAACAATTTAAGTTTGGGTCTTTCGTGGTATTTAGCATTTTTTTTTTTAAATTGCACAACCAACTGCCACTTGTTGTAAGATAGAAAAAAATGTATTTCTATTATTGCCTTATTGTTAGACACAGAAATGAATGAAAAAATTGAGTGTTCCTATTTATATTTTACGAATGCAACTTTTTCAAACTCATTTGAGCACAAAATCGACAGTTGCCTCAGAAAAAAATAATACTCTTATATTGATCTGCTTTTATAAATAAATGGAGGGAAAATAAAGAACATTATTGCTTCTTGCTGCTATCGAGAACTTGAGATGTAATCACTAAATAAAATATTCATATATAAAACATACAAACTGTGCTTCAAGCCAATTCAAATTTACAAATTTGCAATATTTTAGCTGCAAAACATGTATCGTGAAATTAACTGGAAGGAAACTGCTGTAAGCACTTGAGAAAAAGACGGTCCTATAAAAAAATATTTTGTATTCACTTTATTCACATAGGGCATGTTATGCTTGAAAAAATTTTCAATCAGAGAACTTTATCATTCCAAATATTTTGTTCCTAGCAAGATAAAGTCCGAGCCCTATTCTGTGATTTTTGTAAAAGGCCACACTCGCAGTTCAACACAAATTATTTTACAAAAAAAAAAAACTCGCTCTTACTCAAATAAATATTTGTGTGTTTGCAGGAGTCTAAAAATATTATGTGTTGTAATCAGTGTTGTGAAAATAAGAAATAACCGGAATTGAAGAAGCATTCCAATGCTTATTAATTTTGAAACTGTCAGTGCTTTTCATGTCAATTTTCTGTATAAATTTTAAGTTAGAGCTGCTTAGAATTTTCTGTACAAGATTTAAACTGGAAACAAATAAAAGAGGTATGCAATGACCTCATTGAAAAATCCAAATTATTATTATTTTTTTTTTCTAATTTTAAGTAAAAACAATTTTAGAGAAAATTTGAAAAACCGGAACAGCTGATCAGTCTTGAAAATTGTAGGATTTTTAAAAGAAATTGAAGATGAAATGTGTAGATTTATAAAATTTAATACCTAAACAACAGTGATCCCCAAATTCGAATACCCAATTCCTATGCACGTGACATTGACTTTGGAGGCGCCTAATTTCAAATCTTCCTCCTCGTCTTGGTAGCTCTCCAACTTGTATGTTAGCCCGAGGAAGTCCTTCACGTGCCTCAAAAAGTGCACCCTGTAGATTTTGTGTTACTATTAACATAAAAAAGGGGGCACATTAAGAATCTTACGAGTATTCTGACAGAGGGCCCGTCCTGAATTTTGAAATGTCCTTCTGACCGAGCGCCATGTAGAGCATGGCTTGGTTCTGGAATGTTGAGTCTACGCAGCCGCCACGGTAGATTTCCTCGAGCAGTCTAAATGCGCCCTGCTCACCAATGGTTTCAGGTACAGAAGGTTCTTCGCCCGATGCATTCGAGACTGCGTCGGCAGTGTAGAAGACACCATTAGTTGTTTCAGCCACCAAGCTCAAGCCAAAACCTAGAAACAGTAATTTGTAAAATAAATTATATTTCCTAATCTAATTGTAAGTAAAAAATTAATAAATTAATTTAAGGCCGAATTCTTACCAGGCGATTTTCCAGCGCTGGCCCCTTTGTTATGGTCAGTGGTGATGTAAACGTCAGGCAAAAACTTCAAAAGTACCCCTTTGGCAGCTTCGACGATTCTGTTGCTCATCGCAGGTGAAACTCTCAGGGCAAAGGACACACCACGGATCTTTTTCACTTTTCCCGCGTCATTGAACTTTTAGTTTTGAAAAGAAAAACTTAACATTTTAAAATTTCCTTTCGTTTTAAATTGACAATTTTTACCTGCTGAGGTCGGAGTTTGCGGACAGGGCACTTGAAGATGACCTGACCACCACCAGCAGGAGGCATTCCTCTTTTGTCAATTCGCAGTTCGAGGCCGTCGTCGACAAGGATGAACTTTTTCAAAACAGGCAGCCCTCCTGCTTTTACTGAATCTACAGATGGATCAATCTGAAGTGAGCAATTATTAACAATTCTCTTAAATTTTATGAACCAGGAACATACTTTGTTGTTTGTGACTCCTCGAAGGACGCACTGAAGGGGCTTTTTGCAGAAGGGTCCAAGGGAGAGGAGAACCTCCAGGTAGTAGCCAATGCCTCTGTGGACGCAGCAGTCGTGCTCGATGACACCGCCAACCAGAATTCCCGGCTGGAAGAACAAACTGGTTCCCGTCTCGGACACAACAATTTTTGTTCCATTGGTCAATTTGTCCAGCAACCTGATTAAGTTCACCTCGTATTCTGCACATTAAAATTAATTTTTATTTCTATGCAGGATAAATATATGTATAAAAATATTACCTTTCAGTCCAGGTTCAATATCCATGGACCTGATCTCAGTGATTCGCACACTCCGAGCGCTCAAACAGGACAGGATCAGTCTCTGTCGCAAAAAGTTACTTCCTTTGAAGGTTAAAACTTCACCCATCGTGATTCGCTCTCAAAAATTCAGTCAAATTGCAGTGAATTTGATAAATTCTTAGAGAAATAAAAACTTTTGCGAAACAAACACGTTTTGTCTCAGCTCAGGTTGCGCCCACCCATGTGCGTTATGTTGTTTTCAGCACGCCAGCTCCATCTTTCGAAAAAATTTGGAGAAGTTGAGAAAGCATAACAACAAATTTTAGCCGGTGCAATAATTTTTACTTAAATCCAATTTTTTCCGGCTAGAAAAGCAAAATATTCGTGTCATTTGCAATCAATTTTTACTCTCCTGGTGCACTACTGAAGAATGGCAGAAAAATTTAAAATGTAAGGGTCTTTTTTCATACAAAAATTGAATGTCAAAAAATTACACAATACATAATTTTATGTTTTTAGCCTCGTTTGCGGAGATGTGAACGGGAAATTCAACAAGCTCTTCTCGCGGATTGAAAGCATCAACGCGAAAAATGGCCCTTTTGATTATTTATTCTGCGTGGGAAATTTCTTTGGGGACCGTTCATCCTCAGCCGAGTGGAATCTCTACAAAAACGGAACCTTTACTGGTAAAATTAATTTGTCAAATTTCAATTATTTTATTTTAACTAATCATAATAATCTTGCCAGTTCCAATTCCTACCTGTATCATTGGTCCCAGTGACCCGAAGCAACTTTCACACTTCACCGACCCCAATGGCTGCGAATTGTGCCCCAATGTAAACTACTTAGGTAAATTATTAGAATATAATTTTTAGCCTGCATCAAATATTTTTAATTTGCAGGAAAGAGGGGTCTTTTCAGCTCAAGTGAGGGTCTGAAAATTGCATACCTGAGTGGCAAGGAAGGTGCCAAATCAGACAGCTGCACCTTCACTGCCGAAGACGTGAGCGCAGTCCGAGATTCCTGCCTTAGAAATCAGTCAAATTACAAAGGGGTGGACATCCTGCTCACTTCACAGTGGCCTCAAGGAGGCAAAGATGTGATCACGATTATAATTAACTATTGATTTTCATTTCTCACGTTGTCATTTAACTCAGGGTCAAGAAGGTTCAGCTCTCATTAGTTGGCTTGCCGTCCAAATAAAGCCTCGCTACCACTTTTGCGGACTCAAGTCCTTCTTCTTTGAGAGAGCGCCCTACCGCAACCATGACACCGGGGACAACGTTGACCTGCCTACGAGACTGATTGCCTTGTCGTCAGTTGGACAGAAAGACAAGTGGGTCTACGCCCTCAACATCCAGCCTGTCATCTTTATTCCGCAAGGCGAACTTGCTCAAAGGACAACTGATGAAACACCTTGTCCTTATCCAAATAGCCCAAGTCTGCCGGGGGCAACTGGAAATAAAAGGGTAAATTTTCAAATTATATTTCCGAACCTTAAGGATCGAGCTTTATCGTTAGAAGATTTTGTTCTAAATTTTCTAATAAGTAAACAATTTTCAGTATTTGTTTCAAAATTTGAAATAATCAGATTTGTATTGTAATATAATTTTTAATATCAGGAAGGCCCAAGCCAGTTCTTCTATGATATGGACGCCGCAGCAGAAATGGGAGCAGGGAAAAAAAAGCAACGTAGGGAGACGGACGAGGAGCGGCAGCAAAGATTGGCCAACCAGGCGCCCTGCTGGTTCTGCCTCTCCAGCCCTCAGGTTGAGAAGCACATGGTCATCAGTGTTGGCACAGAGGTGATTTAAAACTTAATTAAAAACCACTTCAAATTTTTGTAATAATATTTGGTGAAATTGTTAACCAGGTGTATCTGGCCCTGGCCAAAGGAGGCCTCACTCCAGACCATGTTCTCATCTTGCCAGTCACTCATCACCAAGCTGCGTCTCAACTACCACCTGAAGTGACTGATGAAGTCAAAAAGTAACTTGCTAAAAATTAATATGAGTTTTAATTTCATGAATTTAATTATTATTTAGATTCAAATCTGCGCTCAAGAAATTCTTCAAGAAGAGGCACAACAAAGCGGTAATTTTCTTCGAACGCAATTACCGCACCTCCCACATGCAAGTCCAAGCTGTCCCCATTCCAGCCTCGGCAGCTCCAGATGCAAAAGCTGCCTTCCAAGTAAAACTCTAATCTGTTTTAACTCCATCGATAATCATTTTTGTAATTTGAAGGAGTGTGCGGAAGAAAAGGGTTTGCACTTGACAGAACTGCCTGACCACTCTGACCTGAGTCAAGTGGCACCTTCTGGCACCCCCTACTTCCACGTGGAACTCCCTAGTGGAGATCAGCTGTACATGACAGCAAAGAAAAATTTCCCTCTGCAATTTGGAAGGTATGTAAAAAAAAAATTAAGTATTGATAAAATTTAAATCATGACTCTGAACTTAGGGAGGCACTCGTAGGTCCCAGTTTGTTGGACATGCCTGAAAAAGTGGACTGGAAAGACTGCCAAATCAGCCAAGAAGAGGAAAAGGCAAACACTGTCAAGTTCAGGGAGGAGTTTGAGCCGTTTGATTTCACCATTTAGGTTTTTAAAAAGAAAACAGTTGTTTTAAGTTAATTCTTATTATTACGAAATAACTAGAGCATCATCTGTACAGAATTAAATTGGACAACTAAGAGCATATTCACTTCTTATTTTTCTTACTGGAGGGTTGTGGCAGCCTGTACTTGGCCATTTCAACTTCCGCCTCAAAGTACGAGGTGTCATTGTAGCAGTAATATTCAGGGTTCTTGTAGTCGCCATCCTTCTTTGCGCCAGGACCAACAGCTGGCAAAAGGAACAGATCTGTATATAATTTCACTTAATAAATTTTTTATAACTTACCGGTGCTAGGTACATTGACGCATTTTGCGCTCAGCCCTGGTACGTTAGCGTTCACGTTCGAGGAACCAGAACTCTTGGTCGGGGTCGAAAGTCCTCGTAAGGCGACCTGCACATTATTAATTTTTATTAAATCATAAAATGTTTTCTAACAATAAGTTAAAAGTTAAGTTAAACACAAATATCACAAACCTTGAAAGCTGGTTGGTTCAATCTCAGAACCGATCTGGCTGGGCTTGCCATTATTGTAAAATAAATCTGCAAAACTCTTTTCTTCAATTCTTCTTGTTTTTGTGCAAAAAAATGCCACGCCCCCTTCGTCTATTAAATTTGGTGCTGGTGCTGCCATCACGTGCTGGAAATAAAGAGCTACATTAAATTTGCCCGAGTTTGGCACGCATGCTCATTTCTAAGACATTTTAACCACAAATTTATTTCAGATTTCGTTAGAAACTATTTTCATTTTTCACAATTATTGGTTTCCTTAAAAATAGGAAATAGGTGAACTCCTTTTTATATAGATTTTCATTGTATTTTATTAAAACAAAAATTTAAATCCATAACAATTAAAATATATAAAAACATCAAATATATGCGATATATGCTTACATTTTTTTCCACAGGGAAACAAAAAAAAATGATAAAATCCTTCGACCAGTAGCTCATCAAGTATTTTTTATATCACAGCTTAATATCAAAGTCCTAGAAAATCTTTCACAATTTGCTTTTTGGAATGGGGTTTAGCTGCCAAAGGCGCGTTGCTTCCTTGTCAAAGTTTCCAAGTGCATCCAAATACTTTTCATCTAAAAATTTTTCATCATCATTTTTTTATATCAAACTAAAAAGAATTAATTAAAAACGAACCACCCGTTTTGAGGAAACGCTCGATGGGATTGGCAATTGCAGCCAGGGGGACAGCAAAGTTGATACGGGGCCAGTTTTTGGGCAGCTCAGGATCAGTGTAGGTGACCTCCGTGTGTCCTACGACAAGGCCTACCAGTTCTTGGCCCTGCAGAACGGCACCACCACTGTTGCCGCAGTGGACGGCGCAACTGGTCTGCAGCATGTGAGGCCACACCTGCGAAATACAGCCGCGGGACACCAAAGGGCCATGTAAGGTCTTTTCCGGTCCTGGTGGCGACAAAAGGCCGTATCCAATCACCTCAACTATTTCACCTAATAAGATTTGAAAAAAAAAATTATTAAAATTTAGCCTACAAAATTTTTTTAATCGAGAATTTTTTTAAAAATGAAGAGTTTTGGGGCAGGTTTTTAGCGCTTGGCAACACAATGATGAATGGGTGATGGAATGAGATGAGATAGCTGGAATTAAAATGGGCCGCTCTTCTTGCTTCCGAGGAAGGCCAATTGGCCTCATTTTGGGTCGTTACGCCAAATGGGGCTGCATAAAGGCCTCCGCAGACGCACCCCTGCCGCGCGACGCAGAAATAAGACTAATTTAACCCCTAATCCCACGTACATTTTCCCCAATCGCTTCTCAAAAATAATACACAGCCACAATTTACCTTTAGTTGGAAGTCGGCGGGAAATTTTCGGCGCCACTTTTGGTCCCGGCGCAGCGGCCGTCTTTAGCAGGGCCACGTCGAAGGCTGAAGACGACGGACTGAGGTATAAAATTGAGGCCGCAACAGGACCAGAGCCATTTGTCCACTGCAGCAGCACAGAGTTTTTGGAATCAGCCTGGGAGCAAAAAAGATTATATTATATTTGAGACAAATGACCACACATATTTAAAGATATAATTACAGTAAAAAATGTAGAAAATATTAAAAGCAAGGTATAGAATTTGATTTTTTTTATAGTGGGGAATTTCTATCTTATTTTTAATGAATAGAATTTTACAAGCATGAAAAAATATTTGATTTTGAAATATTTATAGAAATTAAAAAATGAATGGCCTTTTAAATCTGAATCTAAAACGCACTTCACAACATTTTAACTCAAAGAAACTCAAAATAAACTTTACCTGAAGCACATGGGCACAAGTGAGGTAAATGCCTTTGGCCGAGTCCAGGGCGACGGCCGAAGCCCACGCACCTCCGTGCCTCAAAAGCGCCACTCCTCTGGAGGCGACTTCTGGTGAATCTGCCACATCAGAAGGAAAAGAAATTTTTCAAAAAATAATATCAAATAAGGTAAAAAGAAATAAAAAAACATCAAAAACATTTTGATATGTTGTTTGAAATCGGCAGAAAAATGGTTTGCAAAATCGTAATTTTGCGGAGAAAAAAAAATTAAAAATAGAGTGGAATGTATGTCAATAGAGATGGAGGGCGCAGGTGTTTGGACAGTGGATGGGGGTGCGTTTTGCCAGTTCGTTCAGCAAAGGGCCGCCGCCAAAGCGAATTGAGATCTAGAGCAAGCGCCAGGTTTTCGCGCGGCGACGTCCAGACATGATTTGTTGCCCGGGTCACGGGGCAAAGGGAACGGCCATAAGTCACTTGGCAGCCAGACGCCCGCATTCTCGGCAACAGAACAAACCGCGTTTTGTGCTCTTATTCCATATGTGGTTTTATTATTTGCCAAAAGTTAGAAGTGAATATTTAATGAATTCTGATTCATTATTATTTTCTTTGTTAAAAAATTAAACCACACACAAAAATAAGCTTATGAATTAAATTTTGTTGGAACATTTATAACATTTTTAAAGGATTCACAAACAAGTAGAAAAAGCGACGGCGATGTTTTTTCCGAAAAATTTTTAAATCATTTTTTTACCGGAAGGAAGAGGTTTGGTGATGTTTTCTGTGAGAATTCCAAGTGCCGTGGAGAGAACTGTTTGAAGGGAAGCGGCCATGCACAATGAAACGGCCTCGCCCCTGACCTTGAAGATGGTCTGCACGACCAGGCCTAAGAGCACCTTGCGACCCTCTGTGCCAACGGAGTAAAGGGCACCACCCTCGCTTCCAGGGGCGGCGTGGGAATCACACAAAATAATGCTTTGCCCTTGGCCAGTCACTTTGTTTATCTGCAAATGAAAATAGAAAATTTTGGAAATTAATTTTTAATTTTAAATTTTTAAGGGCAAATTAAGATGTATTTATTTTACTTGCAAATTGTTTCACTTGTTGTGTTTTCTGATAAATGAATTTCTGATTCTGATACATTTATTTCTGGCAAGTGAATCACGTAGTTCTGATAAGTGATTTGTGATTAATGATTTTTGGATAAATGACGAAAAAAATTTTCTGATGATTCCTTTTTAAGTGATAAATGAGGGGTTTCCATTAAAACCTGGGATATTTAGATAAGAGAGTCCCTGTAAATCCTAGCGTAAATCTATAAAAGGCAAAGAAAGGGATTCATAAAATTGATTAAAAAATAAAAATTCTACATACAATGCCTTTGGTCCAAGTATTGAGGAAAAAGTGTCCGGCGCCAAAGGGGGTGGCCTCAAGGAGAACCGCCTGTCCAGTCACCGGCGCCGTCACCCACTCGCTCAGCAGCGTCTGCAATTCTGCCCTGACCTCATCTAGGGTCAGGTCTGGCTGAAAAGGGTCATCAACTTGGATGACTAGGAAGAGGGCGAGGTCGGCGTTGGGGAAGTTCCACCCCTTGGAGGCCAACTCGGCGGCCGTGGCGTCCAGCAGGGGGCAGCGCCAGGCGGCCACGACGCGGCCGCCCAGCCGGCCGTCCTCGCCGACGATTCTTGAGCGCAAATCAGGAGACCCTGTGGGGGCGAGACGGCCCCCGGGGGCGGCGGGGGCCTTTCCAGGGGGCAGCAGGGAGCCGTGGGTGAGCACCAGCCGCCCCCATCGCAGCCCTGAGCAGCTCAGGGGCCGGCCGTTGTCGCCGTCCACCTCGACCAGGACGCCCTGCGGCTTGTGCGGGGGCGGCAGCCTGGAGGCGGTTCTGCGCACCCTTGTCATCAACATCCGGTCTGCAACACACGCAAATTTGCTCTTTCATTCATCGCGACAAACGGACCACCAACAAGTGTGAATGGACTGGAAGATTACACCAGGAAATTCTGTTTCTCAAATAATTAGGAAAAATTAAAGGAATAAAAATTAAATTTTTAATTCCATAATGTTAATATTGAGTTATTAATTTGTCAAAATTTGTGACACTTTAAACTTTCTATGGCATATTTTTTTTTTTAGATTTCTTTTCAAATAAAATATTTTTTCGTATTCTGCAGAGTTCAGAACATTTGTTTCAATCAGTTTTGCTTGTGAGCAGCTTTAAATAATTTAAACAGAAGATAAAATATTTTTTTATAATAGAAAAAAGACATATTTCATTGATATATTGTTTATTTTTTAATTAATTTTAATTTAATTTGCTGATTCTAGTCGATGTTTTAAATGAGCGTTTTTTTTTTTTTTTTTTTTTTTTTAAATAATTGTTTCTACTGTTTTCTCAGCATTAATTACTATGTTAATTTGACCGTTTTCATCTCAATTTTGAAGCACTCTCATCAGATAACTATTATTTAATTTTTTCTATAATATTTTTGTCTATTATCCGAGTTGCATTGGCTGTAAAGTTTTATGAATAATAGGATAAAGTCGAGTTTAAAGGATGAGTGAAGAGTTCAGCATAACAGGATAAGAAATGATTAAAGTTTGGTCACCACAAAACTATTTTTTGTATAAGATAACAAGTAACAAATGAATTAAAATAATTTGTAAAATAAAACAAAAAATCCGTACACGGATGATGAATTTGGACAGAGAATGCCTGGTTATACATTAATTAACATTAATTATGTACATTATTGGAAACTATTATCGTCTGAATTATATATAATAATTTAATAAAAGTGGTATTTCTTTCAAGCCTGTATAGCATTGAAAGTTGCTTAGCTGAGCAGTGTAAAGGAAAATCTGGAGTATTATTTGCTTTGAAAATACACACTTGAATAGATTGTAAATCAACAAGAGCTACGTGCGCATGCAGGACCGACTTGAAGTCAAACAAGGAAAATTCGCGCAATAATAAAACGGTACTTGATTTATTACTGCAGCGCTAAAAATAAAAAGTAATTTCAAGTGCTATTATGCAGTCAGGGTTTTTAATGTACTAATTGCAGAGCAGTAAAAGGGACACGTAAGCGCCTTGAAGTGACCCTATTTGAAACCGATGCGAGCTGGTTTGCTTCATCTCTTCCGTCCCCTTTAGTTTTCTATAAGCCAGTCAAAATACCCGCGGCCTTTTCCAACTTTTTCCACTCGGCTCAAGTGAAAACAAAACGATTTCAGCTCAAGGCGTTGCAATTAAGCCACAGAAAAACTGAAACGGCAACTTTTACTTTCCGAGTTGAAAATAAAACTGACATTATTATACTTTTCTACAATGACACGTTAAATAAATAGTAAAATTTTACACTTTTCCGGAAGGGATGGATATTTTCCACCTCATCTAAAAAAAAGAAATATTTTTTGGTTTAAAAATACCTATTTGCTTTAAGTGTGAAATCGCACACAAGTTTTATTTCTGTTGGCGCAACCGTTGTGTTGACTCGATTCGATCCCTTAAAAGAGCCAGTTCTGCGAGGAATTTGGCGCAAAAAAGAATTTTGTTGGCCCGAAGTTATGCAACAGGTGCTCGCACAATCAGCAGACAGCTTGGCACCGACGACCGACCGGGGGAAAAAACGACAAGGAATTCAGCTCTTTCTCTTGCTTGAGAATTTTCCACGTCTGAATACAATTGATTGTTTTTCCATGCAGAGAGTCGGCGGCTTTCTTCTTTAATTGCATCAAAACTCGTTGTTTGTGCGCGACGACCTGTCACGTCTCTTTTTCCTTGGAATCGTTTTCTGATGCAAATCGATCTGCGCTTTTCATCAGCGGTCGTCCGATCAGGAAACAATGTAATACGCGCGCACTTGAGACGCAATACTTACATATAAGTGAAATATAAATCTTGGCATGTCCAAAAGCGAGCGCAGAATTCCACTCACTTGGCTTTGACTGAACTTGAGTGGAAATTTTCAACGTTTCTTAGATATTTTGTGTCATTATTAAGATGAGAGGATAAAATATTAGTGATAAAACTTATAATTTTTGAAATTCTCTAATTACGTCTTAAAACAGACAACCTCCGGAACAATTTTTATTGCGCTATGAAAACACCTCTAAACATGTTATTTTAATTTTTTTTAGTAAGTAATTTTAGGGTCAATCCTCGGTAATATTGATTATTTTTACAGAACTTCTTCTGCTTTCATTCAATCACCTAAGTGGAGGTCGTATATTTTATTTAGAGAAAATCACGTCAGATGTTCCAAAATGCTACTGATTTTTGAAAACATATTTTTGACTTTGACAATGCGCGGTCGTGTTTTTGTGGGGGCGATTCATTGATGCTCTCTCGCGAAGAAGGAAACACAAAATTGGATTCGATCGAGGGTGAATGGCTGTCTTGGCATGAGGTCTCAGCCTTTTGACGCAATTTGCCTCGCCGCGTGGCGACGTAATTTAAGTGGATGAATAGGCCGCTAATTCGATGGTGGAGCAGCCCCCGTTGATAAGAGGGATGGCCCTGCAGGCGGCCACCGGCCGCGTATAAAAGCCCATCTTGGCCGACGCTGAGGAGACACTCGACGCCCCACGCTCGCGCTGCTCTCATCCCCCAAGCCGCCGTCTGTCTCCAATAAGGGTGAGTACAAATTACCTACCCTCAAAAGTTTAATCATTTCCTCTTAATTGAAATTTAAAAAAGTTAAGATAGAAAAATTAGGAGATTATTTTTTCAAGATGGTCTTGAATGAATAATTATTTATAAAATTTTTGCTTATTATAATGTATTGAAATGCCTCATAATTTTAATATTTTCTCTCTGGTTTATTTTTAATCAAAATTTCTGGATATATCTATAAATATTTTTTTTACTAAGGGTTATGTAACTTTGTCCACGTACGTTCTTGTTTTGAATTCGCGCATACCTTGCCCTCTAAATATCAAATTACGGCACACTTCTCAAGTAACCCTTTGAGCTTTTCCTCAATAATCCAGCTTCCGCATACAATCGGACCTGACCTTCCGTTTTCAGCTCTTGGCGATCTCGCCTCGCTGTTCTGAAGGTGAACGTCCTAATCGAGCAAACTTGGCAACAATTAAGATTTTACAAAAATGGCTCTTTATTAACGCGAGTGGAGCTTTTCCCATGAATTAATACTCTCTAATGGAAAAAGCGAATTCGCAGACGCAGAATCATCTCGAATTGGCGCAAAAACGGCGGCGCCGGCCAGACGGTTGGGCGTGCGGGAATTTATGGTCCGCGACGGAAATTCGATTCCGTCGTTTTCAAAAGCAGTCCTGGCGCTGAGTGAGTGGCCTTTTATTTCATTGATATCACGAGCAGATCCTTTTTAATTGCTTTATTGCCACCGCCAATTTACAATTCGACGCGCAGACATTTTGCAGACTGCGCCATTTTTTGCCAGTTTCAATTTCAAAGCATTTTTCTAAGCCATAAGAAAAACACGCGGCAATTCATTCTAGTGGCCTAAAGAAAACTTCCATTATTTCCAATTTTCCATCATTAACAGAAAATCTCGCACGAAACTGAACAAAAGCAAACAACAATGGTAGTTGGAGCTCCGCAGATAAGCATTTCCGCCGCAAATGCAAAAAAGTTGGCCTTGACTTTCGGAACAATGGTCTGATCATGGTTGTGACGGAATGATTGCAGACATACATCATCATCAGGTAGACTTGCAAAATATTTTTAATTATTTTATGAGCTTCCAAGCACAATTAATAATTTTGTTAAAATAATTTGTTTATATTTAGTTAGATTTTTAGGTGAGTTTTTCCATTCAGTTTTAAATATAAACTGTGATTGCAAATTAAAAGCGAAAAAATATTTTTGGGTGCCTTACTTAAGGGCAGGATAAAAAATAGTTGATTGGATTAAATTAAAAATTTGTTCTGCTTCAATTTGTTTGAAAATATTGAAATATAAACTGGTACTCAACATTTTTTTAATCTGGCAGGATTTTTTAGATTATCTTATCACACCGATCAGAAATAATAATATAAACCACTTTTAAATCATTATTAATTGAGTACTTCATTTCTTTTTTATATTGCTTATTTATCTTTTAAACTGAAAACAACACTTCTTTTTCATTTTGCTAGTAACGAGACGAGGGAGTGCGTAATGCAAGATAATCCCTGGTTTGTGTAACATTTCGCATAGCATGTGTTTCTCGCTCGGCTCCAGCGATTCAGCATTGTCGAGAAAAGCGTCTGACAACAGGATCTTTTTTCTTTCATTCCCAGAACGAAAATAACCGCGAAAATATCAAAATAAAATAAAGTGTCCCCCATGAAAAGGGAAAATTCCGATGCACAGGAATAAAAAAAAAAACATTGATTGCTCAATAACGCGAGGAGATGAAATTCCGAGTTCTGACAGGTGCGATGCAGCATAAGAAATTCCGTACAGCTTTTGCCTCTTGAAACCTTTCAACGCCTCTTTCAAATCAATTTTTTTAAACGGATTATTTCATATGTTTCCCTGGAGATGGACAGGCGTTCATGTCTCCCAGGTGAGCGGAAATTGGTTTGAATTTTGATAAGTTTCAAACAAAGAATTGAAAATTTTGAAAAATCAGATAAAGTGAATGTTTTATTATATGATTAAATTGTTTATAAGTTAATTAAAAATGCATGGAACATTTTGAAAGGGCTGTTTAAATTAAAAAAAAAGGTTCTGTTCCACTTGGTTTGGCGACGCATGTCTTCAAATCATTGCCAAAATTTTGATCACGTCCAGGTGAGCAAGACGATTGGAATGCATATTTTATATTATAAATATACTTGGCACATTCGCGTGCGAAAGCTGTGGCAACAATCTTTAGCTAAAAATAAAATTAACTCTTTCGATTCTTGATTTTAAACGTGCAAGAAAACCACTCGTTGTTTAATTAGCATAAATCTACTAGGTATGAATTGATTACACTGAAAACTTTTTTATGAGGTGGGTGGGGTGACGTCATGGCGGATCTAATTTTTAACAACTCCTTGACTCACACGTCACACTGGGCAAATAATAGCAGATGACTCGCGAATTGGATATGAATTAGAACAGAAACGACTCACACTTTCGACCAGGAAATTATTTAGGAGGAAGGATTAAATAAATTTCAAGTGTCTTCGTCAGTATACCACTTGAATAATCTGCAAGATTTTTTTAACGGCGTGTTAGCAAGCGGAATAATTGTAAAATATACCCTTTTGAAAATCGTGACTTACTTAGTGCGAGACGTTTGTGATCGTGACATCATGAAGCTTGAATTGCCAGGTATGAAAATAAGTGGAATTTTCACGGTAATTCCAAGAACACACGGCGATGGAAAACTCTTTGATTATTTTTTAAATTTAATTCAAACCTGTTTTATCATTACTTATTTCATTAAGACGAGTTTAATGAAAAATGACGTAACTATAGAAGTTAATTTTCCCCGCAAGGTACTACAGAGCGACGGATTTCCCACCGGCGTGTTCAGCTAATTAGATCCCTGATAACTTTTCGCACACTCACGAAACACTCTTTCAACTTAACCTGTTACTCACACGCCCACTATATCATTGTTTCCATTGGGTGTTATTTTATTTGTCTACATTTCCTCTTGAGCATGAAACGTAAATGAAAGTGCAGATAAGAATTTGATCTTTATGAAAAGGGGTATGCCGATGACGTCATACATTACCTGTGCACAATACTGAACTGATCGTGCTAGTTATGATTGAAATCTTATTTCAAATCCACTCTCTGGGGTCAACCTTTTAAGCTGTGACTTCATAAGTTGAATGAGTCATAAAAATTCTCAATGCGGTCATTGAAAAAACTTGAGCAACTTTCTTAAAAATGTTTGCGATTGCGCGGCTGATCTTAATTATTTTGATTATTCTAATTACAAAAATGTTTACATCAAAATGAAATATTTAATTTTATTACCAGTTTATTTTGTCAATCAAAAGAAGTTAGCGTCTCCATTGAAATTTGAAAGGTTGTTATTCAGAAAGTAAGATTTTAATTGTTTTAATTGCATTTTCTTGAAACTGTTTAGGACTTTTGAAAAGCAATATCTTGTAATATCGGCTTTATAACAATGAATTGGTAGATTTGGTTCCTTTTGTAATTTTTATAAGTTTTAGGAGAGAAAAAGGATCAAAGTTAAATTTAAAAGAAGTTAAAAATAGGCAGATTGAGCCAGTGCTCTTGGATTTAATAGACTTTTCAATATTTTTAATATTCAAATGCTACAGAATTGAATAGTTTTGATTGTAAAAACTGCAATTACAATTAATTTAAGTCGCAATATTTTGTCTGATTTAGTCTTTATTTGAAATTTCTGCAGGAAGAAATCGCGTTAACTGAATATCAAATTAAAAAATGGCATGGTTATTGGAGGGGAAAATTTACGTTAGAGTGGAAACTACGAAGCCTTCGAAGTGCATTTCTTTGAAAATCTTTTACGCAAAAATGTCAGTGGCGCCGCTTATATGATGGACCAAAAACGTGGCTCAGAATAAATAAACAAATGGAGCGTAAACGGAAAGCAAAGCTTTTTTCAGGCTAAAAGCCAGGGGTGTTTGTTTGTTTTGACGAAAGAGTACCGGAGATATTATTTCTGTGAACTTTCCTCTTCCTCATTTGAGTGGAGGTCAGTTGCAGTTTTCAAGGGTTGTTGCCTCGCGAGGGGATCACCTTTCGCTCTTCACCAAACAACAAGGGACTCGACTGTATTTTGCCCTCAAAGTCTCATCGGATTACGACAAGCAAATAATATTTTCGCAGAGCATTCCAACTTTTGCAACAAATGCGGCCGACTTATGCAGTCCGCGCTGCGACTGCCCCCCTGATCCATTTCAAGTTTTCCCAAATGAATTGAATAATCAGATTGCATGGGTGGTGAAAAGACGTTATTTTCCCTTAGATATAGCAAATAGCACGACGACTATTTTTTAATGCAGTTTTTTCATATTTATCTGGAAATTTTTGCCAGACTCAAGTAAACTATCAATAGTGACAACATTTCAGATTCTCCCAATTATTTTCCTTCCGTTCGACAATATATCTGATTTTTTAGAGAAAAATAAAATTAATTAATATAATCTGGAAAAAATATTTTTATAATAGTTTAAACTTAATTATTTTGGCAAATGAATGTTTCTTTTTTTGCTATGCATCTTAATATTTTATAAAAAAAAAATCGTCCTCAATACCTAAATTTAAAGTTAAAATTGTAAAAAAGCTTGCGCGACCGAGTCTCCCCTCCACGTACCGAAGAGCATCATATTAAGCCAAGTGCGAGAGGCTGAGCTTCAGTCAATGAGAGTCGCTTCAGGACCCAAGCAGCAGACCCCGTTGTCTTTACCTTACAATAGAAGTTAGTGCTGCGGACGAAACACCTGCCAACCCCCTGAGCACCCTTAGACATCATACCAAAATGATCCGAGTCAACGTAGACACCCTGGTGAGTTTCTGATTCGCAATTTGCAGCCCCCGGACGAAGGCCACCCCTATCACTCCTCGGCCGGCCAGGAGAGTGGTGGCCGCCGGATGCGGTCAATTTAAGCGCGCGCGAATTACGTGCCCCTGATTCAAGCGTCGTCCAACGACAGATTAACATTATTATATGCCCT